CATGCGAAGACGTGGTGAAGGCATGCCTTAACTGCTATGCCGCTCCCGTATCTCGTTGGCCTTTGCATGTCACTTCGCTCCTCCCAGTTCCCCTCCCCTCACCTGGCAGGCCAGGGTAGCGACGATGTTCTGCGCGTGCACCAGCGAGGGGTTGCCCAGGTAGTCCAGGCCGCCCTCCTGGAAGATCTGGGCGCCGGCCTTGAACCACACGGCCTCACCGAACTGCACGCCGTTCTTGGCCAGCAGCTCGGGGGTCACGCAGCCCAGGGCGCCAAGCATGGCCCAGCGGGCGTGGATCAGCTCCAGCTCGCGGTAGCGCTTGAAGGTCTCGGGGTCAGCCGACAGACCGGCGGTGTCCCAGCCGTAGTCGCCGGGGAACTCGCCGGTCAGGTAGGCGGGGGTGGCATTCTCGCTGTAGGGGCCTGCAGGGATAGACACACCGTGCAGGGACATGAGTACATATACTTGCAGGCAGCCGCTATCCAAGGTAAACTAGTCGAGAACGTTGCAAGAAACCATATGCAAAACATGACCTAGAAGCCGCGTATCGGTTCTTGCACCCTAGCGCATCTTAGGCTGAACCGCTTCGGGTCATCCATGCTGCATCAGACAACGTCCATATCACGTCCTGTAGGGAGATCCCTTCATTTCGCCCAAGCTTACCCAGCCACTTAGCGCGGTTGGGGCCGTAGAACTCCACACCGGAGCTCTTGGGGGCAGCGGGCTGCACCACGGGGCAAAATGGAACCAATGATCTCGAACTGATTTCGCTTGAAAGCGCAGAGTACATAGTAGACGCTTTAAGTATGAAAAAGCATAGCGAACGAAATGCGCACCTTAGCGGCGGCCTTCTTGCCGGTCGCCTTGCATGCGACCTGCAGAGCCTTGCGCGAGGTAGCAACAGCGAATGCCATCTTAGTTACTTAGGACGACTGGCAAGAGGTAATCAGTAGCTAGCTGATACTTGGTAACGTGCAAGCAGTCCTTAAATATTTTTCGTGCATGCAGAATCGAGATGCCGTACTTCGATGTCCGACAAAGTGGGGGCAAAGAGATGCACCGCTTGGCAATGCAAATATATACTTTATTACTTCACGATGTCATGTTTGCTGATTAAGTGGCACAGCGGCCTGATCGAATTCACGCAGGCGGGTAGAAAGCCGGACACGTTCCCTGTGCCAAGCGCCGAGTTGCAAGTGCAGCCATGTGAAGCTGTATACTGTCAGCGTTCTAGCGACATCCCGGGCTACTTTGGGCACCAGAAAGAGGGCGCGACGTTTCGACTACCGGCTCGCCGCGTTCACAGTATGCGCAGCTGTATGCCTTCGTCTATATCGCTCCCGGCATCAGGCTGCTTCGGGCGCTTAGAGCCAGAAAAAAGACGGTAAACCTGATGGTCTGTGCTTACCGCCCTTAGCGCATGCGTCGGTAGGTGCTAATTTGGCGATTGGGAGGTTACTAGCCAGCGGTGCAACCTGGATTGTCGCAATGTCAGCCTGATCGCTGATGGCATGGTGATGGACTTGCCAGGGCATGCAGATTTGCTCGGTTAGGGCAAGTGCAGAAAGCCGTCCTAGCGTTGATGCCTATAGCAATCACTTCAGGGACACATAGCTACCTTGCGCAGCTACATCTCGACGATGCAAAGCATTCAGCAAGAAAAAGTCCAATTCCACAGGGGAAACGTTCTTCCAAACCGCACAAGCGTGACTATCATTGGGGATTTTGGGACGGAACCGAAGTGGAAGAACCGACGGTGGTGCGCATTGACGCACAGGGAGTATGGAAATGGACGGCGATAGTTACGCTACAACCAGCAGGGATAGGTGTCACGGTGTCAGGAAGGGATTTCAGAAGCTGACTATGTGAATCTGTAAGTCAGAGGACACATAGGCAGCTGGTTAATAAGGTACACAATTGGGTGAGCATAGCTGAAGAGTTTGGAATATGGCTTGGTGTGTGGCCTTCAGAGTCAAGGGGTCGGCGGTGCAGGTGAGCATGCACCATGTTGTCGGCATGCCGCAACGAATGTTGTGTTTGCATACGTCATCAGTGTCGCCGTTCACCCTTTTCACCCGGGCAGGTGACTAGATCCCTGGCCCACTAGCCTGGCACCACAGCAGGTGCTTCTAGCAGGAGCTTCGAATCTGTGTTGGTCCAAACCCTCAGGCAAGGTCTCAGGTAGCCTAAACAAGGTGCAGTCGAGGCGCCAATCTCTAAGTGTATATGTCGCACATAATGCAAACGCATAATGTTCAGCAGCGCAGGCAAGTTGATGTGCCTGGTTCTGCAGACGGCATGCTTCGGCGCGACGGACGAACGTTGAACCAGGGAATGGTCCTGCTCGTTCATGGCACCCGTCTAAAGAAGAATACACTTTATTTGCAACACAAGACGCAACAATGCGATTGTTCATCTGCCCCGCCTTGCCGGACAACCAAGTACGACATCTCGATTTTGCTTGCAGGAGCCCTATTTAAGGGCAGCTAGCCCTATTGCTCAGTATCAGCTAGCAACTGATCACCTCTTGTCAGTCGTCTGTAGTCGAAAAAATGGCGTTTGCTGTCGCTACCTCGCGCAAGGCTCTGCAGGTCGCTTGCAAGGCGACCGGCAAGAAGGCTGCTGCTAAGGTCGGTTGCCGTACTACCCGTAGATATATTCAAGCCTCTATTTTGTTAAACTCGGCCGTATCTGCTGCGGACGTCTTTTCGATCATGCCCATGGCAACTTGATTTCCCTCCCAACCTTTGCAGCCGGCTGCCCCCAAGAGCTCTGGCGTGGAGTTCTATGGCCCCAACCGTGCCAAGTGGCTGGGTAAGCGATGAGCAACGATTAGCAACTACCAGCGGCGACGATTGCTTTACCGTTGACGATTGGAACTCCCTGATCGCGCAGCGTCTCAAAGCATAATGAGCATTTCCCTTTCATGGCATATAAAATTTTGGTATCCCATACTAGATCCTGCTGAGTGGCCGTTCTTAGTCACCCTGGTCGCAACTTGAAGGATGTTGCCTTGCAACAAGACAACCTTTATCCATCATAATAACGAGGCAATCTTTGCTTACTAAGAATGCGATCTCTTCCATCGTCCATCCCTGCAGGCCCCTACAGCGAGAATGCCACCCCCGCCTACCTGACCGGCGAGTTCCCCGGCGACTACGGCTGGGACACCGCCGGCCTGTCGGCTGACCCCGAGACCTTCAAGCGCTACCGCGAGCTGGAGCTGATCCACGCCCGCTGGGCCATGCTTGGCGCCCTGGGCTGCGTGACCCCCGAGCTGCTGGCCAAGAACGGCGTGCAGTTCGGTGAGGCCGTGTGGTTCAAGGCCGGCGCCCAGATCTTCCAGGAGGGCGGCCTGGACTACCTGGGCAACCCCTCGCTGGTGCACGCGCAGAACATCGTCGCTACCCTGGCCTGCCAGGTGAGGGGAGGGGAACTGGGAGGAGCGAAGTGACATGCAAAGGCCAACGAGATACGGGAGCGGCATAGCAGTTAAGGCATGCCTCCACCACGTCTTCGCATGCAAGCATCTGTTGTGAACAAACTGTGAAAGTGCTCTCTGCAATGGAGACGCCGTCTTCTGCTTTGGTGTCCCTGGATCGCTCATGCCTTCTTTCCCTCTCCTCCCTCCCCCCAGGTCATCCTGATGGGCCTGGTTGAGGGCTACCGTGTGAACGGCGGCCCGGCCGGCGAGGGCCTGGACCCGCTGTACCCCGGCGAGTCGTTCGACCCCCTGGGCCTGGCTGACGACCCCGACACCTTCGCCGAGCTCAAGGTCAAGGAGATCAAGAACGGCCGCCTGGCAATGTTCTCCATGTTCGGCTTCTTCGTGCAGGCCATCGTGACCGGCAAGGGCCCCCTCGAGAACCTGGCTGACCACCTGGCCAACCCCGGCGTCAACAACGCCTTCGCCTTCGCCACCAAGTTCACCCCCTCCGCATAAACGCCGTGCCATGTGTCCTAATGTGATATGCAACTGTTTCTAGGCTAGGCTGCATATGCATGCAATGCTTTAGGTAGATGTGTATATCGTCGACTGCTGCAGAAGGAACCAGGCAATTGGTTGTTTGCTATCTGGCCGGGTGTGCCCTAAGGGCAATTTTGGTTAATTTTTGTGACATGTGAGCCGCATGGAGCAATTAAAGCACCTCGGACCACGAAAGCCCGTGATCAGTTGTGCAGAGTCTTCATCATCATTCCCCTGTGGGATGCTGCGTAGTGCTTTGGCGGGGCCGCGCAGCTCGTGTACGTTTGATGTGCGACACTTGTTGTAAGGGAAACCGCGCCAACATGTCCTATACTGTTACGTGTACGAGCCGTGGCATCAATAACGGCCCAACCCCTGCAAATGGTATTCAGCTACCTTGCAACCAGCATGCAATGTGCAACGGCGCAAAGAAGTTAAGCACCTGTGGCCCTCCGGTAAAGGGTACAGCGCAGCACATGGCAAGTGGCCAATACAACCAAACTGAGCCTGGTCGCATATGGTACAACGCAAAGCTAGAGTGAACAAGGGAAGACGACAGGAAAGGTCCAACCTATAAAACATTCGGTACAACAAACCAAACCGGTCATGTCCTGCATGTGCGGAAATCAGTTCACCAGTAGCCCTACTCGGCAAGGTCCTTCCAAACGCATGTGCTTAAGAAGGACTGGCCGCGAGGCGGAACATACTGGGTTGCAGAATGGAAACGCATGTGTTAAGAAAACTGGCCGCGAGTAGGAGTCCGAAGAAGCGTACACGACAGGGTCACTACATCCATTCATCATACATCGCTGTCAAGCCAAAGCACCAAACGCCTATCTACGAACCTAAAGCACGAACTCAGCATCCAGCAGTGCCCGTTGCAGCCCTCTACTACATAAGCTAGGCATCCGTCTCCACACATCCTGCATGCGCCAAACCCCTGCATGCCCCGGCTACACCCCGCAAGCACGTATCGCACCACAAGGCACCGCCTTGTGCCATCACTGCTAGCCAACAAGGCCCCTAGCATGCCCCAAACCCCACACGACTGTGCCTCCTCACAGCCAGCCTCCGTCAACACTCCGGCGACCGTAAACCCCACAACAGAACATCACTATTATAACCGAGGTTCCAACTTGCTCGGCTGCCTTGGCGGTTCTGATGTGGTCGCGGCGGCGTCCTGCGTCCCCTGAGTGCTGCTGGCGGTGGTGGTGCAGCCCTGCTGCTGTCCCTCCCCTTCCGTCTGCTGCCCCTCCGTCTGCACTTGCTGCCCCTCCTCCGCGGCGGTACCCGTCACCCGCATGGCCATGTGGTCTCGCAGCTCGAAGGCGCCCAGCTCGTTGGGAGCGGAGCCGGGCCGCTTGGCGATCACACCTGGGGGGGGGGTGTGCAAGGGGGTTGGGAGGACAGTGTCGGGTGTTGGGTGTTGGGGGACGCAGCGGGTTGGGGCCGCAGCTGGGTAACATACCGTAGCCATGTGCGCACACGCGGGAGCACGAGGGAGCGGGTCTGCCATGATCTTCCCAGCAGTCAGACAGCAGTCCGTAGCTGCTTTCTCCACTACATACCGTACATGTAGACTACTGGTACCACATGTGGACTAGGATACTGCGCCACCACCTCCCTCCTTCCATCCTTCCTTGCCTCCCTCCCTGCCTCCCTCCCTGCTTCCCTCCCTGCCTCCCTCCCTCCCTCCCCCCCCGCCTGCCTACCATGGTGCATGCGGAAGGCGCCCGCCCGCATGTCCTCGCAGAACAGCCGCAGTGTGATGGCCACGGAGCTGAAGGCGAGCTGGCTCCAGGGGATGGCGTCGGGCTCGAAGAGGGCCACCTCCAGGGACTCGGGACCCGAGGAGAAGGAGTAGGGGGGCGCCAGCTGAGCCCTGGGAGAGGCAGGAGAGGAGTACGGAGGGGATGCTCAGGCAGGTGGGGCACAACGAGGTGTGGGGCTCAGAGAGGAACCGTTTCGGCGAAAGCCAGGAGAAAGCGTAGAGCAGTAGAGAAAGGAGGCGGCGGGGTAAGGAACTGGGGTGCAGGGTGCGGAGGGAGGCAAGCGCTGATGACCGCCGACACAGCGGCGGTGCATCTGGAGCAAGGCTGGCAGCTCAGCCCACCTGAAGATGATGTAGGTCTGGCCGATGATGGGGATGTCCCAGTGCGCGTAGGGAGCAATCACCTGGGGGGGGAGCAGGAAGAGGGTGTTGCAAGGCCAGGTCATCAGGGGCGGATGCGGGAGGGTAATGACCCGTGGGTCTGCCTCCAGTGTGAAATACGAGGAACTGTCTGTCCCCCACATGCCACCCCGCCCCGCACCCCCGTTGTCTTCCCTCTGTCCCCTACCTGCACCTCCGCATTCGCCTCCTCCCTCGTCTCCCGCGCCGCCCCCGCCGCGGTGGACTCGTTGAGCTCCATGAAGCCCGCCGGCAGCGTCCACAGCCCCCGACTGGGCTCGATGGCGCGTCTGGGTGGGGCAGCGGAGGCAGCGGCGGGGCGTTGAGGGCAACATGAGGAGGACAAACTTCAGCTACTAGCTGTATGACAAGGCGCGGGTCTGGGGGTGGAGGTAGGTCAAGGTATGGAGATGGGGGTAGGTTGAAAGAGAGTAGGCAGGCAGGCATGTGCGTATGCGACCTGTGCGTTATGGGAGCGGGTGCTGCGGGCGGTGTACGGGAGACACCGGTACCAGCAACAGGGCATATTCCCACACCTTGGTACGGGAACCCCGCCACCCACCTGCACAGCAGCAGCTTGCCCCGGTGCTCCACGCAGCAGCCCACCACCATCTTGGGGTTCAGGTAGTCCACGTAGCCGCACGCCCCGCACACGTGACGCCACTCGCGCTCGCCGGAGGGGCGCCGCAGGGTCAGAGAGCCGCCGCACACCCTGTGTGGTGTGGTTTGGGGAACGAGGGCGGGGGCGGATGCGGGGGCGGGGGCGGGTGTGGCGCTGAGGTCGGCTGTACAGTGGTGGACGGAGGGCGGGCTGGCTTCAAGGTTCAAGCCAATCTGGCATACCCACATTACCGAGTGTCGCATATGGGGCCAGACATTACCGAGTGTCGCATATGGGGCCAGACATTACCGAGTGTCGCATATGAGGCCAGACATTACCGAGTGTCGCATATGAGGCCAGTCCTTTGTCGATGTGAGAACCATATGGCGCATATGTAGTAATCCCCAGTTCCCATAACCGGCAGCCCGGGGCAAGGCACCAACACGAACTGCCCCCAGACGTCCATCACCGCCCATCCATTGCGCAGTACTCTACCCGCACCACGCCACCGCACCTGCAGAAGTTGGCTTTGACCTTCTGCAACCACACCGGAGGCTCCTCTGAGCTGTGGTGGGAGGCGGCCTCAGGGGCTGTTGAGGCGCAGCTCATGGTTCGGGTGGTTGTCCGTTGGATGGGCACTGGCAACCAGCAACCGACGCTGTCAGTCAAGCTGTGATGCAGGCTACTGCAGGACACCTTTTGTCGGTGCTTGCGGTGTGCTGCTGCCGTCCAGGAGCATATCGGTGTTAGCCTTCGAAGGCTTGATTGCAAGGCACCAAGGATGGCCATCTACCTTCGTGACCGTCACTCGGCCATCTTTACTATAGATTTGCTGCGATGTGGTAAGTTACATGGTATGAAGGTAGTCCATTGCTGTAAAGGCAACACCTTTTCAGCTATTTTCCTAGCCAAGGTTGTTTCTTCCTTTGCGTCCTTTGCCCAAGCGTCAGCTGCATATAGCCTTACTCGATAAAGCGCCCGTTGAAAAACAATTGCATTTGGAATGGGTCACATCGTGATGACCACACCAGCTCGGTCGTACCCTTCTGCAATCACGGTAACCCATGCATCTACCTCTCCATCTTCACCGAGTAGTGGTTTCCGCACCCAATTTTCCTGTCCTTCTAAAATTATTACATATACTCCTTCGCTTCAAACATGCGCGGCGTTTCACAGCGACCGCGCTGCACGGCGCCACGGGTCCGCGAGGGGCCACAATTCGCGTCGGCCTCCCGCGCTCTCCGCGTCCGAGCGGCTGCCAATGCTCCTCAGCCGAACCAAGGAGGTGAAGGTAAGCGAGAGTGTATGCGCGCGAGGGCGGAAGCGAGAGCCCCTTGCAACCCCTGGGAGTCACCTCGGGAGCCACTCACCCATACGTGCCACTGTGCCACCCCGACACCTTGAAACCCGCACAACATCCGTACCGTAACCCTTGCATTGGCGAATCCGCTGCCGACCCGACCCGTCACGCCCTTGGCTGTTCCTATGTACATGTGCTTGGTACGTGCAAGCAATGGCTTCCAAGTTATGAGAGCCCGGGCCACCAGCGCCTGTCTGCCTGACTGCCTTACCCCCATCATTCCTTCCTCACCCCCAACCCGCCTCCCGTCTGCAGCCCCACCAGCCCCACCCAGCCCCCTCATCTCCCGCCGGCAGCTGCTCTCCCTGCCCGCCCCGCTGCTCCTGCTGGGGGCAGGCGCACTGCTGCAGCCGGCAGCGGCGCTGCTGCCCGCTCCTGCAGCCCCTGCGGCGCATGCTGCTGCTGCTGCTGCTGCGGGTGGCATCGGGGCGGGCAGCAGCGGACCGGTGCTTCCCTCGCCGGAGGTGAAGGCGGCGGTGGATAAGGCCCTGGCGAAAGCCGTCACCAAGGGCAAGGTGCGGGCAGGATACCGGTGGCAACATGTTTCTTACTAAATAAACATGGCGCTTCAAGTGAGCTGACCGTCGTGCGCACGTATGTTGCTGGCCGCTGAAGCTACCAGCGTCAGTTGTGGAGGGCGGAGCTGTAGTTACCGCAGCCACCGTAGCTCCAAAAAGCCCGCCACATCCGCCAAACTCTTACCCCTAACCACCCAACCAACCACTCCCCACCCTCCCAGGCCGCTGTGGCCCTACGGCTGCCCTTCCACGACGCGGGCACCTTCAGCGGCTCGCAGGGCGGGGGCGGACTGAACGCCTCCGTGCGCTTCGAGCTGGACCGACCCGAGAACATGGGGCTCAAGCGGGGCTGGAGGATCGTGGAGCAGGTAGCAGGGTGCGGGGCAGGACAGGGCTGGGGGCAGGGCTGGAGTTGGGCAGAAGGCGGAAGAGCTTGCACTGGTACGCATGCCCTTACGCATCCTATCACCCCCTGGCTGTAAGAAGGCTTGCCCCTCAGTATATAACACATCCTTCCCTGCTTTCCTCGTAACCCCCCACCCACCCACCCAGCTCCGAGGCGATCTGCGCGGCACCCCCGCGGACGGCTGCGTCAGTGACGCCGACCTGGTCGCACTTGCTGGCGCATTCGCGGTGCGACTGTGCGGCGGTCCCGACATCGCGGTGCCCATTGGGCGGCCGGTGGCGGCGGGCGCCGACCCGGCGGGTCGCATGCCGGGCGAGACGTTCAGTGCGGAGCAGCTGAAGGCGGCGTTCGCGGACAAGGGGCTGAGCGTGCAGGAGATGGTGGCGCTGTCAGGTGGGTGATGTAGGGGGTGGGTGGATGTAGGGGGGGTGGGAGGCAGCAGGGCGGGGATTAGGGAGGGCTGGATAGTCCGCCATGATTGCATGCACGTCAGGAACACCTTCGACACTCACCTTGCCGGTTTATTTCCCCTTTCCACCCTTTTCCGCCCTTGTAACTCGGCAGCTTCCTGAATAGCATGGCAGCATCCTGCTAGCATTCCGATGTACCCCCTCCCCGCCTCCTTCCATCCCTCCCCGCCCTTCCCCACCCCTCCCCCGTCCCCCTCCCCACCCCCCGCCCAGGCGCCCACACCCTAGGCTCAAAGGGCTTCGGCGACCCAGTCCGCTTCGACAACGAGTACTACACCTCACTGCTGCGCCGCCCCTGGACCAACCCCGACGACCCCATGGCCTCCATGATCGGGCTGCCCTCCGACCACGTGCTGCCGGACGACCCAGACTGCCTGCCGTACATCCGGACCTACGCGGAGGACCAGGACGCCTTCTTCCGTGACTTTGCGGCGGCGTATGTGAAGATGTGTGCGCTGGGGGTGCCGGGCTGGGCGTGAGGAGGTGTGAGGCGGGATAGGGTGGGAGATGGAGATGGTGGAACAACGGGATCGCATTTGGGTGCAAGGCAGTGGGAAGAGGAGGCGCAGCAGGATGGCGGGGTGCTGACGCGAAGATCAGGCTGCGGGCTTACATTAGTCAGATTGCATGGTCATAAGGTTTACTATATGCATGGCAAATTGGCAATATGCGGGGTAAGACGCAGAGTGGTGATTAACAGCATGCAAACGTCACAGCGTACAACGAATGGTTAATCGTGAAGGTGTGTTAGGGACACAAGCAGCGCACCCCATCTCCCTACCCACCGCCTCCCTAGCCCCCAAAGCGCCCCGTCAACGTTAGTGGGACATCTTGCGCTGGTTGGGTGTGCTGGTCCCTCTCTGCGAGCTGCAATTGAAAGCTTCACCTGCCTTCGTTAAGCCTTAGGAGTTTGTAAGGAGTCGAGGATGGGCCGTCACTGCGATGTGGCCATGTGGCCCTTTTGAAGGGCCGTTGGAAGTCGGTGTCAGGAAGTGCCAGCAGGGAGTGACATGAAGTTACCTGGTTCGGCACATTCGTGCTTCAGCAGGTAACGGGTGTGAAGGGTTTGTGCGTTGGCCACAACAATCAATGCGTGTCCGCCTCTCTAGTACTGTAATGTGAGACGCGCTGTCATGCATATTGGTGTTGCTGGAGTTCCCCAATGTGTACCGCAGTACGTACTGGTAGTTCCCGAACAGCGACACCCATACCAACAACACCAACCCAACAGCCAACAAAGCCAGTACAATTCCGCGAAGCTATTGGTCTTAACTAACGCACAAAAGCTCAACTGCTAGCGCCCCAGCTGACAGCGCAACGCAACCCAATGTGAACAGAATGGCGGATTTTAGCACACGTGTGACCCGCGGGTCACCGCGTCACCCTGCCCTGCCCCAGCTGGCCCCGTCTTCTGTCCCAGCGCACACGTGCATGTACCTAGTATGTTAATAACTAGCGTGCCCATGATGCAAGCACGCAGGCTTCTTCCTTGCCTACTCACCCCACGTGGCTCAGCTAGGCTAAGCTCAACTAAACTAAGCTTAACCCACCTCCACCTCCACCACCGTCAACAATCCAAGCCCGGCATTCCAAGGCCTATTCCCACCACATCCCACGCGGCATTACAGTTGCATTCCACCCACCGCCACTATCACCATCATCACCACCACCTCTCTTCCCGCCACCCGCCCCCTCACTGCATGAGTCGGGATATGGGATTGGGACTCGTTGTTTCACTTATTATTTTTTGCCCCCTCACACCGGCCACCTCAGCTCCCTCCACACCCACAGCGGGCAGCCCTCGAACCCCAACAGGTTCGCCAGCAGGGGACCACCGCCGCCGCTACCGGTACTAGCCATACCAGCGCTGCTGCCACCATCACCACCACCACCACCACCAGCACCACCGCCACCACCACCGCCGCTGCCCGCACCGACTGCTGCGTCCGGGGTGCCCGTCCGCGCCCCGGCACCAGCATCTGCACTCCCGCTGCTGTTGTTGCTCAATGGCAGAACAGCGCCACTGGGCTGCCCGTACGGTGGGAGCTCCTCCTCCCATCCCTCATCTCCCTCCTCCGTCCCCTCCCAGTCCGCCTCCTCTTCCTCTTCCCCCTCCACTGGTGGTTGTGGAGCCACCAACCACTCCAAGCGCGATGAAGCCCTGCTGCTGCCACCACTCCTACCCCCCCTGTCAATCACGTCACACTCGTACGGCCAATCGTACACGTACGGCGCCGGCCTCCCGTGCTGCGGCGTGGCAGCGCTGTCGCCACTGCTGTCGTTGCTGACACTGTGGTTGCTGCTGCGGTAGGCAGCGCTGCAGGGCATCTGCTGTGGGGCCTGGGATGGGCCCGCTGGGGGGTCCACAGGCACCCTAGCCGCCCTAGCCGCCTGGGCTGCTGGGCTGGGGTCCACAGCCCGCCGGCAGGCCTGGCCGTTGCACCACACCTGGGGGGGATGGGGCAGCAGCGGCGTTAATTGATTTAGGTGATTGATATTTGGGGTGGATGGAAGGGGGTTGAGAAGCAAGATGACGGATTGGCTTTAGCAGTGAGGGTGCTCCCACGCACATGCACACAGCGCAAGTTGCCAGCTCCCCCCACCCGGCCGCTGCCTGCACGCCCTACCTGGACTCCACCCGACTCCCCCCTCCTGCCGACCAACCCCTCCGCTGCCGCCCCCGCTGCCGCCTCCCCCGCTGCGCCCCTCCCCGCCACCACTGCCCCCGCGGGTGCCTCCCGCCAGCGCCGAGGCAGCGCTCCTGCTCCCGCTCCTCTTGCTCCTGGTCTTGCGGCGGAAGCTGCAGCGCCACCCAAAACACTGCCAGCGGCGCCGTGGCTGCCCCTCCTGTGCCGTACAGCAGTACCGCCTGCAGCAGCAGCAGTAGTACTTGTAGCACCGCCTGCATCAACACTTAGCTGGGGCCTGCTTGCAGCAGCAATACACTTAGTGCCGGCACCTGCAGCCGCAGCAGCACCGGCAGTAGCTGCAGCAGCCCTACTAGCACTAGCAGCAGCACTAGCAGCCGCCACCACCACCGCTGCCTGCTGCGCCGCCAGGTCCAGCAGCCACAGCCGGCGAGCTCCGTCCAGCAGGTAGATGCGGGTGCCGTCGGGGGAGGAGGCGGCGCCGGTGAAGGGGCGGAGGCAGGCGGAGCGGAAGGCGGCGCACAGGCGGCGGTGCTGGCGGCGGCGGTAGGTGGCTGAGGTGGAGGGGGAGGTGGAGGCGGGGGAGGCCTCAGCAGCAGCCGTGCCCTCCCCGTATGCTCCTCCTCCTTCCGGGGGCGCGTAACTGGGAATCTCTTGTTGTTGCCAGGCAGGGCCCATTTGGACCTGCATGGGCGGGTTGAGGGGGGGGGGGCAGGGGGGGCAGGTAGGTGGGGCAGCGAGCACGGTGTGGCGTTTAGGCGCTACCACCGCTTGCCGGCCATCCCTGCCCTCCCTCTACCTCTCTCATGGTCCCTCCCTCCCACGTCCCACGTCCCACTCCTTCTTCCCCCTTCTCCCTCCTTCCTCCCTCCCTCCCTGCCGCCCCCACCTGCAGCTCCGCCACCCTCCTGCCCGCCTCCAGATCCCACACCAGCAGGGGGGGCAGCGAGGGGCAGGAGGGGCAGCAGGAGGAGCAGCAGGAGGAGGCAGGGTAGTGACCCGCACCCCGCCCGCTGCTGCCCGCCCCGCCTGCAGCCCCCGCTGCTGCTGCTGCTGCCGTCCCTGCCCCCGCTGCCATCAGCCCCCCGCCTCCTCCCCCTCCTCCTCCTCCCCCTCCTCCTCCTCCCCCTCCTCCTCCTCCCCCTCCTCCTCCTCCCGCGCCCCCCCGCTGCACCGTCAGCAGCAGCCCCTCCTGCAGCGGACAGAACACCGGGGACACCTGCGGAGGGGGGGGAGGGGTCGAGGGGTTCGAGGGTGGCGAAGGGGGGGGACGAGGGAGGGACGAGGGGCGGGCTGGGAGGCTAGGAGGTGTACGGGTAGGCTGTGGTGTTGCGCGTCACGCTAGAGGAGGGGCCGGAGGGGCCGAACGGCTGACCACGGACAGTGACAGTGAGGAGAAAGAAGGTGCGTCCTCTCAGCTCAGTTGGAAGGGAGCCTCGCGGCCAGTTATTTCAACACGCACTCGCGGCCTCAGGTTTCTAAACACACAAATCTCCAGCGATTCTCTCCTCCCCGATCAAAGCACCCCAACCCCGCCCTACCCCCCACCCCCACCCTCACCTCCGAATGCGCTCACTGCATGAGTCGGGATTCGGGATTGGGACTCCGTTGATGCATTTATCTATATTTTTACCCCCACCCTACCTCGTCCAGCGGCACCCGGGCGGGTCCCGCGGGGTGTGTGAGGGAGCAGCTGAAGGCACGAACACACAGGTCGTACACGTGGTAGCTGGGGGGGGGTCAAATTAGACCAAGTGAAACCATAGGGGAGAAGGATGGGTGGGATGCTTAATAACATACACACGACACGGCAGCCAGTGTCTCGTGCTGGCAGTGCAGGCGAGGCCGTAACAGCTGGGCGTGCTGCCCCCGTTTACATGGCCTCGTGCTAGCAGTGCAGGCATGTGTACCGCCGTGGGTGCTCCAACCCCACCCAACCACCCAACCACCCAAGCCCGCCCACCCCCCGGCCCCCAACCGCCCCCGCGCCTCACGTGTCCGCCTGCGGGGAGTATGTGGCCAGAATGAGCCACCGACCCTGAGGGAAGGAGGAGAGAGGTGGAGGGAGGTGGAGGGAGGTGGAGGGAGGTGGAGGGAGGTGGAGGGAGGTGGAGGGAGGTGGAGGGAGGTGGAGGGAGGTGGAGGGAGGCGGAGGGGAAGGGGTAAGAGGGAGGGAAGAAGAAGGAGGGAGGGGCCAGTTGCGGCCATCCCTACCACACGCTGCCATCCACATCTCCACCCCCTCCCTCCCCTCCTTGCACGCGCCCCTCCTTCCTTGCCATTCTTCTTCACGAAACCCCTCCCCCTCCAACCCCTCCCGCCCATCCCGCCCCACCCGGCCCCTCCTGCCCCCCCTCCCCCCTCATTGGAATTTCTTTTTCCCCCCTCACATTCGCGGTGAGCCTCAGCGCCCGCACGCACTGCATGCTGAGGGAGGCGGGGAAGCGCTGCTGGTCGGGGCGGCCAGCACCCCACCTGGGGGAGGAGGGGGGAGGGGGGAGGGTAAAAGTAGGTAAGGGGGAGGGAAGAGGAGGCGCAGGAAGAGGTGGTGAGGATGCAGGGTAGGACGGGGGGGGCGCAGGAGGCGGAGGAAGAGCCCTTTCATTAAGGTAAAGATACGCGGGCACGCACGCGCGCACCTGTCCTCCATGATCACGTCGTACACGTCCCCCGACTCCGCGTCGTACACCATAAGCGCGTGAACCTGGTGGGGGAGAGTGGAGGCAGGTGTGAGGGGGGAGGAGGGGAGAGGGGGGAGGAGGGGAGATGACCAGGATACACAGGGGGCGAGCCTCCTGGGGCGTGGGTGTACGTTACGGCCCTGAGTGCGGAGGTGCTGCATCGCACGCCGCTTGCGGCGTCGCGGCTCCTCCACCCCTCTCCCCCCTCCCTTCCCCTCCCCCTTCCCCCCTACCTGCGCCACCGCCACCCTGCCTCCCCCCACCGCCACGTAGCGGATGTAGCCGTAGCCGCCCATCAGGTTGGGCAGGTGGAAGAAGTGGCGGATGGAGCGGTCCTGCGGGGGGAGGGGGGGGGGAGGAGGGTAAGGGAGGCGGTACCAGCCATGCGACAAGGCTCCGCCGTGTGTATGTAAGAGGGGTCGGAGGTGAGATGAGCTGAGTGGGGGTGATGGTGGCTTGGGAATCAGGCATGGCCCATGGCATGACACAGTAGACAGTAGCCTACCACCATGTTCCCTCATGCTGCATGAACAACCCTCTTTCTCCCCCCCCCTAACCTGTGGCTTCCTGTGGTATGGTACGGTCTTTGGTCCCCCCCCCCCCCACCTGCAGCTCCCACACGATCAGCCTGTTATCCCAGCCCGCACTGCCCAGCAGCCCCCCCTGCGGGTCCAGCGAGATGTCGCGGACACCCCGGGTGTGGCCTGGGGGGGACGGGAGGAAGGGGGGAGGCGGGGAGGGGGTGGAGAAGAGGAGGAGCGGAGCGGTTGGGGACGCGTGCTCGAGGCGCGCCCTGCGGCCCTCCTTTCCCAATTTTTCCGACGACCCCCATTGCCCGCTCCCTCCCCGCTACCTCCCCCTATGACACGGCAATGCATGGACACATATGACATACGACAGCGGCAGCAGCAGCAGGAGCAGCAGCACGCCGCAAGCGCCTCTCTCCGGGACCGCACCAGCTGCACCCTCAACCCCACTACCTAACCCCCCTCTCCCTCTCCCTCCCCCCCACCCCCCGGCCCCTCCCACCTCCCCCCCACCCCGCAACCCACCCCTCAGTTCCTCCACCCTCCCGCTGCTCAGCTCGTATAACATCAGGTTGTGTTCGTCGCTGTGACTCGCCACCACCAGCACACACTCGCCCGCCCCTCCTCCTTCCCCTCCCTCCCCTCCTCCCTCCCCTCCCCCCTCCCCCGCCCCGCATGCAGGGGCCAGCAGCACCCGAGTGCCGCCCCCGCCCCCGCAGTTGGCGGACAGCGCCGCCGTCACCACGCGGGGGGAGGAGGTGGAGAGTGTGGAGGCGGCAGGGGAGCGAGGTGCGCGGGAGGAGGAAGGCGGAGCAGCAGCTGCAGCTGCTGCTGCCGGTGAAAGCGGTGAAGGCAGGGGAGCTGGAAGAGGCAGCGGAAGCGGAAGCGGCGGAGGCGGTGACGGCGGCGGTTGTACGAAGATCTCCACCCGCCGTACTGCGTGCGCTTTGTGCGTTGGGGCACCACCGCCGCCTGCACCGCTGCTATCCGCCGCAGCTCCCGTCGCCACCACTGCCGTACTCCCCCTGCTGCCGCCCATGCCTCTGCCACCACCCCACCAGGTCCAACTCAGCCCATCCTCCGCACCCCCCTGCCCTCCCCCTTCCTCCTCTCCCTCTCCACCTCCCTTCCTCCTCTCCCTATCCCGCTCCTCCCGCTCCTCCCTCTCCCTCGCCTCCCGCTCCATCTGCTCCCGCTCCGCCTCTATCCCGCCGTACATGAGTTCGTACACCTCATCGTACCAGTCCCCCGGCTGCTGAGCCGCCACCGCGGCGGCCGCACGCACGGAGGGAGCAGCAGCAGCAGCAGCCGCTGCTGGCAAGACCGCCGCCGCGGGGCCTGCGGGGGCTGCGGCCCCTCCTGCCACCTGGACAAGCGAAGGGCCGTTACAGCGGTTCCAAACACGGGCAGCGTTCTTTCAAACGGCACCCCCGCCCTACACTGCAAGCAAGCGAAGGGCGGAGCGGCAGAGCGGCATGCTTTCACCTGCTGGGGTTGCTGGGGCTGCTGAGGCTGCAGGGGTTGCTGCCCCCGCTGCCTCTCTCGGGACGCCACAACAGAGGGACTTGGAGGAGGAGGAGGTGGAGCCGTGGGAGGGGGTGGAGGGGGACCGGTGAGGCGGGTGCGTGCCAGCACCGCCTGGCGCCAGGTGACTCCGGAGGAGAGCAGGGCGGACTGGGTGGAGGGGGGGAGCTGGGGGGGGAGGACAAGGGAGGGGAGGGGAAGAAAGAAGTTCCAATGTGTGGTGTAATAGTGGTACAAATTGCTGACAAGCCCTGTTGGAAACAACCGTAAGGTGAAGGTGAGAATGGAAGCGGGTGATCCCGAGGGGGTGCGGCACTCGAGCGGCAACAAGGCGGGCTAGCGGCTGGGGGAGGCTGCATGAAGGGGGGGGGGCGCTGCATGCTTGTGTGCTGCATGGCCGTGGTGGCGACACTTCTGCCAAACCCGAAAGACCCCTGACTTCCTGACACACGCAGTCAGTGCGCCCCCTCCTACAAGCGCCCCCCCCCCAGTGCCCCACCCTTAGCTCCCCCAGCGCCCGCTGCCGCCACCATTCCTCCCCCAGTGCATCTCCCACCACACCCCGCTGTCGCCGCCGCATGGCAACACCCCCGCCTGCTCCCCCTCCACCTCCGCCTCCGTTACTGCCGCCTCCTTCCCCTCCTGCGGCTGCGGGTGCTGCAGCTGCGACTGCGGGAGCTATTGCGGGCGCTGCAGCTGCTGGTAGTGCCGCGGCAGGCGGTGGTGGTGGTAGTGGCAGTGCTGCTTCAGGCGGTGGGTGTGCGGGCGGCGCCGCCAGCACCTCTCGCGCCCAGCGGCAGCAGGCGGGCAGCGCACCCAGGCAGGCGGCCAGCGGCAGGTGGTCGCACACCTGGGGGGGGGGAAGGGGGAGGTAAAGGGGAGGGGGAAAGGGAGAGGAGTACTAGCAACGGACTGAAGTACACAGCAACGGACTGGGGTATACCTGCATACGGGGGCGACTCCAGAGAAAGGAACATCGCGATGAGCTAGGAGGGGCTGAGCAGCTTGCCCCCACGTCCAGCAATCCCCCCCATACCCCACACACCCACACACCCACCCCACACCTGCAGCAGCACCTCAGCCGGCAGGTCCGACAGCCGGGGACCCCCACCGCCCCCACCTCCCCCACTGCCGCCAGCACCCACGTCCTTGTCGGCGGCAACCGTGTTGACACCAACAGCGGCGGCAGCAGCAGCGGGTGGTGGTCCGGGAGTGGTGGCTACGGTAGCAGCGGGTACAGGTGCAGCAGCAGCAGCTGTGAGCAGGGAGTCCGGCACGGAGGGACCCCGGCCGGGTGTGGGAGGCGGCGCGGGATGCGGTAGTACGGCAGGAGTTGGGGTGGGGGTGGTGGGGGTACCGCCGGCGGCGATGGCGGCCTTTTGGGAAGGGCTGTTGCTATTGCTGCGAGGCCAGGTTTCTGCGGCGGCGCGGTCTGGATGGGGAGGTACGGGGAGTAGGGCCGGTGTCGGGGTCTTCGCCGCTGACGCCGCCGCCGCCGCCCCCGGTGTTGGCGGTGCCGCCGCAGCTGCCGAACGGCGTGGCGGCGGCGTCAGCGGCCAGGCAGGCTGCTGCTGCTGTTGCTGCTGCACCTCCTTCTTCTTGTCTGGGGTACCGGTAACGTCAGCGGGCCCGCCGAGGAGGCTCGAGTGGTTTGCACCGGGCGCCGGCGTGGCCGCGTGTGTGGGTGCTGTAGCCTGCGATACCGGGCCGTGTGCATGCAGCGTTGCGGCAGGTGGGGCCGCACCTGCAGAGCTGGGGCTGCGGCTGCCTCCTCCGCCTGCGGGCTGCTGCTGGGGCTGCTGCATTGCGCTGTTGGCAGCGCTAACCGTGCCGCCTGGCGTGGCTTAAAGGGGAGAGTGTGCGGGAGAGTGTGGCTGTTTTAGAGGCTGGCTGGCTGGCTGGATGGATGGGCTGGCCTTACCAAAGCACGAATACGGGTAGACGTATACGTGTGGTATGTGCGTCACGCCGTTAGTTGCCTCAGTAAGTAGTTAAGGAGGAGTCGCGGATGGCTTTCAATAACAGCGGCAGTCGGGAATCCTGTATTGCTGCTGCTGCTGTTGACGGAGCTAGCTGCTGGGTAGGCTGACTGCATAACTGGAAGCAAAGCCTGCTTGGGAGGCGGATCCGGAAGCCTGGCGTTTGCTTCTTGCCGCGGTCTTGCTAGTCCGATAGCGGAGGGCTGGCTGCCAGACGGACTGGCTTGGACACGCGATTGGTGAGTTCAGTGATGCAATTCTGTGAATGTTAATGCGCTATACACTATGATGTAGTTCAAAAGCAGACCCTGCAAAGAGCAGTCGTCTTTTCTTAATCTTTCTGTCAGAACGCTTCAATGGCGGTGGCCTATAGTTTGCGGGAGTTGTTGACGCACCTTTAAAACTGTGGATACTTATTACCGGGCTATATGGAGGAATGGATGGTACGAAGCGCTACAAGGCCTCCTGTCTTTTCGCGGCTGCACGCATTTTTCGACCCATGGGTCGTACTTCTGCTGCGTCAGCCTTCTGTTGTGGATGATCTCTTACGCAATTCTTTTCTTGCAACGCCCGTCGAGGAACTCCTCGAGAGCTTCACTGCTTCTACAAATAAATATAGCCGAAAATTAGTAGCCTGCCAATTAATACCTAATACAGGATGCGAAGATACATTCTGCCAACATTCCGCCCGGCAACCAATCGTACCTCCGAACTCAAGAGGGGTATGTTTGTTCTCAAGCGGCGATCGGCGCGATGTAAGTGACCTGCCCATGGCCTCTCGGTCGCTACCGCCCTGGCTTTTCATTAGGGTTCTAGCCACGGAATGGAACTCATTGTGGTTGCTTAATATGTTACAGAGGCACAGGCAGCCCATCCGAATGGCGTGGTGACCCACGGGTCATCGTGGGGGCGGCGCAGGAGGCAAGAGGTTCAGTGGAGGCCCAATCTACATCAGCAGCATCAAGAGACCATCATCCTGGTGCGCCTAGGTCACAACCAAAGCAACTTATTCTCGTCAATTCTTCGCAGTCCCCGGCGGAAACAAAATCGGGACGTGCGCAGTGCAATCCTGCACCCCCCTGCCTTCCAGCCACACGGGGTACAACAAGGCACGCACCACTCCGCCTCCCCTGATCCCCTCCCTCGCGCAACACACCCCATCCTGCGGCCTGCACGCTCCTGCAGTCCACCTGCTACCGGGTGCTACCACCTCTCCACAACACGGCTGGCGCCGGCCGCTGCTGCTGCTGCTGACGGCTGCCGTACCGCCTGGCCGCCCTAGTCGTCCTTGGACAGGAACAGCTTCTTAACCTGTGCAGAAAGGAGGTGGGGTGAGAGGGAAGGAGGCGGGTGAGATGAGATATGAGATCAGGACTGAGCGGCTACAGCCCGAGTCTAGGGCTACAGCCATTGGCTGGGTAAGGCACGTAGCCACCTCCCCTGTCCCGCCTACCCCACTTCTGTGCCTTCTTCTTCCACCGCTTTCCCCCACTTTCTTCGTCCCGCCGCTCCCCCCGACTCCGCTCCCCCACCTGCTCCAGCGTGAGGAACATGGTGACGTTCCAGGAGCCCAGCCGACCGAAGTTGGGCGCGAAGCCCTTGTAGAAGGCGGGCAGCCCCTCCTGCCGGGCCGTCTTCACAAAGCAGTCCAGCACACCCGCGTAGCGACCCGCGCTGTCGCCTGCAGGGGGAGGAGGAGGAGGAGGAGGAGGCAGGGCGGGCGGGGAGGGGTTGTGGCAGGGCGGCGGGAAGACAGGGGTTGGGTGGGTGTGGCATGACCCGGTACACTGCCACAGTAGTCAAGGAGGGGTGGGGAAGAGCATGCGGGTGGTGTGGGTGACGTGGTGGCATGCGGCCGCATGCCCCCCCGCTGTCCCCCCCCGCCCCGCTCTCACCCATGATACGCGACTTGACCACATCCACCGGCGAGCCAATGCACACCGCGAAGAAGCCCGCCCCCAGTCCCGACAGCAGGTGGGTGCCCACGTTGTCCTGCAGGCCCATACCCAGCAGCGACTGCTTGATCTGCGGGGGGGGGGGGAGGGGGAGGGGGATGGCGGGGGCGGGAGGGAGGGGTGAGGAGGAAGTGCCTTTGCAGGGCATCCGTGGGTTCAGCAGCAGCAGCAGCAAACACACTTTCACACCCCCTCTGCTGCACACCCACACCCACACACGGTGGGGACATCATCTTCCGGCAATCACAGTACGTTCCTGCTCGCAGCAAACACACTCACCCACCCTCCCACCCACCCCCTCACCTGGTCGTAGCTGGCCAGTTCCGCCGCGTTAATGATGGCGTTGCGCGCCACATTGGGGCCCAGACCCTTCCACAGACCCAGAATACCCTCCTGCCTGGACGAGGTGAGGAGGGGCAAGAGGTAATGCTGGGAGACGTGGGGCGGATCTTCATCCGTCCTACTCCCCATTTCTTTCCAAATGCCCCAACGCCGGTGGGTAGCTTCTGTGTTGAACAACACAGCTCAAAAGAGGCCATGTGGGCCCGGGGGCACGCGTTATGGTGGGTTAGTGTGTTTTGTGGTGTTACCCCTCCCCCGCCCCCCCTCCCCCCGCCCACCTGGCGATGATGCCGTACGCCCCGAACGCGCTGGGGTACTTGCGGGGCACCCCCTCGGGCAGCTTGCCCTCCGCCTGCATGCGGACCTGGGGGGGAGGGGGGAGGAAGGGAGGGCACGGGGGTTGAGGCACAATGGGCGAAGGACTGGCGTGGGAGAGCGGCGGGAGGCCCGAACAGCTGCCTGCAGACCCATGCCGCGCTTCTGCCTTGTCAGGTAACCCTTCCTCTTCCTTCCGTCTTTGGGCTCTCCCTGCCTTCCTCCCTGCTCTGCACTCCCTGCCAACTAGACCCCACCATGGCATCCACTTCCCCTGCCAACCCCATCTTTGTTAACACACGCCAGACGCCACCCACCTTGACCGCCCTCCCAAACCATCCCACCGTCCTCCGTCGGTCTCCTCATATTGTCACCCACCGTCCCACCCTGATCAGACTCGTTACTATACCCACCAACCCACCCCACCTTCCCACCCCGCGGCCAGTTTCCTCCCACCCCCTAGCAACGCCCCCACCTTGACCAGGTCTGTGGGGCTGGCCACTGTGATGCCCAGCGCCCCCGTGGTGAGTGCGGCGGCCACCTTGAGGTGCAGCGGCGGGTCGCCCTTGAAGTCCTTGCCCACGTACATCGACTTGACCTGGGGAGGGGAGAGGAGGGAGGGAGGGAAAAGAGGAGAGGGGAGGAGAGGGGAGGGAGGGGTAAGGAGGACGAGGGGGTAAGGAGGGGAGCGACCAGAGGAGGGGGAGGTGAGGGAGCGGCTGGGGATGAAGGCTGGACGGGAACGCAGGCTGGGTGAGGGAGTGGGTGGCGAGGAAGAAAGGAAGAAAGCAGAGGAGTGGGAGATAAATGAGGTAGGAGGAGAAAGAGGGCTGCTCATGAGGAGCTGTGTGGGCAATGGGGCAGCGGCGAAGGCAGGCGTTATAGCGCCGCTGGGCTAGGAGGGAGGAAGGGAGGGAGGGAGCATGCTGAGATCCCGGGTAAGATGAGGGCAGGTCGTCTCTGTGATGCACATCCCCACCGGATCGTAGAGGCCGATGCGAAGGCCTCCAAATAGGCACTGGCGGTGCAGGCCTGCACACGGGGGCGGATGTAATGTGTTGATACAACTGGTGACGGTTAAATTGTAACAAACAGAGCTGTACAGGATGTTCCTTAGGATAAGGACAGGGTTTCACCTGGTTCAAGACCCTTCCACAGGGCCGAAGGGCCCTCCTCACGAGCTATCGCCAGGACTGTCCCCAGCATGCCCCTGCAAGTAAAAATCCACATATAGATAAGCGCCGCCTTGGAAAGCCACATTGCCACGCCAAGTAGCATCTTCAGCTTACTTGTATTTGTTACCGCCAGCTTGCAATTGCAGCCTGACCTTGGCCGTATCCAGAGGGAGTGTTAGCGCCTGCATTGGAACAAGGGCTGCTTACTCCCAAGGACCATCCCTAGTGAATTCTGCTCTAGATCACTACATATGATCGTTACCTCCGCAGTGCAAGCTGCAATTGCGCTCGACGCAAACATTTGCGGGAGCGGGAGGGATTTCTGCGTCATTTTTCAGCGCTAACAAATAGACTGCTTGTCAACCCGCATACGGGCTGGTATCAACTGCTTACAGCGCACTAATGGGCATAGCTCAGTTGATCGGCGCTCCAGTGTACGACATTCGCAACTCTTGCACGGTTAAAATTTTCCCAAGCAAAACGCCCGAACTCTGAACACACATACGCAGTATTCGTCAATCTACGTAGACTTCAGCCGATGCATAAGAGGACATAGTAGCTAGCACATCGCCCTTGGGCACAACGATTTACGTAACAGAACCATGGCCTCCCAAAGCATCGCTCGATCTCTACTCAAAAACTACCTTAGGTCTGGCGTTCGCCAGTGCAGACTCATCACTACCGTGAGCCGGGGTCGCACCTCGCCTTCCGGAGTTCACGTCGCGCCGGCGGCAGGTACGCAGGTGTCAACCGCTCCTGCCCCCCTTGCTCCAAACCCTGTCTCCCCAAAACCTTGGCTGCAATCACCACAAGTCCCATCCTCCTCTCCACCCACTCATAGCAACCACGCTCCACTCCCCGCGTCACAGGCGGTAGGGCCCTACGCCGCATGTCCTGTCGGGCCGTTGAGGGCGGCAGCGGCGGTGGCGGCGGCAGCGGCGTGGGGGGCAAGACTGTGGGGTCGGGCGGCAGTGGCGAGCCGGGGCGGGGCGGCTCCTCCTCGGGCGGGCTGTGGGCCTGGTACCTTAGCTGCCTGGAGGCCAGCCCGGTGAGGGCAGCCAGCGGGGGGGTGGGGTACAGAGACCATACCAAACCATAGGAGACCAGCGGGGGGGGGTACAGAGACCGCCGAGTGGGGCCAAGGTGGAGGAGCAGCATGCAGGCAGGCAGAACGAACCCCTGACAGCGTGCAGTGCGCACGCCCCGCAAGACCCCCACCCCCGCTGTCCTAATAAAAGAAGCAGTGGTGATGTGGGTTGTCTGTGCTGCTGCAGCTGGCAATGTGACCTGCGGGCGCTGCTGCTGCCCGGCTGCAGAGCTGCCCGTGGCCGCCTGCGCCTGCACCCGCGCCCCTCGCTTGTACAACCACCTTGCTTCCCGCCTCCCCATCGTTCACCTCACCTCACCTCCAAGGCGCCAACTCCCATCTTCCCTCCTGTCCCCGCACAGGCCTTACTATCATGCGGTTAGTTGATTGTTTCCTCCCCTTGTTACCCTTTCCCTCCCCCCCCCTCCCTGCCGCAGCTGCTGACCAAGGCGCTCACCTGTGCGCTGCTGAACGCGCTGGGGGACGTGTTCTGCCAGCTGTTCATTGAGGGGGGGCAGTGGAATGCGAAGCGCACCGCAACCTTCACTTTCATGGTAGGGGGAGGAGAGGGGGAGGAAAGCGAGGGCGGGAATGCCGCAGTAGCTGCTGCTGTTGCTGATGTTGATGATAATGGTGACGATTGTGCTGAGGTGTGGGGGGAAGGCGTTTGCCTGCTGTTTTCGTCACTTGCAGGGCTAAAGGGCACCACCCTTGGCGGGATGGAGGCCGCCTCATGCCACATCCCGTGCGAGTGCGCGGTGCCACCTTACCGCCTTCCCCTTACCCTCTCCCTCCCTCCCACGGAATATGGCATTAGGACTCCGTTGCTTCACTGTAATTTCTCCCCCCCCCCACCCTCCCTCCCCCCCCAGGGTGCAGCGCTGGTGGGCCCTGCGCTGCACTACTGGTACGGGCTGCTGAACAAGCTGGTGGTGGCGCGGGGGGCGGCAGGTGGGGGGGCGGGTGGTGGCGCGGGGGGCGGCAGGTGGGGGGGCGGGTGGTGGCGCGGGGGGCGGCAGGTGGGGGGGCGGGTGGTGGCGCGGGGGGCGGCAGGTGGGGGGGCGGGTGGTGGCGCGGGGGGCGGCAGGTGGGGGGGCGGGTGGTGGCGCGGGGGGCGGCAGGTGGGGGGGCGGGTGGTGGCGCGGGGGGCGGCAGGTGGGGGGGCGGGTGGTGGCGCGGGGGGCGGCAGGTGGGGGGGCGGGTGGTGGCGCGGGGGGCGGCAGGTGGGGCAGGGGGGGTGGTGGCGCGGGGCGCGGCAGGTGGGGGGGCGGGTGGTGGCGCGGGGGGCGGCAGGTGGGGCAGGGGGCGGGTGGGGAGGGAGTGGGCAAATAAGGGTGTACGGCAGGGCTTCCTACTTGAAGGAAGCCAAGTAGGGGACAGGGGAGGCGAGGAGGGGGGCCTCTGCGGACTAGACTGCGGGGCGCTGAGAGCTCCTGGTGCCCCGCCAGGTGCCCGGAACCAACAACGCAGCTTCCTCCTGGCAGCCTGGCCCTCCCTAGTCTTCCCGCGCCTCCTCCCTCCCTCCCTGTCTCCCACACATTGGGTGATCTTCTTTACCTCCCCGCCTCCCTCCCTCCCTCCCCCCTCCCGGCCCCCCCGCCCTCCCGCCCCCAGGCGCCACCATGCAGCTGCTGCTGGACCAGGGCGTGTTCGCACCCGTCTTCCTGGCCACCTTCATCTCCATGCTCTTCACTATTGAGGTGAGGACAGCAAGCAGGTGGCTGGGGGAAGGCTGGTAGGGCGAGGAGGGGGATGCGCTGAGGCAGCTCCGAGGCCTCATGCACGCTTGGTGGGGCTGTCCATGGCGCCTGCACCCCGCCGACCCGCAAACCCCTCCCTCACCCTTACCCTTCAACGCAGGGTTCCTCCTCTTCCCCCCTGCAACTGCAAGTGTAAGCTAGCCCAACCATCCAGCCTAATGCGGTGTATGTTTCCCTCCCCCTTCCGCCTATGCGCAATCCTAAAATCCAGCGTAATGCGGAATCTTCATCCCTATTAATCCCCCTCCCGCCTCCCCCCTCCCCCCCTCCAGGGCAAGCCCGGCCTGATCCGCCCCAAGCTGGAGCAGGACCTGCTGGAGACGGTGAAGGCCAACTGGATCCTGTGGATCCCCGCGCAGTTCATCAACTTCAGATTCGTGCCGCCGCACCTGCAGGTGGGGGGAGGGGGGGGAGGGCAGGGGGCAGGGGCTGCCCAGGCAGGAGATCAGGGACTACGGTAGGGAAGCCTGTTTTCCGGGTTGGCAGGTAGGCGTGTGTGCGGAGGTGTGGGCTGCCATGAGAGATGCGCGAGGATCTGTTTGAAGGGCCGGGGCTCCTGATGCCGATGAGGAAGGCAGCTGCTGGCGCTGGCGCTGCCGTGCGATGCTGTAGCATACTTGACCTACACATACCGGTACCTGCCACCCCCTCTCTTGGCTGGAGGGGGGCGTGAACGTAGCGTTATAGCTTGTGGGCCGCATGCGGGATATAATGTCCTCAGTGATCAAGAGGTCTGTGCAGCGTGTCTGCGACAGCAGCATTTCCAACCCTGATCTGCTATACTTATTCATTCTGTCGCCTCTCACCAAGCAGCCGTGACACTCATAAACACATGCACATAACCTCATCCGCACACCTGTTCGGTCCACATCCCCTTCCCCCGTTACGTGCGTGCCCCACTTTCGTGCCGCCCTCCTTCATTCATCACGCACTTCCCCCCCTGCCCCCCCCCCTTCCAGGTCCTGACGGCCAACGTTGTGGCCCTCGCGTGGAACACCTACATGTCCTATCAGAGCCACAAGGAGGTGGCTGTCCCGGCCGCCGCAAGCAAGTGACCCACGGGTCACTAGAGAGCAGGGCACCCTACGCACACCAGCAGACACCCCCTTCATACACTCGGCTGCGAACATGTAAAACACCAACAGCAGCAGAGAGGGAGGGGTGCCAAGTAGTGCCGTGTTCCCTGTAATAATCTACCGGTATTCGCGACTCGCCTCCCGCCACCATTGCGGTGTGACGGCAAAGTTGCTATCCAGGTGGACATCCTGCGGGACTTCTGCCGCTCCTGCACCTAGCTGCCCGCCATCCTAGCGTCTATCTACTTAATTGTGCTATTCAGGAGGGGCACAACGCAGCTTAACAGCACTCCTTCCCGCACAACGTACTTGCGTAGTGATGTGCTTATTATGGTACGCCTGCAAGATGTTGCCGCAAAAGCCGCTGAACGACGCCCCGTCACACCCGGTAATGCAATGCGACCCATGGGTCATCTGGATTGAGTTTGGGATGCCTCCGCGTGTGGGCTGTGCCGCTAAGCGGGCTGCAATGGCACGGAGCACCAGAGCCAGTTCCCGGGCGGAGATGCGTCTGATGTGTGTACGACTGTTCACAGCAGGGTTCCCGTGATGTCTTTTTGCGTGTTGCGCCCCTGCGTGCTACTTGGTGCTGCGTACTACTCGATGTACTCGGCCTTTTCATCGAGACCGTTCTGGAGGGGGAAGGCGGGTGAGAGGGCACGGGTGAGAGGTGAGGAGGGGCGTTGTGAATGTAAGGGGACAGGGATCCGAGTTACCGGTAGCACCAGGGTGAGCGACAAGGTGGTCATGTGAAGGCAGTGTGCCCAGGCTCATGTCATAATCGCGTTGTCGTACGCATGGTGACATGTGCTTGCATGCAGCAGCAGCCTAACTGCTAAGACCTGGTGCTCGGAGTTGCGATTGGCTGTGCCTAAACGCGACGAGGGCGCAGTGCCGCTGGAAAGCAGAAGAAGAAGTGTCCGACGTGGCACACGCGGGTAGACCGCACTAGCGCTTTCCAGGCTAGTTCTGTACCCGGGTACCCTGCCGCCCCCCCTTGTGCACAACTTAGACCGATGTGGGGGCAACGGCGGCTGTGTAAAGGCGGCTGTGTAAGCATGTCACTGCGGGGACGACGGCTGCGCTACCCCACCACTTGACCCAGTCTCATGCCCAACCCCCTCCTTCCCCCCTCCTCGCCTCCTCCACACCTCCTCGAAGAACTTGGCCAGCTCCGCCTCCCGCCCCGCGAACTTCTTCTTGCACCAAGACAGCAGCGAGTAGGTGTTGTCTGGGGGCAGGGGGGAGGGGGGGCAGCAGCAGCAGCAGGGCGGGGCCAGGTGAAGAGAGGAGGTTGGTCTTGTGCGTGTCTAATGGATCGCCGCCGCGCGTCACCCACAACCACCACACCGTGCAACGCCCTGCATGCGGACTCGTGAGAGCCAGCCCCGGGCGCACAGCACGACATCCCCTGCGGCATGCGGGTGCGAGTGCTACTAGCTGGCTGCGGGTAGCGCCGCCATGCGTCATGTGCCACCCACCAGCACCCCTGGTGTGGGGGAGGGGCCACTCACCCAGCCAGCGGTTGGCTGCCAGCTTGGCCGCCTCCGCCGCGTTGCCTGCACAAGGAGGGGCGGCGTGTAGGAGGTGACGGGAGGAGGTTGGAGGAAACCAGCCATGTGGCATCAAGTAGGCTCCAGCATGGGGGGTTGCATCACATCTGGTAGCCGACCCCTCCAGTCATGCAGGAGGTGGGGGTAGGGTGTGCAGCAGGAGCCGCACAACGCAGCTCACCCGCCAGTCACCGAGCAAGATGCAATACCGGTACTGACAGAAGCGGCTACTGACACGCACGACAGCCACGGCAGTGTTGTAACAAACACAGCGGCAACCCAAGCCGCCGCCGCCGCAGCAAACCAGCTACATTAGGGTGGCGCCCCGCACCCGCACCCAGCACCCCCCGCACACACTCACGCATCGCCTCCACCGTCTCCGGGTCGCTGTCGCGGTAGGCGGCCAGCTCGGTCTGTACGGCAGCCGCCCGGGCCTTGAGCGCGTTGAGGGCGGCCAGGGACTGGGCCCGGGACTCCTGGGGGGGCCAGGGAGGGAGGGAGGGAGGGAAAACAATAAGGGAGGGAGGAGTGAGAGGGGTGAGAGGGGCAGGAGAGGTGTACGCGCTCAGACAGGAGTCCCCACAGCTGAATCTGAATACAGGTGTATGATAGGGGTAGCTCTGCATCTGTAACCAAAGTCTTTCCATTCACAGTGCAAACAACACACAGTGCACAGACAAGCCAGGAAGGCCTGAGGCGGCACCTCCGGAGTTCCCCACGGGAGGCGCCTCGCACACCCCACCAGCTATTGCCGCACCGCCAGCAGGACTACCACCCAGCCCCTCCCGCGCTGCCCCACCATCCAGCCTCGTCATCCAGTTCGTTAGTTTTCCTATTTTTACCCCGCGCTGCCCCACCGTGTTGGGGTTGGCCGCCTTGTGTTGCGCCAGGGCCGCCTCCACCTCGGCTCGCCGCCGCTGCAACGCCGCAAGATCACCCTCCTGCTTGCGCACCTCGGTCTCGAGCTGCGGGCGGGGGGCGGGGGGGGGACCAGCGGTGGCGCGGGCGGGAGTGGGCTGGGGTGACGCGAGGCGAGGCGAGGTGAGGAGGAGGAGGGGCATGGATGAAGCGGGGTGGAGTGATCACCCCTCTCACGGGCACAGCCTCTCTGTTCGTTAAGCCCCCCTTGGACTCCCCCACCTTGACGCTGGCCTCCGAGGGAAAGGCCCAGTAGTAGTTGCTGTGTGGAGGGCGGGGGTTTGGGGAGGCAGGGATGGGGCGGGAGGGAGGGGGAGGCAGGGATGGGGCGTGCAGGAGGAGGGTGCCTACGGTGACACAGGCGTTGCTTCATGCTATGTTGCCCCTCGCTGGACGAGTAGCTTGCTCAGCAGGGTATTCATGTTGGTATTTCCATGACAGCCGCTGGGCAAGCCTTCGGCGATTTTTAGTCCATTCGACTCCGGCAGCCAGCGCCAGGACACCCACCTGATGCCAATCTTTTCGCAGTGTACCAAGTCGTCGTCTATGAGCGTCTACAAAGAGGAAGGAACAAAGAGAAAGGAACAATGAGGAGGAGGGGCCGCGTGGGCACGCGAGAACTCATTCCAAGCATTGAAAGGAACGCAAGTACCGTGGGCTTTAATTCACCGCGGTTAAACAAATGGCTACTGTTCACAACCTTGACGGCCTTAAGGGGTCGTTCCTTGCAACGTGAAAGGCTGCGGCTTTACTACCCTCCCGTTCGGCACCATGCAACATACAAGGTTAGGCAAGCACATACTTGCCTGCAGCACATCTTTTACTGCTTGCGCAATGATGCCCTTCTTTATAGATAGCCTGGAGAGGGGTCACATGGAAAAGAAAGGAATTATGAGGAGGGTCGTTGCGTATATAGACGGTTAATGGCTGTTCGACCCCTATTGCCGAAGGTAGCCTCGAAGTGCTATCACCCACTTTTCTACATCCTTTATGACAAAAACGTCGGCGGATTCGTGAAAGATTTCTAGCATCCTGTCCCTCTTGTCAGCCGCGGATAGACCCTTCTTCGGTGGCATCTTGGCTTAACGTAGGTCAACGGTGGAGAGCAGTAATGAATTGTATGTCTAATAAGACCGTCACACTCACAAACTCTGCGGAAGCACGAGAGCTGATCTGACTTAATGCTTCCCGCCTTTTGTACAGCAATTGTCATCGGCGACCCCAGACCAGCTCACGACGCTGTTGCCTTTTGCGAAACTACTATACTGCCAAATGTATTTTATCAATAGCAACGTGCAGATGCCCTAACATACCCTCCTGCGCCGGCAACCTTGGTGTGCCTTATTGAGCACACACGAAAAATGTCGTCACACGAACATGTAGTTGATCTTAGGGATGCTGTGGCCCTTGACACTGACGCCGCCGGGACCATGTAAGGCATAGGCTTGGGCCAACCCAGCAATTGTTCGATTGAGTAGCCGCTAAGCTGTACACCTGTCTGCCTTCAGATATGCGCTGATCCGTAATGATGAGGGGGATTTAAGAATTGTGCTACTAGATGGACGCCAGGAGGTGTTGGAAGCCCAGCAGCGCCAGGTTGGCAAAAGCGCTGCAAGTCCTATAGCCAAAGCACCCTTTGCAGATGGTCCCCCTTGTAATTATATACAGGGTTCATTACACGAGCCCGTGCGCATAAGTGGGCCTTCCGCGACACAAATCGTCCGGACCCATCCTGCCATCGACTTCGATGTGCGCGGCTTGCAAGTCGCACCCAGCGGACGCTACCTGCTGCTGCATGGCTACTCCTACCAGGTGGGACTGGCTGGGTCCGGCGTCTAGCACCAGCGCACACAGCCCAGCAGGATCCAGTCCCCTTGCTCCTCATACCGTAAGAGGCGCTTTCCCACCCTAGAACAAGGCCTGCCACCCCCCGTTGCACCTTTGTCCTGTGCCTTCATATTCCCTTTCCCCCATTTTTCCTTCTCCGCCCTCAACCACCCTGCCGGCTCCTTCCCCCTCCATCCCCCCCCCCTCCGCCCCCCTCCCAGGACTCCTCCGTGGTGTCCCTGGCGGTGGTGGACCTGCACGGCGGCCAGCCGCTGCCCGCAGCAACCCCACCCCACCACCACCACCCCACCCCCGGGGGACCAGCAGCAGCAGCAGCAGCAGCGGCAGCAGCGCGGGGCACCCCGGCACGTGGCGGCACTGCGGGTGCTGGGGGTGCTGGGGGTGCAGGTGCGGGTCCCCGCCCCAAGCAGTGCCGGCTGCACCCGGTGGACCCTGAGCTCTTCAGCAGCCGACCGGGGCTGCTGCTGTACCAGGTGGGGGGCGGGAGGGGGAGAGGGAGGAAAACGTTGAGCAGCCGGCGCATGGCGTCCACCTCCTCCTGTGGGGGGAACCACAGGTTGGGGCAAAGCAATGGGGATAGGAAGCGGCAAGTGGGAGGGAGGGAGGGGGTGACTGGGTCACGGGAGCAAAGGCTAATGGATAGGAACGCTAGCGAGTCTCCTTACAAAGGGAAAACAGATGAGACTCCCCCCCCACCCTGCACTCCCCATACCCTCCCCCCCCCCGCCCCTCAGGCCTCCTGGCACCCGCACAGCGAGGAGCACCTGGTGCTGCTCACCTCGGACAGCCGCCTGCGCCTCTACCACGTCACTCACAGCCTGGCGGGGGCGGAGCAGACGCTGCAGGTGCTGCCCACACCCGCAGCGGCGCCGCAGAGGTACGGACTGGCGGCTGCTGCTGCTGCTTCCACGCCAGGAGGTGGCGGAGCAGGCGCCGCCTCCCCCTCGCCATCACCCCTACCAGGCGGCGCAACCCCAGGCGCTGCCGCAGCCACCACTCCAGGCGTGTTGTCTCCGGATTTTGTGGCGTTTGCGTTCGGTCCGGCGGTGGGGTGGGGTCAGTTCAGTCTGGTACTGCTGGGAGCGGACGGCCACGTGTTCTCGCTGGGGCCTGTGGCGCCGTTTGGGATGCGGTGCTCGGGGGCGCTGCTGGAGCGGCTGGGGCGGGAGGAGGCGGCGGCGGGGGAGTGGCTGCGGGCGGCGTTTGGGGAGGAGGCGGCGAGCAACCCGGGGAGCAGGAGCCGCTGGCCGGGTAAGGGGTGGTGGGAGGGAGGGGGTGGGGCAAGGGGAGAAGGAGTGGGAGTCGTAGGGGGCGGTGGTGAACAGTGAGAGCCTGCAGGCACGAGGAGAAGATCAGCATCCCGTTGCCTGTCGTGGAACAGAAACCCCAACCCACCTTACCTCCCCCTCCCACCCCCGCAGTCCTCCCCCACGTGGTGGAGGGCGTCTCCCCCGCCCTGCTGGGCCCCCTCAACCCCCGGCCCCGACAGGAGCTGCCCCTCACCGCCCGCGCTGTGGCGCTGGGCATCGCACACACCCTCACCCTCGCACCCGCCTCCTCCTCCTTCGCCACCTCCACTGCCACTACCACCACACCCGGCGGCCCCTCCTCCGCGTCCTCCGCCTCCTCGGCACTGCCGCAGCTCTCCAGTGTGAGCACGGCGGTGGTGGCCTTTGCGGATGGGCGCCTGCTGGCCTATGCGGTAGCCGGGCCCTGGGCGCCCGCCTGGTGCGACAGCGCGCCGCAGTACATGACACGCATGGGGGCGGTGGGGGGAGGGGGAGCAGGAGGAGGGGGTGCAGCGCCGGCGGCTGTGCGGTACCGCTGCACGCTGCGGACGGCAGCAGCAGCAGGAGGGGGATTGGAGAGCGAGGCGGGAGGCGGGGGGTGGAGCACGCCGGCGGGAGGGGCAGGGTTGGGAGGAGCGGCGGCGACGGCGGCAGGGGGTGTTGGGTTGGTTGTGACTCCGCGCATGGTGTTGTTGGATGTTGTGGAGTTGCCGGCGGCGGTGTCGGCTAGGGGTGGAGCGGGCGGCGGCAGCAGCGGAGGCAGGCGGGGAGGGACGACGCCGGGAGTGGGAACCGGGGGACGGCTGGGGTTGGGGGTGGGGGTGGGCGTCCTTAGCAGCGATGAAGAGGAGGAGGATTACGATGAGGATGAGGAGGATGGCGGTGACGGAGCCGGGGGTTTGGGTTTCGGAGCGACAACCTCGGTAGTCGCCGCGGCGCGGCGGCTCACGTCGCTTCACGTGCAGGCGGGTACGGCGGGTACGGCAGTGACCGGCGCCGGTCTCCTGGGAGGTGCTGGCGGCGGCGGCGGGGGTGGTGCTGAAGGAGGTGGCGGCGGCGGAGGAGCGGTGACGGTGTGGGTGAGTCACCGGCAGGCGGGTTGCTGGCGTGTCACACTTCCCTGGAGCGCCTTGCTGCCCCGCTGGCTGGGAGGCGGCGGTGGCGGAGGTGGAAGCAGTACGGCAGAGCCGCTGCCTTCGGAGCTGCCTGCGCCGCTGGTGAGCTGTGTGTACGACGTGGCGGGTGCGGCTCGGGGCTCCATGACGCCGGCGGCTGCGGCCACTGCTGCGGGGGACGCTGCTGCGGTGGGGAGCTGCCTGCTGGCGAACCCGCTGCTGGGCGGGGGGCTGCTGGTGCTGAGCGCGGCAGGTGGGGTGCGGGGTGGGTGCGGAGGGCTGTTGCGCAGGAAGGACGAAGGAAGGGGGAGCTCCTGCGCTCGTATCATGCTCATGCGCAGCCAACACCTTGCTTGCTCGGCATGTTTTGCGGCAATATGAAGCCTGGAACCTCCTCACCTCCCCCCGCCCCCACCCCCCGCAGGCTCTCTGCACTACTTCCAGCCAGCCGGCGCCGCCGCCCTGCTGCTGCAGCAGCGCCAGCAGCAGCAGCAGGCCGCTTCCTCCCCCGGCCCAGCCGGCACCGCTGCTGCTGCCGGGATGATGACGCCCGGCGGTGCTGCCGGAGGAGCAGGAAGCGGTGTGGCTGCTCCCCCTCCCCCGCTGCCCAGCCCCGAGGCCCGCAGCTCCCAGGTGGAGGCGCACATTCGGGCGGTGTACGGCAGCCTGGTGGTGCCGCCGCCGGACCGCAGCCTGCCCAAGCCGCCGGCAGGTGGGGGGGGTCGAAGACCATACCAGAACATAGGAAACCACAGGTTTAGGGGAGGAAGGTGGAAGGACGGGTGGTGTGCGACTACGTGTGGTACATTCTGGTGCCCATGCGACCTTTTACGGCTGAGGGACCTGTCGTCATCCAAAGGACACACAGCTACGCCTCCTGTTCCTTCTTGTTCGCCTTTTAACCTACTCCCTCTGACCCTCTCGCCGTCTCCACCCCAAAGGCGCACCCACCCCGCTTACCGTGGCCAGTCCCGAGGGTCTGCGCCACCTGACCGCCTGCATCTCCGCGCTCCGCAGCACCCAGCTCTCCTTCCTCACGGGGGCGCATGTGGAGCTGGCGGAGCGGGCGGCGGCGCTGCGGGGCGAGGCGGGCAAGCACGCGGCGGCGGTGGCGGAGCTGGGCGGGCAGGCGGCGGCGCTGGAGGGGCGGCAGGCGGGGCTGGAGGCGAGGTTGAGCCGTCTGACGCTGCTGCACAACAACCTGGTGGAGCGGGCAGGTGGGGAGGGGAGGCAAACTGAGCCGCAGGGAGGGGGTAGAGACGGAGGCAGGGCGTGTGGCGAGGCTCCACTGTGGGTTGCAGCGGGTGGACGGGGGGAGGGGCGAGGGCGGGTTCGGAAGAGCGTGGGGGAGGCCTCATCCGGGTTTACAGGGTCGTCTCAACACTCCTCATCATCTCACCACCTCTTCCGCCAAATCCCTCCCTCCCGCTACCCCACCTCCCTCTGCCTCCCTCTCTCTCTCCCGCTACCCCCCCCCTCTCCGCCCTGCCCCAGGCATGCTAGCGAGCCTGCACTGGTCGCTGCCCCGCGCCCTCTCCCGCGCCGAGCTGGCAGCGCGCGAGGAGCTGGGCGGGCTGGAGGCGCGCGCCGCCTCGCTGCAAGCGCAGTGGCAGGCGCTGGCGGGGCGGGCGAGGCGGCTGTGTGAGGAGCGGCGCGCGGGGGCGGGGCAGGGGGTGGCGCGGGGTGCTGTGGGGGTGCGAGTTAGCAGTGTGCCGCCTGCTCAGCTGGAGAAGGTAAGGAGCGGGTGTTTGGGGGGGGGGTGGAAGAGCGGGGGTGCGGCGGTGCGGCTGTATTTGGATTGCGTAGGCCCGATGGCAAATCACAAGTGTAGCCCCGTTCACAAGGTCGTTGCGGCCACGCGGCCATGCCAGGAAGGGGCTCGCATGTCTTTCTTAGTTCCTCTTGCCTAAGCTCCCCTATCTGTCCTGCCTGCGACCTCTCCTGCCTCCCGCCTCGCTCCCCGGACCCCCCCACTATCACACAACACATTGGATATTCTTCTTTCTTTCCCCCCAGGTTCACGACGCAGTTGTAGGGCAGTACCGCGGCCTCTCCGCCGCGCGCGCCGCCCTCTCCTCCCTGGAGCAGCAGGTGGGGCGGGCGGCGGCGGAGCGGACTGCGGAGCAGCTGGAGAGGGGGCTGGGGCTGGGGGGCGGGGCGGGAGGGGCCGGGCTGACGTCGCCGGGGCTGGGATTGGGACTGGGGGCCAGGATGGCGGCATGAGGGCATGAGGCTTGCGAGAGTGCTGGGAAGTTGGGGGTGAGGGAGTTAGCAGGGGACTAGATTGGCGGGGTTTGGGTGCCTTTGAAGATCCAGTTTCGTTCTTATTGGAATTGGAATCAAGGGACACCAGGAAAAGGAAATGTGCAGGGTGTGGACTGTGGCCTCAATGCGCCGGCGGAACTGTGTGTTTCCTTGTGTGTGGGGGGAGAGAGCTGACTGCTGACGTTGGCGGTGTTGCTGGGTGTCGTACATGACGTGGCTAGGGTAGGGCTGTAGGCACCTGCACATGCAACTCGCAGGAAGGGTGGCTGGGGCAGGCAGCGTCGTGGTCCCGCTGTACATGAATCGGACGTGAGAAAACCTTTTCGGAGGTTTGGCGCATGGACTGTTACAGCTCGCAGGAGAGAGAGCAGTGGACGCCGCTCTCTTCCCACGTGGCTTCAGCAGCCATGATCAGCGGGGGCCCTGTAGCCTGCTGCGCATTGCAGCCTACAAACTATAGGAGCGGATAAACGTCAGAGCAGTCGTAGTGCGACCCATGAATCTGCTGATAGCAATACCGGTATCAATCGTTCGCAAGGTAGTCTATTATTGCACTACAACGCGCTCCTTGATCAGAAGAAAGTAACAAAGAGCGCCAGAAGTCCCGCTCGGACGCATTCGAACGATAACCACATGAATCTACAGCCCTTTACTAACACATATCGTACATCTACAGCAGCACTACCGGTATGAGGGAAGGAGATCTCAATCCAGCCATACCAATTGGGCGTCAAGCGCAGTAACTACAGCCCTTTCCTAACACTGGACATTAAAGACGCGCCTTGTCGGATCTCACGGCCTACACAGGACAAGGACCCGCCCTCTTCTAGTAACCTCCACGACGCCCTCAAGCGGGCCTGCACTGCACTGCTCTGCACGCAGGGCAACGTTGCGTCGCAACGGCGCTAGCTACCCCTCTCTTGCAAGGCCCTCAGGACTAAAGATAATATCCTGTGATGGGCGCCTACAGCGCCCCTCCACAGCTACGTCACGCGTATCGCTCGCAGCCTCATGCCTTAAGTCGTTACTATACGGCCGAACTATACCGACCAGCACAAATCGTCATGCCTTGAGTCAACGGCGATGACAACCCCTCCTCTAAAGATCCCCCCAAGAGTGACATACCGGTACAGAGTGTGAAGAACACAAAAGGAGGCAACGGCTCCGGCGCCTATCCGGTGAAACGACCTAACCCCCGCAACGCAACCCCTTCGAATCCGCTTAACACCTACCCAAAGGCGGCAATATTCCCATGACCACCCATTCAAGCCCCCACCACCACACCCCTCCCCTCCCTCCGCTGCTCAGCTGCCCGGCTTCTCCACATGCAGGCTCTCGCTGATGCTACGCACCAGCCCCGCCATCCACGCCACATCCTCCGCCACCAGGCAGTTCTTGGGCGTCAACTGCATGTGTGTCTCCCCGCCTGCACCCCCACCCAGGCTACCCCCCCCACCCGCTCCTCCGCCACTGCCGCCATTGCTAGACCGCCGCCGCTGATCGCACGTCTCCACCTGTAACGGCACCTGCCTCGCTGCCACCGGTACCCCACCCACCAGGCTCGATCCCACACGGCTGCCTGACCCTCCCGCACTCCCAACCCCACTGCTCGGTCCGCCGCCGTCCGTCTCCACCCTCGGCCGCCTGGCCAGCTGCACCCCACCGCCCACAGCCGACTGGCGAGGCGACGCAGACGGCGACAGACCCGCCGGTGTGAAGCCCTCCGTGGGGCTGCTGCCGGCCTCCTCCGGGGAGGCCGAGGCGGAGCCCTGCCGCAGTTCCGCGCCCCGCGGCCCCGTCATCAGCGCATGCAGCTGCACCAGGCTGCCGTACAGCGCGTCCGTCTGCGTGGCTAGCTCCGCCGCGTCACCCGCCGCCAGCTGACCCGAGGCAGCCAGGGCGGCGAGGGCGGAGCTGACGGCCTGCATCTGGGTCTGGGCGAAGCCGCCGGTGCGGCGGCCTGAAGGGGCCGGGTGGGGGGGAGGTTAGGGAGGGTGGGAAGGAGGGTCAAGAAGATGAGGATGAGATGTAGTGGAGCGAGCACGGCAGGGAAGACGACGCAAAACCCTGCAAACACTGCAGGCATCCGCATGCAGTACTGCGGGTGCGGACACGTCAGGCGGTACAATCCCTGATTCCACGCCGCACCGCGACGTGTCGTTAGACAACCTTTGCGCACAACACACCCCAACAGCAGGCCTGCCGGCCAGCTCGCCATGTCCCGCTCCGGCTCCAGAGTCCCGCCCCTCCCCTCCCCACCAGCTTTGCCCTAGCATGCACGGCACCAAGCGGCTTGGTACCCTCTCTGACCCCTACCACCACCACCGCCCCCCTCACTCACGCGGCGTCATGGTCTCCCCCAGCAGCACTGTGTCCTCCTCCTCGCCCGCACCGCCCTGCGGCCCCGGCCCCAGCCCCGCACCACTCCCCCGCGGCAGCTGCTGCAACTGCAACTCCTGCTGCTGATCCCTCTCCATCTGCAGCTGCCTCTCCCGCTCCTGCCTCTCCCGCAGCAGCTGCAGCCCAGTCGCGCCGCCGCCGGAGCTCCCCCCTCCCCCGCCTCCACCCCCTCCTCCACTCCCCTCCGTCCATGCATGCCGGTCCCCCCACGCCTTCGCCGTTCCTGCTGGCGCCCCGGGCTCAATCGCCCACACGCGCGACTCCTCGCCTCCCGCCTCTAGCCCTCCGCCGGCCGCCCCCGCCGCGTCCTCCTCCTCCTCCTCCCCGCACAACTCCGCCGCCCCCAGCCGGGCTAGGTACTCCAGGTCACTCTGCCGCAGTCCGTCCAGCATGAGGCTACTGGAGCCCAGGCGCTGCTGCTGGGACTGCCGCCCCGCGCCGCAGCCAGGGGAAGCCAGGAGGTGGCCGCTGGGGTCCTCATGCAGGTGCGGGTGCAGGTCGTTGCGGTGGTCGTGGTGGTGGTGGTGGTGGGCCTGCTGCTGCTGCTCGGAGCCGACTAGTGGCAGGGAGGCGAGCAGCTCGGGGTGGCGAGCGGGGGAGGTGGTGGAGGTGCCGGCGGCAGCAGCCGACTGGGTTGCCGGTTGATGATGGCGCGAGTGCCCCGCACCAGCAGCAGCTGCAGCAACACCGGGGTGTTGCTGCTGCTGCTGGTGTTGGCTGCGGCTCATCTCCTGGATCTTGAGCTGCACCAGCCCGTTCAGCGCGTTCACCGAGTACCGCAGCAGTGCCACGTCAGGCAGCTCCTCCCCCGCATCACCCCCCAAACCCTCCTCGCCATGAACCGCACCGCAGCCGGCGGGAACCACGCCGCCCTCCTCGTCCGAGCCCTCGTACGCCTCAAACGCGTCATCCGCATACGGGTCCTCCTCCTCTTCCTCATCTTCCTCAGCCCCTCCCGCACCGTCGCCGTAATCCGCAGCGTGACGGGAGGCATGCCGCAGCCCGCGTATGCCCTCGCCCGGCCTCGCCGCAATGGACGCCGCCACACCCGTGGTAGAGCGAGGCGGCATGCCTGGGGGCAGTCGTCGCGTGCTAGCGCCCGTAGCACAACCTGCGCTTCCGCCGCTGCTACCGCCGCCTCCGCCAGCATTCACGCTACCAGCCATGAGGGTCGCACGACTCATGGAGGCGAGTGACTGCATGGCGGCGGCTGCTGTGCCCTCAGCCCATGCAACACCCGGGGTACCCCCAGCAACCCCGCCCGCACCTCCGCTGCTGCGGCTGCCGCCAGGGTGGTGCTGCCCCCGTTGCCGCTGCCCTGCTGCTGCGTACGCACCCTCATTCACGTCATGTGAAGAGTGATCATACTCCGCATCTCCTGAGCCCGCACCCGCAGGGCCGCAAGGCCCGCGTCCAGCGGCCCACACGGACATGGTGGTGACGCCGCCGCTCTCGTCATTGCGACCCATGGGTCCCTGCTGCCGGTAGCCGGGCGCATGCGGCCCCAGCCGGGCTGCCGCCTCCTGGGCTGCCGGTGCATGCGGGTTGAGGGCCGCTATGGCGGACACCGTGGAACGCTCCAACACGCCGCTGGAGTCGCCCGCGGCGGCGCAGGCGCCCGCAGGAGGCAGGCCGCCCAGGCCGGCGAAGCCCCGGAGGCCGCTGGCGCCGTAGCGACTGCTGGCCTGCCGCGGTGTCACGCCGTGCGCACCGGGGCTGGCTGCGGAGGGCGAGGGCAGCAGCACGACTCTCTCGCCTGGGGGAAGGGCAGCGCGGGGAGCAGGGCGCCGGGCACAGGGTCACAACGACTACCGAGTTGGAAGCATGCAAGAGTACCTAACCCGAGTCCCGAGCGGCCCGAGCCCGTGAATTCGGGAAGTCTCCCGCAGTCCTATGTGCCCTGCTGTGTTACGCCTTCCTGAGGTCCCAGGCCCCCTTCCACACCACCCACCCACCTGCTGTCTGCAGGTTGCCGGTCTGCCGCATGGTCGCCACCGAGGTGCCGCCCACCTCGATGGCCAGGCCGGCGGAGGCGGTGCGGGTGGTGCGAGTGGGGGTGCCGGTGCAGCGGGGCGGGGGGCCCACGGGGGCGCGGCGGCCGCTGTTGGAGGGGCTGCCGGCCGCACCGGGGGTGGCCCGACCTGGGGTTGCGACAGCGGGGAGCATGGAAGCACGTTAGGCATGGATGTATGGAGGTTAGCACGTGGTAAGCTTCAGAGCGCTATACCACCAGGCATGTAGAGGCGGAGCGGCATTGCAGTCCCGGTTTCCGGCACAGATGTTGCAACGCTGTTGGGAGTGCATGTGTATGCCAGTTTCCAAGGGAGGTGGAGTGTTGTCAGGGCGACTCACCAGGCGCTCCGCCGCGAGGGGCTCCACCGCCGCTGACGCCACCACTCAGGCCGCCTCCGCCGCTCACCCCGCCACTCACGCCTCCGCCGCTGCCATTCCCACCGCCGCCGCTCCCAGCCCCACCCCGGCTTACGCCTCGGCTCCCACCCCCGCTGCCGCCACCGCCGCCTCCGCTACCACCACCGCCGGTAGCCCCAGCCGCCGCCCCCACGGGCCGCTCCGACCAGTCAGAGCCCGAGCCCCCCGACGGCGCGTTCCAATCGCTGTTCCAAGCGGGTCGCCGCCCGCCCGCCCCGCGGGTAGACAGGGGCAGGGGGGGCTTGGAGGGCGTGCCCGCCTTGCCGCTGGCCGTCCGGACTGCAGCGACGCGGCGCATGAGCGGCATGCCCATGATCTCCTGGATGCGGTTATAGATGAGGCCTGCAGGGGCGGTGAGGAGGAGGGGCGGACGTGGGTCGGGGCCGTGGTACGTGCCGTACACGCTTGAGACGTACACGCTGTACATGCAGAGGAAGGGATAGTGTGCGTGGAAAATAAGTATGGAATTGTTGGCTATGCAAGGATGAGGAATTAGAGGAGAGAGGGTGGGCCGTGCGGATACAAGGACGAGGTCAAGGTTTGTGCCCAGGCCCTGCCAGGCGTCGTTAAAGACCGAGGAGCGTTGGAACCAGCAATACATAGCCCTTATAAGATGTCGCAATCCTTTACCGTCGATATCTTGAAGGTCCACTAAAGGTCCACTCAACGGTTCACGACCATTGTTTGATGCCTTCCTAAGTAGACGTGCGTTATTCTCCGCTGCATATGGGGATGGCTTCTTTGGTTTCGAGGGACGTGAAGCACCTGCAATGCAATTATATTACACTTCAAAAAGGAGTAGGAAAGGAGACCCGGGGCCGCGTAGTCCACTGTAAAACGCCGCGTACCACGCGCTTCTGGTGGTAGAGTAGACTTAGCCCCCTGGATCATCTTCTCCATTCTCGCTCGCCTCTGATCCTCCTCCCTGGATAGCGGTCATAGTCGGGCTCTGTCAAGCTGCTAGCTTGCAACGGCAATGCAGCCCTAGGAATTCTGCTCCTATGCTCAACACCATACTCTTATTTACCATTTGTTGACGGCAGGATTCACGTGGTATTGACCCTTCTTCATGTTCGGGTTCTCTAGCGCAGGTCTCGTCTAGGGCCTGACTTCACATAGGCAAGGCAATAGGCAACACACAGGGTAAACGTCATGGAGACCCTAAACTTGAGGTCATATGTTTGCAAGCCGAAAGCAAGGAGGGCTACGATTGGCAACTTGCAGTAGTCCCGTACGCCGTTGGTGTGACATGAGGGTCATTCCAATCGTCAAGCTTGCTGGACGGACGGCTCAATTAAGGAACTTCTAATACTTAGGAAAACATTTTCCTGGATACCTGCCTGTTTTCAATAGCTCTTCCCCTCCCTGAGGCAGATCTGCGTTGCATCTTAGGTAGTCGCAGCAACAATGGGCGTGGACACCATGATGGCGTCCACGTCCGGTCCTGTGTCGATGGGTACCTCCATCATTGCGGTTACCTTCGACGGAGGAGTCATCCTTGGAGCGGATTCGCGGACCTCTACTGGGAACTATGTGGCGAACCGTGTATCCGACAAGATCACCTCACTTTGTGACAATGTGTACACACTACGGTCAGGATCTGCGGCAGATACGCAGGCTATAGCAAGCTACGTGCAGCATTTCATTGCGCAGCACCAAGCTGAGGAGGTGCGGCGATTGGAAACAGGGGTTCCTTTATGGCAGGGCCACAGGAGGGATATACGGGAGCGGTGCAGCGAGGCGGCAGAGGGGCCAACAGCAAGAAGGGAGGGCGGGAGGAATGTAGAGAGGGAGGGAGTCACAACGCGTGAGGCCTGGCATACGTAGCCTGGCATTTGTGGTCCGGCCCGGTGGCGATCTAGACCAAAACCTCTAAGCTCCTCATCTAAGTGCGTGATAGGGGAGGGACGGCCCATTGCTCGGTCAGTGCTAAACCCAAGGCTTTGCGGATTGCCTCGTTCTGGTGGGTGCACCTCTCGTACCTGCGGTGCGCCCCCAAATGTACGATACGCAGGAGTCTGGGTTTCTTTCCGGGTATGAGCCCCCAGATCCAGATCCCCACATATGGGCCTCATGTACCTCTCCCTCCGTCCCTCCCTCCCTCCCTCCCTGTACGACACTGTGCCGTGCGACCCCTCAGGGCGACCAGATCAGCGTCAAGACCGCCGCCAGCCTGGTCAAGATGATGGCCTACAACAACAAGGATGCGCTGCAGGCGGGGCTCATTGTGGCGGGGTACGACAAGCACGCGGGGGGGCAGGTGAGAAAGGGAGGGGGGGAGGGGGCAGGTGAGAGGGACCTGGGGTAGGGGTAAGGGGGCTGAGCAGGGAATACCGGGGCAAAGGGTATACGTACCGGCAGGGTTGAGGCGCCTGAAGAGGGCCGCGGAGACAGGGATCCAAGAATGTAACGGGCCTCCCTCCTCCTCCTCTCCGCGCCCCCCAGGTGTACTCCATCTCGCTGGGCGGCACCATGACCCCCGCCCCCTTCGCCATGAGCGGCTCCGGTTCCACATACATCTACGGCTTCTGCGACAAGCACTGGCGCGACGGCATGACGCAGCAGCAGGCGCACGACTTTGTGTGTCGCGCGCTGCGCTACGCCATGACCTGGGACGCCAGCAGCGGCGGCTGCATCCGTACCGTCACCATCTCCGCGAGTGGTGTGAAGCGGGAGTTCCTGCCGGGCAGTGAGATCCCGCCCACGTATGGGGAGCTGGGGCGAGATCGGGTGGTGGCGTGAGGGGCAGGGGGCGGGAGGTTGTGCATACCTCGTGTGGGGAGAGGTTGGGGTAGAAGTGTGGAGGTTTTGATGGGGATGGGGAGATTGGAGCAAGGGGGAGTTGTAGGTGTGTATTATATAAATTGGTGGACGCGCGCATGCTTGCTACCGTTGCAAGGATGTGGGGAGCTAGGTTGTGTTGGAGGAGAAGGCAGCGGTTGACTTCTTGGCTGGCAGGGAATAGCAGGAAGGAAGCACCCCTTGTTGACCAATTGTCGGGGGCTCTAATGCAGCCGTGTGCTGTGCTACCGGTTGTTCGAGGCTCGCGTAGGCACATGGACTACATACATGCGTGTGCCGGGAGCGGTGGGCAGAGATTAGGGTTACCATGAGGGTTTTAGACACGCCGTTGAACCGTCAAACCAGGCGGGTGTTGTCGAGACACCAAGCTCTTATTGCAGTCACTTGTGGGGCTATGTGGTGGTGGTGGTTACACACATAGCTCCGGCATCCAAGAGCGCTTCATGGCAGGCGTGCAACACAATATGACACCCACCCTTCCTCCAGCAATACCGGAACAATACACATTTTGCATGCAACGCCAAGCGATGCCTACCGTACCTCCGCCAATGCCATGCACCAACACAAGGAACACCATAGCGCCATACCGCCGTGTCGCTTTCTCACAGTCCCCAGTCCAGGGTGTGGGACGCCCTCCTAATAAACCAACTGCAGAGGGTGCGTCAACACATAGTCCCACCTGCAGTAAGCAGCTAGACTTTCATTTTCAGAGCTCTACCGAGGGTACTGTCGTACTGTCAACCTACAAACCGCACAAAAGCGGCGACAAGGGTACCTCTTACGAACATGGACCCCATGTCGACATACCGCTACGGTATCTCAATACACGCTCTGCAGCCTCCCTCCCCTCTGGTATCACACACCGGCGAATCAAAGTCGCCCTTACCGTCCAGAATCCAGACGCCTGCTTCCCTCCCAGGCCATAGTGCCTTCCAAGCAAATGACTCCCGTCGATCTGCAACAAACAGATTTCCAAGAACTCAACAACTCAACAAAACGCTCAACGACCACACACGCGGACGCGCCCTCATCAATCTGCCTTCGCCGCCGCCTCCCCTCCTGCTGCTGCCCCTCCCGGCAGCGGCTTGGTGTTGGGTTCCGGGTTGTGTGAGAGCAGGTAGTAGGCCAGGTACTCCACGGGGTTGTCCGGCCGCTCCTTGCACAGCGCCTGCATGCCCTGCATCAGCACGGGCACAACGGTGGCCTCCTGCGGGGGGGCGGGGGGCAGGGGGCAGGGGGAGAGAGGGGGGCGGGAGAAAGTACGGCAGAGGTGTTAGGGCTCGTTGTGCTTGTTTTACGGTACAGCGTCAGTAGGCACCAGGGGTGCCCGGGGAGTGGGGAATCGCGACTGCGAGCAGCATGGCGCATGCATGCCACGCGTCTGGCGAGAGAACGGAGAGACAACGGACCCCGCCCCCGCTGCCCTTGAAGACCCCAGAGCGTCCCAACCCCGAGCCGGTACTTGCCAGGTATTGTCGTATAGGGGCAGCTGCGAGGTTGATCTTTTTATGCACTCCTACAGCGGCCTTCTCCGCGGCCTTGACCTGCGTGGACCATGGCGCCGTGGTCAGCGGGGACGTTGCGCTATCCCATGGCCTATACCCGAAGTCCTACCGCCTCCGGTGTTGTCATGGCAACAGGTGGAAGCACCGGAGCCGCTGGAGCTGAGCTATCGCCACCGGTCGCTGTAACACATTTGGCGCGCGGGATTTGGGCCGTTAGCAAAAGGAGAAGTAGAGCAGCAGTTAAATGATGCCCGTCTATACATCCCAAACATACCGTCGGCCATTTTGTATGGTTGCACCAAAAGCCTAGAACTATGGAACGCTTAAACGGTACTTCTTTGCAACAAAGGTACCACTAGTAGCAGCAATGTCTTAAGGGAAACTCGCCGTTGGATTTGCACTACTTCCCTCGATTACCATTCTCTTGCGGAGACGGTTAACCAGGTTCCGCTCAAATGCCGTACAGGCCGTTCGGGCGAATGAGTTTGTGCTTCCCACCCCCTAGGCAACTGTACCCGAACGAACAGAGAACCTACACGTAGGGGTGGTTATTTGCAGGTGTTTTGCAAAATTCGCTCCCTCGCTGCATCTGCTCGTCTTTGGTGCCACTTCTCAGCGGCTCGCGCCCTTAACAGCCGCAGCCTATTAAGCAAAATGTCGGAAGCTGGGATGGCCGCGCTGTCCATCGAGGCGAGTAAACACGCTGCTCGATCGCACCGCAGCATCTCGGCGGCGCTTGCACTCCAGGCGCCCTCGCACGCAGCTTTAAACCTGACCAATCGACTAAATCCGCAATTGTTTAACTACTCTTCACACTTCATCGCGCCGGATCCGCAGGACTCGCAGGCCAGCACCGCCAGCTCTGCCACCACTGCCGAGGCGAAGAAGGCGGCCAAGGAGGCCGCCAAGGCTGCTAAGGAGGCGGCCAAGGCTGAGCGGGTGGGGCCCCGGCGCACACTCCCCTCCCAGCTCACTTGCACTCACCATCACCACTGCTCCTCCGTGCAACTCCTTTACCTCTTCGCAACCTCCCCACCACTGCTACTCCCCCTCACTGCTACACGCCCTTCCCCCCTCCCTCTCCCACCCCTCCCCCGCTCCCTCTCCCCCCACCCCCCCCAGGCTGCCCAGCGCGGTGTGAAGGCGGCTGTGATGACGCAGCCCGACCCCGAGGACCCGCTGCGCGCCCAGTACGGCGACTACCCGCTGGTGCAGAGCCAGGGGCAGTCGGGGCGCAGCTGGACGCAGGTGGAGGCGCTGAACAAGGAGCTCAGCGAGCAGAAGGTGGGGGCTGGGGGCTGGGAGGGGGCTTAGGGGGGTGGCGAAGTGGGGACAGGGGGCGTGGAGACGAAGAAGACAAAGTGGGGGCAGGGGTTTGGGGTGCGGCGGTGGCAGGGGCGGTGGGAGCAGGGCGGGGCGCAAAGAGGGTTAAGGAGCAGGTTTCACAGGAGTGAGAGGTTGGGCAGATCAGGGGTGCGGAGAGGGGACCGCCGAGGGGCTCCAGCTCTCGTCAGCGGTCTGGGGTTTGTGGTAGTTCGGGTATTGGTAGCAGTGCGGCCGGGCACAAAACAAACAGCACAAGAGCCTGCATGCTCTTGTGCACGCGAGGCCTCTGTTGGGTGGGGGAGGGCGGGGGCCTCCTGCCAACGCAATGTACACACCACCTGCACGGCCTGCGTGCCCCTCTCCGGTAGCGGTGTGGCAGCCAGTAGCAGCAACGGCGGTGGTGTGCGGGGACCGGGGCGAGGGGCGTTCGGTCTTCGCCATGGGGAGACCCGGCGACCTTTCCTGCCTGCCTGCCTGGCTAGTATCCAGGCAGCAGGGCCCCCAAGCGTCGGGTCCTCTCGGGTCCCCTCATGCCCGCCACCCTCCATGCCGGGAGGGCGTGCTGCTCCTCTCCTGCGCTGCCCCCTCCTTACTCGTGCGGACCGCCGTACATGCGACGTGACCAATTACTGCCGGCGGCTCTGATATCCTTGCACCCTCCTGCTCCCCATGCTGCTGCTCCCGGCCCCTAACTCCCTCCCTTGCCCCTCCCCCCCAACCCCAGGTGCTGGTCCGCGCGCGCATCCACACCACCCGCGGCAAGGGCAAGTCGGCCTTCCTGGTGCTGCGGCAGCGCACCGCAACCGTGCAGGTGGGGGAGGGACAGAGACCATACCAAACCATGGAAGACCACAGGTTAGGGCAAAGCAATGGGGGAAGGAGTTGGAGTTGGGGGAGGGGAGGGGAGGGGAGGAGGGGGAGAAGAAGGGGAGGGGAGGGCCAAGGGCGTAACGGAGGGGCGGGGGGCCTGGGAAAGGGGCTAGAGCGCGGGCGTTTCAGCGAAGAGCCAACTTGAGGGCGCACAACTAAAAAGCGCGCCAGGGATAAGGCAAGCGGAGCGCGTAGTCCTGGCAGCCATCTCGACACATTGTGCCACTGCCCCCCCACTTCCGCAGGCCATCCTGTTCGCTGACGACACCACCGTGAGCAAGGGCATGGTCAAGTACGCGACCCAGGTCCCCAAGGAGTCCATTGTGGATGTGGAGGGGGTGGTCAAGGTGCCGGAGAAGGCCATCGAGGGCTGCTCGCAAAAGGATGTGAGGAGCAGGGCGGGGTGGGGTGGGGTGGGGGGCCGAGGGAGGCCAGGTGGGTGGCATGGGAGCAAGTGAGGCAGGGGAAGTGTGTTGACGTCTGGTACGGGGAGGTGCGGTTGGGTAGCCGGTGGGGCCCGCGGGTGGTGCTGCGTGGTTGCACCGCCCCTACCCCACCACGACCTGCTGCTACGTGTGTTTCTCTGCTGGTGCTCCCCCTCGCCGCTTAGCAGCTGAGTAACCTCCCTCCCTCCGCCCCACCCGCCTCCCTCCGCTCCTCTACCCCGCCCCCTCCCCCAGGTTGAGCTGCAGGTGACGCTGATCCGCGTGGTGAGCCGGGCCGCGGTGCTGCCCTTCGAGCTGGTGGACGCATCGCGGTCGGAGGTGAGAGGGGGTGGGGGGGGGAGGGGTGCAAAAATCAGGAAACTGACGAGCTGTATGACGAGGCTTTACCATGGGGGGAGGGGGAAAATTAAATAAATGAAACAACGAGTCCCAATCCCATATTGGGGGAGGGGGAGGGGTGGGAAGGGCCAGGGTACCGCTGGGCCGGGTGAAGAGGGAGAAACGGACTGTGTGAGGCGTAGGCTCCGCGACTCTTGCTTGTCTGCTGCGGACAGCGGGTGCAGAGGTGTAACCAGCCCCCATGCATGCTGTGGTGCCCTCCCGCCCCTCTCCCTCCCCCCCCCCGCCCCTCCTCTCTCCCTCCCCTATCCCCATTATCGCGTGTATAATAATATGGCTTCCTACGGTATGGTATGGTCTTTGACCCCCCCCATTGTTTCCTTTCCCCCCACCACACATTGGATATTCTTCTTTCCCCCCCCAGGAGGAGGTCAAGGCCGCAGCCGAGCGCGGCGAGGTGCTGCCCACCGTGGGTCAGGACCTGCGGCTGGACAACCGCTTCCTGGACCTGCGCACCCCCGCCAACCAGGCCATATTCAGGGTGCAGAGCGCTGTGTGTCAGGTGGGTTTAGGGGATGGGGGGTGCGGGGAGAGAGGAAGCAGCACAGCAGCTTGAACGAACAGGGGTGCAGCCGGACCCGGGGCCTCGTGTTCTATTTATGGCTTACACCCGCCACCCGCCACCTTGCACCCGCCACATCCCATCCGCCACCCATGTAAGGGGTCTCGGATGGCTTGTGGGTTAGGTTTCGGGCATTGGGAACTTAGTTTTCTCCTTCGTTGCCCCTTCCAAACCACCAGATTTTCCGCGAGGCTCTTCTGTCGGAGGGCTTCCAGGAGATCCACACGCCCAAGCTGATCGCGGGCGCCTCCGAGGGCGGTGCCGCGGTGTTCAGGCTGGACTACATGGGGATGCCCGCTTGCCTGGCGCAGAGCCCGCAGCTGTACAAGCAGATGGCCATCTGTGCGGACCTGGAGAGGGTGTTCGAGATCGGGCCGGTGTTCAGGTAGGAAGGGGGGGGATTATATAAGAAATGCAAACAACTAAAGGGGGGGGGGGGTAAAGAAGAAACAACAAACTGATAAGGCGTCATCATGGTTTGCAACATGTGAGCATGTGAGGGGGGTGCGGCACCATGCAAGGGGCGCAAGTGCAGCAACATGCTCGCAGCGGCAGTGGTGCGGCGCACTCCCTTCCCTGCCTCTCCTTACTGCTGTGTGTGATTCAACTGCTGGGTTGTAACCCCATACACCTCCCTCCTCCCCCCCTGCTCCCCTCCCCCCCTGCTTGGAGCTTTATCACGGTTTGTACTTTGTGTGCTGCTACTAACCCAACGAATTTGACTATGCGCAATCCTTAAATCCAGCGTAATGCGGATTCTTGTTTCCAAATTAATCCCCCCCTCCTCCCCCCCTCCCCTCTTCCCCCTCCTACAGGGCCGAGTTCAGCTACACCCACCGCCACCTGTGCGAGTTCATGGGGCTGGATCTGGAGATGGCCATCCAGGTGGGGGGGTGGGGGTGGGGGGGGACGTTGGCGGGGGCCCAGGCAGTACGGCAGTGAGATCCAGTGCTGCTGTTACTACTACTTCCGCGGCAGCTGTGAGCTGTCAGCCATAGCTCGAATGGCGCCGCACCCTGTGTGCGCTGTTGTGCTATTGTGCTTGAAAAGGAACATGACAAGGCAAGGCAATGCTACCAGCAACCCCAGACGACATTCTCTGATGCAGAGGGCCTCTGTGTGATGCCGCATGGGGTCGTCCAGGTATCGCACATTAAGCCCGAGCCCGTCGTTGTGCTGAACTGTGTGCCTGCCCCTCCCCCTCCTGCCCCCCGTTTCCTGCCTCCCCCCCAGGAGCACTACTTTGAGGTGCTGGATGTGATTGAGAAGCTGTTCGGAGCCATCTTTGACGGCCTGGCAACCAAGTATGGTGAGTGCACTGAGGGGGAGTGCACAAGCCCCCAGCTCCTCTTTTCCCTTTTTGCTTCTTTGCAATCACAGTATGTTCCGACTCGCGGCCAGGTTTCTTAACACACCGTTCCGACTCGCGGCCAGGTTTCTTAACACACCGTCATACTGCCTACCCTTGTCCTAATCACACATGTCCTCTTTCCGTCCCTTCAACCCGCCCCCGCTCCCCTCTCCTCCCTCCCTCCCCCTCACCCCATCACAGCCAAGGAGCTGTCCGTCATCTCCTCGCAGTACCCCTTCGACATCCCCGTCTTCAAGCCGCTGCGCCTCACCTACCCCGATGGCATCGCGCTGCTGCAGGCGGGCGGCTACCCCGAGGTGGACCCGCTGGGAGACCTGAACACGGAGCTGGAGCGGGCGCTGGGGCGCATCGTGAAGGAGAAGTACGGCACCGACTTCTTCATCCTGCACAGGTAAGGGGTGGGTGGGTGTGTGGGGAAACCAACTACTACCGTATACTGCCTAGTCGGGGGCGTGTGAGGGCTTGTGGGGGCGCGGGGCTGCGGGGTGCTTGGAGTAGGTATGGGAGGAGGGGATGGGTGATGGAAGGCGGAGGCATTGCCCTGCCAACTTGAGCATCCACAAAACCCTCTTACCCCTCCCTCCCCACCCGCCCTCAATCCCAACCCCCAGGTACCCCTCCGCGGTCCGCCCCTTCTACACCATGCCCTGCTCCGACGACCCCACCTACTCCAACTCCTACGACGTGTTCATCCGCGGCGAGGAGATCATCAGCGGCGCGCAGCGGGTGCACGACGCAGACCTGCTAGTGGGTGAGTGCTGGGGGGTGGGGGGTAAAGAGGAAACAACGAACTGACCGTGTGATAGGGCGTCATCCTGATTGATAGTGGGTGAGTGCTGGTGGGGTGGGGGTGTAAAGAGGAGACAGCTAACAAACCGTGTCATCTTAAGTGCTAGAGGGTGGTGGTGGTGGGAGTGAGAGGAAGGTCACCTGGTTCCAACACGGATGAGCATCCTTGACCCCTTCCCTCCCTTCTCCTTCCTCTTCTACAATGTTTCACCCGCTCCCCCCGACCCCCCTCAACCATGCAGAGCGCGCCACCGCCTGCGGCATCCCGCTGCCCGACATCCAGTCCTACATCGACTCCTTCAAGCTGGGTGCGCCCCCGCACGGAGGCGCGGGTGTGGGGCTGGAGCGGGTGGTCATGTTGTACTGCGGCCTCAACAACATCCGCAAGACCTCCATGTTCCCTCGGGACCCCAAGCGCCTCACGCCTTGAGCGGGGCTGGGTTGAATTGGTGGAGGGGTGGGAGAAAGAGGGGGGGCAGTGGGGGGCGGTGTTGGCTTGCATGAGGAGGAGGGTTGGGAGGGAGGCTTGTTGGGAGGGGTTACGGCTCAGGGTTGCGGTCGTGCGGGGATGCGTGTTGTGTGATGGTATGGCGCCGGATTTGGGGTTTATATTGAGTGCGAGTGTGAAGAGCGGCTTGTAAAGGAGTGCGGATACGGGCGGAGGGAATTCGATGGACCTGGTGAGGGGACCTGGAGCAGGTGTTTGTGAGTGATGGCTGGCTGGCTGGTATGTATGTCCGCCGGTTGGGCGCCGGTGGCGGCGTGCGCGGCAGGTTGGTGGACGAGGAGTCGTGTTTTCGCAGTCAGGGGTTTCACAGTGAGGATTCCGCTCATGACGAACCAGGTGGTCCCGTGTTCTCGTCAGATGCTGGGGCTTGCTGGGTGTGGGCCATCAATATGAGGTGGGTGAGGTCCCTTTGTCCGTGGAAAGCGTACGACAGGGATTCCAATTGCTATCATGCCTGCAAACTGCCGTACTTGGGCCGTTACTGGCTTGGCACAGTTGACCCATCCTGAACGCGGCTTCCTTGTAAATCCACGTCGGCACCTGTAAAAGGACGCAACTTGCGAGTGCGGCCCTACTCCATTAGCGCCGCTGCTTTGAGGTCTCTCGGGCCCCCACGGCCCTAATTGCGCGGTAACAAGCGAAATCAGGTGACGGGGGGAAGGTGAGAACCTCAAGAGGGGCCCAGGGTAGCAGCCGCTTCATTGATGCATGGGAGGGGGCAGAGGCTCTGGGGTTGCTGCGCTCTGGTGACCATTTGTGAAGACACCCCCGCATGCCGGTCTTTGCCGGGCTCCAGGGACTGTAGGGGACGGCATCCGGGGGGGGTGCCAGGTAGGGCGTGGTGCTGCACGGTACAGCACGCATGCAGAGGGATAGTTTGCAGGGACGGCTGCGGGCTGCTCCTACACAAGGGAGGCTATCGTCAACGTTAAGGTGATGATGGAATGTAACCCTGCACATGTGTGGGCTCCCTCCGATCCGTGTGAGCCCCTTGTCGTGCACGCGGTGTTCAAACCACTGTTTGGGTGTTTAAGCTCCCCAAGCGGTTCATGGGAGGGGTGTGACGGGGTGTGCCGTCAACTGTTGCATCAGCCTCTAGGGCCACCCTCGCAGACAGGAATGATGCCTAACATTAGCCCATCGGTACCTTTAGCGACAAGTCAACTGAACAACCCAGCGACAAGTCAACTGAACAACCCTCACAGAAGGGGAAACCAATGGGCCGCGGGGACACAGACGCGAAGCGAAAGGGCCAGGGTTCCCGCAAGCAAACAAAGCAAACGGAGCCCTCTGGGACGTCGGACATTTCCATACGGATACTTACTTCATGGTAATAGGCAACATGCAGCGTCCTTGCTACCGTCTTTGATGCCTCCGTTGTACGGCGATTTCACAAAGATTGTCTGGTCTGGACGACAGCCTCCGGAGTGAAGACAGAGCCAAGATTGCAGCCTAGTTTTTAGTCGTTATCATCACTTACACGGCATTAAGCATTCCGTCATATTTAACCCCGACGTGAGCAAACGTCCTAGCATTTGTCGCGAAGCTGCATTGCCGAGTCTTGAGCTGCATCACTCGACTTCACGATGAAGAAAAAAGGCCACTTAGCGAGGCCGGATGGAGAGCCTTTATGCGACGTCTGTGCACTTGCAACCGCCACGGTGGTATGCGACGAGGACCATGCCCGCGTATGTAGCTCCTGCGACATGACGGTAAAATTTTACTTTGCTGAGCTGAGCTGGGTTTGGACACACTTCAATTGCAGCATTGTGCAAGCGGCAATGTCTTTCCGGCATGCATGCCCGTGGCTCGACAGGTGCACAGCGCAAACAAAGTGGCGCAAAGGCACACAAGATGGCCTCTTTGTGGTATATGCCATCGTCACAAGGCCACGGTATGCATAATTTGCGTTCTCCTCGTACTTTCTTCTGGTTTTACCATCCGACGGAACCGCTGGGCCTGTCCAGCAATCCTACTTCATAACACACTTATACTCACTCTCTTACTGCCGCAGAGGACAAGCACAACGGAACAGGCGCAGGGCGTTGACGTGTGCACGGCCTGTGCTGGCGCCATTCCAAAATGCATGCTGCACAAGGTGCCAGGCCCTCTTGCAGCTCCAGCGCTTCGGGTAAGCATGTTACAGCCAGATATAACACCGAACTTATCTACGCCCATCCAGCAAATCAAATCCACCTCTCCGGTTCTGCAAAGCTCGCCACACAGATTGCCACTGCTATTTCGGCAGGATACCCACTTGCTTCCGCACACCTCACAGGAAGCGGTCCACGGGCAGCCCGGCGCACCCACCCTCGACTCCCGACCCAACAACAGTCCACTGCAACAGTTCACTGGTGCGCACATCCAGCAACTGGTTGGGCAGCAGGTGCGTGCGTGCGGGAGTGCAGGCCCCGCTTGGGCGTAGAACCCTGGTAGTTGGCTGTTAAGAGCTGCGACTGAAGGGCTGTGACTGATGCCTCTTGCCTTCTCCCCGCTCTTTTTCCCCGGGATCATGCCGTTGAGAGTTCCGTGCGCTCCCCCACCTGCTGCATGCGCGCTCATGCAGGTGTGGATGCCGGACGCCTCGCTGGCCCTGGGCTCAGGCATCGGCCCACCACCACCACTGCCTCCTGGCGCACGTGGGGGACGTGGGGGGCAGCAGCAGGGGCCTCCGCAAGGGCTACTTTCTGGGGGCGCTGCGGCTGGCGGCGACATAGTGGCAGCAGCAGCAGCTGCTGCGGGAGGAGGAGGAGGGCAGCAGCCGCTGCCGGCGACACTGCTGGCCCAGCCTGGGGGCGGAAGCGGCAGCAGCGGTGGCGGTGGTGGCGGCACTCCGAACGAGCTGGATGCGCTGTTCAATAGCTGGGGCGAGGAGGGGACGCCGGGGCTGGAGGTGGGGAGAGGCGGTGGCATTCGGAAGGGGTGTATGGGGGGAGTGCAGCTGGGTAGAGTGGTTGCAGCGGCAGGCCGGCATTCACGCTTGCGTCTGTCTTGCATGCTTGCAAGGAGTGCAGCTGTTTGGGTGTCATTCTTGTCATTCTGCAGGCCATTCTAGAACGCATGTACCGGTATGATGTCATGCACCGTCAACTGCGAAAAAAGTGAAAGCTTGTTTCTGACCGACCCATGGCGCCCTGGGTCACCAACCCGCTTTCCATTATTGTCGCCCCCTTCCACACGCAAACCCCGCAGGCCGAGGCCAACGTTGCCGAGGCGGGTGACATGGACCTCTCCATGTGGGCCGACTCGCCCTCTGTGGCTGCCGTGGGGGCAGCCCAGCAGGGGCTCAGCAGCTGCTGCTACAGCGCCCCGCGGGAAGGAGACGTGCGCGAGGCTGAGCTGCAACAAGGCAGCAGGGCAGCAGCAGCGACAGCGGGGTGCGATATGCACCTGGCCTGCATGGCGGCAGCGTCGGCGGGTGGTGCATGGGGAGCGGGGGAGCAGTGGGCAGGCGGGCAGCAGCAGCAGCAGCAGCAGCAGCAGGTGCGGCGTGACAGTCACCCCGCGGGGGCGCGGAACGTCGGGACCAATATGTGCCAGTCACCCGCTGTGTCGTGTGGTGCGGCAACGATGCAACAACAGCAGCAGCAGCAAGAACAGCAGCAACAACAGCAACCACTCGAGTGTCGTAACAGCGATCAGGGGCTCCTACGGCAGCAGTCAAACGAGGCCAACGGATGGGCTCCTTGCGTAGGACGAATCAGCCCGGCCTGCAGCGCAGAGCTTACCTTGCCACGTCCGCCGCCCCCGCCGCATGTTGCAGCCCAGCAGCAGCAACAGCAACACCGACGGCTGCCGCAGCCACAACTACTAGAGCGGGCTTGTCAACCGAAACAGAACTCCCAGCAGCAGCAACAGCAGCAGCAGAGCCCACAACTGCAGCAGCAGCTGGATCAACAACAACGACGACAGCAGCAGCAGCAGACCTCTGAACAGCAGCAGCAACAGCAGCCGCAGCAGACCTCTGAGCTTCAGCAGCAGCAGCAGCAGCAGCTGGCGCAGCAACTATTCTACATGCAGCAGGCCGTCGCGCAGCAGGCACAACAACACCTGTCGCAGCTCCCAGGCACCGCATCTGGGCTCATGTTTCATCATCAGCAGCAGCAGCATTTGCAGCAGCAGCTACAACTACAGCATTTGCAGCAACAGCAATGGGAGCAACAGCAACTGCAGCAGCAGCAAATGCAGCATCAGGAGCAAGCCGACGCGCAGGCTGCTGCGAGCGCTGCCGGCTCAGCTGCTGCTGCTGCTGCTGCCGGGTGCGGCTATCCTCCTTCGCTGCAGGCAGCTTACGGCGGCAGTCTGCCCTTCCTTCCCAGCATCCATTCCAGCAACGGAGGAGGCCTCATGTTGGCAGCCGCTAGCGCCGGCTCCTGGCGCACCTCCGGCCCGCTGCCGCCAGGCCTCTCCGCCTGCTCCGGTGCAGGCGCAGCGGGTGCAGGTGGCTTGCCGCTGCCGCCTCCTGGTTTCCCCCTGCTGGCGCCCGGCCTCCCGCTGCTGCTTGGTGAGGGGCTGCAGCTGGCGTCGGCATGGCAGCTGCCGCCGCCGCCCCAACCGCCCCAGCAGCCGCGGCAGGCGCATTCGGGGCCGTCACAGCAGCAGCGGCAAGTGGCGAGCGAGGAGGCTGCAGGTCAGGTGGGCGCAGGTGCGCAGCAGCAGCAGCAGCAGGAAGGGACTGGTGTAGGCGGCGGAGGCGGCGGGACGTCAAGCGGTGCGGCGCCACAATCCGGTTGCGGGCTGCAGCTGATGCGGGCTCCGGTACAAGAGCAACAGCAGCAGCAGGGCGGGTTGCAACACAGATCTGCGGCACCTGCCCACCCCGACCCTCACCCTCATCGCCCCAGCCAGCCCCGCCCACCTACTCGCACCAGCTGCAACGGACATCGCCTGGGGGGCGCCGCACCCACACCCGCACCGGCGCCTTCACAGGCTTGGGCCCCGCAGGCACCTGTACCCCAAGCACCCCCGCCACCCGTTGCTACAACATCCCTCCCTCCACAAGTTCCGGTACTGGAGCGCATGGCGTCTGTGACTTCCAACACGGACAATAAGTGGAACACAAGTTTGCAACAAGCCCCAAACCAGCAGCAGCAGCCACAGCAGCAGCCACAGCAGCAGCCACAGCAGCAGCCACAGCAGCAGCCACAGCAGCAGCCACAGCAGCAGCAAGAGGTCTGGTCCCAGCAGGGCCTGCACAGTCACTCAACTTCACAGCTGAAGCAGCCGTCGCAGCCGCCACCGCTGCCTGAGGAACATCTTTTGAGCCAGCGGTTACAGCAACAAGTGGCATCGCATTTGCAGGCGGTGGCATACCAGCAATTGCCCGCATCACAGTCCTCAATGCATCAGCAACAGCAAGCATTGCATCAGCAACAAGCACTGCAGCAGCAGCAGCAGCAAACGCAGCAGCAACAGATGCAAGTGCAATTGCAAATGCATGCCAGCGGTCTGGCTGGCTTATTGCAATACATGCAACACCCACTGCCTCAACATGTCCTACAACAGCAGCTTTGGGAACAAGCGCAACAGCAGCAACAGCAGCAGCAACAGCAGCAGCAGGTGCTGCAGCAACATCTGCAACACGTGCATGCAGCTGAGCTGCGAGAAAACGCCGCATCAGCACTCGCCTTCGCATGTCAGCAACTACAACACCACCTGCTGCAGCAATCAGCCCAGGGCTCCAATCATCCGCAGCAGCAGCAGCACCAGCAGCTGCTATTGCATTTGGTGCAGCAACTGCAGCTACAGCAGCAGCAGCACTCGGCCATGCATTCAGCAGCTGTGCTGCCTGCAGCGACGCCATTTCCGCAGCTATCTTCAGCTGCTAACAACCTACTGGCCGGCCCCGTGGTAAGGGGGTGTTTAGGTGTTTCGTGGAGTGTCCCTTGGCTCGCTCGATGTTACCTGCTGCCCTCCTTCCTCTGCTGTTGGTTTGCTGCCAAGGTATTTGCGTGCGTACTTTGGGCGCGAGCCTGGACGGCTTAGTACAAAATGAATGGCTAATGTGGTACGGTAGTGAACTAGTGATGCGTAAAGTGCGTAACTCTCTCACCGCCGCCGCCCTTCCACTCCCCTTACCGATCAGGCGCAATGGTTGATGCTAGACCTTGGGCACACCGTCACCACCAACACCAACACGACACACCCCACCCAACAGCAGCCTCCCGGCAGCACCGCCGCCGCACCCTCCGCCGTAGCCCTGGCCAACCCCGCCACTGCCTTACCACCCTCCTGCTGGCAGCTGTCTCCAGATGCAGCTGCCGCCTTCAACAACGCCAGCGCTGCTGCGGCTGCCGCAACTGCTGCCTCGCTAGCTGGGCTGCCCGGCCTGTCGGCGGGTTCAGCGCTGTCCGGCCCCCCGCCTCCGCCGCCCCCATGCATGGCCCCGCAGCAGGCAGTGGGAGGTCCGCAAGGTCAGCAAGGCGAGGTCAGCAAGGCGGGCCGGGAGCGGAAACGTGATCATGCGGACCGCGATGAGGCGCTCACGAGGTATCGCCAGAAGCGCAAAACGCGGCATTTTGAGAAGACCATCCGCTACGCATCGCGACAGGTGGGTGGGTGGGTGGGTGGGTAACATGTGGGCCGCCCCCGCCGGGTAAAACGTTGTGATATACCGTGTGTTGCGGAGTTAGCTGAAGACCGAGGGAAGCGTTCTGCAATGACGTGCTGCGAGGGAAGGGCACTTGGCAGCAGCTACTACCCTCCTGTCGCTCTAGCGGTCTGGCTCTGCAGCGCCACCACGGTGCCCGGCGTCAAGAACTACAGCGCAGAGCTGCCACTTGCCGTACTACATGGCGCATGCCGTCCCCTGTGCATGCCGGCCGAGTTCCTCCGACACACCTCCCCACCGCTACCATTGTCACACAACACGTTGGGTATTCTTCTTCGCTGCCCCTTCCCCTTCCGCAGATCCTCTCCCACAAGCGTCCTCGCTTCAAAGGGCGATTCATCAAGAGCCAGCCGCCCTGCCCGGGTGCTGCTGGGGTGGCCGGCGTGTCACCCGCCTCCACCCTGGAGGAGCCGGCCAGCAGTGACGACCCGGAGGCGGGGGACGAGGCAGACGATGAGCAGGAAGCCGAGGTGGAGGAGCCGCAGGAGGGACGTGACCCACGGGTCACAAGCAGGCCCCCGGGCACCGGGGGAGGAACGGTGGAGGGCGAACGCGGCTGCGTGCAGAGCGCGAGGGCGCAGCAAGCGGAGGCCGGCGGAGTAGGCTGTGTGGGGACGCGGGGTGGGAGCGGGGGCGCGGGCCGGGGGTGCTGCGGCATGGAGGTGGATGGTGGAGGTGGTGGCGGCGGTAGCGGAGAGGGTCCTCGGAAGAAGGCCAGCCGTGGCAGCCGTGGCAGCGGTGGTGGTGGTGGTGGCGCCGGCGGAGCAGCAGGATCGGGGTTATTACTCCCCAACATTGCTACGGGAATCTATGGCCTGTGCGGGAAGGCACCTGCGGCGGTGGTGGCGGGTGTGTTTGATGTCGCCACCCATGGCGGCTTGCTGGTCGGACCAGGGCCCACCGACCCAATGAGCAACCACATCCAGCAGCCGGCCGTGCACCACCACCACCACCACATGCCCTCTCATCTCCAGTCCACCATACCGCATGCGGCTGCTGCTGCCAGCCCGGGGCTGCTGCCCGGTTCCCAGCGCTGCCACACAACGGCAGCAGCCGGGCTTGGGGCCGCTCCGCTGCCTGTGCTGGCCGCGTTGCCGTTGCCGCATCCGGAGGGCGCACGGGTAGGGCGGGGTATAGGAGCATGGATCGGTAGGAAGGGCCAGCATGCTACACAATGCAGAACCTGCCTGATCTCGGTGCTACCTCTTTAATCTCTTGTCATACCGGTACATTCTCCCGTGGGCAGCGCCGACTAGCAGTTGACGTCTCTTGCGGTTGGCCCCCCCCCCCACGCTGCCGCTGTATCCCCATTGCTTTGCCCTAACCTGTGGTTCTGATATATCTCTGCCCCCCGCTGCCGGCTCACTCACAGGCTGCACAGAGCTCTGCCTTCGGGCAGGATGAGGAGGAGTGCCCGGGTGGCCGGCAGGTGGGGCCCAGCCACTCCGTCAACAGTCGTCTCAGCGCCGGCAGCATCCACACCCCGGGGCGCCGCCGGCCGCCGCTGGTGGGCACCGGGGGAGCTAAGGAAGCGCATGAGGAGAGTGCGGCCCACTCGAAGCCGCATCCGCGCTTGCCTGGAGGTGCGGCGGCTGCTGCCTGTCGGGAGGCTGGTGGTGCGGCCGCGGCGGAGGCTAACGTCAGCAGCAATGGGGCTGGGGGCCATGGCGGTAAGGCTGCTGCATGTGCAAGCGGCGGCGGCGGCGGCGGCGCTGCGCATGCGTCGGCGGCCGCCAAGGCCTCAGCCGCTGCCGGACCTCCAGCCACGGCACAGACGGTGCGCAGCATGCTTGGTGTGCAGCATGTTGCCCCGGAGGCCTTGTCGGCGGGTGGCGGGCTGGTCTTCCCGTCGGAAGCGAACAGACCAGCAGGCGGCGGCGACGGCAGCGGCGGGCAGCAGCTGCTGCTGCACCCCCACCAGCCCCCACCGCAACCGTACGGCATCCCCGGGCCCGCCGTCGCCGCCGCCCGCATCTCCTTTGCAGGGGCAGCCACCGTCGAAGACGGCTGCAGCCGGGGCGCAGCGCCCCCGGGCGCCGGCAGAGGGCCGCATCACTCGCCGCGACGGCTCCAAGCGGCAGCTGCCTTCGGAACCCTTCGTTGCCTGCCCATGCCCTCCACGGCATCATGCGGCGGCGTCAGCCCCGCAGGGCCCGCCGTCGCCACCACCGCCGCTGCCGCTGCTGGCGGCGGCGGCGGCGGTTGCTTCCGCCTGGCCTCTGCACAGTACCCGCTGCCCGACTGCACTGCCACGGATGCGGCTGCAGCGGGGGGCTGCTTGTCCGGCGGGGGCGCCACGGAGCAGGGGAGCTGCATGGAGGATAACCACACGCTCGTGGAGACGGAGGCGGCAGGCGGCGGGGCGGGCGACGGCGGTGAGGGCGACGGAAGCGAGTGTTGTAGCGCGGAGCCGCTGGTAAGCGGCGCGAGTAACACGGTGCCGTCTGTGGAGGCGTCCACGCATGGGCAGCATCAGCGGGCGAGGGGCCGTCGGAGTTCACCGCAGCTATCAGTGCGGATGTAGGTGTGCTGGCGTTGGCGCAGCAGCTGCGTTGCGGGTTTTTGATTGGAGAAGGAGACTGGATGAGGGCGATGTGCTTTTGGGATTACTTTATTGGAAAAAGGTTCTTTTCGATATTACAGTCTCAGGGCGCTGGAGAACGTGCATCATCATGGCTGTAGCGTACGTGCACTCGGTTTTGGTAGCCGTTGTGGTTCGTTTTTGCCCCAAGTTTTCGCATGGATGATCCTTTATTTTGGCTAATCATGTATGTATGTTGGCTGTATGTATGTACCTGTTTGCCCCTGTCATGAGCTCTTGAAGAAAGTTTCTCACGACGTGCCACAGTTATGGGCTGCTGTGTTCAGTTGGTTATAAGTTCGTATACCGGTAGTATAGTCGTACGTTAACGTTATTCCTGAAGTGTGCCCATCTAGCAAGCCCGCAGCCGGTAGCCATTGCCGCTGGCTGTTGGCTGCTGGTGGGCTGCTGCTGGTGGCGGCACACCTCGTCACGCCTGGCCAGGCCGCCTGAGGGCACGGCTGGTCGCACAGTCACCGAGCTGCCTCCTGTGGCTCATTGAACCCTTGTCGGCTGTCGATTGGCGGCCAAAGTATGAGCACATGATGACTTGCGCGATGTTCTTATGTCACTGCTGGCACTGTGTCAGCCACACTGCTTAGAGAATACTACTTATACTAGCAATGCCGTATAAAAACAACTCGTGTCGGGGCTTGAAGGAAGATGTATTGGTGCCGGCAAAATCCAGGCTGGCGACTGTGTTGTTGGGCGGAATTGGCGTGATTATGGTCAACGGCCGTACTTGGACGCGGGTTAAGCGCTATTATGGCCGAGCCGATATGGGCGCTACAGTTATTGCAATGTGCACTGAATTGTGAAGCGCTCTGGTGCGGCCTGTATGCGTATACCCTATGCTCACCTGTGTTGGGCTCGGCAGGAGTATTGTACGGCTGTTACACGGCAGGAGAGGGCTGTGGTCACCTGTATCTGTACCTCACGCCTTGCTCTAAAGCTAAACAAATGGCTTTGACATCCTTCACCTGTCTCCTCAGCCTAACGGTAGCCTACAATCCTGTAGTAGGGTATCTAGACACCAAAGTTTCCCGTACACCCTATTCAGTAAATATATGGGTACGCATGCGCTTTAGCCACTTCGTTGTGCTCCCGCTCGACACGGCAAGTGTACGGTAGTGGTTAGTGTCAGCGATGTTCGTTACACGGCAGGACGGGGCCAAGGCTTCAGGAGCTCCTATTGCTTCATCCGTATCCGAATGGGTCCACGAATGGAGCTTGAATGGTCGATCACCTGTTGAGCAGGAAATGCAGTACAGACGTTAGGACGGGTATCCAAGCATGTATCGTACGAAAATACACCATGTGGCTTGTCACAAACTTGCCTGTCCGCGCTGTAAGATTTCGATTCTGCCCTCACTCGCGAGCTCCCTTGCAATGTCCCGTGTAAGCTCCATAAGCTCGCGCCAGTTGGGAAGGCGTAGGCGCCTGGGGGCCTCGCTTGGGCAAGCGGTAGTGCCCCTTTGAAAGCGTTCTGACACAATGGCAAGAATCGTACTCCTTAGCTCTTGTCGTAGGAGCTGTTCCCCTCCGTGTTCCTCATCCTCTACGGCCCGGGCTGCATCCTCTGGGACATTGGTGCTGGGGCAGGTTCTTGCAGTTTTTGCATCTGGCCCTTCGGAGTGCAGTTTTTGAATCCTCTTTCGTTTCATTTATGTAACTCCTGTAATGCATGGAACGACGTTCGGCTGGCTGTGAAGGTGTTGTTGTACGACAGCAAGCGAAAATCGCAGTAGCTTAACCAAGGCACCAGTTTGTGACAATCTCAAGTTTTATGTTCGCGCTGACGCTTAACACGTTGTTTTATCTAGCCATTGGATTTGCTTGCACCTGAGCATCATCGGAGCCGGGTCGTATCAAAGAACGAGCGCGCTATGTCGCTTACTACAACGTTTAAGTTGAATCCGGTATCTCGAACGGTAGATAAAGCCAGGTGTGTCCGGTCTTGTGGTTGGGTCCTAACGGCACATCGGCGTTTACCAGCTCCAGTAAGAGCCATTGGCTCCGAAAAGCTTTCAGGCAATGTCCCTTGGGAGTTTGGATTCCAGGTAAAAGAAGTTCATTTGTTGACGTCGTAAACACACAATAGTCATCTCCTGAGCCATCTGATGTTCGCCTTGTAGCGTTCGTCTTCTATTAAGAAATACATGTGCTGCAAAGTTAGGTGCTGTATAATATCATGTATAGCGCCTGCTACTGATTGCACCATTGCACCAACCGCACAGTACCCACCCCGACGTGCAATTTTCCATACCTTCAAGGCAACACGAGAATCCGGCCCCTCACGCTTCCCACATCTTGTCAACACCCTGGCAGTGTAACGAACGCTACTTGGCGTGGGACCAGAGTGCTCAGCTACAACTGCTAAAGCTAGTATTAAGCCAGAGGCTGGGGTAAGTACGAGTCTTGGCACAACAAAAAAAACACTGCCCCGGACCCCCGGGGTTCTGAGTCACCGATTCATCTGATCAATTCAATTACCAGCTCTAGCACTACTACCCCTCTCCCGCTACCGTTTTACCCGACATCCCAACGGCCTCTTACCCCGCGTACGTTCCCCTTCCCCGTCCTTGCCCTCCTCCCCAGCTGCTCCCCCGGCGAGGTGGAGAGCCGCACCGAGCAGCTGGCCACACTGCTGCCCGACCTGCTGACGCGCGTGGAGTGCACCCGAGTAGACGTGCTAGAGCCGCTGCTGGCCGACCTGCCCGGCCTCACGGCGCAGCTCATCGGGCTGCGGGAATGCCTGCCGGGGGTCAATCTCAGCCAGTAAGGAACCCCCCCACTGCCAAGGCTGCGCTAGACACTGTTCGGGAGGGATGAGGGAGGGATTGCGAGGCATTACCATGGCTGATCATGCCATCCCGCTCTTGCATGGCTTCCTGTGCCGAAACCTGCATACCGCTGCTCCCGCCGCCGTCCCCGTCCCCGCCCCATCTACCTGACTATCTCGCCTACCTGACTATCTCTCGCCCACCTGCGTCCTCAGGCTGGTCGCCAAGTACCCCCGACTACTGCTGGACTACAAGGAACCCGCGGCGCTGGCTGCACGGCTGCAGGAGCTGCAGGCCGCGCTGCCGGGGGTCAACGTGGCGCTGCTGGTGGCAGAGGAGCCGCACCTGCTGCGGGTGGACATCGGAAACGTGCTGGGCAACTGCAGGCGGCTCATGCCGGGCACCGACCCGGTGAAGCTGCTGGTGTCGCAACCGCAGGTGGGGGCGTGCGGGGTTCGGGAGGGGTGGTGGCGGCGGTGTGTGTCGTGCCTTGGTGGGGTACGGGATTGATAGTACCCATAGTAGCTGTTAAGGTGCCTAAGGAGACGGCAAGGAGGCTCAGCCTACATGGTAAAGGCACCTTAGCAGCTACTATCGATCCCGACGCGTCCGTCCGCAACCAGGAAGCTCCCCGTACTGACCTGCCCATGGGCAAGGTCATGCTCCGTGGCGCCTGCTGCCCCCTCCTGTCATTGCAGGTTCCTCTAGTAAAATGGCTCTTGCCTGCGCTGCGCATGGCTACCGGTGCCCTTCACTGTGCAATGTCTGTTGTCCGTGCCCTTACCCGTGCAGTGCCAGTCTCCCTAAGTTCTTCCCAGTGACGCGTCCTGGGGGCCCCCTGCGGCCTTCCGTGTGGCATGCCTGCCTCTCGAACCCTTTCCCCGTGCAGTGCCAGCCTTCCAGTGCCCTTCCCCGTGCGGCTGCCCTCACCCGCGCTGCGCCTGTTTTCCTCTGCCCCTCCATGTGCAATCCCTTCCTCCTATATATAGGTGCTTCTGTTCGCTTTGCAATCTGATGGAGATTTCAGTGATGAGCGGCCCCGTATACTGCGTGCCCTGCCCCTGCAGATGGTGCTGACGGCGGTGGAGGCGGGCCTTTCATCCGCCATGGATGTTGAGGGAGGGGCGCCAGCGACCGCACACTGAGTGACGCTGGGTGCATACGTTGGGTCCAGGTTGGGTGAAATACCGCCAGGCAATAAGAAGGTGCTATTTAATGGTCGAATGACGGGGCAAGTAGCAAATGCGTCGGTGCTGGTGTCGTGGTGCTGTGCATGGGCTTTCCTGTGTTGCAGGTGGGCATGTGTCCTTGCTTCTTGAATAAGCTCTTGAACTTCTCCGTTTTAAAGCGGGGCTGGACTGGCATAGCATCCCGTGTACAATGTTTTAGGAATAACATTTGGATATTACCGGTATGGTATTGCTAGGGCCGGTAAGCTCGCTCGTATTGCATCCCACTTGTACGGTGCACCTATCGGGAACCGTCGATGCCATAGCATGCCACATTCTACTTGACGGTTGTAACAGTAATTGCATGATGCCATGTGCGGCAGCCGCCACCCCTGGCTTGCATCTACATTCCTGCAACCCGACACACCACCCTGCCACATCGCCATAACTCGCCGTTAGCTACTTCGACGTATAGGGTCAAGTACGGTAGCAGAGCAGGTTTTCATTGGTCCCTGGTAGGTGAACCATGGTTCGCCCGAGGCGACATGCCAGGACTTGGTTCCAGACAACTACCGCCTTTGCCCGCTTTGTAATAAAACGCCATGCAACGCTGGTAAAGAGAGAACCAGCAGCGCTCACTACTGCTCCTGCGCGTATGCATTCACACCTCAGAAGACACCACAGTTGCTGCAACAGCGTTTTGCACCATGCATCTTGTACAATCAAAGAGTTGAACCAGGTCCTCGATGCATACATCGAGACTGTTGACTTCGGCCTTCATCCTAGCTTCAAATCATAGTACCTCAGGAAACCCTGAAAACAACCCCGAGTACCTCCTCAGTACACCCCGAACACGCCGTCATCGCAGTCCATGTGCTGGTCTCCCATCATCATGTCCGCTGCGCCCGCGTCCAGCTCGCTGTTGATCTTGTTGAAGTTCTCCAGCATGTACTGCGCGTCCAGCAGCCGCCGCTGCACGTCGCGGTACTGCGCCAGCTGGCTGTGGAAGGAGGGACCCAGCCCGCGGAACACGGATAGCCGCTTCTGAGCCTGCATGCATGGGCCAGAGGAGGGGGATGAAGTTGTGGGCATGGGGAATACTCTTTGGTTAGGTCTAGGAGGCAACATGGGTTGCAAGGACGAGATGGTAGTTGGAAGAGGCAAAGGGAGGAGGCCATAGACGGGTGGTGGTGCATCATGAACGGCATGCAGTGCACGTGTATCCGAACGATGGGTGACTGTCGGTCCCAAAGGCCCGCAGTCCGCATCCTCCAAGGACCCAGCAAACGCACACCAGGGATGCTGCATGCACAAATCCCGGATAAATCCCACCCCACCACCACCCAGTACCGGTATCCGTCAGCCCGCACCCACCTCTGCCAGCTGCGTGCGCACTTGCTGCAGGCGCGTGGTGAGCTCCTCCCACACCTTGTTGAGCGCCACCACGTCCTCCGCGCGGTAGGTGCCCGCCAGGAAGTGGTACTCCAGCGACTGCAGCTTCAGGATGGCGGCCTTGACGCGGCTGGCGGAGATCATGAACTCCGCCTGGCAGCAGGTGTACGACGTGTTGGGGGGGTAGGAAGGTCTGAGTGACCGATAAAAGAGACAAGAGCCTTGCAGCCGCCACGTTGTAATTGGGTGAAGTGCGGCTTGCCGGGCTGAGAATGCGGGCATAGACAGTGAGCGCGATGCTGGCGAGGGGAGGTGTGATGTAATGAGCCTTGGGGTTCAAGCCTACCTTGTCTACTTTGTCCTGGCGTTGAAGTATGCCCTCCTCGATGGCTTCCTTCATACGCTCGTGCATGCTGAGGTAAGCGGTTGTGGCTTGCATGGTGGCTATGAGCGCGTCCGTTTCAGCTGACAGCGTGGTGCAAGCTCTGAGGGCTCCGCCTACCGCAGCTGGCCTGCCTGACGGACCTGCGGACAACCAAGGACCCGTGCGTAATGCATACTGACTTCGCAGGTACAATGCAGCAGCCAATCCTCACATTCTCCCGTGTCATCCTCACGCTGGTCGCAATGCTGGGAAAGCCCCTGCTGTCAACTTTCCTCTCACGGTCTCACCTGGCAAGCTTGGCACCCGCTCTCGCCACCGTTTGCTGCGTGATGTAAGTGCGTTGCACACAGCCATGGCGAGCTCCTGTGGGCAGTAAAGGGGCATGGTTCTGGTCAGGAATGCCAACCATGGATGGATGGTGACCGACAACCCAATAACCACCTCATACCTCTCCATGCGTTCGGTCCTGGTCCGATATGCTGCATCCGTCATCTGCATACTCAAGTAAACAATTCAGCATTGAAATCGGATACTCAGGGGTTCCAAATGGCTGGTGCGCCGTGAAAATACGCACCTAACTCACGCACTCCAAACAACCCATCTGAGCGTAATGTTTCGTCTACATCTGGCTGCTCTTTGCTTGGTGCCTGCGGCCACGCTGCCAGTGCAAGGGTTGAAAATTTGGCACAGACATGCATTTGACAGCTGTCTTCGACTCACCTCAGGGACCGCAAGCTGTTTGCTAAGCGTCGCCGCTTTTCCCTCCTCCAGGATTAGTTGTTGTGTTAGGAATCCCTCTCGGGCTTTTCCAACGTCGAGCCAACTTGCTTCAGTCCGAGAAGCTGTCGGGCCCGGAAAGCTACATGTCAATTTACATCTTGCGGTACCATGATGGGAACATAATCCTACCTGTTTGCTCCTGAATGAGCATAAGCTCTCGGCGCATATGCTCAATTAAAGCCATTTGACAGCTGGACAGTACTAGCCGTTAAGAGGTTCACCTACGAATATGTTATATCAAAAGCTATATCCATTGAACGCCAACATAGAATAGGGAGAGTCTTCGTCGCCGTGGTTCGCCCCTCCGCCGTACACTTCGTAGTGGCACAATCCATCGGGCCCATCTGAACTCGTCCAGGCCTTAGGCGGACCCGGCTGGCCGCTCTTGCGCCCCATAGCATCCGCTTACTCCCCTAACACACAGCAGCAACGTATGCAAGTTTGTGTGCTTACCGTGTACCTACCGGCATGGGTTCACTCTTTACCGAGGTTGCAAGGTAGGTCGCAACATCCTTTCCTACAAGGACAAGTGTTGGCTGTGGGAAAGTATGACATTGCTTCTATCGTATAAGGGATTGAACTCCCCCACGATATGATGCGGGAAAGACTTAGGCGAGGGATACAAGGCAATGTGTTTTGGGGCTTGTGTGCGCAAGAGGACCGTAGCCTTTGTAATCTGCTTTGCGCAGCTAGCAGTCGCAAGAGTTAAATACCGGTAGCCCCACATCCACATCACCAGTCAGCTTGTACTCACAAAGAAGGCGCCCATGACGGAATGTCATGGAGGACAGCGTGTCCCAACATAACGGTCTAGGCTTTTGACCCCTCCTCTCCTATTAAGGCCAGTGGTCGCTCCTGCGTGCTCGCCTATTGGTCAGTAGGCCCAAAGCCACTACAATGCTGTTGGATGTGGCGTACCTCACCGCTCTGGCTATAAGTCCTCGGCACATCGAATCTCGCCTTACCATCCCTAAGGCTGCACCGATCGCCATCTCTTGACCTCCCCAGGACTAAATCCAGCGCCGTATAGTTACTGCCGATCTTACGCCCCACTTCTGCCTGATTGCATGAAATACAAAACACCACAAAAGCTATGGAATCCAATAACAAACACGGACAGAAACCGATGGGTGTTAGACGGTCAACCAAACTCCCATACTCCCACGCGACTAAGGGCGACAAGAACCATGGGTCACAGAGCGCGGCTAATGCTAGACGTTTAGGTTACCGTCATATGTACAAGTAGCTAGTAACGTACTACACCTTCCGGCAGCTAATCACCGCATCTAGCTCTTTAGCATTATTCAACCTGACGCCCCGGGCTGACGGTTAAAGGACAGCGACGACGGGTCGCCAAACTTGCGCGGCTTTATGAGGCGCAGGATGAAGTAGACCACCGCAAGCACAAAGCTCAGGCCGCCCGTCGCAAGATAGGCGATGCCCAGGAAAGGGTTGCGGCCACCCAGCCATGTGGTGGTGCCCAGGTATATAGACTTCTGGCCGTCAAACTTGTAGGTGTTGTAGCGGTTGTAAACCGTGATTGTTACGGTGTCCCCGGCCTTCAGGTCGCTGTCGATGCGCCCCCAGAGTTTCCGGAAGCGCGGCAGAGCCGCGATACGCATCCAGTTCATGAAACGCTCGTTTTCTTTGGGGGTTGCGCCACCCGACTCCACGGACAGGTTGAAGCCGCCGCGCAGCGAGTCGAGCGCGGGGTTAAAGTTGTGAGGTGTGTAGTTCGCAAACCTGTATTTGCGGTCCGACTCAAACGCAATGTTCTTGTCTGTCACGGCCAGCAGCGACGGCGAGGTGCTGCCGTTGGGAAGCCGTGTCATCTGCATCAGGGCATACAACACGCCGCGAAGTTAGCACATGGCACGGACCGTACGGTACAACAACAGGAGGAGGCGCCCCAACCTTACCGTGTACGTGTCGTTAAAAAAGCTCCATGCGACGAGACCGCAGGGGTTAATCATCATGCTCTTGTTGCCTCCTAGATACTCCTCGGGGTCGCACAGGCCGGTAGCAAGGTTTTTGCTCTGGTCGGCGAGCTGCATGTCGCTGCGGCTCTTCACGTATCTGCACACACCAGGACGATGACCATCAGCTTGCGTTGGCAGGCATTAAGCAAAACCCAGATGGGGAAGCAAGCCAAAAACTAATTACTCGTTATGTAAGCGATCATGACACTCCATCAACCCCGTGTGTAGGGTCATGCGTAGAACAGGTGCCAGAACATGGATGACAAGGTTGCTGGCCCAAACGAGTCCGCGGGGCTGTACCACAACTAGTTGCTGCCCAAGACCCAATACCGGGTAGAGGGTCCTGGGCACGAAACCGCTGTTGTGCGCATTGCCATGAACCCATGATGCATGCAACCATACAACGCGGACCCACCTTCTGTGGTTCTGGTAGAACCCGTTAAGCTCGTAGTAAACGTACACCGGTGCACGCATGTCCTTCTCTATCCGCAATGTCACAGTACACGATAGGGCACTCTCATTGCCAGCATTCTGGGGGGAAATCATAGGGCGTAAATGCACAGGACAGTTAGCTACACGGGCAAGGTGTCGGCTACAACACCATACAGTCGCATCACTCACATGGCAGTTATACATGCGGCAAGTGCTGCGGCGTGACCCAGATCAACGCAATCAGGACACGCACTAGGTACACCCAGGGCCCAATGTTGCCTGACCTGCAGGATATACTGCTCCCGCTCAGCGTTGGACTTGCCAGGGACACACGTTTGATCGTACCGTGTACCAACTTCCACCGCCTGGGACCGAGGGGAAAAGAGGGCAAGCTTCATATCGTCGCCCAAACAAACGCATCCAACGACAGCCCAACGGAGCCCCCTGGGCATTAGGGGGTGATAGCAGGACGACATATGGTTACAAAGACTTAGGTGAAACGAACCTTGAGGCCATAATTGAGGCAGACGGCGCCGATGGGGACCAGCACCACTCCGATAGCAAGGAAAATGAACACGACCTGTCGTGGCGTGGCAGCATGTCAGCCCGCTGTACGCCTGCTAAACTTCTATGCGCAAGCCCACATCCAGGTTAAGGTCGACGGGGTACCAGGACTGTATGGGGTGCTCGTGTAGCTGAGTACTGTCATTAACCTGGGGTTCATTTGCAATGCTCACCCATAAAGGCTCGAGCACAGGCTTGCACGCTGGAAGTGTCTGCTGCGTAATACGTGTATCTGTCCAACGCCCAAGAGTTATGTGTGCTTAGCATGTTATCCTTAAAGTGGGAGAGCTGCACAAAGACCCACTGCGTGGTTCCTTGGTCTTCTTAGGGGCTACCTCCCCAGCTTGTGATGGCGCAGACATGGTATTATGATCTAGTATGCAGCACCTAACAAAACTAGATACGACTGTCTTTAGTTATTGCATCCTCAATTAGCTCATCTACCAGGTTAGGGAAATTGAAGGATAATAGGTAGCTTTATATACTTCAGTGTATACTTACGAAGCGTTGTGTTGTCCGCTGGAAATTATGGCTTAACTGCATTTGTGCGGCAAAGGCCCGACGAAGACCGTCAACCTCCATGTTCGTGAATTTGCCGAAGAACCAAGCCAGCTTCAGCGTTTAGTAGTGATTTTGCATGTGTACCAAGCTCATTAGCTAGACTGCTTCCATATATTTACCTCTGCCGCGCGTAACATACGTTGATGATGTTACACCAAAGTAGGGGCGCTGCCCCCGCCCACACTGGTACATGTTCAACAACTGCGAATCAGCTCCAGCCTCTATTCATTATACCATCTTGCTCGACCCGACGGGCGTCGGCGCACAGCCGGAGGAGTGCCGCGAGCCTTCTACGTGCGACGGGGCCTCAGCGGAGTACTAGAGGTATGGCGCCGATAAGCCGCTACATAGTAAAGAGATGGCCGACGCGAGATGGTCCCCTCCTCCGGATTGACAGGCCTGCGTGTGCTGGCCATCGACGCTGCGCAACCGTTTGATTTCGAGCACCGCATGCGACAACGCATAAATGACGAAACCCGGCTTAAAGTTGGCATTGTGGGCTTCGGCACGTTCGGGCAGTTCTTAGCGAAGCGTCTTGTCGCCAAAGGACACCAGGTATCGTACCCCTGTGTTTTGGGGGGGCTGTATGGAGTCCAGCATATCCGGGTTGACCTTCAGCCCACTCCATGATCTTGGTCCATGGTCTTTCACACGATTTTGCCGTCAGACATGGGGCATGGCATGTTTTGCTCCTGCTGTACTTGGGGTCTGGGACGCTCGTCAAGAGTACCCCAGATCGGTCTGTGCCGGTTCCTTACCATGCCAACCGGATACATACCTCCTACTTGAACGGCCGCAAGGGTGTTAGCGCACACGACTTTTGGGTTGTGCTAACGGAGCCGCCATCCTTGCACGCCTTTGTAATCCACTGCAAAACTCCGGGGCAGGTGATTGCGACCTCTCGGACGCCGTACGAGGAGATCGCTCGCAAAATTGGTGTGGAGTTCTACCAGGATGTGGACGACTTCTGTGAGGAGCACCCAGAGGTGGTGCTCCTCGCCAGCTCCATCCTGTCGACAGAGTCGGTGCTCCGGAACCTGCCAGTGCAGCGGCTAAAGCGAAACACGCTTTTCGTGGACGTGTTGTCCGTGAAGGTGCGTGTGCCTGCTGGTTACTTGCCTACGCCCAGACCTACGCCCAGCAGCGTCCCGGAACACCGCCCAGGGACCGCTCAGCAGGGCCTAAGCGCAACCCACATGCATGCTAGGACCTGCTGCTAGAACGTGCACATGGCAGAGAGCACCCATGCGCTTTCCTATACCCCTAGGCCTGCCAGCACCTTGACTGTGGCAGCTGGCTGGCGCCGCAGAGCATGGCATGGCATGGCTCCTGCTCCGCAACGTCAGTTACATCGCCCCTGTCCCTGCCTGTCCGCAACCTTAGCACCCTCCGCACCTACCCTCTGCAGGTGTTCCCCAAGCAGCTGCTGCTGCGTGAGCTGCCGCCCGAGGTGGACATCCTGTGCTCGCACCCCATGTTCGGGCCGGACAGCGGCAAGGGCAGCTGGGCGGGGCTGAACTTCATGTACGAGAAGGTGCGCATCGGGGCGGACCCCAAGCGCGAGCGGAGAGTGGAGACGTTCCTCAAGGTGAGACCGGGATGGGATGGGTGGGATGTGGTAAGGGGCCGTCAGGTTGGTTTGAGTGCATGCGAAGTATGCATGGGTGTATTGCATGTTGGGTGCATCGGGTGTATTGAATGCTGACGCCCTGCTCCTGTGTCTCACTGACGCATGGCAAAGGTGGGAGAGGATGGAGCCTGGAGGGGTTGTGCTGATGTATGAAGCACGCCTCTCCCAAGATCTCTTGACGTGCACCCAGGCTGTGCATTGCACCACAACTGGTGTATCGCACCCTAATTGCGGCTGTTAGGCGTGCCCCGCATGTTCCTGTCCGCGCCTCGGCCGCCCTGTCGCAACCAAGCAAAACCCATGATTCACTCTCGCATGCCGACGCTGCCTCTCGCTCGCAGTTCTTCCGTGAGGAGGGCTGCAACATGGTGGAGATGACGTGCGAGGAGCACGACCGACAGGCCGCCTCCACGCAATTCATCACGCACACGGTGGGCCGCATTTTGGGCACCATGCAGCTTCGCTCCACGGAAATCAACACCAAGGGCTTCGACGCGCTTCTCAACCTGGTCAACAACACCACCAACGACTCCTTCGAGCTGTACTACGGCCTCTTCCTGTACAACCAGAATGCCACGGATGAGCTGGAGCGGTTAGAGAAGGCGTTTGATACCGTTAAGAAGCAGCTGTTTGGACGGTTGCATGACATCGCACGGCAACAGCTGTTCCCAATGGTTGATGCGAGGAGCACAGGGGCAGGGAGCGGGAATGGCAACGGCATCGTTGTTCCGGCGTCGTCGCAGCCGGTGCTGCCGGCGCCACGGGAGCCGCTGGCCCTGCCGGCTGCAACCCAGCAGCAGCAGTACGCGTCTGGCAAGACGATTGATGTATAGCCGGGTAATGTTAAGCCAGTTGGTACCGCCGGCTATACGCTTGGGATAGGGGATAGGGGACGCATGAGTGCTTGCGTGCATTGCTTCATGCGGGGCAGGCCTTACACGGGATGGTGGAACTGTACATGTTGCATGGTATTTGGCGCGCGTTGAGTTCGGGTAACCCTAGGTAGTTTCAGCGCAAGAATGCTATAGTTGAAGCTGGTTAAGCTTGCAGGCTTAGCCACGCCGCCCTGGAGCCTCATGCGACGGGCGCGTGGCTTGAAGTTGATAGATCCTATAGGCTTTCTTTCTTGAGCGGAGGGACGCATACCTTGCACCTTTCACGGCAGGGCCATGCATCCTGCGACCTGGTGTTGCAACACCTGCCCAAAGAAGGGTTGATGGCAAGGTTGGGAGGTGGCGGAGGGGATGCTGTGGACGTTATTTTTCAGTAACGTTATTTTTCATGTCCAAACGGGAGCGTTGTTGAGGTGTGACAGCATAAGTGTTACAAGCCTTCAATTGAGGCAAAGCTTGTGTCCCGGGCGTAACAACGCTGGGTTTCTTTCCGTACGTGACCTGACGTACGTGCCCCAGCGTACGTGCCCCAGCGTAAGGGGGATGAGTACTATCACGTCCATTAGGCATACCTATAAAGGTAACAGGTGTAACGAAACCTACGGTGTCGCAGAAGGATGTTCATTGCCTCCACATGGCGTCACTAGTTCTACATTACGAGTCTACCCACAGCAGCTCCCTCAGTTCTCCAAAAACCATCCAATCACAAGGATCACAATTTGGTTCCCCTGCCGTTCCCAGCCTGTCCACCTCCGTATCGTAACATCAACAACCATACCCAAAACATGTCATGCACATCAGCTACTATACAATCCCCTTGCTAAGGGATAGGGGCACAATGCCCCAACTACCTAACACCTCTAACACGTGTCCACCGTCGCTACCTAACACCTCTAACACGTGTCCACCGTCGCGCCAATGGCCAAGAACGCAGCCAGCAAGCGGACGAGCAACCTGAAGCTACTGCCAGTGCCAGCACGTCTGTGAGGTTGCAGCGTCTTTCTATGCTTCTCCCAAGCGTTACCATGCGCCAGCCCATGCGCCAGCCAGCAGCCAACCGCGACAAGCAAACTGCGCCCAGCTAAACCCTAAGTGAGGCCGTACACGTTGTCTCCTCCGGTACCCACGCCGTCGGGCAGCCCAGAATCCTGACGCCAGGCGACTATCACCGGGTTCCCTTCTTGCCCTTCTTGTAAAATTGGTTCTTCCCCGCAAGGACGGTAACCTTCTTCTTGCCGCCCTTCTTCATTACTGCGCCCTTGAGGGTCTTCTTGAGCTTCTTGACCCGTATGACCGGCTTGTCCGCGGTCTCCATGGCAGTGTCTGTTTCCGTCGCCTCAGACGCTGGTCGTTCAGGAGCAGGAGCTGCTAAGCAAGCGGCTAGCGCCGCCTGCCGTTTCTCCTCTGCCGTCGCAAGCCAAGTCGTTTGCTTCTGCAGCTGTTCACGACGCTGCGTTCGCAACTTCTTTTGGGAATTACTCCTACCTGACTTTGCCATTGTAGTATAAGGAACTAGGGAATGTGCTATATGACAGTTATAGTTATAGCAAGAGGGACTGAAGTATAGCAGAAATGTGCAGGAATTACGCGCACCAGTGATGACGAAAAGCCAGTTCGCGCGGGCCTGGTTATTAAGAGGGCAGCTTACTTGTCGTACGCTTGCTTTGTCATTTTCTATAGATTGCTGACGCTGAACAGCTAAGAACAGCACCGGCTGACGCTTGCCCTGGACTGCATATGTTGGCTGAAGTATCTCCAAAAAAGTCCAGTTGCTTAGTAGGCACACAAGCTATAGCGTTCGCTTCTTGGAGCCAGCCCAGATCACGATCCCACGGTATTAACATCGGCAAAGCACCTAAACCTATGTGTTAAGTGCTCCGGATACACTCTTAGGTCGCTGTCATAGGGCTGCATCATACAATGGCACAGCTACTCAGCTTCCTGTTTCAATCCCATTTGTCGGGGGCAGCAGTTATCCCGGCTATTAGCGTTTCTGCAGCACATTCGATGGCTGGCAGCGCGTTGCGTTCGGCAAGGAGGCTGCATTCCACCGCATGTCCCTTGGCCGAGCACGCGTGGGCGTCCCAGCAGACACGTTGCGAACATGTCCGCCAGATGCAAACGGCGACTGAGGGATCAGCAGCGCAGCCCAGCGCCTGCACAGGAGCGCCAAACCAACGGCAACAACTTGCGAGCCTTAACGGCATTATACCGCTTTCCCAGGGAGCGGCCGTTCAGGTTCAAGCGGACGCTATTCCAGCACCCCCGGGGTTGACAGGATACTCGTTGCCCTCCCTGCATCATGATTTGAGCCAAGCTCAACGGCGAGCTCAGTACACCAGCAGCAGCTTGCGTGCATCCACCAACGCCTCATCACCCCTCGGAGCCCACGGTGCTGCAGCGCGCTGGCCGCAGTTGCAGGCGCACTTCCTGACTCCCGATGGCTCCTTGGACCGCAGCTGCCGGCGCTACCAAACCCTCACACCCACCCTGCAGGCGGACATTCAGGCGTCTGCCCTCAAGAAACAGACCGGTAGGGCCTAGGGACTGACGCCTGTTCATGCGCTAATTGGTCAGGGCTGTGTCATCTTATAGCAGCGGACTGGGTTGCCTCTGCTGGGCATATAAGCGTATCCACATTGCTGCCCTCCCGCCGCCCTCCCGCAGGCGTCAGTCTGAAGTACCTGCTTGACTTCGGCACCCAGCCTCTGGAGCGTCAGATGCTGCTGTCCGCCCGCTTCCTGCATTCGGAGCTGCCGGTGCGGCTGGCGCACCGCCTCATGGACCTCAACAACCTGCCGCAAAAGCTGACCAACGAGCCGCACGTCAAGCGTGTCAAGGTACCGTAATGGGGGGCTGCTGGAGGGGAGGGGGGTGAAAGACCATACCGAACCATAGGAAACCACAGGTTGGGGCGAGACAATGGGGAGGGGGGGGCCCGGAAGGGAGGATAGGAGCCCGCTAGTGACGAGGGCAGGAGGGGCGGGGGCTGCACGCCGGGGGGGGGGAGGCATAGGTGTCGTGGGGAGTGTCGATTCGGCTGGTCTGGGTCAAAGGGGCTCAGGGGTTGATCTGGGCCACAGGGGCTTAGGGGTTGATCTGGGTCACAGGGGCTTAGGGGGAAACAAGGGGGTTGTGGTACAGCAATATACGGTGAAGAGCATGTGGGTCAGGTCCTCAGGTCTGGTTGATGAGGTGTGCGGAAGGAGGCGTTGAAAAGGAGGCGTTGTACGGCGGGCCTGGTAAAGCAGAGGGCTTCCCTGGCTGCTTGGCTGCAGGGCTGGTACGCGGAGTCGTTCGCCGACTTCCGCGCCTTCCCGCCCATCAAGGACAACGTGGACGTGGTCAAGTTCACGGCCATGCTGCGGAACGCCTTCCGCCGCCACAACAACGTGGTGCCCGCCATCGCCAAGGGAGTGGAGGTGTACAAGCGGGAGCTGGAGGTGGGAGGGAGGCAGGGAGGGAGGAAGGAGAAGCAGAAGGGAGGGAGGAGAGAATGCGGGGTGCGGGCACCTAAGGACGCGATCCTCTCATTCATCGCCTGGAGGCCACTCCTCGTCGTCAGGCGCTTACTCGAACACGTTATCCATCTTCCTTCCCGCCTTTCAGCGCACCGGCGAGTCCAGTCAGGAGCGCGAGAGTGAGATCCAGCACTTCCTGGACACCTTCTTCCTGTCGCGCATCGCCATCCGCTTCCTGGCGGGGCAGCACATCTCCATGTTCGAGCCGCCGCGGCCCGAGCACATCGGCCTGGTGCACACCAAGTGCAACCCCTTCCTGGTAGGGCAGGGGCGAGGAGTGTGGGGGGTTTAGGGGTGTATGGAGAAGGAGCGAGGATGGCGGGTGGTGCATGGACTGTGCGCAGGGTGGCGTGGTTGCGCGGTGGCTGCCGTACACGAACCCGATGTGGATTTCGCGCCATATGGGTTTCGTGACCCCATCATGCTGCACTCCATGCCACGCCATGCGTGTTTACATCACCCCCCTCCCCCTCTCTTTCTTCCCCTGCTCTGCCCTGCGCACGTGCAGGTTGCCTCCGAGGCGGTTTCGGAGGCCCGCTCCATCTGCTTCCGCGAGTACGGCGGCGCGCCCAACGTGACGGTGCTGGGCAACAGCGACCTCACCATGGCGTACGTGCCCTCGCACCTGCACCACATGGTGGGGCGGGACGGGGCGGGAGGGAAAGGGAATTGAGCAGTGAAGCACATTCCCATGTTCCGACTGAGTGGGGAGGAGGGAAAGAGTAAGGCTCGAAAGCTGCTACGGATACCGTTGTAGCAACCTATCGCATCCTACTTACGTCGCCCTTTGCCCTCGCGCCTGCTGCCCCTCCCGCCCTGCTCCTTGCCCTTGCAATCTTCACCCTCCTGGCCTCCTGGCGGACCCTCGCCCCCTTTCGCCCAGGTGTTCGAGCTGGTCAAGAACAGCCTGCGGGCGGTGCAGGAGCGCTTCGGGGACAGCGACGACGAGCCGCCCCCGATCGTGGTGGTGGTGGCGGAGGGGCTGGAGGACGTGACCATCAAGGTGGGGGGGCTGCCTGGCTGGCTTGGGGGTTGGTGACCCGTGGGTCATGTCAATAGCATGTGGGGTAGACGCTTGGGTACCGGGGTAATACCGAGGGACAAATGAGGCTAGCGACGAGGCTGTGACGGCTGGGCCCACCCTCTAGCAGCACGCCTTGGGAACCTCCTCTGCACGCAAGCCTCGCTGCACGCTGCACCATCATATCTCTCATTTGCTCCCACCTCCCACCTCCCCTTCCCTCCTCTACCCTTCGCTCCCTCCTGTCCCCTCCCCTCTCTTCTTTTCGTTATGTTTCCCTCCTCCTCCCTCCCCCCCCTCCTGTCCGACCAGGTGTCCGACCAGGGCGGCGGCATCCCCCGCTCCGGGCTGCAGCGCATCTGGACCTACCTCTACACCACCGCCCGCTCGCCGCTGCCCGAGGTGGACATCGACACCTCCAACATGCCCGCAGTGCTGGCGGGGTACGGCTGCGGACTGCCGCTCAGCAGGCTGTACGCGAGGTGGGGCGGGGGGGCCGGGGGGCAATGGGAGGAAGAGGGAGGATGGCCGTCTCAAATAAAGCTAAAACCTTGCGGCTTGGGTCCTACAAGGATTCATCCTGTAAGGGTCGGGTGTTTGCAAGGAGTACGAATGCCTCGATGCTGCCGCCCCCCCTTCTCTAAGCTCGTCAGTCTTATCGTCAGTGTCTCATTACCGGTATATTTTTTTTTTACCCTTCCCTAAGCCCCTGCTGCCCCCCCTGTTCCCGCTCCCTCCTCTTCTTTTCCCTCCCCCCTGTCTCCAGGTACTTTGGCGGCGACCTGCAGATCATCTCCATGGAGGGCTACGGCACGGACGCCTACCTGCACCTGGCACGACTGGGCAACGACGAGGAGCCGCTGCCGGGAGCGGTGTGAGCCTCGTGAGCGGCAGTTGGGGGGATTAGATAAACTGAGCTGAGTTTGGGGGGGTAGGGGGGGTGCAGCAGCGGTGGGGGGGGAGGGACGGATGAAGAGGCTGCAAGCTGTGGTCTTGCCGGACATCGGACATGGGACGTCATCATCCTCATCAGAAGCGCTGTGACGCCATCGACTGTCGTACCGCCATTCATACATTTCGTCACTGCCAGCTAGCATACGTTTGCTGTACCGCGGTTGGCGGTGGCAGGCTGGGGCCTGGGGTCTTGTTGGGGAGCTGCAGGTTGTGTAGCTTGTAGCAAATACCTCTTGGCGTTAGGGGCGGTATCATCCGGATGGGTCCTGGGAAGGCGGCGGTTATTGGTAGGCAGCGTGCGCGATCGCCCGATGCGTACAAGGACTATGCGTTCGGGTCCGTTGGGAGTGAGTTGTGGCTTAACTGTGCTGTGCTCAGACAGGCCTTTTCTGCGTGCGCGCATGTGAGAGTGGTAGGGCGGCTTTGGCAGAAGGGGGTTAAGCATGATGAACTGCGTCATGTTTGGGCATGCAGGGAAGATTGCGAGGTCTAGAGACCTATCTACATTGACCTATCTTATTGATCATTGTTGGATGAGTCTGCACAATTTAACCTAACTTTTGGTTATCTTTTATATGGTATCAAGGGGGGGGTAGTTTCGCCTCAAAATGACTCCATGCTTCAATATTAAAGAACTCAACGAGAGCATTCCAATTCCGCTTTCAGAATTGTAATCGGAGTTGTACGGAAAAAGTTATAGGCTCCCAAAGTTGGTCGTACGGCAGGGGTGGGTAGGTGGGTCCGGAGCCCCAATGACTTTTTTCTTTGACCTCCAAAACTTTTTTCCTAGGTATCGTTTCGCCAAACGGATAGCAGATTTAGTATTACTGTTATAGTGTATGCATATTATGTTAATATTAGAGCCTTTATGTGGAGTTTGCGGGTGGCATGTCCCCATGGAACACCCTAGCTGGCCAAACATACACGGTATGGCTTCTCCAGAGGCAAAGCAAGCTGCAGGGACAGGGGCTAAGGTGGAAGGGGCCCATAGAGGAACCAAACGAATAAAATCACAAAGTTAGGGCAAGGTTAAAGGGGGAGGGCACGCAACAGGCGTACTGACGACACACCCGTGGCAGGTGCGTGGACACATGCGTGGTTCTGCATCTGGTGCTGAGGGCGATGGGGTGCAAGCCCAACCTGCTACCCGGGGGAGGGGGCGCAATCGTACCAATGGCAGGGTCATGTGAGGGACGCAGTGGCAGGTGGGCTGGAGCACACTTACCAACGCAACCGTGCACTCAAGCATCACAGACATGCATGTGAGGTTTAAAAGAGATGTGTATCGGCTGCATACCACATACCAGAGAGCATTGAGTCTGGCAGCCTGCCTGCTCCCCCCCCCCCCGTGTGGCCAGCGACTCGGACATGTTGCCAAATGGTACGCCTAACGTGAGAACGACGAAGATCATGTGAAATGGAGTCGAATGGTGCTTTTTGGGGGCGATTTTGCGAAGTTTACAGCGTTGTCGTACAGCAAAAACGGTACGACAGGGTGGGTGGGTGGGTCCGGCACCCGTTTCTTGACTTTTTTAGCATGGGGTTTGGCAAAGACTTTTTTACCCCCCCCTGATGGTATTCATTTTTTATTGGCTTGTCGGAGGCGACACCTTCGATAGCTTGGTTAATTTTGTTACCTCTCTTACCTTCGTTATCTTCGTTCTCTTTACAGGGAGTGTTCCCAACCCGGAAAGGAGTGTTCCCAACCCGGAAAGGAGTGTTCCCAACCCGGAAAGGAGTGTTCCCAACCCGGAAAGGAGTGTTCCCAACCCGGAAAGGAGAACTCAACGGGTATGAAGGAGTGTTTCCAACAGGAATGAAGGGGTGTTCCCAACCCGAAAGGAGTGATCCCAACGGGTAAGGAGTGTTCCCAACCCGGAAAGGATAACCCAACGGGTAAGGAGTGATCCCAACGGGAAAGGAGTGTTCCCAACCCGGAAAGGAGAACCCAACGGGTAAGGAGTGATCCCAACGGGTAAGGAGTGATCCCAACGGGAAAGGAGTGTTCCCAACGGGAAAGGATGGATAAACGTTATGTAGCGGCACCGCGCATATAAACCTTTCTAGGGGCGCCTGGGCTGATATATACCTCGAGGTATATATCACAGGGTTCTCCCGTATATATGTTTATACGCAGGGCCGCGCGCATTAATGATTACCGGTACCCAAAATATTTACTAGTTGGCTTTTCTCTTACCAGTTGGCTATTCTCCTTACCAGTTGGCTATTCTCCTTACCAGTTGGCTATTCTCCTTACCAGTTGGCTATCCTCCTTATCAGTTGGTTATTCTCCTTACTAGTTGGTTATTCTCCTTACTAGTTGGTTATTCTCCTTACTAGTTGGTTATTCTCCTTACAGATGTCCAGACAAAACCATATCGTAGACCCCAGTGACATAAGTTTTAGTATAGTCCCAATCCCTAAGCCTCCTCCAACCAACATATCCGATTTACCTGGCACAGCCTTGGATATGATTTTTAACAAATATCACACAAAAGTAAAAACACATTTTACACCTCATTTAATCCTACGCTACACAGGGTCGAATCCACTGACCACAGTAAATAAACAATTCAACACTTTAAATAAGGAGCGTGTTATTGCAAACTTAAAAAACAAGCTGAACAGTATAGTTGACGATAAACCATACCTTAAGAAGGCGCTATTCAACTGTTATAAATCTGCTGGACGCGGCCTCTGGACGTATCCTGAGTGCTGGCGTAAAATATGTGCGTCAACGAGCCGCGTCCCAAATATATATACCAAGCAAGTAGACGGTAGCATCAACAGGAAGGAACCAATAACGAAGAAAGAAGGCAAGTCAACCCCAGCAGCAATCAGTCCACAAGGGACGCCGTACATCGCCATGGTAAGGTCTTTAGGCGCTCCAAAACCACATTTTTGCTGGACGCCAAAATATAATTTTTCCTTCTTCGAAGCTTTTGTCATTGTAATACCATCCCCTTGCCATACTGCATGCGTTCAAACAGGGTGCATGAATATGGACCCCTACAACAAGTTGCGAGGCTCCATGGGCTTCCCCGTTGACTTCGAGGTGGGCCAAGCCATCAACAAGTACAACGAGGCCAAGCTAAAGGCCATTTATCAGGGATGCAATAACTATGTGGTCAAGCTGGTTTGCTCAGGAGGAGGAACGACGAAAGGCTTCTTCAACGGCTTTTTTTACAGCGACAGTAACCTCATTCTGTCGTCGGGTCACATTTCGGGCTTCGGTGGTGCGGACAAGTATGAGGCGTTGTTCTTCCATGGCACAGCGCTGGCCAAAAGGTGCGAGCTGAAGCTGCTCCATCTGGGATCCTTCGTCGGCCAGGCCACCAGCAGCGCCGGCATCCCATTCAATGTCTACAACCCGGATGTGGCAGTGCTCGAGTGCCCGGACGTGCCACCCCACCCGCCAAGGCCGTTTGCCGAGGTAGTCTCTCCTGGGGCCTCGGTGTGCGTCGTAGGCTTCAAGGGTGTGGACGAGCCACAGCTCAGCATCTCAGACGGCATCGTCTCCTACTCGGGTATGGACACCATGCACATTACAGCCCACGTCGATGACAGGTACTCCGGCAGTCCCGTCCTGAGCACACAAGGCTACGTTGTGGGGATGGTCAAGGCGGGGCTGGGCACCACCATCAAGCAGGTGGAGGTCGTGAGCGCCCAGACCATCCACAGCTTCCTGGTGTCAAAAGGCCTTCCTGGCTTCAAAGGCTGAGGCACCACAGAAGCCGACAGCGCCCAGGTGCAGCTGGGACCTGACACTGCAGGGCCACCGACTCCCAGGTGGCAAACAGGTGGTGAATGCATGTGGCATGGTTGCATTCGCCACCTACCTGGTTATCTGAACGAGAGGAGGAAGGATGGGGTGGGTGAGATGGGTGCTGAGATGAGAGATGTGAGCGAGGAATGAGGAACATGCACGGTTCAACTGAACTATTCAACTGGGAATAACCTATTCAACTGATGTCCAGCACTCAACTCCATGCACCTGCAGTGCTTTTCACGGGGTGGTTCTACACACCTATCATGGGTCGCAGGACCAAGGTGGACTTCAAGATCCACAACAACTACAAGGTCACAGCACGCTTCTCGTGCCAAGGCACATCATACGAGTTCCTCATGAAGAGGTGGGCGAAGAAAGGCAGCTCGGTTCAGAGCCCAACGTTTGACTTCTTTGCCATGCTCGTGTGTGTCGAGTTACAGCATGGCACCGACTTTGCAACAACAACGGTTCAGGTTGAGGTGGTTTGGATGTTGCGGGGTTGTATTGCATGATGGAAATGCCAGTTGGGGTGGGGATACTGTGGTTGCATCTTACAACGAACTCGTAGCAATGGACCACTTCCCTCCCGACCAGTTGGTTGCCATTGAGGCAGAGGAGAAGTTTGACCGGTGTGGCAGCCGCCTAACAGAAGAGGATAGGTCATACCTGCGCGGCCGTATGGTAGGTAGCCTAATAATAGGCTAGTCTCGAATGCCTTGGGTTTGAGCATCGTGTTCCTGGTTTGCTTGAGTTATGATATGGGTGCATGCATCTTGTGTCATAGCCCTCATACGGCTCATAGGACTTGAAGCATGTTGGAAAACTGTGTTCTAAGATGGGACATGTTGGGAAAGGTGATTCCCAAGAAGGTGCGGGGACAACCTCGGAGGAAACCGACTCTGTTTTAAGCCTGCGTTTGTTGCCCACGGTCCTCTTCGGGGTTAGGGAATGAGTATGCTGGCAGCACCCTTGCTGGCGGGCTGTCGGACGTGCCACGTGTTCACACGCACGGATTCCTTCCCTGCATGCCCGCTGATCAGGTTCTCCTTACGCATGCTGTCGCATACATACCAGCAATAACCCATGACACGTTGTAAGCGCGGAGGCGAATGAGTATATAAGCGGGACCGGAGGATTATGGCACGCTGCGATATCCTAGGACCTCACCTCCTCCCAACATGGTGCTTTGCGAATGTCGCTCATACGTTGGTTACTGGTCACGTGCTTACCATAAGACATTTCTCACTTAGTCCTTCGCTGCAAATGTGAGCCAGATGCTGCAGAAGGATGAAAACCTTAGTCATTATCAGCGGTCGGTTGGAGTCTGATGGATGTACGAACGAATGGATTCGGAAAATTTGGCGGGCCGGTACCCGCTTAGTGACAGCCCAACATCGATCCTTGGCACCGCATGTGTAAAGGTTGAGCGCTCAAAGAGAAAGCGCTTGGAGCAGTAGATGTTTGAATCAAGAGCGACGGCCATGCGGACGTAATTTCTTTTTACTCGAGGCCAACTCCGCGCTTTGTGGTTTGGCTTCCACAGTTCTTTAAGTCCCCCGGCAACATCTCAGTAGTAACTAAAAGCTATGGCTTACGGCTCCAATCCAGTCGTGCTCCGTCGCGAGCAGCAGGATGCAATGGACCTAGTTGATGATGATGCAGTTGTGGAGCTCGAGGATGACTTGGATGATATTGATGACGGTGGTGATGTTGATTACCAGCGGCAGGATGAGCAACAGCAGGAGGAGGCACCAAAGGTTGCCCCAATCGATGAGGAGCTGCTCATCAGCGTTTCCCAGGGCCTGGGCAGATGGATGGTAGACGCAAAAACCGATCAGAAAGTATATGTGAAGGACCAAGACTGCATAGGTGAGGAAGCTCGTGCGGAGGAGGTAAATGTTGCTACTACACCCTTACTCTTGTCCACAGCGCGCTGGTGCAGGCATCTTCGCCTTATACACCCTAAGGGTCAGCACAGCCAGTTTTTCATCTCCCTTACAATGCCACACCCAAAACGTCTTCATACTTCCGTTCTCTGCCCTCTCGTACGGCTCCCTCTCACCCCCACTTCCCACCAGACCCCTTCTCCCTCACCCAACAGCACCTCCGCTTGCCATGAGCCTTGTTCCCTCCCCACCAACCCTCCGCTCCCCCACCTCTGCATCTCCTTCCCCCCACCTCCCTTCCCCGCCCTTCCCGTCCCTCAACACATCAGAAATCCTTCTTCTCCCCTCCCTCCCCCAGGCTGCCTGAAGGACCTGCAGCGCTTCCTGCGCCGCGACGACCCCGACCTGCGCCCCGCCTTCCACCTGCTGGGCAAGTGGCGGCTGGCGGCTCGCGACCTGGTGCCGCTGCTGGTCACCTACCCGCACGACAAGGAGGTCGCACTGCAGACGGGTAAGAAGAGAGCGGGGGGGAGGACACGCAGGGAGCGGGCGCGGGAGGCAGCCTTTCCTCCTATGAGGTAGCTTTCCCTTCTTACCCCTTTATGGTGTAGCCTTCCCCTCCTACCCCTTTCCTCCAATGGGGTAGCATTCCCTCCCCATGTTGTAAACTCCCCCCTCTCCTGCCTCCCACACTTCCGCCCTCCCCCCCCCTTCCCGCAGTCAAGGTGCTCACCTACCTGACCCTGCCTGTGGACCCCTCCACCGCCAAGGTGCCCGAGCAGGAGGGCTACCTGCGGGATGTCAAGGAGGCACTGCTGAACCAGGTGGGGCGGGGGTGGGGGGTAAAAAGAGGAAACTGACGAGCTGACGAGGTGGGGAGGGGGTGGGGGGCTGTTGGTGGGGTGTTTGTGCTGGACTGGGTGTGGCAACGTAGACTGAGGAATGTTATCCGCCTGTCCACGCACTCTTCCTTCGCGCCTCTCTCCCTCCTCCCTTCTCTAACCCATCTTTCTCCATAATTCTTCTCCGCCCGCCCCACCTGCCTCCCCCAGGACGCCCTGGTGGCCGTGTTGGGTTTGGTTGCGGAGCCGCTTGCCGCCCACCCGCGCATGTCCCCCGAGCAGCAGTCGGCGGTGCAGCTGGTGCTGGCGCTGGTGAGGAACCTGCTGGCGGTGCCGGACGAGCGGCCCTCGGCCACACTGGCGGCGGGGGAGGCGCGGACACGGCTGCAGGTAGGAGGCGGGGTGATCAGAGGAAACTGAAGAGGGGGGGGGAGGAGGCAGGGGAGGAGGGTGAGCAGGTGAGGGAGAAGGGGTGCAGTGAAATTTTCTAGAGTGAGGTCATGGAGGGAGGTGAAGGACGGAAGCCATAACAACCCCGTGTTAACACTCAGATACCGGTATTGAGATCCAGTCTTCTTGATAGCCGCTATTGCCCGGATAAGCCCTTACCCCCAACTCCCCCAACCCTACCCCGCCCCTCCTTTCCCACCCCCACGCCCCCCCAGTCCTCCTTCCTGTCCCTCCTCTTCTCCGAGAGCCTCATGGAGCTCCTTCTGCTGGTGGCGCAGCACGGAGGCCAGGCGCCCCTGCGGCGGGAGATGCCCACACTGCTGGAGATCGTGGCACACACCCTGCGCGACGTCACCCCGGAACAGCTCATGGAGGCCAAGCAGCCGCCGCCACCACCCGTGCAGAAACGTAAACCCGAACAGCAAACGCAAGAGGTTAGGGCGGAACCCCCGCGGCAGACGCAATCACAGCAGCAACCAGCAGCCGCGGGGAAGCCTTCTGGAACTGCACGGCCCTCCCCCGCCGCCTTCCACCCCACCGGCAAACTATCCGCGCCACAGCAACCCCCTTCCGGCCGCTTCCCACCCCCTGGAGCGCCCTCCTCCTCGCAGCCCCGGCGGCCCGGCCCTCCCGCCCTGGACAGCGCAGTGGCTGCACAGCTGAAGCGGCAGCAGCTCGCCGCGGCCGCTAAACTTCGCTCGGCTCCCTCGCGACCCGGCGGATTCGTGGGCCGGTTTGTGGTGGCGCACTCGGAGGACCCCAATGCGGAGCAGCGCAGGACGTTCCTCACCAAACCGGGGGCGGCCAGTGCGGCGGCGACCACTGTACGACAACACATTGTGGAGGTACGGCGTCTCGCAACCACCGCAACCACCCTCCAACCACCTCCAACCACCTTTAGGGGCTATAGTGTGCATAGCTCATGTGGGTCGCGGCTCATGCGCGGATCGGCTTGACATCCCTGTGAGTATGCCCCTTCCGCAACCCCTCTCCCCCTCATAACATCCCAACCACCTCACCTCCCGTCAGGCTCCTCCCAAGCTAGACAAGGGCTCCAAGGGCCCCTCCACCGCCCCCTCCGCCTCCGCCTCCTCGGCTCGGTGGGTGCGGCGGGATGCGGCTGCGCTGCTGTGGCAGCTGAGGTGCTGGGCGGACGAGCTGCTGGGGAGCGGGGGGTACAACCAGGTAGGGTTAAAGAATATATAATGAGACACTGACGATGCAACTGACGAGCTGTAACCAGGTGGGGGGAGGGGATGAAAATAGACCAAACCAGTTGGGGGGAGGAGGAAAAGGAAGAACCACTGTGTCAGATGAATCGAGAGGTTTGTTGGGAACAGTCGGACAGTAAGGGTCATCAGCCTCATTCTGCTCCCCCGGCTCTTCTTAACCGCCCCATCACCCCGAACCCCATCCCTTCCCCGACCTCCTCCCCCCTACCCCTCCCCCCCTCCCTCAGATGATGGAGGTGATCCGCCGCGACGTGTCCGCGGGAGTGGGTGTTGGGCGGCTGGAGCGCCCCGACCTCCTGCGCTTCATGCAGGTCGCCGCCTTCTTCACTCGCTACTGCAGGATAAAGCAGGAGGCGCAGGCCGCCAAGCAGGGCGGGAAACAACCCCCGGCGGCGGCGGGTGCTGCTGCTGCTGCTGCCGCCGAGGGGGGTAAGGCTGCAACCGCTAACGGCGGCAGCACTGCAGCTAACGAGGCAGGGGCGGCTGGCAGCGGGGGTGCAGGGGCGGCAGCAGCTGAGGCCGGCTCCCCGTTTGTCGGCATCAGCATGACCATGGGTTGGGACACGTTCCACCTTGTGTGCAAGTTGTGGGTGGAGCAGGCGGACACCAGCATGCGCATGCGGGACTGGGAGCTGCAGGTGGGGGGGGATTAAGGAATCTGAGGAACTTTATGTCGGGCGGGGGGGAGGGAGGGAGGAGGATGAAGACCCAATGCGGTGAATGGGGGGGGGGGCGGGTGGGAGGGAAAGGGAAGAGATACGAGGAAACTGGCTGTGAGAGCGATGTTCAAGGGGCGGGCGGGGGTGCGTGCCGGTCACAGGGCTCCTCTTCATTGCTGGTGATGCGGTGGCCTGACAGTCTCACCAGTCGGTTGTTGTCCGGCCGCGATGCAAACCGCCTGGCCACCTAAACCAATACCGACGCAAATCCCCATCCCTCTCCCCTTCCATACCTCCCCTTCTATACCTCCTCCCCTCCTCTCTCCCCCCCCCTCCCCTCCCTCTTCCTCCTCCCCCCCCCCAGGCTGTCTCCATGCGGCTGCTGTGTGAGATGCTGGCGGTGCTGGCGGGCGCCCACCGGCTGGGCAGCCGGGAGGACCGGCAGGCGGCGGACAGGCTGCAGCGGAGGCTGCTGCATGACGACCTGCAGGTGGGGGGGCGGGGGTGGGGGGGGGAATGAAGCAACTGGAGGTGGGGAGGGGGAAACACGAGTTCCCGGAGGCCGGGGAGAGGGTGCCTCCATGCAGCCCTACTCCCCTCCACCTGCACCCTTTGCCAACCCTGATGCAACCCAACCCATGATGAAGCCTTGTCTGCGCTTAATGCCCTCCACCTTACCCCTCCCTCCCTCCCTACCCCCGCCCTCCCTCCCCCCCCCAGGAGAGCGGCTTGCTGCCGGTGCTGTCCCGGCTGATGTCCTCCTTCCAGCCCACCCGCCAGTCGCGCAGCTACGCATGCGACCTGGTGATGGGGCTGCATTACGTGCTGCGGATGTACGACAGGCTGACCTCGCTGGAGCCGGGCGGGTTCCTGGTGCGGGCGAAGAAGCGGGGCGGGGGAGGGAGGCGGAAGGGGAGGAAGGGGAAGAAGGAGGACGGCGAGGAGAAGGAGGAGGAGGTGGGGGAAGGGAAGGAGGAAGGGGAAAAGGAGGAGGGGGAGAAGGAGGAGGGGGAGGAAGGGGAGGGCGAAGGGTCAGGGGAGGGAGGAGAAGGAGGAGGAGCAGCGGGCCGGAGGAAGGCGCCGCTTGAAGAGCTGGAGGAGGAGGCAGAGGTGGGTGGGGATGGTGGGGGTAAGGTGGTTCTAGGAACACTGGCCGCAAGTCGGAAGGTGATGTGCTGTGTGTATTTGACTGGGATGAGGGGTGGGGGTGGGGGTCGCAGGTGGCGTGTTTGGTTCTCTAGAACCTATGCGGGGGAAAGGGGGCGTGAGCAGCTGGGTGGCCTGTTTGGCTGGGGCTAGTAGCTACACATGTCTGTGTGCATGTCATGGAGGGCAGGTTGACACGCTTGGGTTGCCGCACGTACCATGCAAAGCCCCCTCCCCCTCCCACACACACAACGCGCTCGCCCCCTCAACTCGCCCCCTCTTCACCCTCGTTGAAAGCATACCACCCCCTCAACTGCCCTTCCCTCCACAGGACGACGAAGACGAAGACGACGAGGACGAGGAGGGTGGCGGCCCCCGCGCCCACTCCTCGGGTGTGATCGAGCGCCCTCTGGACCTGCTGTCCAAGGTCCGCGGCAAGCTGGCTCAGCCCGCCGTCATCTACTTTGCCGTACAGCTGCTCGCCTGCTACCACCACGTGCCGCCTGCCGTACCCCGCGCCGTCGCCTCTCTGCTGTACCGCATTGCGGCGCCGGAGCACCTGAACATGGAGCCGCTGCTGTACCAGGTGGGGGGAGGGGGAGGGCGCGGGGAAGGGGAAGAAGAATACCCAGTGTGTTGAATGGGTATGGCAAACAAATCAGGTACCAGGTGTGTGGGGTATAACTGGAAGGAAGTCTGACGAGGCTGGGGGGTCAGAGACCATGGGACCAAACCGTAGGAAATCACAGGTTAGGGCAAAACAGTGGGGATAGGCCGGGGAGGGGGTAAGGCTTAGCCGCATAAGGCATAAGGCAACCCTCCCGTTCCCGATAGGCCTCTAGCCCACACTTGTTCTCTCGTGTTTGTACAGGGTTTGCAGTTACTTACCTCCCTGCCAACCTCGCTTACCCTCCCTCCCTCCCCTCCCCTCCTCGTCCCCCCTGCTTTGCAGCTGTCCGTGCTGCGTGTGTTTTACACGCTGCTGTCGGACAGCTCCCTGCGGCACCCCTCCCGCCTGCCGCACTACCGCGAGGTGCTGCTGCTGGCCACACGGGTGACCCGCAACCTGTTTAGGAAGCTGGTGCCGGAGAGGGCGGCGGAGAAGGAGGGGAAGGAAGGGGAGAAGGAGGGACAGAAGGAGATGGAAGGAGGGCAGAAGGAGGGGGAAGGGGAGGGAGATGGGGAAATGGAAGTGGGAGAAGGGGAAGAGGGGGAGGGAGATGCGGAGAAGAAGGCGACGGAGGAGCGGCGGAAGCAGAGGAGGAAGGAGCTGGAGGAAAAGGTAGGGCGAGGGGAGGACGGATGTCAATACGGCGCATGGGATGTACGGAATGCAGCTTTGATTGGCAGCCCTCTGCCACCTGTTACCCTGTTGCCTAACCCCCTTGGCAGCATCCCAGTCTCTCCATTCCTCTAGCGCTTGACGTCCCCCATCCACTTCTCTTTCTGCCTTCTCCCCTCTCCCTTTGATGCATTTATCTGTATGTTTCACCCCTCCCCTCCCTCCTCCCCCCACCCCCCCCCAGATCCACGACACGCTGCCCCGCGGCCTGATGGTGGACCTGCTGTTCTGGAAGGACCATGCGGGGGTGGCGGCGATAAACCAGGACTACTGGCTGTGGGTGGGTCGGGGGGGGGGACGAGGGAGGTGGTGGGTTGGAGAAGGGGGGGGGCGCGTAAAGGAAGGATGAGAAACCCGCCGGCAAACCCCCTCGTCCAGCCTTGCAACCGCCCATTCATTCACGTGTGCTTGGCTCCGTGTGCTTCTTTTCCCTTCCCTACACACCCCTTCACCGCCATCACTATCTCATTTAAGCCCCCGCCAATCCCCGGTGTCCATGCAACCCCCAGATGGCGGTTGAGGATCGGGAGCGCGAGGAGGAGGAGGGATTCCACCGGGCCGGGGACCCGCAGGAGGCAGGGGCGGAGGGCGCCGCAGCTCGCCGGGGCAACCGCAGGAGGGGTGCTGACGCTTGGGGCGAGGAGGAGGAGGAGGAGGGTGCCGAGAAGGGGGATGCGGAGGAGGAGGAGGGGGACATGGAGGCTCCCAGGATTGGGGGCAGGTTGCGTCGTGGGGGTGCCGGGGAGGAGGAGGAGAATGGAGCAGGAGAGGGTGGCCTGGCGGACGAGGAGGAGGAGGGCGGGGCGGCTCGTGGGGGGCGGGGTCGCGGCACGCAGCGGGGTGGGGTTGTGTGGAGCGATGAGGAGGAGGCGGGTGGGGCGGCGGGCGGCCGGGGAGGTGCTGCAACGGGGGGTGCAGCGGGGGCTGGTGGTGGTGCGGCAGGAGCACCCAAGAAGCCGATGACGCTGAAGGAGCGAGAAGGTGAGTGAAAAGGGAGCAGGGATGGAGATAGCAGGGCGGCTGGGATGGCAAGGAGAGAAGGGTTAGAGACGCTCTTTAGGGATTCCTACGTATGAACCTCTGCGCATTCACTACACCTTCTCCTTGCCGCCCATCCTTCCTCATCCTCACGCCTCGCCCCCTTCCCCCTTTCCCGTCAGAGATGCTCCGCAAGCGCTTCATGAAGACCGTCAAGGTGGGCAATGGCCGCAACAAGCGCAGCGGCAACGCAGGGCTTGACGGGGAAGGAGGCGGAGGCGGTGCGGGAGGTACCGACCGACCCGCGGGTCGCGGTCTGCAGCTCTCCGCCGCTCAGAAGTCGCTGCTGCTGCGGCTGTTTGAGCGGCACAACGCCTCGCGCCACAACATGGACCTCATCCTGGAGGGCATGAAGCGGGGGGCAGCAGCAGCGGGAGGGGAGGCGGAAGGGCAGCAGCAGGAGGGTGGAGGTGCAGCTGCTGGTGGTGGTGCTGTGGCGGGTGTTGAGATGAGCAGCGGGCAGCTGCTGAAGCAGCTGAAGCTGATGGGGCTGAAGTTCCGACAGCTGACGGAGGGGCAGGTGAGGGCTTGTGGTGGGAGGAGGGGGGAAAGGTGCGATGGAGGTGTCGAGATGGGAGGTTGGTTTCCCCATCCCTTCACACACAATCCTAGTAATCCATCCAAGCGCGGAGTTTCCGACGTCTCTCCCTTCCCCCCTCCCCTCCTTCCCTCTTCCCCTTCCCCACCCACCCCCCCAGGTGACCCAGCTGCGCTCGCTGCACACCCGCTACCGCTCCGACCCGGATGCGCTGCTCATGATCGCCGCGCAGCTGCCCGGCGGGTGGACCAGCAAGGACGTGAAGCGGCTGATGAGGAAGCATGGGCTCACGGGGGGTGAGGAGGGGGGGCGGAGGGGAGGGGGGCAGAGGGGAGAAGGGAGGGAGAAGAACCGTGGGATCTGGGAGCCCAAGCGTGATGGCACGATGGTGATGATGCTTAAAGCCGCACGTAAAGTTGGACAGCACTGGGCCGAGGAGGAAGGGAGGGATCGGCGGCAGAGCGCACCAGGTGCCCCAAGAAGCCCCCCACACACCCCCATTCCACCCCGCTCTGCCTCCCACTGCCCCACTTCAGCCACTCGTCGGGGCCGCGGTGCACACGACGACTCCGATGACGGCAGTGGCAGCGGCAGCGATGAGGGTGATGAGGAGGAGGAGGGCGAGGAGGGTGAGGAGGCCCCCGCTGCTGACCCCGCGGAGGTTGCCGCTCTGGACGAGGAGGAGCTGGGGGTGCTGTGGGAGCAGTTCGGGGGGCAGGCGGAGGCGGTGGAGCAGGTGGAGGGGAGGGGGTGGGGGGGAAGCGAGTGGGGAAGCGGAGTGAGATGGGCGCGGAAGATGGGTGCGGAGAGGTGGTGGGGTGCTACTAGGGTGCTGGAGTAGGCCGCAGTCGGGAAGGCGCAGTCGCCTGCTTACCTGCTCCTCATTTGAGACCCCCTTACCGCATGCGACATGCACCCCTCTCACCACTCGCTCCTCTCCTCCCCACCGCCCTCAGATCGCCGCCGGCCTGGTCAGCCCCTCCTCTGCCGCCGCGGTGGCTGCCAGGCTGCGGCTCCTGGGCCTCCTGCCGCCCCTCGAGAAGAAGAAGAAGAAGGAGAAGGCCAAGAAGGACAGCACCAACAAGGGGAAGGACAGGAAGGAGGCCGGCAAGAAGGGCTCCCGCGGCGGTGCGGGTCAGGTGGACGAGTCGGAGCTGCGGCGGCTGTTCGAGGAGCACGGCAAGCGGCCCGACCACCTGAACGTCATTGCGGCGCTGCTGCCGGGGGGGAAGACGGTCAAGCAGGTGAGAGCGGGAGGACTGAGGAGGAGCATGGGAGGGAAGGGGAGTTACACTGTGACTGCACCCGCATGGCTCTGCCCTCCTGCCCTCCTACCTGTCCTGCATACCCGCATCCGCCCCACTCGTCTCTCCCGCCATGCCCCCGCCCTCCTGCAATCTCCCACCTCAGGTTCAGCGGCTGCTGCGCGCCCACGGTCTGCTGGAGGACGACTCGGCTCGCCGCAAGCGCGCGCGTGACGCGATGGAGCGGGCTCGGCTGGTGGCGGTGTACCAGCAGACCCGCGGGTCGGCGGACCAGCTGGCGGAGATGGCGGCCTTGATGCCGGACCTGGGGGGCGGGGCGAAGCAGGTGGGGGAGGAGGTGGGGGGTAGCGCGACGGGTGGACAGGGCAGCGGAGGGAGGGGGGTTGATGTGAGGGGAAGCGGAGAGGTGCATCTGGAGGGAGATATGGTAGTATCGTTAGTAGGTAAGCACGGGAGACACACACACGCTCTCTTCCACCACGCCCCTCTCCTCCCGCTTCAGGTTGCCAAGCTTCTTCGCAAGCACGGGCTGCTGGAGGGTCCCTCACGCGTGCGGAGGGAGCCATCCGGGGAGGAGGAGGAGCAGGGCGTTGAGGGAGGGGCGGCGGGGGGGCGCAAGGGGCGGAAGAGCGCGGCTGCGGAGGCGGAGGAAGGTGGGTTGGGTGCCGGCGCCGTGTTCCAGTAGCTTGGATGACCGCCTGCTTGCATGCCTGGTTGGTTGTATTTACGTTTCACTTGCCCGGGGGATACATTCGACCTCGAGGGGGGAATCCAGTAGGTGACTGCATGTGCTATAACTGTGCACCGCTCATGCACGGGATGCACCTCCAAGCCCAATCCTCAGCTCCTCTCCCCCTCCCTCTCCCTCCCACCCCACCTCCGTTCCAACAGCACCCCGGGCGGGCGGCCCCACCCGTACGGCAGTGGTTCCGGATCCGGATCCAGATCGCATCCTGCAGGCGCTATCCGGCATCCAGGCGGCGTACGACAGCGACCGGCGCTGGATGGACGCCCGCGGTGCCGCCGCCTGGGTGGAGGCGCAGTTGGGGGCGGCGGAGGGGCTGTGGGCGCAGGTGGCGGCGGCGCAGCAGCAGCGGGAGGGAGGAGGAGGCGGAGGTGGAGGGCTGGCTGATTACTGCCTTGTGATGACGTGTGAGGCGGATGAGGACTTTTTCATGACGGAGTATGCGCAGGAGTGAGTGGGGGGGAGGGGAAGGGAGGGGAGGGGAAGGGAAGGTAGTATGAATGAGGTGGGGGCGCGATAACAGGGTGGGAAGAGGGTATCAAAGGAGAGGGCGAGGATGCGGCATGACGTGTTTTGCTTGGGGACTCTGCCGCATCATGCACGACTCACGTCCCTCCCCATCTCGTCCTCGTACCCAGCTCCCCCACCCCACTTTCCCAAACACATCCCTTCCCCCACTCCCCCCCCCCCCCCCCACCCCCTCAGCCTGCTGGAGGCATGCGGCATCCGCAACACCGCCAATGACTACTACAAGGTGCCCGCCGCCTCCTCCCCCGCGTGGCGCCAGAAGGTGCGGCAGGCGCTTGCAGCGGGGCTAGCGGGACTGGGCAGCGAGCGGGCGGGGCAGCTGGCAGCGCAGCTCAGGCAGCAGCGCGCGGAGCAGGAGGAGCGGAGGAGGAGGGAGGCGGCGGCGCGGGAAGCGGCGGAGGCGGAGGCGGCCCGGGCGGCTGCGTTGTTTGCGGGTGCAACGGGGCGGAAGAAGAAGGCGGAGGAGGGAGGGGAGGAGGGTGGTGTGGGTGCTGGAGCGGAGGGAGGGGGCAGGGGGAGAGGAAGGGGGGGAAGAGGAGCGAGGGGAGGAAGGGGGAGAGGGGCGGCGGCGGGTGGGGGACGGCAGGGGAGGAAGGCTGTGCGGGCAAGAGATGAGGAGGAGGCGGATGAGGAGGGAGGCGCCATGGGATCGGACACCGAGGAAGAGGAGGAGCGCCAGCGGCTTCAGAGGCGTCGTAGCGCGGCTGCTGCCGGATCGGAATCAGGCAGCAGCAGTAGCAACAGCGGCTCCTCATCCTCCTCTGGCGACTCGGAGGGATCAGGATCTGGATCCGATTCGGAGTCGGGTGGATCGGAGGGAGGCGACGAGGGTGCTGCGGGTGGTGAGGGCGAGGAGGTGCGAGCTGAGGCGGTGGTGATGCCCAACTACGGCACATCCTCCTCGGAAGGGGAGCAGGAGGATGAGGAACGGGAGGGCGGCGGCAGGAGCGGGCGCAAAGGGCAGGCCCGAGGGAAGGCGGCTGCTGCTGCGAGGGGAGGCAAGAGCGGCGCAGCAGCTGCGGCTGCTAAGGCGGCTGCTGCGGAGGCGACAAGGGAGGCGGCGCGCCGGCGTGTGCCTCAGGCACTGGGGGCCAGCAGCGACGAGGAGGAGGACGAAGGTGCCGCAGGAAGACGGGGCAGGGCGGCAGGAAAGGCGGCAGCGCCGGGCAAGAAAGCAGCGGAGCGGCGAGGCAAGAAGGAGGCGGGTGCGGCCAAGGCGGCCGCAGCAGCAGGGAAGGCCGGTGGTGGCAGCGGTGGTGATGGAGGGGAGGAAGGGGGCGATGCTGCGGGGGTGGGTGCGCCGGAGGTGGGTGCGGAGGCTCGGCGGAGGGCGCTTGCGGAGATAGCTCGGCGGCGGCAGGAGCAGGCGCGGCGGGCGCAGGAGCGGGTGCAGGCAGCAGGTGAGGCGGGGGAGGAGGGGGATAACTAGCGACTTGGCTGCGTCGAAACATGGACCCGAGGCGTTTGCGGGTCTCATAGCTTCAGCTGCTAAATACGGGTTGGCGGGCAAAGCCTCATATTGCCTCACTTCCTTGCGGTGCTGAGTCCGCATCACCACCTCCCCCCCTGCCCCGCGCCATTCCCTCAGGGACGTTGCTCCCGACGGACCCTCCCTCCCCGGGCGGCAATGAGGCCCCCGCTGCGGAAGCTGAAGCAGCGGTCTCGGACTCTCCCGCGGTGGCGGCGGCGGCGGCGCTTGGTCCCATGTCCGGTAGCCGCCGTCGGCGTGGCGGAGGCGGACCGCTAGCAGCGGGTACAGACGACGGCGGTGCCGACGGCGACGTCGAGGACGGCTCCGACGGCGAGGGGGGTGCTGGCGGAGGCGGCGGCAAGCGGCGGCGGCTGCTTCGTCGTGCCGCGGTGTCGGGTCTGGGGAGCGGCAAGGAGAACATGGGGGGACAGCCGGGGCTGGCGGCGGCGGGTGCAGGGGGCAAGGGAGGTCGAGTGGTGGCGGCGGCGGCGAATGCGGATGAGGAGATGGTGGAGCTTGAGGATGGGTTGGAGGACTTTTAGGGAGGATTGGGGGTGCTTGTGAGGGTTGCATGAAGGGGGCAAGGGAGTGTCTAAGTCTTTTTGTGGCATTGGATTGCAGCGTTGAACCGAGTCCGGTAGTCTGTGGGTGTCACTGTGAGATGTTTGAGAAGAACTGAGCCGCTTACGACGTGTAGGAGCAGGGGTATTACGTGATGGTCTGATGGAATCAGGACATTGTGTGAAGTCTATAGGGGTTGGTGCTTCGGACATTTGAGCATTCTGGCATTTAGGCGTGCGGTGGTGGTGGGAGATGGGGCACTACGCGGGAGGAAGAGCTAGGGGGAAAGGGTGTTGGGGTCGGCACTTGGTGTCAAGGTTTCTCGGTTCCATTGCAGGGCGTAAATTTCTTGAAAACGGCTGATCCCTCGGGGCCATGGCTCGTACGAGCAACCCGATTTCATGATACTGTTACATGTCAAGGGAAAGTGTGAACCTGGGCCATCCCCCACGGCACTGACTACGGGCAGTGAATGAGGCACAGTGGGCAGCTAGGGGCTGCTGAAGTCTCGACGCTCTGCCAGACATTGTCGTAAGGTCGTAAGGTTCTGCAACTTGGCAACACAGCCCCACAGCCCTCAAGAGCACGTGGTACCTAGGGGAGGCCAGGTGTAGCACATTGGGGGAATTGAACGAGCCTAAAAGTAAGCATGCAAGCATATTCATTCTGCACTTGGGGCCTTTTTGTTCGAACGCACATTCGGTATATCCAATGACCGAACGCAGTGGGCCGTACCACCGGGGCAGGCTCCTTGCAACACCCCGCAGTATGCATGTGTGACGAGCCCAAGAAGCGGACGGTTTTACTGCTATAGACAGCCGTACAGTGTAGGGCAACTGCGAGCTTCAGCACCTCGAGGAGCCGCGATTAGGTATAGGGTTCCGATTGCGTGTCAACGACGACCTAAATGTATAGATGCTGAGATGTCACGTGCGTCGTTTCGGCTTGGAATAGGGGCCATTCTTAACAAGGGGTTTAACCCGTAAGGAATTGCCAAATGTATTTCGAGTTATAAATTTGTTTATTATGTCTATTTAATCTGCAATAAGGATGCCTTGTAGTTTGGGATGCCGGTCGACCGGCGAGCCGTCGACCTCTGGCAGGTCAATTCATGCTTACCCCAATGCGTTCAGAAGTAGAAAGTTAGATGTTTATTGCCTTCGAGGCTATAGAACATCGCGCAGCGAGCGAAAGCATGCGGCGCTTGCTTCTGAGGCCAGCGAACGGCCAGTCATGGACTATGTTAGTAGACTGAGGCAACGCAAATCACAGCCGGACATCTGTCCGCCACTATTCCTAGCACCCATGGAAAACCTCGCGGACCGCTCCTTCCGTCGCGCGCTAGCGACCACCGTGGGAGGATTTGACGAGGCATGCACGGGTGGGTACAGGCCAAGGTTGCCTTTCCTTGCCGGCCCACGGCCGCTAACGTGCTCGTCCGGCCATTTGGGCTTTCCTTATTCACCCAGGTGTAACCTGTGAAGGCCTGCTTAGTTGCTTGCCCGTCATAACCCGTATCCTGCTACCGAATTTACCCGAGCGTCACCCTCACACAGCCGCTCCCCCGCCCCACCCCACCCGCCCCACCCCACCCGCCCCACCCCACCTGTCCCACCGCACCCGCCCCACCCCACCCGCTCAGCGCAGAGTTCATGCGGGTCCCGGGTCGCGCCGACAACCCAGCTGCTGCCGTACGCGGTGTGGTGTCCTGGTACGACGCCTGCGAGCTGGGTGCCGTACCGCTGGGCGCGCAGATCATGGGCAGCCACCCCGAGATGATGGGCATGGCGGCGCGCTTCCTGGTGCAGGTGGGATTGGGTGGTGGTGGGGTGGGTGGGTTGGGTGGTGGTGGGATGCACGGCTCGGACTGGTCGCTGGGCTGATTCTGGGACCCATGGACCATGTAGCTGGCGTCGCAGGTGACTGCCCAGGGCAGTCGTACTTGGCGCTGGGATCCTTCTGCACGGACCCACCTCCCTGACCGTATCCCTCCCCTCCCTCCGCCTACTCCCATGCAGGAGCGCGGCGCCCCCCGGGTGGACCTGAACGCGGGCTGCCCCGCAAACACCGTCACGGGTCACGGCGCGGGTTCCTCGCTGCTCCGCTCGCCCGAGCAGCTGGGGGAGCTGGTGGCGGCGGTGGTGGCGGCGGTGGGCGGGGCGGCGCCTGTGAGTGTGAAGCTGCGGGCGGGGTTCGATGACACGACGTTGTTTGAGGAGAACTTGCTGGCGGTACAGGTACGGGAGGGGAGGCGGAGGTGGGAGGGAGGGAGGGAGCGGAGACCGGGAGGGAGGGCAGTGGTGGGAAGATGGGAGTAAAGAGGAAACAACTACAGGTAACGGCTGGCCGTCTGACCCTCATGGTGGGAAGAGGGGAGGTATAAGGGAAGGAAGGAGGAGGTAGGAGATAATATAGAGGTTGCGGTTGTTACTTGGTCAAGAGTTCCTCTTCTGTCCTAGTGTCCCTGCCTTGCTGTCAGCCTCTTATCACCACTAAGGCTCCCCCTTCCTTGCGTTGTTCTGGTCCTGCATAACAACAACGGAACGGATGCTTCGCTGCTGAAAGCACGGCACACCTCCCCTGTTTGACACACCCTCCTTCCACCCTCCTTCACACCAACCCTGTCACTCTCATTCCTCCCCTCCATCCCCACCTGCCATCCTCACCCAACCCGCCTGCCGCCTTCAGGAGGCCGGCGCCTCCTTCATCTCGCTGCACCCGCGCACCCGGCGGCAGTGCTACAGCGGGGCTGCGGACTGGGGACTTGTGGCGAGGGCGGTGGAGCTGCTGGACATTCCCGTGGTGAGGGATTGGAGGGGGGAACCCGGGAGCGGGTGTAAAGAGGAAACAACTAACTGACCATGTAATAAGGCGTAGAGGGGGTGTGGGGCCGCTAACTGTGTGGCTACTTTGCCCGCTAACCTCCTCATCGTTCTCAACCACTCGGCGACGGCAGCTGTGTCCTTCGAGGCCCGTCCGCACCTGCAGTTCTAGTCTCTGGGCTCTGGGCTGGCCGTCATCACGCCTTGTTCCGCCCTGCCCTGCTTGCTCGCTCAAGCAGGCGATAGTTGGGCAGTCCAGGTCTGCATGGTCAGCCCGCAGGCCGCATACCACGGGGCTCGAGCATGGGGGGACGGTGGGGGCACATGCTGATCTGCGTGTCTCCGATAACCTGCTCCCTTGTCCACATCGGCTGTACGATGCGTACAGCGGGGTAGCCCAGTAACCCGTTAAGCCCTGGGATCGCCTTTTACTCATCACCCCTGACCCTCCCTGCCCCCTACCAACCCCCCCTCCAACACCAGGTGGGCAACGGTGATGTGGTTTCTGCAGAGCGGGCCCTGGCGTTGCTCCGGGAGACGGGCTGTCACGGGGTCATGGTGGGGCGAGGGGCGGTGCAGGACCCCCTCCTGTTCCACCGCATACGCTACAGCTTCCAGAGGGGGGTGGACCCGGGGACGGCCTCTGAGGGGGCAGCGGCAGCAGCGGAGGGCAGCAGCAGCAGCAACTGGCCCTGGCGGGAGCCGGAGGTGATGCAGGACTTCCTGCGCTGCTACGCCGGCCAGTTCATTCCGGAGGTGGGGGAGCAGCAGCGGCAGGAGCAGCAGCAGGGGCCAGGAGCTGTGGCAACAGAGAGCAGCGAAGCTGCTGCAGGTGGTACGGCGATTGCTACCGAAGCGTTGCCAAGCTGTGGTTATCCAGCACACGACGATGACACTATCAGCAGCACCACCATTATTAGCGGCGGCGCAGTTAAGTTTGGTCGACTCAAAAATGTGATCAAGTACCTGTTCGCCTCCTCGCCCCAGCTGGCCGCTGCCTGCGAGGGGCTGCTGCGTGTAACTCCCGCGGACTGCTCCGCTGCCGATCTGGTGGAGCGGGTGTGTGGGGAGGTGGGGCGGCACTGGCCGGCGGGGGGGCCAACAAGGCTGGTGCTGTACGACCACATGAACAAGAGGACGCAGGAGCTGGGGGCGGGGTGAGGGAGGAGGGGTGAGAGGGGTGTAACGAGGAAACGACTAAGGAAGAGGGGGACAGTGACTTGGCGGAGGCGGTGAGAGGGGGAGAGAGGGGCGAGCTTTGAAGCATCGGTTGGAGTAAGGTGGAAGGGTGTAGTGGAGTGCTGTGTCCGTCCATGCATGGCGCTTCATGGTAAGGGCATGGAGGCAGCTTGGTTGGCGTTCATGCGTTCGCTGCAGTGTTTGTGACCACCACTCTTGGGAGTGCGAGTGTAGGGAGCGAGGGTGTGAGGATGAGTGTGTAGGGATTGAGAGGGCCTGATGATAATGGTATGTATGTTCCCGTCGCTGAGTGTGGCTCATGCCTCATGAACACCTGGCAGGGTTGCGTTGCGGAAGTGTGACTCACTTGTCAAATGCTCCGGGAACCCCCTTACATGCAGCCCGCGTGTGTGCGGGTACGGAAACAGGAAAACACACACGCACGCGCTACCGATGCACCCACAACCGCTAGCTAGCACGTGAGAGCCCTTTGCTCGCGGGTGACGATGACGCCATGTATATCCCGAACAACGTACCTGTTAAACTCAACTCGTGCCCACACATGCCCGTACCTTCCATTAAAGTATTCCCCCTTCCCCCCGCCTGCAGCACACAGCACCCCAAGTCATCCGCGCCACCTGCCCCCCTCAAGGCACCCACCTAAATCCTCAAGATAGTGCACGCAGCTACCGCAGCTAATCCTCCATTTGTTCCCGTTTCCCGATTCCCTCCAATAAACCCCTCAAAAAGGCATACTTGGGACAGTTCAATGTGCCCAAACCAGCAATGCCTCTTAACAGCAGAAGATGAAACAGCAACACCCCTCTGGGCACCGTAGCACCCCCGCTGCCGCTCCACACTGCCCCCAAAACCCCAAAGCTGCAGGCACGCCTCCCGCTGCCTCCTCCCTCCGCTTTCCTACACCTCAAGCGCACTCCTGCACCCGCAACACCGCACAGTCCCCTCGTCCTCCTCCCCCTTCGCGAGCAACTACCGCACCCGCACATCACCGCATTCCGTTGCCCCGCTCCACCACCTCCCCCGACCGCCTCCTCCTTTAGTGCACCTTGGGCAGCTTCACCACCTTGCCAATAGCAATGGTGCGCCCCTCATCTCGCAGCGTGAAGCGCCCCAGCGACGCCACGTCCGCAAACGCCTCAATGCAGATGGGCTTGTCAATCGTGATGCGGCAGATGCAGATGCCGCCGCTCTTGATGTACTTGCACTTCTTCTGCTCCTTGGTCTTGGGGTCGATCTCAGCGACCAGCTTGGAGACCTGGGCGAGAGGAGGGGGAGTGGAGGAACGGGGGGGAGGAACCAGGTGTGATAGGCGGTAAGGAGTTGTTGGTATACCGGTACCGTAATAGGTCAGCCACCACCCGCTACTAGGCATACTACCGAAGCCGTTGTTGAGGGTACGCCCAATCCTTTCCTCCATCCCCTTCCGCCCCCTCAAGTCTTCCGCCTTCTTCCTCAAGTCATCTCGGTTTACGGTAAGCAACGATTCGGTAAGTTTTTTGAGATGCGTGCTTCTAGGATAGTGTCTCCGAATGCGCTCACTGCATAAGTCGGGATATGGGATTGGGACTCGTTGTTTCACTTATATAATTTCCCCCCCCCCCTTCCGTCTCTCTCCCTCCCGCACCGCCCCTCCCCCCTCCCCTCCCTTCCTCACCTCGCACTCCTCGCACGCCGTGTGGATGTGCAGCACGCTCTTGTAGCCCACCGTGAAGATGGGGTTGTGCTCCAGCAGCTCGACAATCACCTGGGGGGGTGAGGGGGAGGGGGGGTGAGGAGTTCGGAGGCGGTGGTAGTGAGGTGGGCAGAGGTGGTGGGGAGAGAAGGCGAGGTGGGCAGATGAAAGACCGAGCAGAGTGCCGTGGGGTGCACAGTACTTCGGCATGGGGCAGTGCCATGCAGATTAGGTGCACACTCTAGGATGCGCTGGGTGGCTCCTCTTAGGCCCTACCTCCTGCTCCTTCCCTAGCCCCTCTATGTTTGCACCCCATGGTGAAGCCCTGTCATACAGCTCGTTAGTTGCATCTTAACTTCGTTTTCATTATTTGTTTCCCTCCCTCCTGCTGCTTCCAGCCCCTCCCTCCCCCTCCTCCCCGCCCCCCTCACCAGCTGCGCCTCGAACTGCGTGACCATGGGCACGGGGTTCTTGATGCTGGACAGCACGAAGCCGGGCGAGATGTCCGTCTCCTCGCACCCGCTCAGCCGCAGCCGCAGGTTCTCACCGCTGCGGGCCGACTGCGTCTCCTTCTCGTCACGGAATACCGCGTCCACCCTGACACGCAGCCTACGGAGGGGGGAGGTGTGGGGTGGGGGGGGGGAGGGGAATAGTTGGGGACGGGGAGGAACAGGAGCAGGAGGCGTCGCGGGTGGGGTGGGGTGGAGGGCACAGGTTGCATAGGGGGAGGGAAAAATTGGGAAAGGGGACGGTTTGGGCCGGAAAACTCCCCCTTATGCCCTTAACCCCGATGAGGTAAGGTGGTGATGCATGCGAAGAGTCGCGGAGCGCAGGCAGCGCATGCAGTAGCAGCTACAGACACCAGGGCCGTCCCACCCTCCCAGCCCCGCCCGGCACCCTCCCCCCCCCCCTCCCCCCCCCACCCGCCCCACTCACTTGTTCGGCATGAGCTGCAGCACATCCCCCACCCGCACGAACCCCGCCTCGCTCTTTCCCATCACAATGGTGCCCATGTCCTTCCAGCGGTCCACCACGGGCATGCGGAAGGGAGCCAGAGGGTTGCGCTCCAGCGGCTCAATGCTGTCGAGCACCTGGGGGGGGGGGGGGTAGGGTGAGGTGGGGGGAGCAAGGTGGTAAGGAAGGGGGAGCAGGCTACATGGAGCTATCCATGCTGTCAAGCACCTGGGAGGGGTGAGGGTGGTAGGGGTGGGGTTGGGGGTAAAAAGAAGGAAACTGACGAGACAACTAGCGAGCTGTGTGACAAGGCTTGTAGGAGAAGGGGTGAGGGTGAAGAAGGGGAGAAGGGGAGCGTAGCGGGCGTTGAGCATGGCGTAAGGCTGCTGCTGGGTCCTCTGCCCGCGCCCGCCGTGTTCGCAGCCGGGAAAAAGAGCGCGGGTTCGTAAGAGGCCAGGCCCGGCTCGACCGAAAAACCCTACCATGCGTCCCTCTTCTTCCCAGCCCTGCCGTCTCATCTCCCCTCCCCACCACCTCCCCCTACCTGGAACAGCGTGTCTCCCTCGTACCAGCCGCACAGCTCCTTGGCCACCGGGTCGCGGATGTTGTGGCCGTACAGCGCAGCCAGCGGCAGGAAGGTAACCTCCTTCTTCACGTTGTAGCCGCACTGCCGTAGGAAGGGGGTCAGGCCGTTCACGATCTGGTCGAAACGCGCCTTGTCCCACTTGCCTGGGGTGCAGGGGCAGGGGGAGGAGCGGGAGGGAGGGGGAAATTGATAAGTGCAGGGAGGAGCGGGAGGAGAGGGAGGGAGGGATAAGGTATACCAGGCAGTGAGACCACACAGGGCAGGCGGGCTCTGATGGCGGTAGAATGCGAAAGACAGCATGCAAGACAGCACCCATCCGGACGACCCAGATCCGGGCCGGACCGGGTTTAACAAGGTTTGGTTTCTCTCTGACCCCTTAGCCATCCCCCACCCATCACCCCACCCACTAAACGGCCCTCCCACCCATAATCCTTGTGGGTTTGTTCCTCTCCCCGCACCCACCATCCACCGCCACGGAGGAGCAGTCCAGCTTGTTGACCACCACGATCAGCCGCGTCACGCCCAGCGTCTTGGCCAGCTGCGCGTGCTCGCGGGTCTGACCGCCGCGCTCGAAACCCGTCTCGAACTCGCCCTGAGGGGGGAAGGAGGAGGAGGTGGGGGAAGGAGGACGCATGAAGGAGGGGTGTGCGGGTTAGGGACACGTACAAGGGTTGTGCACTGGTTGCAGGAGAGCCCCAGCCTGCACAAGAGGTACGGTAAGCACGCCCGTTTCGGTGTTTCGCACCTCCCTCCCCTCTCTTCTCCCTTCCCCCCTCTTTCCCCCTCCCCCCTCCCCCCCCCACCTTGCGTGCCGAGATGACCAGGATGGCCACATCCGCCTGGCAGGCGCCCTGGATCATGTTGGGCACGTAGTTCTTGTGCCCGGGGGCGTCCAGGATGGTGTAGCGCTTCTTTTCCGTCTCGAAGTGCGCGCGACCCACCTGGAGGGGGGGGCGAGGGGAAGAGGGAGAGGAGGAGGGAGGGGGGCGGTTGGTTGGCAGGAGGGGCGGCAGCAGAAGGGGAGGGGCGGAGGAATGGTGGATAGGAGCGGGATGGCGGACTACGGGGAGGTAGGCGCGGAGCTGTGCGGGCTGCTGTCGTTCGGGTGCTGCAAAGACAGCGTGCTGCTACCCAGGGAGAGCAACATGGCCAAGGGCAGGGCCGTCGATGGTGAGGGATCATGAGGATCAAGGGACTCGCCAGTAGGCAGCAGCCCTGTTGGCGAGCCCTGGCAGGCAGGCCGTGTCATCGGATCCGCCCCCGCTGCTGCTGCTGCTGTTGCTCAGGTACATGTACAGGCAGAGAGGGCGCAGGGGAGGGGGCAGGCGGGCGGGGGGCCGTCGTCCTTGACGCCGCACGAGGGTGCATAAGCCTCAGCCACGCGGGCGGGTGGTCTTCAGCCATCGGCTCCTGCCCCAGCACAACCGCTACCGCCACCGCTCCTGCTGCTCCCTGCTGCCCTGGGCTGGGCCGCTGAGCTCCCTCCAGGCCGCGGGGCAGAGGCCGCCCGCAGCTGCTCTCTCCCGCCCTAGCGGCGGGACCCACGTCAGCTGCCGCAGCCCTGCCACCGCTCTGCAGCTGCATGCAGCCCCTACCGGTAGCGCCCCTGAGGTGCAGCCGCTGCCAACCTGCGCCTAGCCCTGCTGCTGCTGCCGATAACCCTGCTGTATTTGCTCATGCTTCCGCTGCATTTGGTCCCGCATCAGGTGCCGCTGCTGCTGCTCCTTCTACTGCTGCTGCTGCTGCTAACCTGGGAGCACCTACCGTGTGAGAGAGCCCCAGCAGGGCAGGTCTACGGAGTTAGGAGGGCCGGTGCGGCGATCGCCCTACAAGGGCCTGCTCAGCCCGCCGCTGCTGCTGCCACTGCCGCATCGCCTCCTGTGCCGCTGCAGGTGTGCAGTCCACCCCTCGCAGGTGTGCAGTCCACCCCTCGCAGGTGTGCAGTCCACCCCTCGCAGGTGTGCAGTCCACCCCTCGCAGGTGTGCAGTCCACCCCCCTGTTCTTTCTCCCTGCAGCAGCACCAGCTGCCGCTCACCCTCTCCCTCCTCCTGCAGTACACAGGCTCCTCCTCCTCCCTCCCCCCCCCCGCCCCAACCCCCTGCCGCCTCACCTCCACGGTGATACCCTTGACGCGCTCCTCCTCGTTGGTGTCCATGATGTACGCCATGTACCAGCCCTCGCGGTTCTTCTCCTTGGCCTCGCTGAGGGGGGATGGGGAGGGTGTTTGGTGGGGTAGGGTGGTGGGTGAGGAGGGAGGTGAGGAGGGAGGTGACCCAGGCGGGGAATGGCGTGCGACGTGCATCCAGCAACCACCCCACATCCGTTTACTGCATTCGGACTAATGAGGCCTAACCGTGGTTGGTTCGGGGTTGGGCTCAGGGTTGACTGCGCTGACGCTGACGCAAGGCAGACACGACATGGCAGACACCACAGCGAGTGCATGCTTTGAAGGTTCCCAGCGTGCAGAGAGCACCATCAGGGGGCAAGAGAGGGCTGCTGCAGCGCACAAGGACCGGCTGGGCTGGGCCTAGGCAGGAGACACGTCAAGAGAGGGGCGCTGTGCTGATGTGCTGTGCTGCAGTGTTGTGGCTCACCGTTCATACTTCTCGATGGTGCGCTTGTCCACACCTCCCTGCGAGCAGGAGCAGCAGTGGCAGGAAGGGGATGCTAACCACACCGCTCAACCGGTATAATAATCTGGGTCGGGTTAGCAGCCTACATGCCCGCAAGTGCGCGCGGGACGCCAACTCCTAATGACCTGTCCACCCAGCACCCCAGCACCAACCCGACCCGACCCAGATGGCATCCACAGGCACACCCACCGTGAGGAAAAGGATTTGACCGGCCAGCGTGGACTTCCCGGCATCGATGTGCCCAATGAACACAATGTTGAGGTGGTCCCTGCACGCCGTTGTTACGCGTCTCCATTAAAACACACACATCATGCGCGCCATGGCAGGCAGCTAGCGTACCTGGGCTCCTCCACCAAGGACTCCTGGAATGCTTTCATAACCGCGCTTTCGTCAAGAGGAGCAACGGGCTCCTCAGGGGCCGGCGCCTCCACGACAGGCGCTGGCGCCGGTGCAGGTGCTGGTGCAGGCGATGGCGATGGCTCTGGTGCGGACCCTAGGGCAACGCGACAACTTGGATTAAATTGGCAGAGCGAGAAAGCATTATTTCCAATAAGCCCTTACCTCCATCTTGCTGTGGCTCCGGCTGGGGCGCCGGTGCTGGTGGCTCCTCTACTTGGGGCGGCTGCGGAGCGGGCTCCTCGACAACAGGAGGAGGCGGCTCGACCGGCGCTGGCGGTGGTGGTGGAGGCGGTGGCGGACGAGGAGCAGGCACAAGGCCTTGCCCAGGGATAAAGATCATGCTGTTTGGGTTAAACGCTGCCGCTGGAGCAGCCGGAGGAGGGGGCGCCTGCAGCGACGCATCCTCCTCCCAATTATCCGCCATGATTACTAGGACTGTTTTAGGCTGCTTGAAAAAGACTATATAGCGATATCGATAACGTCGCTCGGGAAGGTCTGCGTTAGATCGCTAGTAAGGGTTCCCGTTTCCAACAAAAATGCTATCCTTACGTTGGCGTTCAGTACGAGTATAAAGGGGCAACCTCATGCCCTACAAAAGCGGTTAGCTGTTTGCGACTCATGATGCCGACCGACTGCCGTGCGCACGAGCAAGCTAGTCCAAGTTCACTCAACGTTCCTGCTTTAGTTGCGCCATTTTTCCCGTGGATGACAAGCAGCATTAGGCTATGTGCTTTTTGGTTGGCTTTTACCTCGTTTGTGTACATGGCATCTCCCATCCTCCCCCATCCACGCATAAGCAGCTATTCCATCACCATCGTCTCCAGTCCGAGAGCCCCCTTTCACCGGTAGCTAACATTCTGGCCCAATTGAGAGGCCCTACACCGCTGTTGCCTCGGCTGCAACCTGGCACATCTTCAATTTGCTGTCCACAGCCCGGCCTTACCGTCGCCCCGTGCGCTGTAACAACTCATACCCGCGTTATCGCATGTAGGCGCTTTGGAACCTATGCGCTGTATACCCACTGCTTTGCTCTTAATGCAGCCAGCAGTGTCGAATCGTGGCGTTTGGAAAGTTCTTGTGCCCTTCTTATGTATGCAAGTACAACCCTTGATGGGCACAGGCGCCGCAACCCTTTCCTTTGCTAACCAGCTTGCGCTAGTTTGTTCCTATGGACCGCGACTCCCGGACCTTCCTCGCCTTGCAGGTATAACCGTATAAGCCCCAAACCGCTGCACCATAAAACACAACCAAGGTGCGCAGTGCATCAGTCTTGCAGAGAGACACAGTGCCTCAGTTGCCCGTGATCATGCCTTAAAGGTGAAATCTTCTTCTTCTCAACACGCAAGTCAACAAGCCACTCTTGATTTACAGCGGCAGCTCGCCCGAGTCCACGATCACGACCTTCTTGCTGGGCTTGCCGGAGCCGCTGCCCACCGCCTCCACCTTGTACACCACGTCCATGCCCTCCACCACTGCAGCGGCAGGTTTTTTGGGGGGGGGAGGGATTAGGTAAACTGAGCCGCAAGAAAACACTGACCGTGACCGTGGAGAGGAGGGGTTGTTGAGGGACAAGGGTTTTTGTTTTAGGGTCCAATTATAGGGTATTGTTGATGTACTACCGGTACATGCTTCGGCGCTCTGTGATCGGTGCCAATGTGTAGAGAACCACCATTCGTATCCGCCACGCCAAGCAGGCGCAGCAATGCTCGACGTCTTGTTCAACATGCGACAACTGCGACACCGCATGCAAGCACCCTCCCCCCTCCTTTCCCAGCTCCTCAACACCTCCACACCCACTACTACTTCCGCGCCCCTCCGCTCACCCTTGCCAAACACCACGTGGCGGCCATCCAGCCAGGAGGTGGTGACGGTGGTGATGAAGAACCTGGGGGCGGGGGGGGGGCGGGGCAGGGCAGGGCAGGGCGGGACAGGGGAAGGCAGGGCAGGGCAGGGGGAAAGGGTAAAAACGGAATCGGAGCGGCACAGCGGAGCAAGGGGGGGGATCGGCGTTGGCGGCCAGTAGGTGCAAGGCGCTCAGGGGCCCACCCGTTTACGGGCATCTATGCACGGCAAAAAGTCGACAGTGTGACGAGGACAGCTGAAGCACGATGCGTCTACGTACTCCTCTATTAGGTAGGGGCACAGGGCCCCCACGCACGCATGCGACCCACGGCCCCCACTCACTGGCTTCCGTTGGTGTCGGGGCCAGCGTTAGCCATGCTGAGCACGCCGGGGCCGGTGTGCTTCAGGGCAAAGTTCTCATCCTGCGGCCAGTTACCAGAGCCAGGCAGACAGTTGAACATCATTGTTGCTGCGTCCAAATGCGTCCTGAGCCTCTGCTCTCAGGGCGTGTTAGTGGGCCAAATCCACGCCCACATGCAATGCGGAGCCGCCTTGCATGCCGTGTGTGGCACCGGTGTGTGGAGGCCTAGCAAGACTGCTAACGCATGTGTCATCCAAGCCCGCCCGCAACCCCACATGTGGCAGAGGCCCAAGGCACGGAGAGGCACAAGCCAGTCAGTCAGCGAACGGAGCGCCCCTGCCCTGCAGCCGCTATACCTGGAAGCGAGAGCCGTAGATGGACTCGCCGCCGGTGCCGTCACCGCGAGTGAAGTCGCCACCTTGGAGCATGAACTGCGGCAAGGAGGTAGAACGACAGAGGCGCACGCATGGGAGGTTGATAATATATGGAGGCTTCATGCATAGTTCGTTGTCAGCATACACATGTGTCAGGTTCTAGCGGCACATGAAGAGTTGGTTGCCTGAGCATAAGTGGCGATTCACAGGGGAGGCAGTTGCAACCAAGTGTGTGTTGGATCAGACGCAGGGGTCTGGCAGCGTGTCCAAAGCCCACCTCACCACCCGCCCCCACGCAGGGCTTCCACGTTCCACAGCCCCCAAAACACATTCACCGTTTCCTCTCCGCCTTTCCTACATCCTCCTCACTGCCTTCCAAGCATCACCAAGGACATCCCGCAACACGCACGAGCGGTGTACCTGGGGAATGATGCGGTGGAAGCTGCTGCCCTTGTAGGTGAGGGGCTTTCCAGACTGGCCAACGCCCTTCTCGCCAGTGCAGAGCGCACGGAAGTTCTCCACGGTGCGGGGCACCGTCTTGCCATACAGGCCCATGATGATGCGGCCTGCGGGCAGGAATGTAATTGGATGAAGCATACGCGCGGTTGAATTCAACCAGGCTTGCAGTCCTTTGCCATTAAAAGCGGATCAGAACTTCAACTGCTCGTAAGGCAACAGTCGGGACCAACCTGCCGGCTTTCCATCAATCTCGACGTCGAAGTACACCTGGCGTGGAGAAAGCAAACAGCAGGACTCAGGTGCGCCTTCGACATGTTTGGCTCAGATCGGCTAATCTCACTAGTTGACCCATCGAGATAAAGGCTCGGACCAACCTTGTTCGTAATAGTCGTGTCACCGGCAATCTTGCTCTTCTTCGCCTTCTTTGCGGCGTGAACGCCGGTCGCGGCGCTCAACACCACAAGGCCAATAAGGCCAAGCACGAACGTGCGCTTCCAGTTCATTTTTCTTTAGTTACCGACAACCCACGTGCGCGAAGCCAAAATTGTCATTAATGCGGTGATCGCAGGTTGGAAGTACGGAATGAAACCATTGGAGCGTTCTTGAACTTCACTTTTGCTAGTCCTGCATACAACCCTACTGATAGCTTGTATACTTACCGGATGCCCCTGAACTGATGGCGTCCCTCCATCTGCCAAGCCTGCATGTGGCCATGGTGCCATGCATGGCACGGAGGTTGCTATGGCTGCTATTAGCAGTGGTAATTGCTGAGACTCCGAGGGCAGCGAGAACCGTGTTTAATCTGACCCTAACGGGACTTTCGAGGTAATGGGCACGGATCATTTCCACCGCATGTGTGCGTTCTCGTCTTCTCGAGCATGTGGGCAAAGCGCATTGGGTACGTAGGAATTGGAATATTGCCCCCCGGATGCAGCTGTACGCGTTGCTGCATCCTGCGTACGCGAGAATGTCTGGTCTGGGCACTTCGGCAGCCCCATCCACATGTCGCCGCTGGAACGGCAGCCCCTTCTTGCCCATGGATAGGCTGGACACATATGGCGACACCAGCTCCCTAAGCAGAGGCTCCTATTGTATGCCCGCCATCTCGTGGGCTAGTAACCAGATGTCAGAATGCCAGTATAGCACATGCCGTGGAACGGTAGTCATAGTACGATAATGGTCCCGACTCCATTCAGTCTTGCCATTAGTTGGCGACGTTGAAACCGTGGCGTTATATTTTCGACCCACGTCCTCACAAGGCTTTCAGGAGCCGGTGTACCGAGGAGTGCGTACTGGTAAACCCTCCTAAAGCTGTCTCTCGCCAACCGCGATTCAAATTTCAGTGCCGTACGCGGTTGTCTGCGGCGACGATCGCAAAGTTATCCAAGTCTTGATCCCATAACCTTACGCTGGAACACAAATAAGTTCTGCCGGAAATTTATTCCTCAATCAATCCGCAAACTATGAGAGGTCTGTCATCATAAAACCACCGGAGTGCAGTAAACGCCTGGGAGCATCACTATGCTTTGGCAGCGTGGATCATGTCTGTTAATAATTGGATTAATACTCTCTCAGGCCTGGGATTCGCAAGGATGTTACAAGCGTTTGGCACAACACGGACAGTTTCCGCTCCTTTACATCGACGATTGCGCATCCAACTACGATTTAGGACTGCTAGTAGGATCCACCTTCAGTTCAATGATTAAGGAGCGACTACGTGACAGCATCGCGTTCGAAAAAGTCACGGTAGGTGTGGCAACTGCACGTCGTCCATGGCAGCTACTTCTAGACTGCCATTTCCTTCACCGAATTTCAGCGCCCTTCCCTACTCGCCCCTCCCATTCCTGTCCCCTACTCCCAAAGTCCTACTGCGCCACCGCCTGGGGCCGCCAGCTGCTGTCGGGGCTGCAGCCGCTGCACGCCGCCGCCTACCCCGCCTACATGGCGGAGCTGGCGGGGCTGGCGGCGGGGAGCGAGCTGCCCTTTGAGCAGGCAAGAGAGGGGTGGGGTGCAGTGCAGTAACTGGAGTCCCAATCCCATATCCCAACTCATGCAGTGAGCGCATTCGGGGACAAGAGAGGGGTGGGGTGGGGCTAAGAGTGGGGAACTAATTGTGGCCATTCCTTCATGCAACCATTCCTCGCCGTTGTCATGCCCCTGATGTGCGTCCCATGCCCATCATCATCCGCATCAATATGCCCATCGTTGTGGCGCTGTAGGCGCTCACACTTCCTACGCCCCCAAACCCTGCGCACTCCCGCTCCTTGTTACATCCCGTCTCCCTTTTCCAGATCTTTATGTTGAACCTGCGTCAGGAGATCCTGGCAGCAGCGGAGAACCCCGACCTGCGACTCACGCTGCAGCACCGGCTGGAGGAGGCAGCTGCGGCACGAAGCGGCGGCATGGGTGGCAGCAGCCGCCACAGCATTAGGGGAGGTGCAGGCGCGCGGTCGGAGGCAGAAGAAGGATTGCGATCGGCTCGGATGCCTGTGGCAGACGGCGCATGTGGCGACAATGATGGTTGCGGCGACAGCGGCAGCGGCGGTGCGGGCATGGAGGGCGAAATGAGCAGCAGCAGAGGCGGTGGTGGGCTTGGGGGTAGTGACGACGACAGCACGGAGCAGCAGTGGGTGGACCCGGCTTCCGTGGACGCATGCAGCGATGTGGGGGTGCAGCTGCCAGCCGGGGGTGCAGGAGGAGAGGGAAACGGAGCAGCAGGGGGTGGCGGTGAGGGCAGCGACCCGGCGGGTCGGCGGCAGCAGCAGCAGCCCGCGGTATTTCTGCTGGGTCACAATGAGGACATGACCAACGATACGATTGTGGGTGCGGGAGGGGCGGGAGCAGGGGCGGTGGTGTCAAGAGGGTGCGGGTGCGGGGGCTTGCATGCATGCATGGGACTTTGAAAGGGGTGGGATCTTCCCGCAGGGTTTGTATAGACTCCTGTTCCAGCTTACACATCGTCTTCCTCTTCTCTCCCTCCCCCCTCCCGGTTCCACACTGCAGGGCCGCATGTACTACATCCGAGCGAGCATGCCGGTAAGCAGGTGCGCACCGCTGTGCTGTGCTGCCTCCTTGCCCAGCCAAGCCCAGCCTGGGTTTGTAAGTCTCCCCGTCGCACAATGGAATAACCCCAAAGAGCACACGTACAGCGTCACCCCTCTACCGCCCCGTCCCTTCCCGGTTCCCGCCCCCTCCCCTCCTCCTCGTCGGCTTGCTTGCCAGCCTCATCCAACACATTGGGTATTCTTCTTTTCCCCTCCTCCCGCCCCTCCCACCCCTCCTCAACAGGGCCGCGGCAGCTGGCTGGCGCTCACCTACGCGGGTGAGCTCGCATCCACCGCATTCGGCGCCAACAGCGCGGGGGTGGCCTTCAGCCTCAATGCGCTCTACCCGCGGCGGGCGCTGCTGCCGGGGCTGGGGCGCAACTTCCTGTCGCGGGCGCTGCTGGAGGCGGGCGGGGTGGAGGAGGCGATGCGGGTGCTGACACAGCCGGAGCAGGTGAGGGGCGGGGGGGGGGGCTGTTGGGGCTCGATGGGGGCGGGGAGGAAACGCTGGGGCCACGTTACCGGTATGTGTGTGGGGGAGAAGGTGGAAGGAAAGGTAGGGAAGGTCAGTGTCTGTCACGGCGCTGCTAAAGGATGCGCTACCTCTCCCTTCCAACCTCCTCCGCGCCCGCCCCGCCCCGCTCCCCCAGGCCACGGGCCGCTCCGTGAACCTGATGCACACGCGCCCGCCGCTGGCGCTGTGGAACGTGGAGGTGGGGCCGGGGGGCGCCCACGACACCCGCCCGCTGGGGCCGCGAGACTGGTACTTCCATGCGAACGCGTACATGCGGCTGAAGGAGGTGAGGGCCTGACTGCATGCTTGGTTGTCCTTGCCGACCCGTCTTTCCGCTAGCTGCAGTTGTTGCCAGCGCAACTCCCTTTTACTTCTTGTAGTGCCCTCTATACCGTTTCCTGGGGACCCATTCTCCTCCCGCATTCGGTCCGACTCCTCGTCCCCCACATCCCACCACAGGACCAAAAGATCGATAACAGCAGTCTTCACCGGGAGGCTCGCGCGGCGCAGTACGACATGCCGACCAATGCCGTACAAGTCCTGGATCTGCTGGGAGATACGGCAGATCCAGATTTTCCCATCTACCGTACGGGCGACTACGGCGGTCTCGTCTACACGCTGTGTACGGCACTGTACGACCTTGTAGGCGGCACGTTGACTGTGTATGAGGGGAACCCGCGGGAGGGGGCGGTGGGGTTGGTGCTAAGTCTGGAGACATTGATGCCGGTTGGGAGGGACGAGGATGATGGAAAGGGGGTAGAGGAGGGGTTGTTGCTGCAGAGGAAGGGGGTAGTGGGAGACGTGCTGGCTTCCGAGAGGAGGCGGGTTTAGCGAAGACGCGTTGAGTGTGGATGGTGCGGCGAAGCAGGAGGAGGTGGAGGAGACGGGGCGGGAAGGAGTAGTAGGGGCGTGCTGGTAGCTAGCGTGATGGGGTTCGGCTGGCAGGTGTGCTTGCTTGGCGGAGAGGGGGCAAGGGTCATTCGGTGTCCGTGCAAGTCAGTCGCCGGGGCTGGCGCCGCGACCTAGTCGTGCCCTAAGGAGTAATGGGTGCGATGTGAGGGTAGGGTGGCATTGGAATGGCATGCACTGCAGGGGCACTACTGTGATTGATGTTTCCCTTGGCTGGGTCTGTGTGAAATGTATGATACGCAGGCTAAGAATCCGGGTTCCTTATGAGCATCACTTGTGTGATGCATGTCCCATGTCCCGAGAATCCTTATGCCGTTATGGCCTTGTGCTTTCTTATGCCGCACCTAACACCCAGTGATGGCTTTGTACGTGGAGTTCTCCTCTTTAGCCGTTACCGGCAGCTGAAGTTTTATGACAGTGCTATCACACGTTGTCGTGTACTGCCGTACCGCCGCAAGCTCCTGCAGCACTCAAGTACGAAACCGTACCCCACGTGGATCCCGTACGGCACTACCGCTGCGTTACGGACTTGGTTGTAGTACCTGGGTACTGCTGTCCTCTTATAGCTTCAAGTGTGTTCATTCCCTTTTACTATACCAGCAGACATGCATGGGCCCGTCCTTTAGCATACCGGACTTGTGCTTATTGATGACGCGGTTTTGACGGAAAAGGAGCGAGACTTTGCGCAAGGAAAGGAGGACTGTGTGGCTTAACCCACTTCACCATGGCACTCTCTCTTTTCTTCACACGGCAATGTGTGCCGTACAAGGCGCGCTGCATTCTTTTTATAGGGGTTCCATTGGTTTGTTAGTTCTGGTACATATGTGTGTTCAATTTGGCTGTGCTTTCTTACTTTGTGCTTAGAGGACGGACTTGTATACCGGTTAAGCGTGCAGGTGCGTACTCAATCCAAACATGCAACAGTCACCTACTTAACTCAGGGGTGTGCCCCTTGCGGCGTGTAGGGCTTTGTGGGGTTGGTAGCCATGCCCCAACGCCAGGCGGCTCAACTTCAGACACCCAAATGTCTTCCAGGTGGGCCAACCAACCCACTAACCTCCAGGCAGCCGGCGTAACAAAATTCGCGCGTTAAGCAGGTCAAGTGACTAAAGTGGGGTCGGGGGGGGATCGGTGAGCTCGGGCGTGTACGTCATAAACCGAAAATTATCTTGGTGTCAATGGTGAGGAGAAGTGTCGTACGGTTTGGTAATGATGTGTAAAAGCGCACGTTGTTCTGGCGGGCTCGGAAGGCGTTGTGGTTCACACTCCAGACCGGGTCACCCCAGACCTCAAGTTACGTCAGGGGGATGGTCGGGATGATGTCCCTAATGCTATCTCAGGCAAAGCAAGGCAATTGCCCTAGTGTGGCCCAGACCACACAGTGTTGTAGCGCAACTGTATCAGATCAGATAACCATATGTGTTACAACTCGGATCATACCTCAAAGCGCGGGCATGTCATCTCTTGGATCGGGCACAGATTGCCACGAAGTCACTCCCAGCAGAATAGGAATGCAGATACTCAATAAGGATATCAACCTGTTCACAAAACTGTTAGACTGCGCAGGCCACGTTAGGGGCAGCTGGACGCAAGTATACTTGATGGATGCGCGGGCCACTTCTGGGCGTCTTCACGCAATACCTGATATTGGAAACCTGTTAGTATTGTTGATGATCTATCATGAGCCTCTACACAACCGCAACCGCACGGTAGTGCCAAAAGGTACGCTCCGCCACACCTCCTCAGCTTAAGAGCAAGGCGGGAACCGTAAGCACAGGGCCCACATGACACCCTGATGACACCAGATACGCGCCAAGATACCAACTGACTGCGTTCACTCAGGTACATCCAACCAGATAACCAATATTATAGCAGCTAACCGCAACATAACCAAGCCATCCCCGTAGCTCGATTCCGAGGAAACGTATACGTAGTATATACGGTTTCGGAGGAGCGAAGCGAAGGGAAGCATAGGCATTCCGCGTAACGCTCCAGGGAGGGACAATATTCTGTACTAACAGACTTCCAACCGCTTTCGAACGGCCGAGAGCTGAACGTTCAGCTTCCCGTGCAGCGCTAATGACGTCCAGCAGTTTTCGCGCTATTGTTTCGGCAGGGAGTTAGGAATTGGCAAATATTCGCGGCTCTCACTAGTTGTGGCTTGCAGGCGCCAATTACGTCCGACGATGGCACTTCATTATTGTCTGCATATTTTAACAAGCAAACACAGCGAAAAATTCATTGCAGCTGTTTCTGGGCGTAGGAAGACGCGCGATGACAGCCAGTAAAACGTCTACCGGTATTAGGGTGAGCTACCTACTAGAGTCGTCACATCTAGGACATAGCAGACCACGGAACTAACAGTGGCGCCCCGACAGGAAGCTGCACGGCGGTGGGGGTGTTAGCAACGTAATCCTTCGTCCTTCGATGACGTGCCGGCCTTAACCGATAGCAGATCATCGAAACGTGGCTGCCTCTGGGTCGTTCCTCGTGCGGAGCCTGATTCGCCCTTCCTTCCCCGTGCTGCGCATGCTTCCGTCTGTCCTCCCACGTGCGGTGCCTTCCACCCTTCCCCTTGCAGCTCCTTGCCCATCCCCATGCGGTGCCGGCCGACCCATGCCTTTCCCTGTACGAGCTTCCCTGCGGCCCCCAGTGCTTTCCCCCTGCCCTTCCCTAAACGCCCGCCCTTTCCGTGAGGCGCCTGCCTACCCTTGCTCTTACCCGTGCTGCGCCTGCCCTTCCCTGCGCGTCCGCCCGTCCCCACGCGGTACCTACCCCTCTATGCCCTTCCCTGTGCGGCCGCCCTTCCCCTCACAACATGTGTTTCTCTCCCGTAGCGAAGCAGGTGGCGCGTTACCGTCCTAGCAGCAGGCGGCGTCGGGGCATTGCCGGCCTGGCAGTGACAGCTTCTCCTTCGCAGCGCAGTACCAGCGGGCTGTGTGCTGTCCTGCAGCTCATTACTGGCCTTGCAGGGAGCATGCAGCGTTACCCCTGATGCGCATTTCCTGTCCGCAGCTTTTTCCCTCCCTGGCAGTGGTTAGCGTGCCTTCCAGCAGCGAAACCCCGGCCCAGCAGAGGGCATGGCGGCCTCTCGTGCGGCGAAGTGCATGACTATTAAGGGGGCAGCTTGTCTGCCCGCAGCACATAACCTCGGCTTAACGGTCGGCATGCCTTCCGGCGCTCTCTCCCGCAGCGCATTACCGGCCTTGGGGTCGTCAGCCTCCCATGCGGGTATTGCCAGCTTTGCTTACAGCGGTCGCCTATCTTACCCGGCGGTCCAAGGTGTGTCGCGTCGGCAAATCAGCCATCATTGGTTCGTCTGGATTATCGGCATCGCCCAGGCCCTTTCGCAGGTCCCTGGGGAGGGTGGTGATGCTTGCACGCAATGGTACCGATAGCCGGGAGAGGCCTTAATGCATGTGGGCGCCAGTAACTAACTGGGAAGAGAACAAGAGTTGCCTGCATCGCTGCATGCATGGGCGGCAAATATTGGACAAGGCGACGGCAGCATGCACTGGGGACCTTTACTTTGGTATTTTAATGGTGCATGCCTCCGTGCATGAGCGTGTCATGCACGCTGTTGCCTAGCAGTGATCCAAGGAGGAACTAGGAAGCCTGGAGGTGGGGAAGGCAGATACGTGATGAGGAGCGTTGATATCGAGGACAGGCGGCCCTGGAGACTGCAGTGAAGGATATACAACAATACGCGTGGGGATTTGTCCCGCACATTTATGGCCTGCCGCGTCGCTAGGCTTTGCATACGGTATCCGGGCTTGATGACGGGGCGTTGGCCTGTGCAGCAGCGGCGGCAGGAGCACTATCTAGCTCTAGCGGGGGGCAGATGGGGCCTCGGGTATCCCCCCGCAGATCCGGAGTGCATGCATGTATGTGCCTGCTCGCATGCACCCTTGTTGTTCGCCAGTGCGGGGACTGCATGGGCGCGCCGGGCTTTGGGCAGGACGTCTGAGCGCCGGTGGTTCAGCAGCGTGCCTCTCCCCGTGTGGCTCCCCTGCGGCTCCCCTGCCTCTCCCCGTGCTCTGCTTACCTTCCAATGCCCTTCCCCGTCATTGCCCTTCCTTCGAGATTAGAAACGAATAATTGACCGCTACAATGGCCACTAAATGACTCTTCCCCGGGCGGCACCTGCCTCCCACTGCCCTTCCCCCGTGCTGCGCCCCGAGTGAGGCCTCTCTGCCCTTCCCACGAAGTTCCTGCCTCCAAATGCAGTCACTCCTGCACGCATATGCGCCAGCTTATGAGCAGGGTGGGCCGCTGGTCTCATGGCTTCGGGTAATTGACTTGGACAGGAGGTGTCTGCGTGCGCGCATGATTGTTTTGTACATGGGATCCATGCGTTTAAATCAGCGCGGTCGTTGGGCACGGTTAGTGTGCGTACAAGCATGGGCGCCTGTACTTGGGCATGGCGGGTATGCATGCATGTATCGCATCAACGCATGGGCCGGGTGTGCATGCATTCTCGCATCAGCGTTGATGCATGGTTGGGCGAAGGTGGTTGGGTGCTGCAGTAATGCTCGGGCTCATGGGTGCCGGTTCATGGCAGGACGAGAGGACGTCTGCACGCTTGAGCACTGACAGCTTGAAAGGGTGGGGATGCATGCGCATGTGGGCGCCGATAACTGACACGGCAGGTTGGGCCAGCGTGTTGCGTGCGTGTACGCCACATCCCGTCGTTAAGCATAGAACGAGTGTAGATATGTTGCTTTCCAAGACAATTAGTATTCTTCCCAGGCCCTTCCCTGCGCGGTCCGTGCCTCCTCCTGTTCCTCGAGTTTCCCACGCCTGGCTGTGTAGGATAAGCAACAGCTACAGCTATTTGAGCAGGGCGGGGATGCATGCGTGCATCATTGGGCACGGTCGTAAATGGGCACGGTGCAGTGGATGTGCGTACCCGCGTGGCCGCCAGTAGTTGGGCATGGCGGGTATATATGCATGTATCTGTGCCGATTTATGGGCCGGGTGTTATTGTCGGGTCGATATGCACTCACGCAGCAGCGTTGGCGCATGGGTGGGTTCGACGGGGATGCCAAGGTGCAGGCGCTTGGGGAGGGTGGTGGTGCTTGCGCGCCTGGGCGCCAATTTCCGTCAGTACGAGAGGATATCTGCGCGCATGGGCACCGGGCGGCGTGGGGCAGGGCATGCCTGCTTGCATACATGCTCGTTAATGGGCCAGTGCGGGGACTGCATGGGCGCGCCGAGCTTCTGGCAGGACGTGTGGAAGCATACGTGCGCCGGTAGCTGGACAAGGCGGAGACGATGTCATGACTCGGACGGGGTTGACGGGTGCAAGTGCGCCCGTACTTCAGCACGGCGGGACTGCTAGTTTGCATGTCGCAGCTGGTCTGGCAGAGAGGCAGGGTGCACGCGCGGATGCTTTCATTAGCAACTGAGCTGCGTAACTGTACTGATTATAGCCACTGCGGAAAGATGCCCGGACGGATGGTTGCTATGTGGGCGAGTGGTGACGACGGGAAGATGTGTAGTAGTGCAGTGGTAGTAGAGTCAGTGCCCTATACTAACGCACAGGTACCAGTATCAGTACCAGTATTTCGACATATTTCGACAAGGCACGGCACGGCATGCGCGCATACGCATGTATGTATGAACACCAGTATTCGGGCAGGTAGGGCAGGTCTTCGCACTCCACCACCTGTATGCATTGATATCCTGCACGTTTCCGCGGCGTCATCAAGCCGTTCGCGCTTCCTAACCGTTCAATTGCTAGCAGCCTCGGCGACAATCACTGGCACTCCGCCTCTGAAGCATTGGAGCATCCTTCTGCATCCTCACGCCGTACATGCGTGCAACCGCTCTTTCTTCTCGACATCACCTGCCGTTCCTACTCGTAGTCCAGCTCTCTCCAGCGAGCTACGGGTAGCTCCCGCCGAAGGCGGGCCTTACTAGTAACGATAGCTAGAGATCTGACGAAGCCCTAACGAATCCTAACCGTTACCGAACCGACGGCAAATCCACCTAGACGGCATCCAGACCTGACAAAGCGTCCGCCCGCTGCCGTGCTCCGAACCGTGTGAGGCAGCGGCCCGTCGTCCTCCTGTATGTGGGCTCCCAAGGTTGGTCGTACGGCACGACGTTATCTTGAACCTTCGAAGTTTGTTTGCCTACGTACCGTTAACCGGAAAGAACATGTAGTGTTCCTATTGTAGTAGATACAGCTTATATCGGAGCCTTTGTGTGAATTTTGCGGGGGGCAGTGTCCCCATGGAAGACCTTGCTTGCCCAACATACCCAGGACGGATCCTCCGGAGTTAACAAGACACGTCGTATATATCATAATACTAGTACCAGGGGGTTGTTGAAGTGGAAACATTTGTCCTCAAACGTACAGAGCTGTCGTACAGCAAAACTGGTACGACAGGGTGGGTGGGTGGGTCCGGCAAGTACTTATAGCATGGGGTTTATCACAGATGACTTTACTTCCCCCTCCTGTAGATGGTACATGTGGGCTGTCCCTGGCTGCCCCGTCAGGCTTTGGCTACTATCCTGCACCGCAGCCACAGCCAAGTAGGCCGTATAGCCTATAGCGCACATACTTTCGCCTGCATTCTCATCTCGACTGTACCTATAGCCCCAACCACCTCAGATCCCTCGCCCCACCCTCCTCGCCCCAGCCTCGCCCCTGCCACCTCAGAAGCCTCGCCCCTGCCACCTCAGATGCCTCGCCCCTGCCACCTCAGAAGCCTCGCCCCTGCCACCTCAGAGCCGTCGCCCCTGCCACCTCAGAGCCGTCGCCCCTGCCACCTCAGAAGCCTCGCCCCTGCCAGCTCAGATCCGTCGCCCCTCCCACCTCAGAGCCCTCGCCCCTGCCACCTCAGAGCCGTCGCCTCTGCCACCTCAGAAGCCTCGCCCCTGCCACCTCAGAAGCCTCGCCCCTGCCACCTCAGAAGCCTCGCCCTGCCACCTCAGAGCCCTCGCCCCTGCCACCTCAGAAGCCTCGCCCCTGCCACCTCAGAAGCCTCGCCCCTGCCAGCTCAGAAGCCTCGCCCCTGCCAGCTCAGAAGCCTCGCCCCTGCCAGCTCAGAGCCGTCGCCCCTGCCACCTCAGAAGCCTCGCCCCTGCCAGCTCAGATCCGTCGCCCCTCCCACCTCAAAAGCCTCGCCCCTGCCACCTCAGAAGCCTCGCCCCTGCCACCTCAGATCCCTCGGCCCTGCCACCTCAGATCCCTCGCCCCTGCCACCTCAGAGCCCTCGCCCCTGCCACCTCAGAAGCCTCGCCCCTGCCACCTCAGAGCCCTCGCCCCTGCCACCTCAGATCCCTCGCCCCTGCCACCTCAGAAGCCTCGCCCCTGCCACCTCAGAGCCCTCGCCCCTGCCACCTCAAAAGCCTCGCCCCTGCCACCTCAGATCCCTCGCCCCTGCCACCTCAGATCCCTCGCCCCTGCCACCTCAGATCCCTCGCCCCTGCCACCTCAAATCCCTCGCCCCTGCTACAGCTTCCGCGGCGTCTCTATGTAAGACTCAAATATCAACACCATCCACACCAGCACGACGCAGTAGGCCACATACCTTAGCCGGCCGTTATAAAGACCCTAGCCACAAACGGAAAGGACAAATGCGCAAACGCCTATTGACAAGCACACGCCCTCCACAAGGGGCAGCTAGAGCAAGTGACATGGGTGGTTTCAACCACTCTCACGACTGTAACGCCTTGAAAAAAGGCAATATCGTCTGTCCGCCGCTTCACCTTTCGCCGGTCAACAAACCTTGCTATTGGTAACTTAGACGCTCCTCCCGATTCGGGCTCCTGTTGGCGACGTCAACCGACCAGTGTAAACGCTATGCACCATCATACTATCAGTACTGTTACTATACAGTGGGTCACAACTAGCGCCTTTTGTAGGTACCGGTATCTCGCTCAACGCCTGCTCAAGACGTCGGTCCAGATTTGGCGCAGAGGAAAATTGGAAGTATTCCAAACACAGCTGAGATATATTAAACAATACTTATGAGCGTCTCTGAGGAGAGGCCCGGACCCACGGCTTTGTGCACTTAGAATCTTAGACGCTATCTAAGCAATGAAACCAATGTCGTGCCGATACCCATCCCAGTCGCAATAGTAAATTCTAATGGATACTATTATTTAAGGGCCTTTATATAGTTAACACCGTAAGTAGACATCCGTCTGAAGCCGAATAAATTTATGGACTACTCGATGCCATGATTACCTCCCCACGCAACCTGTCAAGGCCTAACAAAAGCAGTTCATTGTCATGGCTAGCTTAAAGGCACGTCTTCATATTCTTCTGCTTCCATACTACACGAGGCCTGGTGGCAAACTTTGTGGACCTCCATCTCCAAGCGCATAAAGTAAGTTCGCTAAGGGTTTGGGGCGCAAGAAGTTATATTTTACATCATACATAGGCCGCATTTGCGCCGCGTCATTAGGCAGGCAGCTGTCGGTGGCGGACCCCGGGCCGCCGAACCGAGAGCGACGAGTGTCGCCTACCTGATTGCCACTTTTATGACTGCATACTAGTAGGGCTGAATGTCCAACTCACACGACTTACCACTCCTCAAGAAGCGCTTTCATCGGTGGCAAACTTGACAGTTAAAGGGGACTACTGGGAACAGCTTGTTTCAATTGGTCTGTATCTCTGCTAAACGACTTTGGGAATGGGCGTCGCCCAAAATCGCCGAGGCGTTGACCATACCTAGGCCTGTATGCATATGCATGGTGCTGCAGTCTATCGATAAACGCTTACATTCGGTCACAATGTGCAAACTCCCATGCCTCATGAAACCGATATTGTTACTGACAGGTGGGTTGCTTATGCATGCGTCGCGGTTACTTTGGCGCGCTATAGCTCGATGGTTGCATTTCTAGAACAAGAATTCAATGGTTTGGCACTGGTCCAAGTGCCACAGACGTCGTAGCTAACGAATATGATGGGCGGCTTCCTTAACGATCCGTTTCGAGTGAGGGTCAAGGTTGGAGTGTTCCATCCACATGTTCGGACTCCTTGCCAGTCACACGCCAGACTGAAAGGATATCAAGTAACCGCAGATGTATATTGCTTATCATGTTGTATAAAGATTAATTCGCCTTGGAAATGGCCAATTCGCCTTGTTGGATTCATTCGCCTTGGTGACATCTTGGCTTTGCACATGGACGCCATGATGACAAATCAGCTTCTGGCAAAACTACACGTACGTTGACGTTATCTGGTCGTATCCTCACTTCCAGCTGTCGTTTTGCGGCATGTCTTCGTAGAGTGCGGTGTTGTAGTTGAGTAGGACAGGAGCAAGCAATGGGGAGAGGTTCGCATGTGAACCGCGAGTACAGGCATACGCTGGCCGAGCGCTGGAAGGGCGGGATGGACAAACGACGTACTTGTGCCCTTGCTGCTTGCTGCTTACTAACACATACGTGCAACACGTACTGAGGTGTCATCCACCCCCGCATACCCCTATGTTCACAGAATGCGAAGCTAACATACATTATCAACGTACGAGGAGTTTACGAAACTCCCATTTACTACTTGGCAGTTGGCAGCAACAACAAGCACAGATAACTAACGTACTGGCTTACCGTCCACGTGGCAATGGCGCCGCCGACATTATTACCAAAAGAAATGGCGTGCAGAGGATCTTCCAGAAAGCAGCTGTGGTGGCCCTACGTGCCACGCATCCCGCTGGCAGCCTTGCTGGTTCTGGTCTGGGTGTTTTCTTCCTCGACCTGTAGTGGCACAGTCCCCGGGTCGCTCCAGCTTTACTCTACTTAACTAATATAGGCTTGATTGGATGACTTGGTTGACGATGAAGAAGAAGGATTATAGGTTGAGAGGTAGTGGAAAGACTAGCGTCAGCCAGCTTTAAATAGGGCGCCGCCCTGTACGACTCATTCAGATCATCCATTCCGGGATCGGTTACTCGAGTCGCATTGCGAGATCATTAGCGTCATCATAGACGTGGCTACTAGCCTCTTTAGGCGTATGACCCATACTTATATTTCCACTTATAAATCCACCTTGTGACCACTGAAACAGGTACGTGCTTACGTTTATAGGACTGTATGTAGGCTAATGAGCTTGACTTTGCACGTAGCTAGGTAGGCTTGCAGCAGCATGGGCCTTACTTTATTTGGAGCCACTTCATGCACTACACCTGCACTACATGTCTGTCTGTATGTGCAATTCAAAATGACACATCAGGGTACAGACACACGCAGTAATGTCACCACAAGGGTAATTAGGCCAATACCTGCAGGCGATGCATGGACGAACTCGTATAAATCGCAGTAACGATAGCTATTAACAGTGTTGCGTGATCAGTACCCCAATTTTGGTTCTTCATACTTAATTTTGCCGTCTTGTATACCCTCCAGGTGGCACCACCTGCAACTTGTATAACTGGAATAGTGGCGATTACTGTGGCTACGCCACTCCGTATGGAAACATATGTTGCGCCAACGGCATGTGCTGCTCAGTGTTCGGTACATGTGGCTATTCATCCTTAGAATGCGGTAGTTACTGTCTAACGGGATACGGTACATGCTATGTGTCACCCAGCCCTCCACCCAGCCCTTTTTCACCGCCGCCCAGCCCTCCATACAGCCCTACATGGTTCAGGCCTCCACCACCCGGGCCGCCGCCTCCACCCAGCCCTTTATCACCGCCGCCCAGCCCTCCACCCAGCCCTACATGGTTCAGGCCTCCACCACCCGGGCCGCCGCCTCCACCCAGCCCCTTATCACCGCCGCCCAGCCCTCCACCCAGCCCTACATGGTTCAGGCCTCCACCACCCGGGCCGCCGCCTCCACCCAGCCCTTTATCACCGCCGCCCAGCCCTCCACCCAGCCCTACATGGTTCAGGCCTCCACCACCCGGGCCGCCGCCTCCACCCAGCCCTTTATCACCACCCAGCCCTCCACCCAGCCCTTTAACACCACCCAGCCCTCCACCCAGCCCTTTAACACCACCCAGCCCTCCACCCAGCCCTTTGACACCCACCCCTCCGCTCAGCCCTTCGGTGCCCAGCCTTTTATTACCACCCAGTCCGCCGCCTCCTCCCAGCCTTTTATTACCACCCAGTCCGCCGCCTCCTCCCAGCCTTTTATTACCACGCAGCCCGCCACCCAGCAATTCGACACCCACGTCATCAGGTGTACATGCGCCGCCAGCACCGCCATGTGAGTCTTATCGCAATAATTACCGGTACTGTTTTGATTTCCAGACAGTTGAATGATTGCGTGTTCCGGTGTGCCTACCTGCACCGTTCGAGCCGGCAGGAAGGGGGGGGGGGCAATGACACAAGTGAGAAACCGACTTTGATAGTAATTTGGGTCATCAGGTTCCCATACGGGCCGCCGCTTAGCTTGGGGGCAGCTCTGCTTTGATGGTTCCTGATAGGTGTGCAGGAGATGCGAGCTAACATGTGCCAAAGGACCTTCACAACTAACGTGCAACATATGGGCCCTTTCCTAATAATACCTTGATTGCATCTTAACATTGCCCGCGTACCGTGATTGCTTTATTTCCTATTTGCCGTTACGTATGTATGTAATGCAGCTCTTGAGGCGGCCGCAGCAGCCGTCCCAGCAGCGGCACAGAATGTGACGACGCCAAGTTCCCTTCCTCCACCGCCACCAAGTCGGCCACCACCACCACCAGGTTAGATCCCTCAACCTCTAACGTTACCATATTATTTTACTAGTTTTTATTTCACTAGTCCGCCGCCAGGAGCTGCAATAAAGTGGGATTACTGTTGCATGTATGTGTGGCTGGCCTACTGCTCCTGTTGTGCATTTCACGACATGAATATTCATTGCTGTGCCTGATTGCTAAACAGAGACCTGCTGGTGCTTCAGCTGTAACGCCAGACCTACCTGCCTGCGGTATGCATTTATATTTTCCGTGCTTAAGAGTACCCCTTGTTTGTGGCTGTTCGATAGGGCCGACCGCTGCTGGTGCAGCGCAAGATAGCGGGGCATCGTCAGACAGTTCACAGCTGCGTCCAGCCATTATTGGAGCTTTGTGCGGTGTGGCTGGATGTGTGGTCCTTGCAATCATTGGTGTTCTGCTGTATCGTAGCAGGCATGCGGCACCCATCCAACCGCACCATGTCTCGATCGTCATACAGTCCCCGTCCAGCAGCCCTACAAAAGCTGATGGGAATGCCCCGGTCGTTCTAGCCCTCGATGCAACGGGTGAGCTAAAGAAGCCATCACATCCTTCATCAGCAGGTGCTAGAGATGAGCAGCAGGCCAGCAACCCCACAGAACGTGTAACAGCATGGCCTTCGCAAACCCAGCATGAGAAGCACGGCGGCGGTGCGACAACTGCCGGCAGTCTGCTACCTCCAGAGAGCCGAGAGCTAGCCCACCAGATGATGTCAAGCATTGACGCCCTGCACGTCAAGGTTGGGACCATCAAGGACGCCATTCAAAATCAAAGCAGCACAGCCGAGGCGATGGCAAAAGACATCAAGAAGGAATTGAATGTTGTGGCAAAGTTCATAGCGCAGATCGACATGAATCCAATGCCTGCATGGCATATCATCATTCCCGCAGAGAATCCGGAGGATCCCAAGAGGCTTGCCTGGCTCTGGTGGCATACCCAGCGGATAGGAAAGGAGAAATACCGGCTGCACCTGCTGTGTGAACACCACGACATGCCACACCTGACTGACCACCCGGGTTACGAGCTGCAGCGACCAAGGGAGTTTTTGCGGAAGTACGAGCCCGTCCTGAGAGTTGGGGTGAAGGTTCTCAGCATGAGCATCACAATGGCCCTGAGTAGGGGGGGTCAAGAGCTGGCCAACGTCCTCGGATGGCTAGCTGATCACTACTTGGACAACAAAATGAATGTAAGCATCAGTGGCTGGGGGGGTGGTGCTAGCTGGCTCTTAGGTAACACAGGTCACAGTCCAACTCATGGTCTGCAGACATAGGCTGACACTAATGGCGTGCGTTGATTGGTTGGGATGCCTTGGGACCCTAAGAACTGAACAGTCACACCGTCATGCATTTCTATACCCGCATTTCCCCATGCAGTCCATCGATCAATCGTCCGTATTTCCAAGCTGTCGCGGCTGTCACGTCATGCATGTCGATACCTGATCGCATTACAAGTGCCATGCATGTTCGCCATGAATTGATCTTCATACCCATCATTCGTGTTTTATACTGCTAGCTAACCATGCCCTCACTCTTTCTCTCCTTATTACCCTCTACACCTTGGATTAACCCATCCAGCCTTACAAGAAGGTGAACGTCTTACTTGACGAGCTCCGCAAGGCACACCGAGGCAGCGGCAGTGGAGGGAAAAGGAACGGAGGGCTCCCCATTGAAAAACGTTTGGCGATGGATCCGCAGCAGGAGGAGGAGCAGGAGGGTCAGCAGCAACAGCTGCAGCATTTGTCGCCTTCAGAGCTGCTGGGCATGCACCAACTGCAACTCGAGGGCTGTCAGGAGGCACGCAGGTAGGAGTGCAACACAAGGAATACCGGATTGAGCTGTCAATGCTATCTGTAGCGTCAAGCATGCACTACTAGCGTATGTGTTTCTATCCCTTGCTTGTCAAACATCATCAACTCTTGCTTTATTTGTGCTTGACCGCGAAGACATTACACGGTTCGAAGGAGGAGAGCCGATATCCACGCAGTAGTGGTGATAAAAAAACACAGTTGGTGCGCCCGTGTGTCTGTAACATTAAACAAACTAGACAAAAGTACTGTTTGCAACTAATAGGTATGTATTTGTTATCGGTAAGCAAAATTCATTTCGCAGCAAACGATTTCTTGACCAGCTGTCGACAATTGTCATGCTCCAGCGGTGAAACATGCTAAATCATGACATGGGGTGGAACCTCCCCCCCCCCGACCGAAGACCTCGACATCACAAGGGCGGAACAACAGCCCAGGACACCCCAAGCCACACTGCAATCGGCAACGGGTACAACAGGCAACTCCTCAGGAAAAACCAAGGCTCGCACGTCTGACCACTGAAACGCGCGCATGCCACGCCGCACGAAAATCCACGCTGCAAACCTCAGGTCCACGAATCCAGCTACCAAGCCAGGCATAGAGCCAGCGCAAGCAGCACTCAGGCGGTCAGAGCCTAAGGTGCACCGACCCACGGGTCACCCGACAATCCAAACACAGCGAACCCACCCCTAATTCAGGCAGGCAGGCCACGAAAGCGGCAATAGTCAAGTCTCCGCCACGGAAAAGGCACAAGCAGCAGGCACGGCGAGGTACGCTGCCGGCGAGGTAGCGAGCCGGCAACGCAACCCTAGCCCTAAGCAATCCCCCCTTCGGCCGCGCGGCATGGCACGCCTCTTCCTAGCCCAAAACAACGCTACCTGCCCTTCTTCCTCGTACCCGTCTGCTCCGGCATCAGCATGCGCTTCGCCGCAGGCAGCCCGACCGCCTCAGCAAAGCCCCCGTCCCACTCGGCATAGAAGTAGTGGGGCCTCGCCAGACCGCCGCGGTAGCGCAGCACGCCGAGCAGCCACCACCACCGCGGCCACACCGATTACCGCTCCTCTATCTGGCACGTATAACCGGTACCGTAGCTAATAAAATACATATAGCGACGACCTGCTGTGAAAGTCGGCGGGACCATGCTTGCGCCTACTAAGACCCGACCCGCGCATGTGAACTTATGCCGCCGGCTTGCTGTTATCTTGTAAAGTATGATACCTATTAACTACAACGCGAACTGGTGCCTGGCCGTTCTGCCAACACGCAACGGTGCAACAGATGAAGCGAATACCAAACGGTAATTACCTAATTACCCTAATTACAGCAGCTTATTATAAATAAAAATTGGTACTTATCTTCGAGCCCTGTTTGGCAAGAAGGCCAGAATCACGGTCAGCACCAACTAACAAAACACGGAATGAATTACTTTTGTCATTTATATGTTCACGAACCGTGTTTCCGCGAGATGTACTCGAAAAACTACTTCAGTTCTTGCATGGCTGTGCTTTTTACCCTGCATGCAGGGAGATCTGGTCGGTCCTGCAGGAACACGACCCCACCATGGAGTACGGCAACCTACAGAAAGTGTATACCGTTTCGGGGGACGTCCTTTGGCTCTGCAAGCACCACGTGAAGTCGTACAGGAGCCAGGGACTTCTTCGAGAGTAGCGGTAGCTGCTTAGTATAAATATGCTAACTACATCACCGTAGTCGTCTACTGCTGTCATTCTCACAGCGGTTGGTGAAGACGGAGTTGGCTATTGCGGTTAGAGGACGTACGCGGCGGAGGGCGGATGCTTCCTGGGCACCTACTGTGATGCTTCCTTCCTTGCTTCTTTGTGGCGCCTACTACGAGGCACGCAATCAGGGATTCCAGACTGGGGCCTAAAACTGACTACTTGGTAGGGCCCTAGCGCAGTATGCGGACATCAACTTCCTTGCTCGTTTTCAGGAGGTTTTTTAAGTTATTGCTTGTAAGGTTTGTTGTGGAGCTCACGCAGAGGAACGTAAGGGCTTTATTTTCTCCCGGGCGTTTTGTGGCGTACGTACGTACGACATGCTTGCCGTGCGGCTGGGGTGGGTGGGTCTGGGGCCTGCCTTCCCCATGTCATGTGGTTTACAATTATACTTCTTACCCTCCCTTCTGAACCTACTGCAAAAGTACGGAGCGAGGGTACACGTACACGAGCGTTTCGATTATGTGCCGTTACTAACTGAGACTTAGGAGGAAGGAGGTCGCCTGGCCGCTATCATGGCTTTCCTTGGACCTGCGCCTTACGCATGATAGCTTGAGGTTGAATAATCTGCTTGATTGGTGGTTAGTGGTGCGTGGGGGCGGGGGTGGGAATTCCATATGCAGACGACCTGCTTGCGCTAAAGCCATTATATTTTTATTTAAAGAAGATCCGCCAGTAGTTTCTGTAACATCCTGCAGACGTGGCTAGCAGTGTTAGTTGGCGTACCGATTGACGATGTTTGGACTTCAGGCCGTTGGCCGTTAATGTTATTGGCGTGTTAAAACAAGCAATTGACGTGGCATGACTGTGACCGTGGCTTTTGGCGCCATGCGTGTTGTTCTGTGGTACCTCATCAAAGAGGATGCCGCAATGCACGCACTGCTGCCACACCGTTGGCGTTAAGACCGTTTGGGCGATCTTGAATTCGGCAATTGAATTTGGCTTTTCATGGCAGAGACCGCGGAAGCTGACCTCAAGAATGAAGGTTACATTTTTGTATGGTCACTTCATTAATGCTCCCGTTGCACGCCGCCTCACACTGCGGTATTTAGATGCGCACCGTGTATGTCACCACTACTCATGTGCCTGGTTACAGTCCATCTATCTGCTCCCTCCTTAGGAAGCGCGCTCTTTGCCTTTATGTGAAATTTGCCACGGTTAATGTAATTTGCATGCGGATCATGCGTACTTCAAAACTTGTGTTAAGGAAACTGGCCGCGAGTCGGTGACTTGTGTGTAATTGAGCAGAAACAAGAGCAAGCAGTTGGAACTCGTGTGTGTTAAGGAAACACACTTGTGCGTGTGTGTGTGCCTCAACGTGTGGACGTAGGCAGGGGTGTACCCGAGTCAATTCCTCAAACCTGATGGAGAATAGACTGCAGTGCTGTCATGTCCGGGCGTCTGTTCATGTGTCTGTAAAACCATGGCTCCGTGCATGAGCTTCCGATTCAGTTGGCCGCTGCTGCTGCTTGCGCTGTAACGTCACTAATAAGCTGCAATCGTTTGTGATGTTTCTGACACGGGAGCGTTTCAAGAGCAAACTACCCGCCGCTCCATTTCATCATGCTTAACAGTAGTCAGCTTGCTTCCTGTTTTAGCTGTTTTGGGTGCCCTGGAATTCTCCCCCCTTCACCTTCCAGAAGGGATTCGCGCTTGTATCCGGAATTCGCCCTTCATTGGCTGGTTCATGACGTTTCCCGTCTATGGCGCACTGGGTATAGCCGTTGTTAGTTGATACCAGCAAATGCAAGCCTTAGACGAGAAGTAATTTAAGGAGGAAAGGTGAAGAGGCTATCACAAGCCTAATTAAGATAGGGGACCGGATAGAACACTCCGGACAGCTACACAAAAGGATTGTATGTAGGTCGATCGGGATCGATGCATGTCACACAACAGAAGGAAGACCAATTACGGTGTTGAGTAACATGCAGGAGGTAGCTCTGACACACGTAGGGATCGCAACAGCGCCTGATTAATTGTAGATAGGCGTATGGATGGCGGCAAAAGGAACACACCGGGTATGCAGTACAATCCATGCACATGTGTGCAGCACAAGTGCCACCGAGCGTCGCTGTACCATGTAAGCCAGTAGTCCTCAACCCATTGATCAAGCGTGTCTGCAGCCTCGTCAATTGCACCTGCAAGGATACATAGTTAGCTCTGCTGTGTACAGGTATACCGGTATGCTCGTTTACCTGCTCTCAGCAGGTAGGTGATTCCGGTTGGTTCTTGTAACCCCGCCTTAACCGCCAATATCGCGGTACGTTGCATGCATGGAACCATCGGGGCCTGCTGCAGCTGCCGCAATAGCAGTGTAATTTGCAGGATGGAGGAGGGTGGAACCCCCATTCGCCTTCCCCTCATCGTGTGCCCCTCCCCTTTCCTTCCTCTCTTCCTCTCTTCCTTCCCCACCCCGCACCTCCCACTATATCCACCCCGATGCGCCCTCCCGCTCCTCCCGTCGCTCCCCCTTCTTCCCCCAACCCTGCCTGCCGTGGACGCCGCAACTCCAGGCGTAGTCACAGACTACCGGTACGCCAGGGGGTGGAGTAAGGAAGAACGCCGCAAACCAACAGGGAGAGAAGAGGGAAAAAAACCTCTAAACCTGTCTAAACCAACCCAAACCCTGAACCCAACCTTTAATACTGCCCTCAGCACTCTCCTCCCGTCCTCGTTGATGCATTTATCTATATTTTTCCTCCTACATCCCCATCCGCAGTACTGAGGGTGGGGCCAGTTGGTGGGCTTGCAAATGGCGTTTTTGACGGGGGTGTCAGGGCCAATGGCTGTCGCTATCCTAATAGTGCGGCCTTGGCGCCTCACTTAACGTCTGGGGGATGGTCGGGATGATGTCCCTAATGCTATCTCAGGCAAAGCAAGGCAATAGCCCTAGTGTGGCCCAGACCACACAGTGTTGTAGCGCAACTGTATCAGATCAGCTAGCCATATGTGTTACAACTCGGATCATACCTCAAAGCGCGGGCATGTCATCTCTTGGATCGGGCACAGATTGCCACGAAGTCACTCCCAGCAGAAAAGGAATGCAGATACTCAATTAAGATATCAACCTGTTCACGAAACTGTTAGACTGCGCAGGCCACGTTAGGGGCAGCTGGACGCAAGTATACTCGATGGATGCGCGGGCCACTTCTGGGCGTCTTCACGCAATACCTGATATTGGAATCCTGTTAGTATTGTTGACGATCTATCATGAGCCTCTACACAACCGCAACCGCACGGTAGTGCCAAAAGGTGCGCTCCGCCGCACCTCCTCAGCTTAAGAGCAAGGCGGGAACCGTAAGTACAGGGCCCACATGGCACCCGATGACACCAGATACGCGCCAAGATACCAACTGACTGCGTTCACTCAGGTACATCCAACCAGATAACCAATATTATAGCAGCTAACCGCAACATAACCAAGCCATAACGATAGCTAGAGATCTGACGAAGCCCTAACGAATCCTAACCGTTACCGAACCGACGGCAAATCCACCTAGACGGCATCCAGACCTGACAGGGGTAAAAATAAGGAAAACTGCCGGGGGGGCCTCCTAGGAGAGTTGGGGAATTGGGGGCGGGGAAAATGAGCGGGCGAAGAGGAATGTGGCACACGTGGCTGCGCCGTCAGACCAAACCTCTGCTGCATGCATGCATTAACTCCCCTACATCCCGCATGCCATGGCGCTTGACAGCAATTCCCACCGTAATCACAGGTGGCCCCAGTTTCCCGCCGCGACCAAGGCAAGGAATGCTCAGCTCGCGGTTTCGAGCCGGCACCGCCTCCCCCACCCTGTGCACCTATGCCCTTGCCTTACATGCATGCTCCCGTGGTTGTACCAAGTTTAGTACATTCAGAACCATTACTCCTCCCAACACACATCCCGCAGCTGCCCATGATGCGGCCTGCATGTGGGGTCCGACGCCGAACATGGTGACACGGATTTACGGGAAACGAATGACTCATTGTACCCGGAAATGGAAGTTTTCCACTGAAGCTAATCCATCATCACATGCGCGCGCGCTCTCACACATGGGGGTATCTGTTGTACATGGAAACATGACATATAATGGTGTTTCGGTGTTCCACAGGCAGATTCTGAACTCAGCTTGTATGTCTTGCAACGTAAATGGCTCAGTGGGGCGCTGTGGTGGATATTGGGGTGGGGCGTGTCAGGCAGTGCGGTGCGCATAGGGGGGTCGTGGCTCGTGGGTTTGTCTGCCGTGGAAGTCAGTCAAGTACAAAACCGATATGAGTGTAGTACATTTCAGTTTCGCCTGAAATGACGAAGGTAATTAGTAGGAAATGCGCAAAGGACTTTGGAATACTGAGAACTATGTTGGTCAGCAGGCGTTGATACAGTAGCTCTGGAGCTAGGCACTGTCGACAAGCTGTGTGAAGTGTGCCTTTGCATACTCCCTTATATACAACAAAATACAAGGATTTTGCGTTTGTTTTTTCTGTCTTAGTTGCACTTGCGCTTTACCGGTGAGGCAATGTTTCCTCGGTCATCTGGGACAACATCTGCAGTTTCGCCGAAACGGCCGGAAACCAGCAAACGACTCGATCTGCGCAGTCATGACGATGTGGAGACACCTTCTCGAAAGCGCCTGAAGGACGCAGCGAAAGTCCAGGTTGACTCGTTGGCATGCCATGCCTTCAACGAAGACCACAACACCCCTGGCAAAAGCCCCGCAGCCCCTACGACCTTCTCATTAAACCCGCAGCAACTCAACGGCTTGATACGCTCCGGTCTCGGCGTCTATAATGCCGGTCAAACCTTGGCAGCAGGAGTCGCAACAGCCAACCCATTTATTTGCGAGGGACCCAAGCCCTCCCCAAGCCGCGCAGCGGGCTGCGTCAGGCTTCAGGGTCTGCGTCCTCTAGCCGCCACCCGTGGCGGCCCGGGACAACTTCTCCAGCAGCAACATCAGGGACATCTTTCCCTCTCCTTACTCACACGGAGCAGCGCCAGCTCCGAAACCCGCCTTGGCAGCGGCAGTGGCTGCGGAGGCGGCATCAGGGCAGCCCCAGCCTTCCCAGGTGCTCTTCCCAAGGCGTATGGGGTCGCTGCTCCAGGTGCTTCTGACGCCGTTCGTACCAGCCGACCAAGTGGGGCAGCCGTACATGCCATACCGGTGTCGGCGGGGAGGTTGAAGTCGCCAGGGGCAGGACAAGGAGGAACCCAAGGCCCCGTGCCTCGATCGCCCGTCTTCCTGCCTCCGCGGGAGGGGGTGCTGGGGGCCCGTGGCGCCTCGGGACTGGAAGGCGGGGCAGCAAAGCAGCCGCAGGCTGCGCAGGTAGCGGCGCAGGGCTGCGGTGGCTGCTTGGAACCGCAGCTGCGGCGGGGTGGAGGTGGCGGCAGCAGCAGGCTGAAGCCTTGCGATCTAACTACTGTCCGGGCGGCTCCTGGCGTGCAGAGTGTGCAGGTTGACAGCGCTGTTGCTGTTGTTGCGGTTGCTGGGGACATCAATGCCGCAGACGGGATTGACACCGCAGAGGTGCAGCGCACGGCTGGATGCCATAGTGAGAAAGATGCGGCAGCAGCAGCAGATTCAGCAGCAGCAACGGAGGCGCTGGCGGTGGCAGCAGCAGCAGGAGCAGCGGGAGCAGAGCTGCATGGGAGGGGCGGCCAGGGATTGGAAGACGGTGCTGCGGCTGGGATAGGAGCACTACTCCCTGGGGGGCCGACGGGCATGCACGGCAGCGGCTTTGGCAATGAAGACGCTGAAGGTGACAACGACGACGGCGCCAGCTGCTACAGCAGCTTCGGCACAGGGGCATCTGAGAGCGAGGAGTCAGAAGAGGGTGACGAGGCGAACTCAGCTGAGGGCGTGGAGCGCCTTGCAGTCGAGGGAGGCACCGGCTTGGGGCCATCAGACTGGAGTATCGTACTGTACGACAGCACCCTCACATGTGACGACAACAACAACAACCCACATCCGCACCCCACGTCAGCAGCAGCCAACCCCGCATCCGCACCTGGACCCACAGCAACGGAAGCCCCCACTGTTGCACCGGGATGCTTCACCACCGCCGGCACCGCCCACCCGCCTGCCGCCCCCGCTGCTCCCAGCACGTCCCGGCACCCCCTCACCTCCATCCCCTCCCGTCTGCTGCACCTGGGGCCCCCCTGGGCAGTGGGGCCCCGCGGCGGCCGCAGCCTGCGCTTCTGCACCACCGCCGTCCGCCACATCTGGCCCTCCCTGGCGCTCGCGGCACGCAGCGCACCCCAGCCTGTCACCCTCTACATCTCTCCCGGCCCGCATGCCTTCTCCTCCTCCTCCTCCTCCTCCGCCCCCACCGCCGCCACCCCCACCCCCACCGCCTCCCTAGTAGTAATCCAAGCCACGCTGCGGCTGTCCGAGAGCCGCGCCTACCTGCGTATATGCACCTCCTGCTGGCCCCTTCACCCCGACATATCGCCTGATGCCCTGCTGCAAATCTCCAAGTACACGGGACCTGTGCTACCTGCGGGGGTGGCTGCTGGGGCGGCAGTTGCGGGACCTGCGGATGGGGCAGGAGAGGGGCAGGGCGAGGCAGCGCTGTTGGAGCCCGCGGGGCCGCAGTTGGTCATGCGGTACCACTGCCGCAAGCAGCAGCAGGCGTTCCTGAAAGAGCTCCGAAGAGCAGGAGGCGGAGGAGGAGGAGGAGGAGCGGGATGGGGCGGAGCGGGGGGAGGGAGAGCTGGTGCTGCTGGTGCTGGGGGGCAGGAATCGGGGCCGGGGCTGGGGGCAGAGGGGCAGGGGGCTGGAGGTAATGGCGGTTGTGGCGGTGGGGGCCAACAGCAGCAGCAGCAGGGGGTGGCGGTGGTGGTACGGACGAAGCTGGGAAGGCGGTTGTACGACAATCGAGCGCTGGATCTGCCGTGCTCCACGTCCGAATGGTTGTTTGAGCACTTGCTGGGTCGGAAGGGTCAGCAGGAGCGGGAGCAGGGGCAGCAGCAGTTGCAACAGCAGGGATGCGGCTTTGAGATGCATGGCGGCGGCGGCGGCAGCGGCGGTGCTGGGGCAGCAGCGATGCCTGTTGCCACAACGGGTGGCAGCAGTACGGTTGTTACAGCCGCTGCTGCTGCTGCTACGGCCATCCAGGGAGTGGGCATCACCCTCATTCCTGAGGACTGGCCCGAGTCGCGTTTCCAGGTGGGTTGGGTGCACGGATCGGGCTGTAAGCGGGTGCGGAGGGACGCCAACACCCCGGATGTTGTTGGTTGTACGGACTGGAGGTATCGGCTTGGTGCTGCCGGACTTGCTATCACCTTCGCGTGGATTCAGGCACTGTACTGTTCAACCCACACGCCCTACCTGCTCCCAGCTGCCCTACCGGTACCTCCGGCTCATTTGCTTCCCTCACCCGCTGCTGCCCCCTCAGGTGGAACTGCGCTACCGCTTTCCCAAGCTCATGGGACTCCTCCAACCGCCCACAACCGCCATAACTCCAACCGCCGCAACGACCACATATCTGGGTGCATTAGCACCCGTGACAGCAGCAGCACTACCACCACCCTTCTCCTCGTCAACTACTGTCGTACATTCACCCCTGCCGTACGCAACCCTCAGTGCGGAGGTACGGGGTGCCATCGCGTTGTACGGCGCTGAGGCGGGGGATGTCTTGGAGCTGTGGCAGCTGCCCGGTGGGCGGCCGGAGGAGTTCATGTTCCGAGTGGTGCGGGCGGGCGGTAGAGGGGCGGGGCGGGGGCGAGGGCGGGGATGAGGGTGAGGAGGAAAAAGAAAAGAGAAGTGAAGCACGGTGACGGGGACAGGCTTAGGCGGGTACGGGCGAGGGGTTTTGAGGGGAGGTAGAAGGCGATGTAGGCTGTGTATGATATGTATGATAAGATGTGTATGTGAGGTGTGTAGGCTGCGTGGAGGCGGAAGATGGAGGAAGAGGTTGGGGGATGAGGAGGCGACACGCAGCAGTGGCGCAACTGTGGAATAGGCATGTTAGTGTAGGTACTGAAACTTAGGGGATTGGACTTTTGGAGGTCACTCCCAACGAAAGTGGCGGCTTGGTCAGGGCCCAAAGGCGCACAGCATAGGCATGCATGCAGTGCACGAAAGAGAAGCCAACACGCATACCGGTACACTGAGACCCCTTGTTGTTGGTGGTGATTGGTGGTGAAGGTGATATAATGCACACTTAGACTCATCTTTGTTGTTGTTGGTGGTGATATAATACACACTGAGACTCATCTTTGTTGGTGGTGACGATGATGCAATGCAACAGCCATGTCGTACACTTGTACTGCAGATGCCGGAGACGAGCATGTACTATGGATGGTTCTGTTGCTATTGCTTCGCTTTCTGCTTTGGCTGCTGTGGTTATCACGCCAAAAGTAAGTATGTTGTGATGAGGATGGTCGAGACTGGTGTCGTTCGTTCGTAGATGATGCGTTTCAGCAGTACCGCATCTACGACTGTCCTCATACGTCACCGACAATCCCCAGACGACAGTGGACGGCTGTTTGAAGCTCGCACAAGGACCGGCAGCACTGTGGCCTTACTTATCGGTTCTTAACTGGTGTCAACTTTACATGTAACATCGCTGGAAGTTTTGTAGTAACCCCCTTCTTGCTTCACTTGGGTCCGTATGTTCCGAAACGTTCACACCGCCAGGTGTTTGGGGTTAGGGAGGCGGAGGGATTCCGAAGGCTTTCCATGATTTATGACAGGAGATGCAGGATGCGGACACTCAGCACCAGGGAGCATGTGCAGGAGTTTGGACGGTATGGGATCTTGGGATGGTCAGTCCAAAGGGAAGACTTCAACGAGGGTTAGAGAGAAACTAACACTTCCTACAGGAAATCACGAGTGAGGGCTAAGCAAAGGCTAAGCAATGGGGAGAAGAGGCGACAGGGTGCCTCCCTATGATCTATAAGTAATAAAACATATGGAGGGAGGGTCTGGCGATCGTAGCGTGCAAGAGCCAGTGCCAAACACGACACAGGTCATCGGACAATGCCTCCTGCACCTAAGTGCACTAGCACTGAGCATCCCTGGAAGTACCTTCAAGGCAACTCCCACCAAGAATAAACATGCCAAAGCCTCATGATACCGGTAACAGCCATCCTATGAATTCAGGCATCCAAATGCTACTCGGAGAATCGACCGGAATGACCCAAACGACTCACGTGGTCCAAATCCCTAATCCGAAACCACCACATGCCGAGATACCCTGTGACGGGATCAGGCAATTGCCGGTAATTGGGCATGACAGCCTTTACCGTATGGGCCATGCTCTGTGTACTAAAAGAGAAATACCGGGCCATGAAACGGTCTTCTTAGGCAGCTTACAAGCTTGCTTTAGGTAAATTCTGCCTCTGCATTGCTTTCATGGTGAACTCAGAGCTGCGTGTTCAGGTGTGGGCATGCGTTGCCAAAACAAGAATGAAATCTACTATTTGCGCAAATAAATCCCCACTGTGATTGAAACCTAAGGCCGAAACCAGTTTGCGCTTCATTCAGCTTCACTGAATACAATGCTCAAAGTCCTAATGTGAAGGGCCTAGCTTATGCATTTTGTATGTACACGATACAAATAGACAGTTTTACGAGCAACAGACTCTCATCACGCGAGAATGGGAGGCATCACCTGGTGTCGTCTGGACATTTTCGGAGCTAACATACGACGCCGTGGTTCTGGGCGAATGCTCTTCTAACCAGTAGTAATGTATCTTATATAATGGCACTCTTGTTATCGCCATAGACTATTTTAGCTGTTGACGTCGGTTAGTACCGTCCTCTAAAGCAACCTTTCGGATACAGCTTTAGTTGCCAGACATACATGCTCGCTGTGCTCTACATAATTAACAACGTGCCTGGCATATAGGTCATGGGACCTCTTACTAAGAAGGTGCGCCGATGTACCTGCTGGCGCTTATAAGTATCGGCGTGTTCTGTAATAGATGCATAGTATGCAGTAGTTATATCATTTAAGTAAGTCAACAAGTCGTTAGGCAAACTAGCCAAGAAGCCCTGACCCACTTATTGCCTGCGTGGGCGGCCATCGCTAAAATGCAGGACCTCCTTCAAGGTATCCATCTTTTGCAGAGATCGATAATGATGCATTAATGTCTGTGGCACACTGTACGCAGCGACATGATTCCTTTTCCTGTGCTGCTTCCTTGGTGGTGACGTTCGTGCAGACACTACCGCTGACGACAACTGCCCAACCTGCAACACGCCTCCATACATGCAATGACATGGTGACTATTTAGGGTTGTGCATATGTATGGGTCAGCCCTAGTGGCTCGCCCTAAACGGCAGGCACTCCGTCGCAATTGACGGCTCATCCGCGCGGTAGATGGGGACTACCACGGCTGGACTTCTTATGAACAACAACCCATTATATCCGCGGAAGCGTCATCGGCAATCCGCACCAGTTCCTATACAGACGTACCGACTGTTAGGGCCATGGAGACGGCGCGTTGTGTTCCTGCTGTTGCTCCTAGCAACGATGGAGAGCTGTACAATGTCAGCTAATGCCACAAGTAGGTCTTATCCGCGAGAAATGTGCGCAAAGAAGAGGTTCACAGTGCACGTGTGGCTAAGGTGATAACCCTGGTAAGCTAGCTTATGTGGGAATGCTGTTGCAGCTGCCAAAGGGTCTGCACTTTGCGGGATGGGCCGTGCTAGGATAATAAATAGTGGGCCAGCGCTTATGGGCCTAGGTTTTTGTTGGGTAACCCGCCAACGTAGTTACGTTACTGGAATCCTCCGGTCCTGGCGTGTGCATGCCTACACCCTTAAGGCAACGGGACCTACGGGATGCTAGCAAGGCACTCTCGCTCCACATCTGCCTGGCAAGCCATGAAAATTCATCCTATCTTCTAATGCCCTACCGTATATGCACTTCAGTTAACCTCAACACAGTTCGCAAACCTGCTCTGTGACATCAAGGTTGAATGAATGTCCCCTTTCCGCTGGCCCAGGCCGTCCTAGTACCATTTGCACAACGTTGCCAATCGCCTGCTGGATCCCGTGCTGCTGCCACCTCAGGTTGTGCAGAAATCACGGGCTTCACCCCTACCCCGGACGTCGAGCACAAGTACGATGACCTTTACTATAGACCTGGCCTGACCTTAGCGTCCCTGGCAGCTATTTGCCAGGCGGACCCTGATTGCAAGGGTTTCAACAGCCTTGGCTACATAAAAAAAACTGTGTCACCAACTACTCCAGCTACAGGCATGTGCCTGTACGTCCGAGGTGTGTGCATGGATATGCATGGACGGGCTTGCCTTGCTTTGTTACTTTCCATGTACCGGCAGTACCGCGGTTGTCCGGTTTTGAACTAACTGCCTGCCAATCACTGCATCAATCCAGCAGTGGTCTCACACTGGCTTCTCTCTGCTGCCGCATAGACTTTGCACACGTGCACGCTGCAGCAACCCGCGGATTCATGCCTGACGTGCCAGTTATGCGTTTATATCATGAGGGGGGAGGGGAGTAAGAAATTTACTTATATCCATTCACCCTACGGAACTTCGAAGCCTGTTTCCTTGTGTTTCCGTACGCCAAAAAAATTGCCCAAAAGAGCTATGGGTTGCTTTCTGTGTCCTCTTCCTGTGTACATGATTTTCTGCACCTACTTGGTCATGGCCATGCCACGAACACGTCATCAAACCATGTGCAGCAGATAACTTTTCCGTGCAACTCCAAATACATACATAACTGAAATTAGGATTCATCTTTTCGTTTTCCTAAGATTGAAACATGGGGTCTGTTTCTGCAATTCCGACCTCCCTCTGCCTCGCTTCCCATTTCTGCTTTCTGCAGTCCTTACACCCTCGCCACCGCCGGCACAGCCTCCAAATCCGTCGCCACATCCCAGCCCACCATCACCCCAGCCACCTCCGCCACCCCAGCCACCACGTCCACCATCCCTGCCACCCGTGCCACCCGTGCCACCCTTGCCACCCGTGCCACCCTTGCCACCACCATCGCCGCGCCCGCCACTCCCACCACCCCTCCCACCCCTACCTCCGCCCTCTCCACCCTTCCCACCGCAGCCACCAAAACCACCCCCAACACCCCCACCCCAACCGCCAACACCACCCCCAACACCTCCTTCTCCACCTGCACCACCACCGGCGCCCCCTCGTCCACCACGACCGCCGCCAGACGCCCCCAAGCTACCACCTGCTCCACCTCCTCTACCGCCGCCCGTACCACCACAACCGTCGCCACCCCCACCCCAGCCATTGCCCCCCCCTCCCCCAGCACCGCCGCCCCCACCTAAGCTGCCGCCACAGCCGCGACCGATGCCACCTCTCCCACCAACTCCTCCACCCAATCGTCCTCGACCTCCGCCAATATGTAAGTTGTACAAAGCTGATTAAGCACGGCCGGCCAGCTATCTAGCCAGCAAGGAATCGCCTTATGAATGTGTATGCCTTGGATATTAGCAGGTACACGCAGTCGTATACCAGTTTCCTTAGCACAGTAGTAAGGGCGTTCAAACACGCCTTGGCGAGCTTGCGTGTCGTACTTCACCTTATAACCGAGGGACCTTCTCACTACTACTTAATTGCACTGCCTTCACCAGGGTGTCAAGCAGTTGCCGGTTACAATGCCGCATACGATGTTGACATTGATGGCGCCGAACTTTACATCAGAGCTGACATGGCTCTGTCAGACTTGGCTCTGCTGTGCGATGCGGATAAGGACTGCCAAAGCTTTAACAGCTTGGGCGTACTAAGGAAGACAGTGTCACCTACAACGGTATCGTACGGGTTGTGTACGTACTTCAGAGGTAAGCAAGCGACAAAGGAGAGCCCCAGGATGGTCAGATCACGGACGAACGTGGTTTGTTCCGGGTCAGTTACAAGCAACCCATTTTAACTCAACCGATTCAGCTGATACCTTAGCCATCCTAAGCGCTGGGAGATGCAGTCAGAGAAAGGGTCGAGACACGTACTCCTATGTACACTTCGCCCGCAATCACCAGTTAAGCGCCTGAGGGGGCCGGTCTGGGGCTTGAGTGGGCCACAGGCTTGTCAGCAGCAACAAACGACAAGTACACCTCCCGGCCCAAGCCTTTCGAAACAGCTGAATTATCACTGACTAAAGGATAGGCGGCATGAGGGTAGATGGATGGGGAAGAAGTACAAGTTTGCTCATGCTCCCATAGATACATGTTCACTAAAAGGGCGAGGAACTCGGAAGTCTAGCAGGTCGTTGGCGGACGGAAATCGCGACCTGCAGAGGCGTGCACCCCATTTAGCATGGGGATACTATCAACCACCAGACCCGTGCCCCACAGCGGCCTTGTGCACGCGTTATGCCCTCCGTGGATTCATGCATTGGATTGACCGAACAGGTCCCACCTGCCATCCACACTACGGGGTACGGCCTCTGGCACCTGGGAAGGCCTTGATGCCTCCAGCATGGCCACCAATGTAGGAACAACAAGGAAGTCGCCATGTAGAGCAGGCAAACAACTGATAACGAATGATGACCATTAGAATGTCAGTTTATGCGATCCTGTGATTCCATGGCATGTGCACCTGTTGACCTAACACACGGGACGCTGAACCCCCCTTGATAGTATAGGTGCATGTGGCGCGGACGCTGAACCCCCTTGTCCAGTCCAGGCTTGCCGTCTGGTTTGTATGTTTTGCCCTTCCTGACAACACGGACGGGAGGACACCCGCCCCTGGCATCGGGCCCCGCTTTGCGGCGGGGGCTCCGGCCATAAAGGTACAATATGTACCCAATACCTTGTTTTAACTCTTATTACCACAATATGCCACGACACAAATAAAGCATGGGCTCATGGTGTTCCAGAATGCCACTGGCAACACACGCCACCCAACCCCGCTGAAAATCCAACCAACGTGCTTTAAATGAATAAAATTGCTTTGGGAAGCGGAGCGCAGTGTAGTAGTGGTTCATGTCCGTGCGTGCGTAGCTTGTCTCTGTAACGGCAAAGTATACAGACTGGGCAAAGCTAAACTCCTTAGTTTACCCAGGAAAAGTCATTTCGCAAACAACCATTGTGAGCAGCCATTAAGGAGGACCAGTGAGGCCATACCGACAACCTTTTCGGTAAGACGTTTCACTGGTACCGTACCTATATAGTGGACGAATAACAATGAAGTGTTGAACATCGACCACCAGTGAAAGTCGGCGGGCCCACGCCTGCATCTGTTGCATACCGTAGTGCAAGCAAGACTTATCAATGAAAGAGCGGATATGCCTTTCTTACGGCGTTATATACTACATCTTTCATTCGGTGTCAGCCTCAACTTGACAAGGGGAGCGCCAGCTCGTCATACTAGCATGTCCTACTACGCAAGGGATGACACGCGTAAGGGGTGTCAGCTTACCTAGTAAGGGGGTTCAGCTACTAGGGGTGCTCGCTTTCCAAACATAACTCCTCTGACAAGTGATGTAGACGTCTCCGGTAAGGGGTGTCATTCAGCTCAGCTGTTGCCATTCTGCCCTTACATTCCAGTGGCCATCATACTTCCTGTCCTAATCATCAAGAACCTCCGCCATCTTCAAGCTTGTGGGAAAGCTAGCTAACATCCCGTTGTTCGACTCAATTTGTGTGCAGGTTGCCAGTACTGGGGAGGATACACTTCGTTGTATAATGCGGACAAGCACGACTGCAAATACACAGCAGGTATGGCTGGCTGGGCAGTAGTACCGTACCTGTGCCTGATCACCGCGCAGCAGGAAATGTAGGGATTATTTCTAACGCGCAGCGCTGTAAAGAAGGATTGTTTTGTAACGCGCAGCAGGGGTCTGAGCGCGCAGCGCTTAAAGTAACAGTGTATTAGCCTAAAGCTTACGCTAGAAAGACCGGAAAGCAGAGCATTAGTGGACATGCAGAAACTTAAAGCTACGGTTCAAACCGGATGAGCGAGGGGGTTTAGGTATGGATGGGGCCAGGAAAAGAGCTAAACCCGGAATTTCGGGTCAGCACGCACTGGGGGCCACGCCATGGGCATATTTTTAGTTAACGTCTTCAGGAGGGGTGAAAAATTTCAGCTTTTGGGGGTATGAGGTAAACTGATCCCAAACACTGCTAGAAGTATAGAGGAGGTGGGAAATAGCCCTTTTAATCTATTTCCCGTCGATTTCGAGGGTGGTTTTGGGGTGTGGGGTGGTCCCGGGGCCGGCCAACTTTTTTCCAACTTTTTTCTGACTGCGAATTTCTCTGCAAAATCGTTATGTTTACGCTTGGCTCACATATTATTATTGATTTACGCACCCAACCTTCACAAACAGTTATAATTACGAGCACAGAGTTGGCGATGCCATCCCATACCTGTCAATACTTGGAATGCTGCTTCGGCTTCTGCAACTAGCGTTAATATGTTTGATGCAATGATCGCTATAAGCATCCACGATGTCTCAGAAGCAGTTATCGGCACAGCCGGGCAACATTGACCGACCTGCTCCAAGTTCTTTCCGCCGGATAGCAAAGCCAATTGTGATAACATGTGGAAAAATGCCAGCAACAGCATGCAGACAGGCCAAAGCGGGTCGCTAAGTGAAAGTGCCCGGACTGTCCTTGAGGCGGGTTTCACGAGAAGGATGACCTTCATGAAGACAGTTAGGGGTACTATTTACATCATAAGAAAGCTGTTTAAACAGTGTCGTACACGAAATTCCTATTTTCGGCTGCTTTTGGGGTGGGTGGGTGGTCAGGGGTGGGTCGCCGGACTTTTTGCTCTTACTCAGGGGGGGGGGGGGTAAGAAATTTATATATAAACCCCATGATGAATTTTTGAAAGGGTAGGTCCCGGGACCACCCACCCAGCCCTGCCGTACGGCAAGCATGTCGTACAATGTGTAAACTTCGCCAAAACGCCCGGGAAAAAAGCTGCTAGACTCCTCTGCTTAAGCTCTATTTAGTGCTAAACAAATACCCAGAACCCCCTTGGGAGACGGGCAGAAAACTACCACCGCCACGTCCCCGACCCCGGCCCCTGCCTCCTCTTCCCCCTGTCACGCCACGCCTTGGACCACTACCCACATCCACGTCATCTTGCGTCCCTCACTCCATTCCCTCGTCTGCTGCTGCTGCTACACCCGGTGCTTTCGTCGGTGCCGTGCTGAAGCACCTTCCCCCGAACCCGCGAAATATCCCCTTTACAGCCGCTGCTGCTCTTGAGTGCTGCAATGCGACCCTCAGCCATGTGACACAACCTGTCGCGCTTAAGAACTGAGTGGAACTTCTCCCTGATAACTGCGATCAGCTCCGTCAGCTGTTCATCGGGGTGGGCGTGCTGCAGATGATCCGGGTAGTTATACCACACGCTCCACATGACCTTCGTGATACGATGCACATGCGGTGCACACAACTAGACGCGTTCGCGACCTCCGCATCTGCTATTTACTCTAAACGTTGTTTCTTATTTGTTAGGGCAAGTTGGGAATCAGGCGGTTCCATTTGGGCTACTGTAGTTTAGACCTGAAGCGTCATCGGACCCATGAGAAGCTGAAAAGTGTACCTTTTGTTGCTATAACTAGTTCTACACATAAGAGATGAAGGAAGGAATACAATACAGCTTTTAGAACTCTCAACAGAGGCCTGGCAAAAAAGTTCCGACGTTTCATCTAAAAAAGTCGTTGAGGCTCCGGACCCACCCACCCACCCCTGCCGTACGACCAACTTTGCAAGCCCGTAATTTTTTCACTACAACTCCAAACAAAATTCTGAAAGCGGATTCGGAATCCCCACGCTAAGCTCCTTTAATTTGGATCTTGGGGTCTATTTTTGCAGTTACTACCCCCCCCTGTCTTACTGTCAATTATTTTTTCTTCTCACCCCTCCTGACGTCTTTGGAAAATATACTATTAACGCGCCGGCCCCGGACCGATTATCTATATATGCGCGTTAATGCACATTTCTCTTAATATTTATTTGATTTTGTGCGTTCTATACTATAGTCTTAACAGCTCTTGCGGTCGGCAGCCGGGGAGCTAGTGAAGAGCTGAATTGCGGTTGGGGCAGGAGACACGGCAATGGATTGGATTGGGCCTTACACACTTTTGCAGACACGAAGGGATAGCAGGAGTCGCTATAACCTTCCGCGTCATGCGAGGCCCAGGTTCCCAGATCCCTTGAGTACCACTCGTCTGTCCAGCATGATCTCGACTCCAGGGTCCACGCATGTGAAAACGGCAGCTCCTCGCCAGCAAAGAGGCAACCTGTGCCTTGGCATAACAGCCCATTAGTACTTGAACAAGGCAACCTGTGCCTGTAACGCTAGGCGTAGCAGCCTGATGGCGGACTTCATGGCGCTTCTTGCGCCTGCCAGTGTAAAGCAAGGAAATTATTCATCTTCGTCGAAGCGCCGGTACTTAGACTTCAGGATCGCAGCTTCCACGGCGCTTGAACTGAGAGCCTCCGGGTCAAAATCTTCGCGCGTAAAGAGCGTGCAGCTACGCTGCCACAACTCGTACGCAGCCTCCAGGCTACCGCCGCAGGCCAGGCCTGCCCTGTCCACCGCTGCCAGATACCGCTTTGACCTACGGATTTGTATGCGTAGAAACCCTTTCGCAAGGGTATGGTCACCGTGTGTGAGGGCGTCGAGGGCGGCTTCGGCCAGCAGCATGGTGCCCTCATCCTGCTGAGCGAACTGCTCGTGGACGAGGGAAAACCGTTTAGCATCCAGCGCTGTCAAGTTAATCCGTGTATTAAAAAGCTTTTCGCGGCGATCCGAGAGAGCCAAGCTGTCGTCCGTTGGAACTGAAATTAGCTGCCGAGTAGAGGGTTGACCAGCATCATAGGCTGAAGCCCGGCGCTTTTGGCTGCGGCTTGACATGTTAAAGAATACATTGTACGAAGTGATGGGATGAAATGAAGCCCTTGCTTGAAAATGGAGATACGAGTTGAAATGCCGACAAGCGTAGTCCTAAGAAGGGTCTTGGAGTAGTCGGTAAGGTCTTGAGTTACGAGCAACAAAGCTCCAATAGTAAAGGCAGAATGCCGAACTATGGAGCTGTCAGACCTTAAGAGACAGCGAGAAGGACGAGCTGTACGACTGCCGTATAGAATCTAACTTAGAGAGCTATAGTCGCTGCTCTCCTGCCGCTTCTAAGTAACAAATATTCACTGGGAGGTACGGTATAGAACCAACGTGTAGTTGCGACAAAACTCACTGCTGTTCTGTTCCCCCTGCCTTGGTTTAGTCTGCTGTATGCTGTGTGTTCGCTTCTGCCAAAGAGTCTGGCAGCTTAGCCCTTGGCCCGTTAAATTTGTTAGGCAACTTGAGGTGTATTGTACAGCAAGTACAAAAACACGGGCTCTTGCAGCAATCATGGTTTGGTATAAAATAAACGTAAGGGCACATAATACGTGGCAATTGATGGTGACGATAGGAAAAAGAGGGGTGCCTCGGCTTGCACGGCCTCTTGAGCACAGCGCAGGTGGTGGTGGTGGGGGAATAGATGATAAGTGCAGCAACGAGTTTCAATCCCATCTCATTCAACCTTATCCGGTATCCTGACTCATGCGGTGAGCGCATTTGGAGACTCTGTGGGGGGGGTTAGATAAACTGAGCCGCGGAAACACTGACCCTGACCGTAGATGTAAAAAGGAAAGAAACTCTAGAGCTGTACGATGCGGCTTCATAGGTTGCTAGGGGGGGGGCGGAGGGGAAGTGCAACAACACAGTCCAATCCCGGGACACTGGACGGCTATGGTTGTTGGTGAGCCGGAGGTGAGGCTCCTGGACGGGTAACATGAACGCCAAGGACGTGTACCGGGTTTGGGGGTACAGGGGTCCTCATCCTGCATGGCTGTGGCAGGGGAAGGTGCCTCACTTTCCTTTCACCCTTCCGTGCTTCTTGTATACCCTAAAACGCGTCACGTCATCGTGCTGCCACCTACGGTTAGGGGAGGGGCTGGCCTGCACGGCCTCTCACGCACAGCGCGGTTTGGGCGGGGGAGAATAAAAATAAGGAAAACTGACGGATTGGGCGGGGGGGAGGGGTATGGTGGAGGTTGGATGGTTATTGGTGAGTCGGAGGATGATTTGGTGCCTCCTGGTCTGGTCACATGGACGGAACACCGCACTTCGAGGTCAATTTCATTGGTGGGCTAGGGGGCTGGGGAGGGGGGTGCGGGACACTGGACGGCTATGGTTATTGGTGAGCCGGAGGATGGTGAGGCGGGATGGTGAGACGGGTGAAACAATTCATATTTCATTTTTTGGGCGGAGCCCCCGCCGCGAAGCGGCTTCGGGGGGGCGAGCCCCCCAGGATTGCCCCTGTCCGTGTGTCCGTCCGTCCGTCCGTCCCGTCCGTGTGTCCGTAACGTCAAAACATATAAACTAGACAAAACTATTAATTGCGCCTAATAGATATTTGTTACCTGTATTCAGTAAAAATAACTGGAAGCCAAACAAACATGATTTCGCAATAAACAATTTATTGACCAGCCATCGAAAAGGACCACCTCGGCAACACCGATTAGCGCTCCTCTTTGGTGTGTCCTGGTACCGTAAACAGTATTTAGTGAACTGGTAACAGCGGCGTGCCGGTAAAGGGCTACTTTTGAAAGCCGGCGGGAGCATGCTCGCATCTACTGTGCTACTCAGAGCCCACACAATCCTTGTGACGATGTTGCCAGCCTTTGCTATGGGTTTGTGCGTATGAACTGTAACGCAAATGGGTAAGGGGTACCTCGCTTATAAGCTAGCATGCATGTGACGGCGCAATGGCTGAAGTCCTTCTGAGCACGATGCCGAGATTGCCGAGCCTGACCTCCTCATCATGTTAGTAATGTAGGCGAAACTCTAACGACCTGCGGGACCCGGAAAGCACTCCCATGTGGCAGTTACGCCGTCGATTTGGGTTCTGTAGCCTAATGCGTGGGTGTTATCAAGCATGATAATAAGACGTTACTAAGTACTCGACTGAACAGGTGCAACGATGTGTGCAATGAGTGAGGACACTATGTACGCCAAGGGTGAACAAGGCGGCCGGCCTCGGCTGGATAAGGGGCTCTGAGCCCGTCTAGCCATGCAACAAGCACTAAAACTACAGTAAGCAAGGGGGTTCAGCGTCCGTATAACAAGGTGTGTTAGGTCAACTGGTGCCGTGGAGTCACACGAGCGCATTCCAGGTCTATAAGGCCCATAGGGTTGTGCGTCGCACTTGAGTCATTCTTGTAATAATCGCATTCATTCCAGTGGTAAACAATACGTTCCTGTACTGAAGAGGAGGGGCTCCGCCCTTTTCCAGCTTTGAGGAAGCTGAACCCCCTTGTCCAGCTTTGAGGAAGCTGAACCCCCTTGTCCAGCTTTGAGGAAGCTAAACCCCCTTGTCAGCAGAGCCCCCGCCGTGAAGCTTCAAGGATTGACCGTGTGTCTGTAACGGCAAGTATATATACAAACTAGCTAGGCAATACCGTAACTTGCAATACATAGGTACTTGTTGGTTCTATGAAGTATATTTATCTGCAAGTCCAAGCCGGGCGGTGGGTAAAGTTATCTGCAAGTCCCAGAAGCCACCAGCAACCTTATGCCGTACATAAGCCTACGCTGGAACCTACGCTGTACACCCAACAACATCCTACAGCAGCCAGCTCAGGTCTTACCCCCAGCCAACCCTCGTACACCGTCGCTCGTCAGGTTGCCCTTTATTTCTCGCATGTGTACTAGCTAGGACAAAGGCTGTCTTAAAGCTGGACAAGGGCGGAGCTCCTCCTGCTCAGTACAGGAACGTATCATAATCACTTTACGGTGTTCTTCGTTAATTTCTCTTGCAGTGTGGGGTTGGGGCGGGTCATCACCCGTGTTCCCTTTCAGGAGCCATTGCAACGGTCAATCATTCACAATCACTGGAGTGCCAGGGCATGCTTTCCTGTAACTCCATGGCACCATCCAGTTCGCCTAACACACCTTGTTACGCGGATGCTGAACCCCCTTGTATGCTGTGGTTTGAGTATTCGTCGCATGGCTGGACGCCCCTTGTCAGAGCCCCTTGTCCAGTCGAGGCTGCTGGCTTCCTTGTTCACCCATCGCGTACATCACGTCCTCGCCCACTTTAAGCTCTAGACTGTTCAACCCATCATGCTTCATAGCACCCACGCAGCGGGCTACAACTGAAATTAATGACCACACTTTCACATGGAAGTGCTATCGGGGCCAACCAGCTCATTCCGATGTCACCTACATTATTACTTTAGCAGGATGCAGGATGCTGAGGACATGCTCGGCGACGTACTTACGTACAAGGACTTCTACTATATATTGCACCTTAACACTGGCTAGGTAGCGGTTCGCGTTATACTCCAAAGGCGTTATAAATATCAAGTAAGCCGGCAGCATTGGTTCACAGACGCAGGTCGGCTCCTAGTAAATGCAAGCACAGGTCGCCTATATTAACAAGCCGCTGTTACCAGTCTATTAATTACTAGTCATGGTACCGGGGCGCGGTGGTCCTTCTCAATTGCTGGTATTGAGATCGTTTGTTGCGAAATGAATGAATGTTGTTTCATTCGCAGTAAATTTACTTAATAGAGATAACGAATGACAATATACGGGTTGATTTAGTTTTGTCTAATTTGTATGTTTTGCCTTTACGAACACACGGACCTGGGCAAGCCTAGGGGGAGGGCTCCGCCCAAAAGCAGGTCTGGGTATGCCTTCGCTCGTCCCCAGCTTCGGCTAAATGAAAGCTTGCTGTAACACTGGCGCTCATTGAATGAACCTACACCGCGCCCTGCCTACCTCATTCATTCGCAGGTCTTATTTCGCAGGCCTCTAACTACAATGATTGCTTGCAGCCGGACTACTTTCCCGATTACTATGCCTGCTTAATATGGGGCAGCTATGGCGACGGGCCATACACTTTATATACGATCTCCAACGTGCTCAACCTACAGAACAGCACGTCCTTGAGGCTCTTCATCACTGCCAGTGGCCAGGCCGATGTAATTTTAGATGGCACATTTATCACAACTGTTGGAGGTGGCGACTGGGGATCCCTCAAAAACGTCTCCCAGACACCTATCCTGTTGTCACTGGAAGCAGGTCGCCATATGCTCAGTCTGCGCTGCTCTAATCACACAAACGGCAACTTCGCCCCCGCCGGGATAGTGGTATCCGTAGTGGATGCCCAGACTGGACACGTCTTATTGCGTTCGAACAGATACTGGAGCGTCCGTACAGAACCTCTTGCTTGTGAGTTCATCCTTAGATGGCGTGAGGGCGAATACGAAGGGCAAGCCTGTGCAAGCAAGGAGATAAGCCCGTGCACATTGCCAGCTTTGAACATTGGATGTGGAACGGTGCCCACTGTGCTAATGGCTCGCTTGACTGCGCCTAGTTGCGTAGTTATAGCTGCGACATGCGAGTTAGCTATATTCCATAGAATGTGCATTACCCGCGCATGCTGACTTGATTGCTGAACTAGCCCCTCCCATTTGACTGCACTGCACAGATGCTGTGTCGCTTGGCCCACCCTTGGGTGCGGACTTCCGAGACAAGGCAGCTTCGTGGATATGGTCGCCCGCTGAAGCCGCAACACTTGCTATCGGGGACCGCGCCGCCTTTGTGTTTTCCAAATACTTCCGGATTGACTTCCTCACCTCGGCGATCATGGCGGTTCTTTCGGCAGGCCGTGATGCTCAAATACTACTTGACGGCAAGCAATTGGCAACTGTTTCAGCCCTGCGGCAAGTTGAGACCACATTGGACCTTGTTATTTCACCTGGACACCACATAATCACTGTGGTATGCTACAAGGACATGTTAAGTGCCTCCCTAGTGGGATCGAGTGCCAGTTTTCAATCAGCTACAACAGGGTTCCTCGCCACCTTAATTGACAAGACGTCTAGCAAAACAATTTTAAGGACAGACAACTCTTGGACGTCTGCGTACAGCTACCTTGCACCCACTGGTAAGAAATCGCCGCGCCTTAGAGTAGTAGACTCGTGTCCTTGTTGCGTGGTATGTTGTGCGTACATTCAGTTGCCAACCACATTGGCATTGTACCTGGCATGTACTTGCAAGCGAGGTAGCTAGGTGCCTGCGCTGGCATTTTTCAGTCGTACTGTAGCCATCAGCATCTTCTTTATTGATCCGGTGACTCCCAGACCTTGACTTTCTTGCAGCATGCACCGATCTTGACGGCTACAAGAAAATACCTGACGCAGAGCATGATGGCGACGACATCGGCACGCTTGGAAGTGTTGGCATCAAGGAGATAGCGGTTACTTGCAGTACGAACCCTAGTTGTGCAGGCTTCAATGCGCGTGGCTGGTACAAAAGCAGGGTGATGCCTTGGCATTACCAACGCGGTTGCATGTATGTCAAACTTCGTAGTAATGTCACAGCACCGCCGCCTTCCAAACCCATGTCATCATCATCGTCAAAGAAGTCACGTACCAATGCCATTATAGGTGGTGTTGTTGGTGGAGTTGGCGGTTCCGTGCTCCTTGTTGTCTTGGTATACTGCGTTTGTGCTGGTCAAAGGGACAAGAGGGTATCACCATACCCTATATAGACCGGGGTAACGGAGGGAATACCCGGGGCCTGACGGAGTAACTAAAGGGGTAGGCAGCGGAGCTAGGAGTGGTGTGACAGGGTGCAGTTGCAGTATCGTAGGTGCGTGGAGGGGCGTCATTAGCTCATTACAGCGTTTTCACGGTGACTTATACGGCAACATGTTTTATTTCCGGTCAGTCTTGTAGATGCACTTCATTAATTTGTTGCTTGTGGCAAATAGATGGCCACAGGTTGTGGGCATGCATGTGACTCGCATAGCTAAGGAGCTAGTTTGGTGGGACCGGCCGGGTACCGTTCTTGGTTGCTTTAAATCAGGCAACGAGTACACATATCTAGTACACCCCCGCTGCAATGTATGGAGGTGCCTTGCTTTGCAATCATAACCTCTTCATATCCAATGGCCGTTTGTTGGCGAGGTGGGCTGCTGTTGGCGTTGCCCGTGTTTACACATGGCTCCGAGAACTGAACTGAGCGAGTGAGTAACCGCCGTTACAGTAAGTAAACCGCCGTGGGCGCAGTGCGACGCACTTACAAGCAACAAGTACGGAGGGTCTTCCTCGGACTTGTTGCTTACGTTGTTCACTTGCCCTTGATTTATGTCGGAGCAGCTTCAGAGGGGTGGGTTATCCCAACCGCATTGGGCCCTTGTGAGGCGCCTGGAGCTTGTGCTGGATGGCTGAAAAGTAAGCTTGTCTGAGCTGGAAATGGTGCCCTTTCTTAGCAGCATTCCTCGTGGCCTTCACGGCCTGGTTGCCGTGCGGGATGTCAGCGTACCGTCGGGCAACTGGATGGGTGGCTGGAGCTTGGCCGCTTCATGGCAGGGGCTATGCGGAAATGTTTACGGCGTTTACGCCCATCCAGACGATTATGAGAGCTATCCAGTCGCGGTCACAGCCTTAATTAGTATTTTTGGCCTGGCCTTGGTTCAAGGCGCTCCGCCAGGACGCGGCTTGGAAGCAGGGGGATAGCCTTAGTGATACCTCCGGGTTTAAGGTGCTTGATGTTTGGCCTGCCCTTAATTCCACGCGCTCCGCTAGGCCGCAGCTTGGAGGCAAGGGAACAGCCATAGTGATATCCCGGGCGTAAGGTTCTCGCTTTTTGCCTTTTGGGAACAGGGTTCAAGACTCAAAATGGAGACGTACAACCCCGCCCTTTGCAATATGAGCATTGCGGTACCCCGCCGCCAAGCAGTGAAGCGTTTTGTCCCTGTCCCATGCAAGAGTGCTCGTACTCCCCGTCGGGAGTGTTAGGTCGTACAGGGCCCCATGCCTAGAGCGTGCTGTGTTCGATGGGACGCCATGAAACATCTTTCCAGTAAGGCTATGCCTAAACGATAATACTGGTTTCCAAATAAAGCCTTTTTAAAGCTAAATGTTGCGTTTGCCCCTGATATCCATCCAGCAGAAACGTTTGCTCTAGGAATGGTAAACACAGTGAACATATGGAGTGTAGTACTTACATATACGGTTTTGCTGCATTCTTGTTGCTGAACGTTCTAACAATAGGGTTGATGTATTCCTCCGCACAACCCACTTGCCCTAACCTGCACCCCGTCTAAGTCAACGCCCGCACCTTCTGCCGCATACAACATCACCACCCCACCAAATGTCCGCACGGGAACAACACCCTCGTCCTTGTCTTGAGTATAGAGCATTTCCTAAATGCGCGCTTACCTTCAATCACATTTCCGGATTCCCCCTGCCTCCCGTGCTTCTTGCCCCACCCTTCCGTAACAGCACAGATGCAACTAATGACGAATTGCAGACAACAGCCATGCCCATTGTTTTCTGCGCTGCATGAGTATATACTCGGTAATCGCTGCTGTGTGGCTTCGGCTGACGCCTTTACTATTTACACGGTTAAGGGTGATAAGCTGGTAACTCAGAGAGGCTGCTGGGCAGCAACAGCAGGCACACGGGCAGCCGCTGAGGCAGCAGCCACAAGGGTAAAGAGCACAAACCACTGCGGGAGGGGCAGGCACCAGCAAGCGGGGCAGGCGCAGTGGCAGGAAAGTGACACGGGATTGGCTGGGGCATCAGCTTAGCACACACCAGAGAAGCAGGAGCCGTTGCTTGCACCACAGGAACTGCACTGGGAGAAACAACTAATGCATGGGTAGCTGATAATAGCCAGCGCATGTGCTGAAGAAGCAGCAGAGGCACAGGCTGGGGCAGGCGCTGCAGCGGCATATGCGGATAGGCGGATACTGCAAGCACGACCTCCAAACTCCAGTCGGCAGCTTTCAACAGCTACCAGCCACTGGGACAGAGCCCAAGGTACAAGGCGGTTGAAGATGCCAACACACGTACGGTCCAGGAATCGCAATGCCCTTGCTTGATGTACCGGTATGTGGGAGTACAGGTGAACCGGCCATATTCCGACCACTAACACGCGAATGGCCATAAAATACGCACCACTGAGCTTTACGGGGTCGTGTAAGTCGCATCAGGACCCTCTTGAAGTACACTATCGGGCCCTAGAGTTGCGTGACGTCTTATAAAGGTTAGGTCGTCCTATATCACTCACTACGAGGACCTATCCAAAAAAGCCAGCCTCGGAAATCTGGGGTAATTCCGACCACCCAAAAAGGAGCCCAAACTTTGCCCCCACAACCCACGACGACCTGCCATTGACACCCAAGCGTCTTCATATGATACTATCAACTATCCAATGCTTAGTGGTGCTATCGGACGATGCCTGACTGGGTTGGTCGGAAGCATCATGCATGCATCCTGCGGTAACGGCAGGTAGAGGCCTAAAACGCTGCCAAATGACAAACTTTCTTTTCATGCATGCGCTGTGACTAGTATGCTATGGTGCAACGTTTCTTTGCGGCCCGCACAGTGGCCTCACCCTTCGCTACCCCATGTCACTGCAACACCCGTCCTCCCGCTCGCCTGGAATCTCCTCCGTGACGTGCTCGCTGCCCCCATGATCAATACCCCCGCCCTCCCAAAGCCAGTTATGGCGTCTGACACGCTTGCCTTGGTGCACCAGGCCTGCGCTTGCTGCTTAGGAACCCCGTCCGCCGTCCCGGTCCCCACGGCCTGGGCTGGTGAAAGGCCCTAGAGCTAACTGCGCAACCACACGCGCTTGACGTCCTAATATCTATCTTTTATATAATTAAAGTTAGAGGAAGCGCTTGGAAGGTTCCTTTCCTTGTTTTCAGTTACTGTGTGCTCCACCGCGATGTTCCATGGAAATTGTCGATACGCGAACGGAGGCACGTAAAGTAAAGTGGATCATCGGTTTCACACCTTAGCTTAGATGTAGACAAGTGCGGAATTAAGGCTCTGGGACGGCTACATCGCGTTTCGGGTAACCTGTTTGGCAAAATCTTATGTCAAGGCGAGGATATGGCTCCGGGTACATAACTACCTTTGGGCGGCTGTCTGCCGGCCTTAAAACACTAGTACAACTTAATACTAAAAGGTTATAAAGGCGCGAGCGGTATCTCTAAATAGGGAGTGCAAACTTTGGGTGGTCGGAAATACCCACTGGTCGGAATATGGCCGGGTCACCTGTATCGGTTGCGTCCAAGATGATGGTGTGTAATGCTTATTTCGCCTAGTACGCTAGTTACGCTACTAATTCGCAAGACATCTTTAACTCGACATTGTAAAGAAGTTTTGCCAACAGAAGCACAGCTAAAAGAGCTTTGTACGTGATGACATTGGGAAAAAACGGCGACTGTTAGGCACCTTACGAGCTAGGCCCTGTACGACCTCAGACTCCCGACGGGGGTAGAGGCGCTGTACGTGCCAGCGACACGCTGACACCGGCAAGAGTGCTCCTACCCCCGTCGGGAGTCTGAGGTCGTACAGGGCCTCCTGGGCGCGTGCTGCGCTCGCTGTGCTCAGAAGCGTGCTATGAAACATCTTAGAAAGAATGCAATTATTTATGCCACATATTTCTATCTAAGTGCAGCCCATTTGGTATCCACCTCGCAATCGACCCAGCAGGCTTAACATAAGCAATTGTCCTTAACCTTATACAATGAAGTTATAATAACATGTAACCAAACATAGTGATTCAGATGTTAGTGTAGGTCTCCTAGTAGCTGAACACTCCGACGATGAAGCCGAAGCATTCCTTCGCGCTGCTCTCGGGTCAGATAGCAGCGGCGGTTACGAATCTGGGCATGGGAAAAACACCCTTGTTTTTGTCTTAAAGAGTACTTTCCGAATATGTGCTGACCTGAAATCACAATTCCGGACCCCCCTCCGGCACATGCCTCTAGCCCTACCCTTGAGCCCCCTCCAAGTGCATGCCCGCTTTTTCCGTCGCGTGTAGCATCACAACCCGAATGAGTCTGGGCATGGGAAAAACACCCTCGTTATTTTCTTAAAGAGTATTTTCCGAATATGTGCTGACCTGAAATCACGATTCCGGACCCCCCTCCCACACATGCCTCTAGCCCTACCCTTGAGCCCCCTCCAAGTGCATGCCCGCTTTTTCCGTCGCGTGTAGCATCACAACCCGAATGAGTCTGGGCATGGGAAAAACACCCTCGTTCTTGTCTTAAAGAGTACTTTCCGGGCGGTGCAGCACCCAGCTCTCAGCTGCCGCCAGCACCTTGTGTGCAGCATTAAAGCAGAAGGGGCAGGAGACGCGCAACGAAGCCAGGGCCACGGCAAAACCCAGGGCATCAGGCAGCAGCCGAGCAGGACTTAGCAGCAACAGGGGCACACGCTGTGCCTGCATCCGACCCAGCCCCATCCTACTCATCAGAGGCATTCGTATTCAAGTCCTTCACTTCATGCGAGAATGTTTTGTCAGCAGCCATGCAGTTGGTGCCTGAAACTCAGAAACGTAAACTTAATCCGTGCCCAGTACACGCTGTTGTCTCCGTCCGTGCTGGAGTGTTCAGCAGCACTTGCCATATGCTTGCGGCACATAACGCCTGCGTGCACTCTGTTGCGGCAGACGTATACAAGCAGTGGCATGGTACCTCAACCCCAGCGTCCAACAGCTTGCAAGGCGAGGGTATGGAGCCAACAGAGACAGGGCTCCAGCCAAACAGCAGCTGAAAACAGGCCTGTGGAGAAGGTGGTTCGAGAGGTTGCCTCTCGCCTATCAGTTGATTCGCTCAAGGCTACCATCCACAGAGCATTCACAGCAGGCCGGAGGCCCCCCACGGAACGTATGTCAGCCACGCTTCCTGCTGGACGGAGGGAGGCTGAAGCCTTGCGGTTTCTTGTCGAGTCCTAAGACCGCTACAGAGGGCCGGCGGCTTTGCGTATGCCAGCTGCGTCTCCTGCTGCACCACCGCCGATGCCTCCCCATAGCAGTGAGGTGCGGGCTTTAGCTGGTATCGTTTCGACGCTGCTCGTGACCATCCACGCAGCACTATCGGGGGCTAGCAACCTATCAGCTGACGATGTAAAGGCAGTTGCTGAAACTATGTCTGCGTGGGCAGCTTGGGTTACCCAGCGCAGCGCTGCTGCTAGAGGAGGTGAAGCCCGCTCTGATGCAGCAGCTGAGGGGCCAAGTGGTCAGGGAGCGGGCACAGCAGGGGCTAATGCGGCGCAAGACACAGCACAGCAGCAGGGTGTTACAGATGTAAATATGCATGAGGAGCTTGTTCCAGCTTGACGCGGTACGCACGCAAGGTGCAAGTAACGAACGACGTACCCATGCTATACGCGTGTATAGAAGGAACGCTGCAATTGGTGTCAAGCGGAGGCGTCAAGGGGATTCTAGTGATAGGCAGGACGGGACTGACGGTGGTGTTGGGTATCTAAATACCTGCAGACGCGTTAGTCCTAGTACCGGCAAGGAAGGAGAAGGGAAAGGGAGGATCGTTGCCTATGGATATACGTGGCAAGCAGAAGAGGTCAGCACATATTGCTAGTGTGCACAGATGCACGTGAAACAGCAAGTATACAGGGCATCGCAAAGCCCTTAACAGCTTAATACTATCTATTAACTTTAGGACAACGTGGCACGAAACATACCTTGGGCGACTCAGGTCCTGTGGCTGCTGCTGCCGAAGAGCCGTCGCATCCACTGCTGCCATCGCCCTTCATATTCGCACTACCAACAAGACTTTACCGCCTGTGGCACAAGCCATAAATAGTGTTATCATATTAGGACTAAAGAAGATAAACATATTAAGCTTGCTAGCAATTTTCTGTAGGATGACACAGCATTGCACAGAAGTCCATTACGCTTACATTTGAATGAATATTGGAATTCCCAGAGTAAAAGGGTGATACCAATAACTTATTTGAGTTAAAAGATAGAGAATGGAAGCGCAGCACGCTGCCAGGGAGCCCTGTACGACGGGGGTTATGGCACTTGGCGGCGCAGCGTGGAGTGGGATGCAGCAGCAGCAACAACAGCCTTTGGGGCTTCCGTTGCCCTAGGGGGGTTTCGCACCGATTGGCGAGTTGCCGCCGATTGGGTTGCAGGGGGCTGCACCAATGGCACATGGCAGCGCAGCGTGGAGTGGGATGCAGCAGCAGCAACAACAGCCTTTGGGGCTTCAGTTGCCCCAGGGGGGGCTTGCCCCGGTTAGCGGGTTGGGGTCGATGGAAGGGCTCGGGTCTGTGGGGCTTGGCATGAATGTCCTACCACTCTATTAGCCTAATGACTGCGCGCGGGGCTTTGTCGGGTGTTGATGAGGTTATCTGTGTTGTCGTTCGGGTCCCTGCCTGTCCGTTATCGGTGTTCATTGCGTGCGCAGCGCACATGGAACGATTGCCGTAGTGTAAGGGGTGGCGCCCTACAGCTTTAACCCCATTCGTATATGCAGTGGTTACGTTGGGATAGATATGGACGGCGACCGTGTAACACACGGCAATTGTAATGTTCACGAAGTTTCGAGGGTACCGTTACCAAGGACCTCATCGCACACAGGCCGCACACAGCTCGCATGCATGAAGGCGTCGGCAAATCTGACATGCGGTTGAGCCGCAAGCAGTATACAAAGGATGACTATTACAAACCAGAGCTTCTTTGGTGTTACATGCAGGCTTTCTAGCAGCGTAAACGAGAATGCTCTTCAATTATGCAGCTCATTGCTCGCACCTCCACGGACAGCCAGGACGAACTTTGATCTATGCATAGAATTGCCAAATGAATAGAAATAAGCAATAATAAAGCAGCTAGGCCCATGTGGTACACGTGCGCTGGAAAATGCCCGTACTGGACAAGCCTCTTTGACGGCATCACGCGCCCTGGAGGCCTTGTACGACCTCAGACTCCCGACGGGGGTAGGGGCGCTGTACCCTGACGCCGTTACCAAAGCAAAATAACGTGTTAATATAAGACAAATGGCTCACATGAGACAGGGGTTCACGAAGTATAGTACGTAGTAAGGCGACACATAGCAGGATATTTGCTTTCAACGCACACCAAAATAGACATCCAAGATGTTTTGCTGCGGGGCGCCCTCCCAGCATCTTGGTTAGCCCTTACGCTTCGAAGGCGCAGAAGGCTGGCGTCAATGATTCCCAGTTCAACCTGATAAGCTTGCTGGCGATTCGACGCTTCTTCTTATATACGAAGGCGAAGCCTTACTACCGCGTCGGGCATTGCTTCAAGGTGCGCTGCCTGCACTGACATCCCTGGCACGCTGTGCCGTCAATTGAGTGGATGCAAATAGCTAAAGATGTTGGGAATGAAGCCTGTAAAAAAGGACGGATTGGGCTCTTACGGAATGACCTCCTTACGGGCCGGGTACTGTCAGCACCACTGAAGTAAGCGTCCATAGCAGGAACCTCCGAAGCAAGAGCTGCTTATACGCCAGCAGCATGGGTTATGAGCTAGGGGAATAGGCAAGTCGCCCTTCAGCCGCCTTCTTGGGTTCGTGGCGTTCACCACCTCAGGCCAGCAGGAACTCCACAGTTATATATAATTTGCCGGGAGCTTGCCAAATTACAGCAGATTCTTTCCAACGAAATTACCACGTGGGCTCTCATGCAACTCTGATGTTTGCATGTCTCTCCTTGCTCCGAACGAGGCACCCGCTGTGCTCGCAACCGGCCTCTTAGCCTTACAATGAACCCCGTGCAGCACGCCGCCGTTGTATTCACTAATGGAGTTCTGCATGCAATGCGAGCCCAACCACACCGACCCGGGGGGTCTGCACGCACAGTCCAACTACACCAACCGCCGTTACGACGGGGATATCAAAGCGCCCTTTTATTTCAACATAATTAAGATAGGGTCATCAAACTGTCGGTTGTCGCTAATGCTGTCGGTTGTTGCGGTGTCATAAATGTCGTAGCTGGTCACTTCAGGAGGGCTTTTCACTGGGGATTGGCACAGGGCTGCTTTCGGCCATTGTTCTTGCCCTAAAATGCAAAACGATTCTTCATTACGTGCATGTACCCTGTTGCAGGGATAGCACATATGGTGGCGCTGGTGGCGCACGCCGCGCTGCCTTAGCATGCCTGGGCACCTGTCGATACTGGTTGCTACATAAACGGTTTCTTTGTCGAGGTTGGAAGTTAATTACAATGTGGCAGCCACCACCATCAAGCTTGCTACCCCAACGGAGACAGCTGGTGTCGACCTACCCGCAACTGGAGGCCTGGTCTGTTCGGCGTTGTCACTTCACTACGCTGCTGGTGTTGGTGCTGCTGTCCGTGGTCAGCAACACTGCTGTGGCCTCTGATGGAGGTAAGTTTAGACGATTATAACCCACTTCAGGCTCTTCGTTGTTTGCGTGATCCTTGCTGCTCCGGCTGCACCCCTAAAGTCCACTAAACCCGTTTTTTCTTCCTGCATCGACAGCAGGCTCAGGAAAGCTTAAAACATTTCGTACCGTTGCTTTCATACCTAAGAATTTTAGTCTATCTGGAGTTGTATGGATAAGTGCTTGATTGTACGGCAATGTTGGTTGGAGTCCACAGGACCACGCACGTTCTGGGCTGAGCTCCTGCCACGATGCGGCCTTGAGTGTGTGCTCCCGTCTGTACGTAACGGCAAAACATACAAATTAGACCAAGCTAAAGCAAAGCTTGCAGTTAATTGGTATTTGCTATCTGTATGGTGTAAGATTTAGGGTTCTAGGGTTAGTCCAACAACAATTGATGGGCAACAAACACATTGCTTAACCAGCCAATGGCAACCAAGGACCACCGAGTTTGGCTCCTGCGTTTAACCGGTAACGTAGTGACGGAAATCATGGATTGTAAAGTGTCGTGTGGTGAATAATCGGCTACCTGTGAAAGTCGGGGGGACCCTGCTGCTCACATCAATTGGAATCTGCAGACCATTGCCAGTAAGCTTTAGCCCTATTGCAGCCGGATAGATTGTCTGCTGCATAACACTATACATAGGGTATCCCGCAACTCCATTGCCTATCTAAATGCAGTCACGCACAGCTCCGTCCTAGATAGCTAATTCCCTGTTGGTCTAGTCTGTTAGCACGTGCACACAGCCCTAGGTAGTCCCTTACGAAATAACGTAATGCATCCGTGCGCGGTTGGAATGATCCTGGCTATTAAAATATAGTCACCACGAATCCAACATTCACTTTTGTGTAACCCACGCGTGCACACTGCACATATGGGTATTATTGGGCCAACATAGGGATGGTAAATTGGCTGTGATGCATCCGTAGCACATGCGTCCGAAGGCTACCTAAGCAATTGTTTAGACGCAAAGCTACAAAGCCGAAACAGTGATCCTAACGTTTTAGGCAAGTTGCTGGGCCAAGACAGCGGTAGGTCCAGACAGCCCAGGTGCGGATGGCAATGGAAGAGGTTCATATGGCTGGGGTGGAGGGTGCGATGCAAGCAAGGTCTGGCAGTGCTGCCATGGGCAAGGGCCAGTTGCGGGCTTGCTGGGCATGGCACAGCAGTTAGGGAGATAAGCTAACGCATTGGGCATGGACATGGCGGGCGCGTGGAACAGGGCTGCTGAATCGATTGGGGATGGCCGCGAATGGCAGTGTTGCTGTCGGGGATGGGGGGCGTTTGAATGCACGAAGGGAAAGGCCGAAGTGCTGCCCAGGCGTGGGGTGCAATTTCGTGGCTCTGGCTCACGCAGACACGTCCACTTGACCATGCCAGTAGTTAGCCTTGTACATAGAGCATGCAAAAAGGAACCAGGATGGTGCCTTTCCGAAAGCGATCTTGTTATGATTTATTGCACTGCAACCAACGACAAGGGGGTTCAAAGCTGGAAATGGGGGTTTGGCTTCCTCAGAGCTGGAAAGGGCGGAGCCCCTCCTCAGTACAGGAACGTATTACGATTTCTGAGATGCGCTCCTGAGACTCGATGGCACCTGTTGACCTAGCACACCTGCCTTGTTACATGGACACTGAACCCCCTTTATTTACTACACCGGTAGCAAAGCCCGCGGCATCGGCACATGGGCATGTGTGGACTCAAGTAGGTGCAAACATGGTCCCGCCGACTGGCACTGGTAGCCCTTTGGCAGCACGCCGCTGTTACCGTTTGACCTGAATACTGTTTACGATACCGGGGAAACACTATTAAGGAGCGGTAATTGGTGCTGCCGCGGTGGTCCTTCTAAATGGCGGGTCAGTAAATCGTTTGTTGTTAAATTTTCTTTGGCTTGCTTGCAGTACAATTTTACTCAACAGAGATACATACTTCATACCTATTAGTTGCAAGTAAACATTTTGTCTAGTTAACATGTTTTGCCGTTACAGACATAGACGGACGGACGGACATACGGACGTGGGAAATCCTAGGGGGCATCGGCCCCCCCCGAAGCCACCTCACGCCTCGGCCGAAGCCGCTTCACGGGAGGGGCTCCGCCCAAAAGGTGTACTATAATGTGGTAGCGTGGGTCTGAGGGTACCTACCAGAAAATCCAGCATGCATGGACATTATGGTAAAAATGCCTACCCTTCCCCTCTGCCAGGCTGCACATTTATCCCAGGCTTCATCGCTTCACCCGATGTCGAGCATATGTACGACGACCTTGACTACAGGCCGGATCTGGGCGTTGTGGACCTTGCTAACCTATGCAGCAGCGACGACCGCTGCACAGGTTTTAACGATATTGGCTACGTAAAAAGCATTGTCATTCCAACAAGCCCTTCCCTGGGCACGTGCCTATACGTACGCGGTAAGTAATGAACATTGGTTCCTCCTCTATTTGCCAATGTGTTTGTTATGTGAGAACACGTGATTTTTCCTAGCAAGCAAAGCTGGGTCCTTCGGTCCTAAACCCTTCTTGGAATGCTTCACGACTAACTAACGTCCCCTCCTCCATGATTGCAGTCTTCCCTCCCCCACCATCGCCGCTGCCGCCTTCTCCAGCGCCCTTGATGCCCCCGTCGCCGCCATCTCCCCCTCCTTCTTCCCCACTGTTTCCACCGCCACCATCTCCCTCGCCGTCTTCCCCTCTATTTCCCCCACTGGCACCCCCTCTTTCTCCGCCAGCACCTGTGAGGTCAACACCACAGCCACGGCCTGAGTTCCCACCAAACCCACCGCCACAACCTCCAAGTATGACATGCCTCATGCATGCCCCGGTTTTGTTTGGGCAGGATAGCTTGTCCTGATGTTATAACATTCTCGTCTATGTTCACACTGCGTTTCCACTGCCTAAACCAACGTCAGTTACATTTCTATTTTCTACGCAGATCAAACACTATCCTCACCGAATCCTTCACTTCCTCCATCGTACTTACCGCCATCTCCTTACCCACCAGAAACAGCGGTGATACCCACAAGTAAGCTAGACAGAATCGTGGTGCATGAGATGCTTTCGTCCCAATTGTCCATCACTTACCAGTTGACGTTTACGCAAAATACTGAGATTGCCCATGAGTACGGTAGATAGCCCATGCAAGTTTCTTCAATCTCATCCAAATGATTTGGTGTGCGTGTCACTCTCCGTGAAAAAGCACAATTGAGCGAGGGACGTAGGCTGCATCCTGTCCACCTTGGGAATTGACCTTCTGTGAAACAGCCGATAGAGTGCTACGGGTGACTCCTAATTCCTAAAGTTGCCCCTGCCGTGTTTCTTTGCTTGTTTGCACCAGGTCACAACTCTCATGGGCTATCACGTAAAGCGAAGATCCTAATAATAACTGGAGCCGTATGTGGGCCTATTATTTTGCTTTATATAATAGCATTACTCATTTTCTTGTTATTAATTTGCTGCGTGGACTATGAAGAACGTCATGCGGCACCCAGGGCACCTCCAGACCCACCAAAACCTTTGCCAGCACTCACTCAGCCATCAGCCCCATCACGAACCCCAGCATCATTGCAACAGCCACCTGCAGCACCACAAGGTGGAGCAGCGCGTTCAGTACCACATCCAGAACTAGCACCACAGCAACCTCCATCCCAGCTTCCGCCAACTCCTCAGACGACGGGGCTATCTGCCACCCCTCAACTGTCTCCTGCCCCTTCAAGGCAATCCACCCCGCATCTTCCTCACCCACAGGCTGAAGTGCAGGCAGAACCTTCAGCCCCACAGTTGCCTTTAGTTCAGTCTTCGGCCCCGACACAACCCGCTAGTCGTCCACAGCCTATTGCCCCTGCCCCACTGCCACAGCAGCCTACTGCCCCACCACTGCCGCTCCAAGCCCCTCCACAGCAGCCCTCTGCTCCTCTGCTTCATCCCTCAGCTCCACAGCAGCCCTCTGCTCCTCTGCTTCATCCCTCAGCTCCACAGCAGCCCTCTGCTCCTCTGCTTCATCCCTCAGCTCCACAGCAGACGCCTCCTGCTGAACGAGTACAGCCTTCTGCTCCTCCTCTGCCTCCATCAGCCCCGCCGCTGTTGCCAAGCCTTGCATGGTCTTCCTCTCCCGCACAACCTTTAGACTCACGGCAACCTCCAACCGCTGCACAGCCGCCCACCCCTGCACAGCCTACACAGCCTGAAGCCCCATCACAGCCTCCTGCTACTCCTCGACGCCCACAAACATCTCCACAGTCTCAAGCCCCGCCACCCTCCCCTACTGTTGCATGGGGTGAAACCTCTGTACGCCGTCCTACCGTCCCTCCACATTCCCCTTCGCCACCAAACCTTAATGCTGGTCCGTCGCAGCCTTCTGCTGCTGCACCACAACTACCGTCAGCTCAACCATGGCTTCAGGTGGCCCCGGTACAGCAAGTCCCAGCAGTACGACCACAGCAGGACTCAATTCGTGGGAGCCCATTGATTGGCCAGCCGTCGATCAATCCTGTAAACATTTGTCTCAGGTACATAGTCGCACGCCTTTATCTTGGGGCTTTCGAAGACCTGCTGAAACTAGTTTGCATACTATTCGTTGAGGTCACCCGACTGCCGGCTCAGTTTGTTGTCAGCGCCTAGCTAGTATGCCCCCCAAGGTGGGTCACCCCTTTAACGATTATGTAACCATGGTTACAGGGAGTACACGCTTGAGGTTCTCAAGAAGGCGACCAACAATTTTGCCTTAAAAAACAAGATTGGTGAAGGCAGATCCGGACCCGTGTATCGCGGCTGCTTAGGACCCCAGAAGCAACCTGTAGCCATCAAGAAGGTTGACCTGGAAAACTCCCAGGCAAGTCATGTCATACCATCCTTTACGTTTCATTGTGTACAGTTTGTGTCCTGCAGTCGTCTCCACCCGCCTCGTGCGTACGTATCAAGTCCTGCATGGTTGAAGGATGCCCGAGCCGAGGGGTGTGTATGTGAGGTGTACGAACGCTCCGGTATGAGGAGCCCCGCCACGCAGGCATGCATCCCCAAGCCATACTGCACTTTCCTACTCATGTCTCTATCAGGGCTGGTCCGAGTTCCTTGCCGAGGTGGACATCTTATCTGGTAGCCATCACCCTCACATCCTTATGCTTCTCGGCACATGCTCTGATCAGGTATGTTAGGTTGCAGGTGTTTTGTGTAGTTTCTGTGGGGTAGTAGCCTAAGGCAAATAATTTTGGACGGTGGAGCCCTCTCTGTGAAGCAGCATCGAGGGGCGATGCCTCTTAGGCGTCTGCGTACGTGCGTAAATTAGCTTAATCTGACGTCTGGACTTCTAACGTATTAGCTTTCCCTATGAAGTACATTTAGCTACATAAAATTTACAAAAAAAACATTTATTCTATATTCGTATAAACTTCAAAACAATATAATTTATTATAATTTCCATTACAATGTATAGCTTTATTTGGTTTTAATATTAATCAACACATTCAGAAAGAGTTACTTCGCAACAAACGGTTTCTTGACCACCTGTTAAGAATGCGAGTATTACAGGGGAGTCCGAACGACTCAAGTGCGACACACAACCTTATCTATAGGCTTACAGACCATGCCACAAACTGAAGTCATTGGGATTGATAGTCCCTCTTCAAGTAAGGGATAACGTTTTATTCGCCTGGTCTGTATATTCACTGAAACCATTTTCATTAGCCGCTATTGAGGAGGAGCCCATCGGCCATACCGAGCATGGCCTGGTGGGGATCCTGGGCCCCCGGCTTTTATGGCCCCGTAAGAAACCTTGCCAGGGAATTTCTAGCCCCACTTTTAAGGCCTTGAAGCCGCCGAGCCCTAATTGACAAAACGCAAAACAGTTTTTGTCAATGGGCAATTACGTAATACCTCTTGGTTGCACGTAACAGTTTTTGGCCTGTCCTTGATTCCAGGCGCTCCGCTAGGCTGCGCCTTGGAAGCAAGGGAAAAGCCTTAGTGAACACCCGGGCAGTTTCAAGGGAACTTTTCTCCTATTTAGGAAACATCATGATTGAAGCCTGGGTAGCCTAAGCGTTTACGTACTATTGTTGTGTGTAATAAACGGCACCTCTGGCTGGGATCGTTTGTGTTGGTTGTGGACAAGAGAGCAGTCTTCCTTCTATTGAAACCTGTAATACGTGTTGTAGAAATGCACATCATAAACACCACATCAAAGCAAACCACGGGGCCGAAACGACTTGGGACTTACAGCGAGCCCCCCCCCCTCGAAATCCTGCCTGGGTGTGTCAGCGGGGGCGGTGAATTCTTCCCCCCCTGACGAAGTGCTGGGCACCCGCACGCCAGTTGTTATTGATGCTTGTTTCTGCACGTCTATGCTAAGGGCAATGCACAGCAGTAGTAAGAAAGGCAAGCGCTGCTCTTCCTCGGAAATCCACTGGTTGCCTTTACGCCGTGTGGCGTAGTTATGCCGGGCCCCAGCGGCTCCACGTGCAAGAAACGTACATGGCCCGCCCCCCCGCCCTTACACTGAGCATACGCCTATCGAGTGGTGTATATATATGCAGCAAGAACAGCAACATTGTGCATGCGCAATTGATGCTGTTCCCTTTTGATGGACAGCAGCAACGGGTGGCCATCCGTCAACCGTGCACATCTACACGTGGCGAGGTCTTCTACGGTAGCGCACGTTGCGATTATCGCTCCTCGGCCCATGTGCGCCAAGAACACACGCATTGCACATGTGCAACTATTGCTGCTCCGTTCTCCACTGCGAGTCAGGTAACTAGCTTGCATCAGGAAGCACCGCTTAAAGATTTTAAATAGCGGCTTGTAGATATGGCAGTGAAAGGAGCAGGGGTTGCACCAGGGTTCAATGTTAGCAACTCTAGGTTGGGTCGCACGCGTGTTGTCCGCGCGTCTCACCTCTCAAACACGTTGTTGTATACTGACTCCAGTTCTTTATTGAAGAGCATTCTGTTAAAGTGCCTTCGTGTCCGCGTGTGTCTGCAATACTTTTCCCAGACACCAACGAGCAACAAACTTGGTTCGCTTTTCAAGTATGCATGCTTTCCTTGCGCATACGTACGCCTACTAACAAAGCTGTGTTGAGTTTGTCCTTAGGTAGGCGCATCGCAGCATGCGAGTGCAGTTCCCATTACCCTGAAACTCGTGACGACAATATTCCTGGGTCACAAAATCACGTGCAGTACAATAACTCTAAAGGCTTTGCCTATGAAATTACTCTTCTAAAGGATCTGTTGGCTTGGGGACTGCAATGTTGGCGACCATGTTAGGGACCCATCAGCCAAAATGCAAGCAGGCCTCGCAAAGCAAGCACCACTCATTAGGTTTATGCTCATTGTAAGGGCGGGGGGGCGGGCCATGTACGTTTCTGCACCTGAGGCGAACCGCCCATTGAGCGGCGAACGCGTTTGGAGCCGCTGGGGCCCGGCATAACTACACCAGCGCGTCAAAGTATACAGGACACGGCATAAAGGCAACCGGTGGTTTCCTTTCCCTCACTGGCGCGAGTTGAGCAGTCGAATACTGGATTCCAAAAATTGATAACACCCTCGGGGGGGGGGATGAGATGGTAAATGGGCTGGTTGATATGGTAGCTCCTGCTTGTGGACAAAGTGTTGTACATGAGCGTACCTTCGTACAGGCTTTAGTACACAAATACTTACCATGTATGTTGCACCTTGTAAAGAGTTTATGCCTGTGCCTGTTTAGATGGTAGGCCTTTGTATCTCAAGGACGTCCTGTAACATGTAATGAATATATAGTGGTGTTGCCTTGCCATGCAATTACAATGTTTGGTAATAGGTAACCGCAGCTGAAAGTTAGCAAAAGTCTTGGGTGACAGCAAAGAGGTTCGCAGCTGCCGTACCCAGGTTATGGAGTTATGCCATCCCAAACATGGAGATGCAGCTTGAGAAGGTGGTTAGATATTTCAGTCCTAGTGCTTATGTGGCTATTGTTCACACAGTCTAAGGAGCACTAAGAAACGCGCAGATGGCCGTGTACATTGCCTAAACTTTCGCAACATGGGCCACAGCAGAGGAAGCCCAGATGATAGATGTCATTGCATTGCGCAAAGCAGCTGACGCCATTACTGCACGCGGACTCCCTCTTGCTTAGCGCTAAGTTTTTACTGAAAGAAGTTGTAGCCGATTCGCGGTTTACTGGCTTGACATATAAACAAGCACATAGGTTCTTAAGAAGCAATAAAGGCGGACGTAAGCATGTTCGGCCAGGTTCTGGTGGCGAAAGTAGCAACAGCAGCGGTCCGCCAAAGAAGCGAGCAAAGTGGTCACCTGGTGATGAAGCAGCTTCCCAGCATGCAATACGCACTGTTCAAGCAATTGGAAGGAAGGTGACTGCGAGCAATGTCGCCAAAGAAATTCAAGGCAGCTCAGCCTCTTACCGGCAAGTATATCATCAACTGCGAAAGTGCACCCCAACACACCGTCAGCCCTCCACGCCACACATCCATTTGGGCAGGCCACGAGATCGCTTCGGTCTGGTGTCCAGTTTGCGTTGCCGTTTCAGACATACGGAAGTGGGCAATCCTTGGTGGCATCGATCCCTCGAAGCCGCTTCACGGCGGGGGTTCCGCGCAATTACGCTGACACCCTTGTAACATGCGCATCCCTTGGGATGAGGGCCTGCGTTATCCTTGTGTTACGAATTGCTAGCCTTTATTTGCTTCTTGCAGCAGGTCATGGCGTCTAGGGCTGGAAAACAATCAGTGGTCGATGATTGCGGTCTCGATGCTCAGTTCCGGTGTAATTCCAGTTGTAACTATTACCGTAAAGGAAGTCCACTGCAAAGAATCACGGTAGTCAAGTCTAGAGCCGAACCCAGCATCCGGCCTCAAACTTGCCTCCAACTTTTCATCCGTTTCCTTGATTTGCGTATTCGAGTTAAACACGGGTTTTTGGGGACTATAGTCACGTAACCCTAACCTGCATTTGTGAAACAGTGAATGTGGTACCCACAACCTGGTTTTGTAATTCTTTTTAATGGTTCAGATTATTTTACTGACCAATTGCAATTAATCAAGCCAGCGTTGATCTTCCCATCGCGTACAGCCAATAGAAGTCCATAAGTCTAGATACCGGTATGCTGGCGCCTGGATACGGGTCATTCCTATGAGCTTTATTTTGGCACTGCTACATTTAGCGGTTTGCTACGGTTCCGTCGTAACTGCTGACAGTAAGGACACCCATATGCCGTTATACTGTCACACCGCATGTAACGGATAACTTGACGTACCGTACTATCGAACTTTGTAGATGAAGCAAGCTATCCCTGATATTGGCAGCACCTATGAAGTGCCTGTTTGTTATGCCCCTATGTGTCGCACGGCACGGCACGGCCCCTGTTTGCAATCTATCTAGGGCATCTTGGTGTACGAGCTCATGCCGGGAGGCAGCTTGGCTAGTTATTTAAACGACAACAAGCGACCCAGCAGCCAGCAGCAGCGGCAGTCTGCGCCTCCAGCGGCTGCCTCTGCCACCTCAAGCAGGGCTGAGCTTCTGAGTTGGAGGGATCGCGTGCGCATCATGTGGCAGGTCGCCTCCGCGCTATACTTCCTGCACACCAGCAACCCGCCGATTGTGCACAGGTAGGCTCGATGTGCAACGAATGCATGATGTATGGCTTATAGCCGTATTGCACCAAATGCTCGCGTTTTGTGTTGCTTCTGGCATTATATGCAGTCTGGCAGCTTCTGTTCACAAGTATCCTGCTGAATCCGAAATGTAGGGACCTTAAACCTGATAATATACTGTTGGACGAGCATAAAGACGCAAAGCTGGGCGACGTGGGTCTAGCACGCGCCTTGAAGGATCCAGGGATCTCTGTGAACATCGTAAGTTCTTCATATCAAATTTGTTATTAGCAGACACACATGCGATTAGCCCAAAAAGTTATCCCCGCACACTTACGTACAGAACCCAGCACCCGGTCTGAACACCTTCGGTTCAGTATTTGGTTTCTGTACTATTACATATTTGAACCAGTTGTACAATTCTTCCATGCAAGCATACTGCCGTCTACCCGCTGCCATACGTGCGGTTTGTTTCTTACTAGCCTCGTAACGCTGTGTGTGGTTACATGCCCTGCAGACCGCAAACATGGAAGGCACGTTGGGTTACATCGATCCCGAGTACCACCACACAGGCGCTTACGGGCCCCGCAGTGACATTTATGCACTTGGTAAGCCCACCATGCAGGATCTTCCTGACAACTGCTCTGGGACCGCACCTTGTTAGTGGTCAGCGACAGCAGACATGTTAATAATGCGTGCCGAGTTTCGCGTACAACACCTTGCACTGGCTTACGTACGTACGCAGGCATGTGTATGCTTCAAGTCCTCACAAACGCTTCGTCATATCAAGGTTTAGTGAAGCGCGTTCGCACCGCTCTAGCTCGGAACGACAATGCCTTCCAAGAGATGCTGAGCGCCATGCAAGCGCCACTGGAAGAAACACAGGCCTTTGCTCGGCTGGCCCTGCGCTGCACCAAGCTGGTTGGCAGCCGGCGACCTTCCATGCAGTAAGTTTACCCGCCCTTCCCACGTTCCTATATCCACAGCAAGGGGTTCAGCCTTTTCCAGGTTATAAATAGCTGACAGGAGACCTAGCCTGCTAGCCTTAATGTACAGACATATGCTGCCAAAGGGCCACATGCATGAACAATTATTGCATGTTAATGGCAACCTGAAACACTACTGCCAGAAAAATAGGACTTCATAGTTTCTGAAGGTAACTGTCCCCGAATGCATGCAGGGATATCCTGGCAAAGCTTACCAGGCTTAAGGAGCAGACGGAGGCTCGTGAGGTCCCTGTCCACCCGCCAGATGGCGGACAAGGGTCTCAGCAGGACACAGAAGCTGAGGAGCCACCGGAGCGCTTCCTATGCCCCATTACATTGGTGAGAACTAGGCCGAAGCGATCTCACGGCCTGCCAGCTGCGTTGTTGGAATGCTTGCATTGGCTTTGCTGGGGTGTGAAGGAGCGAGCTGATAAGCGGTCTGGGTTGTTTTCAGGGGTTTGCCGCATATTGCGTCTGAGTGTCAAGAAAGCAGCGTAAAGCCAACCTGCCCTTTTCACCCATTCCCAATGCGCGTGATGTCGTCACCATAACCTACTTCCCCATGTCGCTCCTAACTTTGCGATCGAAGGCACTCGTTTAGCGTTCCTGCCCAAACGTTGCATAATGCTCTCTTTTATGCAAACTTCGTCGGAACGTTTTCTCGCTGCCATCGCTTGCGTCGCAACGATAAACGGGCCTAATATTCCACTGCCCTGCTTTGGTGCGGTGTGAAACGTTATCCACAATGCTGTATGACAAGCTAGCCCTACCGAGCGCTCCAACTTCCTGTTTGCAGAATGGCATTAGCTGTGCTGCAAAGAGCATCAATTGACTGTGTGGGCTTATGGCTTCGGCCCATACTTCAGTTGGCCAGGGTACAATTCCAATGTATGCCGGTTCAACTTGCAAGGTGTTGGCAATGGCCACGCCACGACTAGAGCATTACTCACGAACGCTTTACCGCTTTCAGAAGAAAGCGCAAATCCGTCAATCAAAAATCGTCAATTGCGCCAATCGGTGACCATGACACTTGCCTTCGGGTACGACCTGTCTGCTCCGTTACATACCTTCTAACCCGACTTTCTGCAGCAGTGACCTTATTATGCAGAGTGATATCGCCCTGACAAGTTCTCAGAGCCTCCTAAACACTAAGCTGCTTCTGCAGTAGTCCGAAAGCCAGCAGTACGGTTCAGGGTCGCTCGATGTCGCAAATAACAGGGAATCATAGCTTGTAAGCATGGCTTTAAACGCAATGACGCTTGCGGGTTGATGGTTTCGGGGGAAATGTTAACATCTTTATTTGGCCGGGGTATTACTATGGCAGTATGACTGTTCCCCCATGGGCGCCGGCCTCACGGAGCGCCTGGAATCAAGGGCAGGCTAAGAGACAATTAATAACATGCAAAAGTAACTACACAATTTGTACTCTTATGTTTAAGCTGTAACGTCGTATCTGCCAGAAGGGTTCTAGGTAGGAGGGCCGCCGGTAATTCCTATGCATCTATACGAACAAGCAACACAGGAAATGGTAATCTTCCTGCCAGCTCTACTTGGCCGCCCGCCATTCGTTGGCGGTACTAGTTACCTTATCACGGTGCAAGTAAGGGTTCGTAATTCCCCCAGCTTACTAGTTAACTACCGGTAACATGCTTAACCATGCACTGCCGCCCTTACCCTCCACCTTGTCGTGACTGTGATGTCTCTTTCCTTTCGGCTGACTTTCCGTGTACTTTTACTCTGAACTGGCAACGTACGTCTCTGCAGGATGTCATGAACGACCCGGTGGTTGCGTCCGATGGGAACACGTACGAGCGCATCGCCATAGTGAAATCAATGGAGAGAGACACAAGAAGCCCAATCACTCGTGCGCGGCTGGATCCTACCATCTTGATCGTCAACAATGGCCTGCGCAGCGAGATCTTGGAGTGGAGGGAACGGATGCAGCGACGGCAACAGCAGTAGCAGAGCTTGGCCTGCAACTACGTGAATACCATGTACATACACCGTGGCGCCGTGCCATTTGCGATGCATGTGGACATGTTGGGGCTAAGGGAGTTCGGGGAATGAAGGTTGATGAAGTGTGACATCTTCACTTCATGCAGCAACAATGACTCTGCCCTTGACTCTTTTTGCCGGGCATTGCTATCGAGTAAGAAGCAATGGTTGATAGCAGGGGTGCAGCATCTGGGTGGGTTTCCTCAGGCTATGTGCTGCTGAAGTTCTGCGGGACAAGCCTTCCGGGCGATTGCTGTGCCGCAACTGTAACCCGGGGCATGGCATGGGCACCCGCCACCATGGCAGGCGGCCATGGTCACACGGGCCCATCATTCATGTCAGTATGCTGTGGCATTGGCGTTCTATTCGGATATCGGTTACTATGCTTGTGGGGCATGATAATGCCGAACAAACCACCCATCCAGGATGGGTTCGAGCTCCACAGGCATTTTCCATCGTGTGTAGGTTGCCGTGCATGGTCTTGAACCAGTCGCTTGCACCCCTTGGTAATATGTATGATGAAGGAGATGGGTTTAGAGGGTTAAGTGCAATAATGGTGGGGCGCGGCGTGGCTTGTTTACATAACGGTTACAGTAGAGCCTCACTCGGTCGCTACGTTAGTTTGCAGGCCCCCCCATAACTAGTTTGTGGCCATGACTGTACGTTTGTTCTTGTCATACGATTTGGGACTGCCCCTCAAGCCGGGGTGTGTGTTAAGATTAATTGGCATTCCTTTGCGACGTTAGCGGTGGCTGTGCGGTTGTACTCTGTAGGGTAGCTTTTTCATCACGTCGGCAGGAGCGTGAAGCATACACGGGGTGGGGCTAAACGGCCAATTTTGAACATATGGTGCTTGTCAATACCAATGGCGTGCGTTTAAAAAGGTTTACTATTAGCCGGCGCGAATAACAAATGACCGTGTTGTGAGAATGTTACGTGGAAGCCGTCTATGAGGTGTAGGATATTGTCCATCTGGCCCATCCATGTACGTAAGTGCGTGTTTTGCCGAGCAGCAATTATGTATGCGGTTGTCGTGCCAGCAGCTGGAATAGCCGCTGGGGCTGCTTGGCAAAATGCGCGTTGTGGCTCGTCTTCCGTGCGGGTTTGGTCAGCAGGCAGTGGTTGGCGGAGGTGCCAAATCCTGGTTGATAGCGATATTTTTAGATTTTGTACACCCCATTTCATTGGTTGGGTGGGATGATGACTCATAAATGACGGCGGCTGGCAAGGAAGCGATCGACGTGTCCTCGATAGGAAGCTAGTACACCGACACTCCGAGTACCGGCAGTTCATACTTGCAGCAGAAACACGTGCGTGGAAAAGGAAGACGTAAATGCATCGATATTCGCGTTTCCGAAGGGTGCAGAGGTCATCACCTCGGCTTAATATACATGATTTTACATACGCAGCTGCTGGCCACTTCGCAGCAACATACGTTGTGCAACGAACGCTAGCCATGCAGGACATCTTATGGATACATGCATGTCTTTTTAAGCGGTGGGCCCGACACGGGTAAGGCGGATGAATGCAATTCAATGCAACTTGGACAGCTGATGCAGACTCTTCTGCCGTGGAAAAGGGGCTCCAAAACTTGAACATGCGCGAGTCCGTGTGTGTTGCCACACCGGTACTACAGTTAACCCGTCGGATTGCGTCCGCAATGCATCTCAGCACACGTCACAAAACGGAGTTCAGGTCCACCTCTGAAAAACACAACCGGTCAACGGTCAACACACGTCCAGTACAACTGTTTAATTTAAGGACGACGCTGCAGCCTGAATAAGGCTGCCGCTGAATGAGCGTGTTAATAGGAGGCGGCCTGGGAGGAAGAAACGAGGAAGGCAACCGCCCTGTAGGAGCACCGGCTGCACTGCAGCACCTCATATAGATAGCATGTTTACACAACTGTAACCGCTGCTGCACCGTTCAACCTCCTCTTCCTCCCTCCTTGCCACAGTCGCCACAATGCATTTAGCCGTAGCAGCGGATGGGGTCGGTGCACCTGCAAGAACCATGAAGAGCAGCGGAAAGCGGAGAGGCAGCAATGCGTCAGTGAGAAGCACGGATTACTGGGGACAAAACCCATGAGAAATATAGAAAAACATTCGTCTGCAAGATCTAGGTATGCGGGGCCCGCGGTTCTGCAGTCAAGGCATATAGCCATACACAACAACAGCCCTAATCCTGATAATCCCACATTCCACCCAGCAGCAGCAGCAGCCCCAACATCGTCCCTCAGCCGCCCTGCCTGCCTGCCCCATGCACGCACGCAAGCAAGCACGGCATCCCTGCCGGCAGTGTCGCTCAGCATCCTGCCGGCAGTGTCGCTCAGCACTCACCCCTTGGAGGGGTTCTGCGGGCGACCGAAGCGCCCCCCTCGCGCCAGGTACTGCTGGTGGTAGGGCTCCGCCGGGTGGTAGTTGCTGAGCGGCTCGATCACCGTCACGATGGGCTCCCTGGTGGGGACGATGGGGGCGGGGGGCGCGAGCGTCAAGTTTCAGGGTAGGGCGGGGAGGAGGGCGCGTCAAGTTTCAGGGTGAGAAATCGAGTTAATTGTATACCTCAACGAAGTGTGTGGAGGGGGGGAGTGCAGGGTGTGGGGCAGGCTGCACACACACATATGTGGCTCAGGAATTGTGGTTTTGATTAAAGCCACATCAACTATTAAAGCCTTAAGTCAATAATAAGGCCACTTACTTGAACCTGGTCTGCGCCTCCTCCTTGCTCCGAACCGCTGCCTCCTGCTGCTCGGGCGAGTGGGTGAAGATGGCGCTGCGGTACTGCGTGCCCTCATCGCCGCCCTGACTGCACGGCAGCAGCAGGGATAGGAACAGGAACACGCGATTCAGGTGTCAGGATCGGTAGGTAGGTTGGGTCTTTTGGGTTGAGTGGAGAACCCCCCAGAGAGAAAGGAGGTGGGGACAGCGAAACGGTGAGTGTAACTAGGTATACGAAAAAAGGTTTAATCTTTGCGGGAGGGCGCGCGGCATGGCACCTCGCCCATGATGTAATGGTGTCCCGCACCTACCCACCACAAGCATGCTAGCTATTAGTTCTTTTTCATGGAACCCACCAGCAGCAGCAGCATGCGTATGACTCACCGGTTGAGTTGCGTGGGGTTGTGTCGGGACCAGAACTCCTCCAGCAGCCGTTCGTACGACACCTCGTCCGAGTCGTACGTCACCTGTGCGAGTGGGTGAAAGCCGAGTGGGAATGACGCAGGGCTTCATGCGGCACGTTCGGGAAACCGGCATCAGCAGCGAACAACTAATATGCCTTGGCAGGTGATATGGGACGGCTGAGGGCACTAGATCTCGAATTTGTAGGAATTGGTGATATGCGTGCTCTTCACTCTCCACACCCGATGGAGCAAGCAGACCAATGCAGATGGTAAATAATACCGGCTTTTACATTTGAGTGCATGATCGGAGTGTCGGTATCGATGAGGGAGGTGAATTGGGCTACATGGCAGCGGCAGCGGCGGCGGGCGCTCAGAGGAACTCGTGTTCGCATCACGCAAATGCGTCAGGCTCATAACCGCATTTTTGAGTAGGATCTTCACAGCGCAGACCTTCCTCGCCAACTGCTTTCCCAGGCCTTCGTAAACCCCCCTTGGAACACCCAGGAGGGGGTGCCACAAGGACGCCAGTGGAAAACATTTTGCACCACGTGAGGCTGTTGGTCGTAAAAGGGCTCGGAGTAATAAAAGTGACATCAAGAGGTATGTATCAGCCTCATAACCGCAAAGAATGTAATCGTCACAGCCCGCAAGCGATAAACTTTCATATGAATGGGTTGTTTAGGACATGGATTGTTTAGGACACGTGTTGATTGGAGCGGGTGCATACGTGACAAGACGTGGTTAAGGAGGAGGCATCAAGCCAAAGGCTAACACCTCTTTCAGAACGTCGTGTGTAGGGCTCAAAAACCATTCGCAATGGCATCAGTAGGAACTTCAGCCTCATAACCGCATAGTGTTCAATCTCATCAGCGCCCCAATGCCCCCCATGAGGACATGCTGCACGTGTGCAAACGCTGCCGAGCGCGTGCCTCGTGGCCGGCGACGACCATACACGCTGGAGTCGCACAAAGGTTTCGGAAGGGGGCTCGGTAAGATATATGTTATTGGCATCAGCAATATGTTCAGCCTCATAACCGCAAAGTTGTGTTGATCGTCACAGCCCCCTCGTCCTTCAAGAATACACGGCAGTACATGCATGCAGCCACATGCTTTGCCCGCATGCCTCCCTTGCAGCATCCCTTCTTGCCCGTTCAACCCCTCCCTTCCCCTTCCTCCTGCCACCCCCCCTCGTGTTCCCCCCCCGTGTCCCCCGCACCTGCACCACTTCCGCATGCCCCGTGTTGCCGGCGCACACCTCCTCGTAGCTCGGCTGCTGCGCGGTGCCGTTGGAGTAGCCCACCTCCGTGCCCACCACCCCCGGCACCCGCATGAAGGCCAGCTCCGGGCCCCAGAAGCAACCCGCGGCGAAGGTGGCGAGGCGCAGGCGCTCCGTGGGAACCAGTTTGACCAGCTCGACTGTGTGAGAAGGCGGAAGAGGTGGCGGGGAGGAAGGGGGAGGGAAGGGGGAAACGTGCGTTACTGGATGCTAGGTGATATGCTAGGTCACAAGCTTGGGAGGGCAGGAGGGCTGGATGGATAAGGATGCTGCAGGGAGGGGTGGGCGGAGAGTGATGCTGCCACACCCGCGCAAATACAAAGGCCGCAACCGCCGCTGCTCAGGCTCCATTCAGCGCCAGAACAGCGCAGCGATACCCACACCGGCTCCCTATCTTCCTCGCCCACACCCGCACCCACAGCCAGACGAACCCACCATCAAACGTGAGCGCCTGCCCCGCTAGCTCGTGGTTCAGGTCCAGTGTGACACTCTCCGCGTCCACCGCCTTCACACGAGCAACCATGCCGTTGGACAGCTGGACCTGCGGGTGAAGGAAGGAAGGGGAGGAACAGAGGTGAGGGGTGCAGGGCAGGGCAAGGCAGGGGAGCAGGGCAGGCGGGCAAATGGGCCAGGCTGAGGGCGGGCAAAGCCGGGCGCGGTGCACGATTGAGGGTAATGCAAAGTGTGAAAGTGCTTTGTTGCAATGCTGTATACCGCTTTATCGTCTTACATGATACGGTACCGGTAACCATAAGGAGGTGTCACAGCTGCACTCATTAGGAAAGAGGCTCCCCACCTGCGTTGCTGCCCCACCCACCCACCTGCATGCCCGCCTCCAGACCCTCAGGTGCCTTGCTGGCGGGGAAGGAGATCACCGCGTTCGGATCCACCTCTCCGTACGCCTGCAGTGTCGTACAAACCAACCACACAAGGTCAGTATCTTTCGCAGCGCAGCTTGCTGTCCTACTACACTCGTCAGCCATTCCCTGCTGCTAGGCTACCAAGGACCACCCCAGCTGCCGACCGCTGGTTCCATCCCTGCTACCCACCTCGGAGGGATCTAGTCGGAGCTTGCGTGTGCCGCCTTGTGAGAGCCCGGTGACTGCGCGATCAAAGCCCTTGATCACCTGAGGTAGATGCCAGGGAAAAGCGCGAGGCAATTCAGGCATTGACAGTGCAAAAAGAATAGGGAGTTGTCATACTGTGCTCAGGAATCGTAAGAGAGCAGCAACTGTATCAATGCTTGGCCCAAGGCCTTTCATTGTGCAAGGAACTGAGGAAGCGCGACAAGATTTACAGGCAGGCGTTATTGCGGTGATATAATACCACATACACCATGTCAATGATAAGGGTGAAGGCGCGGAACAGCCGGATGCGTTGCCGACTTGTGCAGCCCACCTTTCCGGAGCCAATAATGAACTCCAGCGGCTCACGGCCGCGAGAGGAATCAAACGTAGATCCATCATCCAACGTGCCGGTGTAATGGACATGGCAGTAGTCGCGCGGGGCGGCCCTGACCACGACTGTGGAAGCAAAACGCCTGCCAGCGGGTCAGGGCAACCAGCCGTCGCCAAACAGTACTGGGCTTCTCCATCACAACGCTCCAAACAAATTGCGTCAAGCGGACAGAAGGATGATGAACGAGCGGAGGAAGGAGATGCCTCTGCGCCGATCACCTTGCAGTCGCCCATGTTGCCGTAGGCCGGCAATCGGCCAGCCGTTTGCAGAGCATAGCCATTTTGCAATTGCAATAACGATTACACTATGATCGTGAAAGGACTTATGGATAGGCGAATCCGCGGTTCCGGAGCGATTTGCGCTTCCTTAAAGCTGTCCCTTACTATCTGCAACTATTTCATGTCGAGGATAATGCCAGGTTAGTCGGTCAGCAGATCTGTTGGATGTCATCTGTCAAAAGTCGGACTCCCACCTCGTCATAACTCGGTAGCTTGAGATCGACATGCGGTACTGTGCGAACACTTACAACATAGCGAGAGGGCTCGCAAGTTTGTTCTAAAGATTTCCTGTAAGCGTCTATCCCGAGGCTGTACTTCATCTTACATAAGTTCCTGTACCTAGTACTTCGTACGATCAGCGCCTTCCATCCGTTATTGCTTGTACAAACCGAACTGCATGTACAAAAGGCCAACTTATGTGGGCCCCGTCGCCGCAAGCTGTGCTTGCAGGTACAACCAACCTCTTGACAGTGCCTGGGGGCGTAGACGTCACCCGATAGGCCGGAGTGCAACTGCTGGCATCTCCGCCAAGAACGACTCGCAGCATGCTTTGCCGTAACCGTTACACGTCTTGGCACTAGATTGAATTACAAGTACCACAGGGAGCCTGAGCGACTTCAAGTGCAGACCAGGCTTTTGGGCAAGCTAGCGCAGATAGCTATGGAAGGCGGCGTGCCAAATTAGATGCCACCACCATTAACGACGCAACCTGCAGGAGGGTCGCATGCATGGCGAAAACCCCAAGAGCAGAACGGTCCAGGTCGGGCAACTAAATGCAGCAAGTGTCCCAGGTGGGGCAGGATCAGGCAAAATAAGGTGTCAGCCCGGCACGTTGATGTATGAGAGAAATGGGTGGACTCTATACTGTTCTCTGGACAGGAGCTAGCTTATACTGTTCTCTGGACAGGAGCTAGCTTCCGCACTGATCCGCATTGCCAACGTTACACCGTAACATGGCCGTTTTGTAAGCCAAGAGTGTTGCGGTAGATAGCTGGGGTGCCTGGGGCTGGCAAAAAAGACATACAATTTCATTCTAGACAAACCGAGATCAATGCACCTTGAAAAGTTCCTATCCTTTGCGTAATTTTTACTGCCTCGAGGCAAGTGTACCTTCCCGTACGTGGTCGGACATCCTCCTAGTCAAGCTTTTAATCGTACGATTAGTTGTTGTAAGCCTCTTTACCCTAAAGCAGATGAGCTGAACACATACAAATCAGGGCAGATAGGGCCAACTTGTCCTTGCTCGTCCATTTGTCACGTCAGCTCCTCAATTGAAAAGTGTTTTTGTCGGTTCCCAAGTATGTTTATTATTCTTGGGGGCAGTTGGTCTCCGATTAGTGTTCTTTTCAGACGTGGCCCTCGTAGCTTAAAACAGGACCGGAGACTCAAAGCCTCCACAACTTTGCGTCCCGACATTTGTATTTAAACGTTCCAACAGCACAACCAAATAGAGACTTTAGTTTTGTAGGCCGTAGGGACCTCAACTTCCAGATGCACAGCAAGAGCTTTTGCTGAGCTGACGGTCATCTGGGAAGTCCCAGAAACACCGACGCACGCTTTACAAGCGCAAGTGCCTCATGGCAACCGTACATGATCTAGAAGGCTTGACAGCAGCGGTAAGAGAGCAACCAGATTGCTTTTTCCCGGTGGAGGGCGTAGTCGAAGCAGCGCGGCCTCGGCCGAATAGAGATGTTAGCGGTCCTATGACTGGATCCCTAAAACAAACATAGTACTATTTACTTCTTGATGTGACGGGGTGCTTGCTTCTTTTGGACGCAAAGCTGGCAAGTTGGCGACTGTCCTGCCTATCCTTCCTCGATTCCTTGCCGCGTGTAGGCACATCTGTACCGCGATACATCTCGAGCATTTTTTGGCGGGCTGCAGACACACTTCAACGATCCCCGTCTATCCGACATCGTCATCGTCCGTCCTGATGGCCGCGCACTTCACGTGCATCAAGTCGTCCTTGCATCTTGCTCACGCAAGTTTGCCGTAGTCCTCGCTAACGGTAAGCGGCCCTGGTACAGAGATCAGGAGTGCTAACACATCTGGCACCTCGCACGTAACAACCCGTCCTTGCGCTTCCGTGCTCACACAGCAAGCGCTGATCTACACCCGGAAAGTTCTCCACACGAATGCACGAAGGCTGATATTTATATGTCATCCCGTGGCACTTTGCACAGTGTGCAAGCCCCCTTATAACGCAACAGTGATGCACATTAAGCTGCCATACCTGCGCGTAACACGCAACCCCGCGCCTCCCACAACTCCCCATGCAACACCCCATGCAACTCCACACACCCCGCACCCCCCCACCCCACCCCCTGCAACCCCACCACCCAACTCAGGCGATGCCACCGGCAAAGAGCTCCCCATCCAAGGTGTCGACAGTGGCGCCCTGGAGTCCGTCCTCTCCTTCTTCTACCGCGGCGAGTGCCTGCTGACGCCCGCCAGCGTGGTTGCCATCTACGACGTCTGCCTCAAGCTGGAGGTGCCGGGGCTGAGTGCCGGTTGCGAGGCCTACATCCAGCAGTCGCTCAACCCCACCACCTGCGCGCTGTTCCTGGAGGCCGCCGTACAGCTGCTGCTGGAGAGCACCGTCAAGGTGTGCCTCAACTATGCCAAGACCAGGTGGGTGGGTGGTGGTGTAAGGGGTGTGTTTAATCAACTGGCCGCACCACTGAGAGGGGATGTGGCTGACACCGTAGGTAGCTAAAGAGAAGAAGGGCGTGTATGGAACGTGGGGCGTGGAGAAGAGTGCGGGAGCTCGCAGAAGCCCCGGGTCGCCATTCCACGCATGGCTTGGCATTACATCCCCACCCATCATCATCACGCCCGTCACCTGCCATCACCCCCATGTTGCAATTGCTACCTCGCCACAACTCCCCCAGGTTTGACGACGTGGTGTCAACCAACGCCCTCTACTCCCTGAGCGCCGACTCCATGCGGCTGCTGCTCACGCACGCGCGCGGCGCCGTCAGCGATGTGAGCCTGGCTCGCGCGCTGGCCCGCTGGGCTGTACGGCGGCCCGACTGCCTGGCGGAGTGCGAGGCGCTGTTCAAGGAACTCAACATCACTACCAGCGCGCTGCTGCAGCTGCTGCAACCGGACTTTATGCAAACGCTGCAACAACCGGGCAGGGAGCAGCAGCAGCAGCCGGTGACGGTACCTACGGCAGCATCCGCGGCGGCAGGAGGGCCTCCTAGGGCCAACAGCGGAAGGACAGGGCTGGTTGGAGGGAATGACGGGGGCAGCAGTATCGGCGGGCCTCTGGGGAGTGTGGCGACGCTGTTACCACGTCCGCCTGGGGGCCCGCTGCATGCAACGCAGGCTGCGCTGCTGCAGCAGCTGCAGTCACAGCAGCAACAGCAGCCGCAGTCCTACCAGTCAGCCCGGCTGCAGTCGCGGCCAGTGGCGGCACATGAGGGCGGCGCGACGTTGGACCTGCTAGAAGGCAGCGGCGGCGGTGGCGGTGCGGGGGTTCCTCGGATGCCAGCATCGTCGCTGCTGCCATCTGCCCTGGAGAGACGGTTGCAAGGCTGGTCAGTGTCCCCCATGGATACGGAGGCGGGGGGAGCCGGGGCTGACGCTGGAGGCAGCGGCGGTGGCGGTGGCAGCCGCACTCTGCAGCAGCAGCTGTCTATATCTGGCCGCCGTCCCATGCAGCATGCAGAGGGTGCTGCGGCGGGTTCGATGCCGGATCGGGACAGTGGGGCCCAGGGTGCGATGGGCGGGTTGCGTGGCGGCGGCAGCAGTATCGGCAAGGCAGAGGATGCGGGAGACGTGAGGCCGCCAGCACGGCGTACGGCTCCGTCGGGTAAGACGCCGCTGCCACCGCAACAGCAACAACAACAGGCTCCGGACGCTGCGGATGAGACATCGCTGGTTGGCTCTGCATCCTCGCCGCAAGGCATGGGGCCCGAAGAGGGCTTCATCCCCGTGCCGCTACCCCTCCTGGAGCAAGCGGGTCTGACAGTGCACTTGCTGCCCTCGGGTACCCTGGCTGCCAGCGGCGGGGTGCTGGGGTCGCAGCAGCTGCCGCTGCAGGTGATGCCGGGACCGGGGCCGCAGACAACGCTGTTGGCTTTGCTGCCGGTTGCGGTCATTAAGCAGCTTGAGGCGTCATTGCTTCAACAACAGCAGCAACAACAACAGCACCAGGAACAACAACAGCAGCATCAGCAAAAACAGAAGCAACAACAGCAGCAACAACAACAGCACCAGGAACAACAACAGCAGCATCAGCAACAACAACAGAAGCAACAACAGAAGCAACAGCAGCAGCAGCAACAACAACAGAAGCAACAGCAGCAGCAGCAGGAACAACAACAGAAGCAACAACAGCAGCAGCAACAACAACAACAGAAGCAACAACAGCAGCAGCAGCAAAGACAACAACAGGCTGCCGCGGCATCAAAGGCGCAGGACCAGCAGCGCGCAGCAGCTGGCGAGCAGCAGTCACTCTCGCCATCTCCGCAGCCATCACAGCAGCCATCACAGCAACAGCGGAAACAGCAGCCGCCTGGTGATGCCAGCATGGCTGCTGCTGGCGGTGCTGCTGCTGCTGCCGCTGGTGGCTCTGGCAGTGGGACTGGGGCAGCAAAGCAGGGCTCGGATGCGGAGCTGCCGCCTGGGGCGCAGGGAGCTGCTGCTGCTGCTGCTGCTCCGAGTGGACCCTCGAGCGGAGGGCCGCCGCAGCAGCAGCAACAGCAACAGCAGCACCGCTTGGGTCCCGGCGTGGGCCCCCGGACTGCCTCCCCCAGCGGAGGAGGCAAGGGCGGGGCTCAGGCGGCCCCGGACCTGTCCATGCTGTCAGCGCTAGCAGCAACCGCAGCATTAGCAGCCTCTGCGCCCGGCAGTAGCGCCGGCATGCCAGCTCTGGGACGGCCAGCAGCGGTGGTCAGCAGCCGGGGTCCCGGCGGGGCTGCAGGTGCGTCACCGCTGCCGCCGCAGCAGCTTGCTGCTTCCTCGGACCGTGGAGGCAGCCTGGCTGGGTGGCCTACTCCGCAACAACAACAGCTGCAGCAGCAACAGCAGCAACAACAGCAGCAGCAGCAGTCCTCCAGGGGGGCCAGCAGCAGCCCCCCGAGCTTCTCGCCGGCTGCTCAGCTGGCCTTGGCGGCGCTGACAGCGTATGCGGACGGCAGCGGTGGTGCCGCGGGCAGCGGGGACGCAGGAGGTGCCGCCAAGCGGCGCCGCGACTCGCCTGATGAGGAGGAGGACCTGGATGCGGCGGAGGAGGAGCGGAGCAGCGGGCGGGCCGGAGGCGGGAGTGGCTGGCGTGGGGCCAGGAGCGGTTACGGGGGCGGTCGGCTGACGGACAGCGGCGGAGGCGGTGCGAGTGGCTTGGCGGCGGCGGCGGCGGCGTCTGGGGCGGCTGGCAGCAAGGTGAGGAGAGTGCTTTGGATATGGTGGTGGTGGCGGGGGTGTTTTCTGTCGGACGCCCCGGTGTCACGGTGTTATGTTGCCTCAACTTGTACACCATCTGCCTCCACCCTCCGCTGCAGACGACGCTGGTGTGCCACGTGGACGACTGCCAGGCCGACCTCTCCAACCTTAAGGAGTACCACCAGCGCTTCCGCATTTGCGACTTCCATCTGAAGGCCGAGGTGGTGATGCGGGAGGGCGCGCCGCAGCGCTTCTGCCAGCAGTGCGGCCGCTTCCACAACCTTGCGGAGTTTGACGGCCTCAAGCGGAGCTGCAGAGCCAGGTAGGGGAGTGGGGAGTGGGGTGGTGGGGCATGTTGTGGGGAAGTGAGCCGCGGTGGGGTGCTGTCCGGGTTTGGGAGGGGAGCTCGAGGCAAGTCGGTACATGGACTTGGGAGGTTTGGGAGGTCCTGTAGCAACCGTTACTGGTTACCGTTACGGCGTTCCTTGCTTGCGCCCACCAAGCTGCATCGTCGTGATGGGTTGTGCCTGCGGTGACGGACTTTGCAGGCTGCAAAGGCACAACGCAAGGCGGCGCAAGCGGCCGGAGCAGCGAGGAAGCGGTGGTGAGGCAGCCCCGCCCTGACACTCACGCAACACATGACAAAGCATGCCCCAGTCGTCACTGCTCGCTGCGATTGCTTTGCTGACGTGGTTGGTACTTGTTTGCTGTCGCGGTTGCAGGTGATGGTGGAAGCGACGAGCCGCGGAAGCTCTCGGTAAGCTGTCGTCGGGACGTTGGGACGTAGGGTCCATGTTCCAATATCAGCTTGCTTTCTTGTCTTGAATCGTCTATCAAGGACAGGATGTTTTTCTTTTATGTGACGGCACGCCGACCCCAATCAACCGGACCCCAATCAACACTACTGCTCCCTTCTTCCCCCCAACCCTCTGCTCCGCAGCGCTCCACCAGCAGCGGTCTCCCTGCCGGCGAGATCTACGCCCCGCTGCCGCCGCACCTGCAACCTCGCCACTCCGCACTGCTGTCCCTGGCGCGAGAAGCGACCGCGCTGGACCAGCAGGCCGCGCTGGGTGCCGCTGTTGCCGCGGCCGGCGGTTTGCCGCGGGAGCTTGCCGCCATGTTGCCCCCGGATGCGTTACAGCAGCTGCAGCAGCAGCTTGGGGTGCACCCGGAGTTGCTTTTAATGCAGAAGGAGCAGCAACAGCAGCAACAACAACAGCAGCAGCAACAGCAGCAGCAACTGTTGCAGCGGTTGCAGCAGCATGGCGACTCAAAGAGAGATGCGTTGATGGATGCGACGCAGCAGGGAACGCCGCTGTCTTTGTTGCAGCTGCCTCCAGAGCTTCAAAAGCAGCTGTTGTTCCTGCAGCAAGCTGGGTTTAGAGACGTTGACTTAATGCAGCAGCAGCAGCAGCGTGGGGAGGAGGCTGAGCAGGAGGAGGAGGGAGAGGAGGAGACGGAGACCGAAGATCGCGAAGAGGAGGATCGACCGGCGGTTAAGCCGGACCCCGAAGGAGAGGGTTCAGCAGCAGCCGGCCGCCGCTCTGATGCCGCCATGCACCAGCAGCAGCAGCAGGCGGGGCAGGCTGCTGCTACTTCGGCCCCGCCTGCAAAGGTGGAGTTGGAGTGAGAGGGACTTGAAGCGCGGCAGCAGGAACTTACGAGGAGGCGCGGAGGAGGCAGATGCAGGGCTGGCAGGAACAGCGGCGGCGGTGCCACCGCGTGCAGCAGCACCCGGACATGGTGCCGGCTGGGAGCACAACAGCAGGTCGGTAGGAATGAGGGAGAGCCGGGCGGGGCGGGGCGGGGCAGAGCGGCAGAGGGTGTTGTGAGGGGCGCATGGTGGGGGTGGTAAGGATGCACGATGGCTGTGGTTGGTGGTGGTTGGCATGTGTAGCAACCGTTTAGTGCGGTGGTAATGGAGCAAATGGTATGCTTCGGACGTTACTGTCGGTGGTATGCTGCCCATAAACACGATGATGATAATCTGCTGGCACTCTGCTGGTGGCGGCACTTTAGTACTAGCTAGGGGCATGGCTTGGGGGCGAGAACAGCTAGGAAACGGCCTGTCGTGTCGCCCGCCCGATGGCATTCGGAGTGGAAATACATTGCAACACACGAAAAGGGGGGGTGCAGAATGGGCGCGGGCACATGGAGCGTTCACAGCAATGCTACGTCGCTGTGTAGTCTGGGTCCCGTCAGTTCCGCCGGAGTAACAATCGAGGTCAGTAAGTAAGCGTACCTATGTCTGGATTACCGGTAGTTGGAGCAGTTTCCTTAAGCTTACATTGGTATGGCAATGTATGGCAGGCTACTTGACAGAGTGCAAGTGTGCGTGGGTTCATGATACTTTTACCGCATGCACAAGCGCCCCGTTTCATGCGCGGGAGGCTGAGAGGTGAGGGGTGAACGAAGGGGTGAAGGCCGGACCTCGGGTGTTTAGCGGGTACCTGGGCCCGCATCATACTGTGTTTTGAAAAGCGGTTGGGAGTGACTCGAGACGGACAGCAGGATAGCAAGGGGGTGTGCATTCCTGGCTTACTAGGGTTGCTACCATACTCTAGGCAGCGTGAGTCCCCTTTGGTTTGCAGAAGGTGTGAGACTGTTGCGGGAGTAATGCGGGGGGGCTTTCGAGGACAGTGCATTTAAGGTGCGGGGTTAATGCGAGAAAATATGTTTCGCTGTTGCTGCTAATCTGCAAGTACGAAAAACGACTTGCGGGGGTAATGGCGTGATGATAAGGAGAATGCCAGTGACGCCCTGCTGGCACTTGTGGAATGCTTGGCTGCGTCTCTTTGTGTCAAAGAAGAAAATTCGTGGGGATCATGGCTTAATGCGTTCGCACGCATTCAACCCGGCGTGTTTTATAGACGTATCCAAGTATTCAGAGTGCTCGTTAGAGGCCTGACAGTGACGCAAGACCGCAAGTTCCCAAACACGCCAGGCTGCTAGGGGTAATATATGCCTTCTGGCTCTTTGCACGAGGTATTTCAAGGTTACTTTGTTATTGGTTGACATCTAGAAGCTTGCCTTTTCATTGCTTGTGGGGCCATTGACGGTACTTTTGCGTCATATGTACAACAACGTCGCTGGACTCTGTGCTGCTAGCAGCACAACATGTGTGTGTTGCCTCGTGCGGGGACTTTTCCAAACTGCTTCCGCGCCAGGTGGCTGGGATGTGTCTTTGCTAGGTTTCCTCTTACAGTTATGGGACTGTTGGGGACTGCCATAGTGACGGGACTCTGGTAGACTGGCATAGAGCTCTGGCAACGCTAGAAATCCAAACGGTGTGCCGCTTTTGGGTTTTCAATTTGGTGAGGAGGAGAAGGGATTTAACGCACGTAGAGAGCTACGCGTGCTAATGCGCGTGCTTTTTTATTAGTACCTTTCAGTAACGCGTGAAGTGCCTGTTCAGGACCCGTTCATTAACGCTAGGAGTACCTGTTCAGGACACATAGGATGAGTACTGTTGCTGATAGTAGATTTAGAGCAGAAACCCCAATAACAAGTAAAAGGGGGAAATCCAATTGCGTCGGTGACATCCCTCTGTGCCGTTGCTGTGAGTTGTCAGCCAGTGTGGCCTCTTGCTGATGAGCAGCCTGGTGCTGTTCTTTTTGCCACCGGTGCTTGACTCACCCATTTATCATCAGTGCTCCGCGCTCTGCGGTTGGTTGGATTCATGTTGATGGATTCATAATTGCTAGATAGGTGTTGTGTCGTGTCGTGCCTTGCACACCAGCTCCCCATGCGGTGGACTTGTACGATCCCCGCAATGCTGCTAGCCTGATAGCGCTTATAGCAGGCGCATAGTGGTAGCTGTTTCGCGCAGTGGTCTGAACGGGGCGGGCCGCTCCCTGAGCAAGCGGAAGCCCCATTTCGTGGTTTTGCGTGTCTCCCCGTGTCTACCCAGGGCATATCCCCTTTTCCCTTTCATCTCCCCAATGGCTTTCCTATCTCGGGTCTTGTGGGTCTTCTCCGGCTCGTTTTGTAGACCTTACATGGCCGGTGTGTGGCCTTGGTAGGTCTCGCACCATGTAACATCACGCCAGAGTCCTTGCGTGTTGTACTCCTGTGTAACCCCTCTCCATTCCCTCTTCACGTAACCCGTTAGCCGTTCAGGCCTATAATGCTGGTTGTTGCCTCTCTCCTATCTCTTCCGGCAGAAACCACAAACCGCCACCTCTCCCTCCAACAACAACCATTACCCGGAACGCCTTATGTATCCCAAAATCCCCACCACGCATGCCAGCATCTTACTTCCCTCTACCCATGGCTCGTCCCAACCACCATCCCCTTCCAGCCACCACCGTCCTCCTCCTACCCTTTCAGCTGAGTTACCACCACCTCAGCGTCTCCATTTACTCGCTGCTCACGGGTTATCCGCGTGTGAAAACTCATACCGGTGCATCAGCCCCACCAACCGGTCAATCACCACCACCACCCCACCCAACACCGCCGCCAGCACCGCTGCAGCAACAGCGCCCAGCGGCGGCCACCGCAGCAGCGCGCCTGAGGTGGCGGCGCCGGCGGAGGCGCCCGCTGCCGCCGCCGCTGCCGCCTGCGCCGAGGCTGCGACTGCCGTTACCAGAAGGGCTGCGGAAGTGCGGAGATACAGGTTCGGTGCACGTCCGAAGGATTGCGTTGATGTGTCATGAAGGCGGGAAGGAAGAAGGGACGTGCATGTTGGCACCGTAAGCGAAGAAAAGCAGGAACAAGAGGAATGGAGAAGGATAGCACCTGCCTTGTCAATTCCGAGATCCAGCCTGGCCCTTTGCCCTGCCAGTCCCAGTCAGCCCCACCTGCCGCCCCCGCCGCCCCCGCCGTCGCCAGCACCAGGGTCCTGGCCAGCCGCAGGTTGCGCAGTGCCGTACTGCAGACGGAGCACTGGCGGGTGTGAGTGGTGAAGGTGTCGAAGAGGGAGTCGCGGGAGCGGTCCCGGGGGGGGAGGGGCAGCTCGGAGGGGGAGGACGAGGAGGGGGAGGGGGCGGTGCTGCCTCCTCCTGCTCCTGCTGCTGCTGTCGTGGCGTAGGGTATGCGGCCGCCCGCAAACCTGGCTAGCCAGGTGCGCAGGGCCACCGTCATGCTGTAGCGGGGGAGGAGGAGGAAGCAGGGAGGAGGGGGGGGATCGAGGCAGGTGCAGGAGGAGACGTGAGGCTGTCTGTCGGATCGCATCTTTAATACCAGTAGCACCGCCTGGCGCAGCTGCGGCAACAGGAGTCAGAGGACAGCCCACGCATGTCAGCTCCGTGTCAAGCGCGTACGGAAGCACTTCCCCCCCCCCCCTCCCCCCCGCACCCCCTCCCGCCACCCACTTATCAGCCGGGGTGGGCATGAAGTACTTTGCGGTGTGCGAGGCGGCGCTGCGAGCAGCCACGTTGTGCTCCTGGTGGTGCAGGAACACCTGGTCCTGTTTTGGGGGGGGGAGGGGTGAGGGGATAAAGTGAGGAAATGATGAGGCAACAGACGAGCTGTATGAGGGGGCGCGGTGAGAGGAAGGGGGGAGGGGAAGGACGAGACGGAAAGAGAAGAGTAGCGAGCGGTGAGAGCGTGGTGCACGCTTGATGGGGCAGCACCGGGGAGAGCGAGCAGAGCCCTTCTTCAACACCAACTGACCCTTCCACATATGGCGCAGGAACAGCCCCAACCAACCCTAGTCCCTCTTCCAAACCCACACAGCAGGCAGGGTGGGTTCCAGCGCACCCCCGCCCCCCACCTTATGCCTTATCACACGGTTAGTTAGATGTTTCCTCTTTACCCCACCTGGTGCAGGAACAGGGAGGCGAGTGTGTGGCTCAGCCACACCGGCATGGGCGCAGCGAAGAAGGCCAGGCCCCGAGGCAGCCGACCCGCCGGGTCGCGGATCAGGATCTGGTGGTGGTGGTGGGGAGGACGATGTGTGTACGGCAGTATGGGGTTCTGGAAGGCCGGAAGTAGAGCACGATGTGGGACCGGGTTGGGAACATCTGACATCTGTGCTAAGGATGCGTGCGTGGTCAAAGGGCATCAAACACAGCCTTACCACATCCCCTTACTCCCTCCTTCAACCCGTCACCCCTGCACACACCAGCTACCGGTGCGTTAACAGCAGCCCCACCCCCACCACCTCTCCCCCCCCTCGCCTCCCGAGCACCCAACCTGTCTCCCGATGTGCCGCGTGTGCCCCGGCCGGGTGGGGCAGCTGTACAGCGCCAGCAGCAACGTGCCGCCGTCCTGGAACTCAGTGCGGATCCTGGGAGCGAGGTGGTGGTGGGCGGGTGGGGGTGATGGTAGTGTTGGGGTCAAAGATTATCCCAAAGATTATGTTGGGTTGGGGGGGGGGGGTGAGGGTAGTGCACCCCTCAAATGACTCTCCTGAATTGAGCCACGAGGTGAGAAGGCGGCAGGCAGCCGTCCAGGCTTTAGTCATTCAGATGGACCTGACGGCCTGTAGACATCCCGCAAGATAGGGCCATTTGCTTTACGGTGCTGCTGGCATGGGAACCCCATTTTAAAGCCCTCCTGGAACACATGCACTTATTTGAAGGAGCTGAACGCGCTACCCCGGCTGCCCCGCCTGCCCTAATGCGCCCTACTTGATGAGGGAGGGCGGCAGGAAGGTGGTTGTGGAGTAGCTGGTCTCGGGGGAGGTGGGGGCGCGGGACTGCAGCGGAGGGGGGCGCGAGATGGGGGGGGAGAGGAAGAGGAGAGGAAGAGGAGAGGAGATATGTATGAGAAAGGCAGGGTAGAGGCAGGTAACGGAGCAGAAAAAGAGATGAACGTCTGGCAATGTTGTTTGCTAACTGAGATGTGAGTGGGTTAACGAAGTCGCATATCCGCACTCGCTACGCACAACCCCCTCCAACCATGTAACCAGCTCCCCAACACACAAGCTCCGTCCCCTGGCCCTCCCGCCCCTCCCGCCCCCATCATAGTTCATAACCCAACCCACCTTGACACGGTACTTGAAGCCCCCGTTGGCGGTTGGCGGTTGCAGCTCGTCCACAGCAAAGTACTGGTCAGGGTTATAGCGGTTGCCTGGGAGGGGGGGGGTAGGGGGAAGGCGTGCGGGAATGGGGGGGGGGTTAGGAAGGGCACAAAGGAAATAGGACGAGGTGCAGGGCACGGAAGGCGACACCGAGCGCAGGGAGAAGCAGAGGTCCTAGCAGAGATTGGCCCCCCTCTCCACCCCCTTTCCCCTCTTTGCCTTCCCCACCGCCTTTACTCCCGCGCCCCACACGGCCCCCACAGTCACCCCACCTGCCATCTTGTGATGTGACACGCCCACATGCGCGGGGTCCGTCACATTCTGGTGGAGGCGGTTAGTCGGGGGGGGGGGATTGCGTGTTTAGTTGAGCGGAAACAAGAGCACGCGCGTGTGTTAAGAAAACTGGCCGCGAGTAGGAACGTACTGGTTTACCAGGAAGAGGCTTAACTGTTTGAGGATTTGGATGCAGAGGTGAAGGAAAAGGGAGGCAAGAGTTCCCACCCAGAGCCACCAGCAGGCACCTCCCGCACCGCTTAGGCCATTGGCACTGAGTATGCGTAGGCCAGGTTCGCGGCGAAGAACTTGTTCAAGTGCGACGCGACAATCGGGTTGAGCAGTGTCAGTGCAATTGCCGACTGAATCCGCCACATCGCCGTGGCCCGGCTCCCGCCGTCGTCATGGGGATACCGCCGAGCGGGGGAAGGCGGCCGCCATGCGCCTTCCAGCTCACCCCGCAGCTCAGCATGCTGTTTGCTGCGGGTCCATTCACTGGGTCTCCGCAGAAGAGGCACAGCGCTGAACAGCCTGGTTGCTGAACAGCTGCTCGATTGCCAGCAGAACAAAGTCAACTGGGTCAGTGGTGATGGCGGTGGCGATGTGGCGCATTCAGTCGGCAATTGCGCTGACACTCCTCAACCCGATCGTGGCGTCCCACTTCAACAAGTTTTTCGCCGCGAACCTGGCCTACGCATACTCAGTGCCAATGGCCTAAGCGGTGAGTCTTGAGTAGCCATCTTGGATTACTAAATTACATCTTCCACAAATCAGTACAAATACCAGCAGCAATTCTTGTGCTATTCGGGTGACCGTGGAAGCGGCGGAACCATATCACCACCCTGGCAGCGTACAGCTCCAGCGACCTGACAATGGCAACACCTCGTCCTCAAGACCTTTCGTCCTTTCTGTGGCCACCTGCGGGGTTCAGGCTCCTTCCTGCCCCCGGTCCCTCACCTCCCTCCTGCCCCCGCCCCCGCACCTCCAGGAAGTAGTCATGCGAGTAGGGCAGGTCGCGGAAGTACCAGGGCAGGGGGTGCACCTGGGAGGCAGGCAGCTCCTGGGGGGGGGGAGGGGGGCAGGGGGGCAGGGTGGGCTGGGCAAACAGGAGGCGGGTGGGCGCATGCAGGCAGGGGGTGTTTTTGAGCCTTCTGACGCGTAACGTCTGCTTCAAGCTGAGCAAACCCAGCCAGAGCCCCGCACCCCTCCCACATCCCCACCCCGCCTGGCCCCCACCCCGCCCCCACCTCCAGCTCGGGTATGATGGCGGGCGGCCTCATGCAGCTGGCTGCCTGGCCCCCTGGCCCCGCCTCGCCCCACACCCACAGCAGCCCCTGCGCCTCGCAGGTGGGGTACACCCGGGCGCAGCTCCTGGAGGAGCGAGGAGGGGAGGGGTGTTGGGAGTGAAGTGAGGAAACTGAAGAGATTTATGACGAGGCTTTACCATGGGAGCGGGTGGTACGACAATGTCATCAGGTGTCTTACAGCAACTGAACCGAACCGCTAAGAAACATTTAACAGCAGCAGGGCGTGACTCAGCATGTGGTCAATCGGACATGACTTGAAGAGAACGCTCCCACTTGGCTTCCGCTACCTCTGATCCCCACCTGGGGTTGCTGCAGGCCCGGCTCTCCGCCTCGCGGCTCTCCGCCTGCGGCAGGGCGGTGCAGCGGCCCGAGCCATCAAAGCGCCAGGCATGGTAGGCGCACAACAGCGAGCCGTCCGACTCCACACGGCCCTCCGACAGGGGGGCCAACCTGGGGGGATGGGGGGGACGGGAAGTGGGGTGCATGGGGGTGGGGCAGTTGGGAGCATGCGTCCCGGCTGGGCAAAGAGGGAGAGAGTAGGGAGAGAGAGGAAGGAAGGCACCTTCACCCGCTAGAGACCTCATGCCACCCCCACCTAGCCTCATCTTTCCACTCTCCCCATCCCTCTCCCGTGTCAAACCCTCCCGACACAAACACACCTATGCGGGCACGCGTCCTCAAAGGCCCGCCACACGCCGCCCCCGTCCCGCCACAGCACTAGGTCCCGCCCAAGCAGCGTGAAGGGGTGCGGGCGGGTGGGGTCCAGATAGGCGGTGGGAGCCACGGGGTACCAGGCAGCAGTCCAGGAGAAGGTTTCGGAGGCGGGCTGGGAGGCGGGAGAGGGCGAGGAGCTGGGGCCGGGGGAGGAGGAGGAGGAGGGGGAGGCAGGGTCGGCAGCGGTGGGAGCGGAAGCAGTTGGAGAGGCTACGGAGGTGGAGGTGGAAGAGGAGGTTGAGGCGGGATGGGGATGAAGGGGCGAGAGGTGGCGGTGGAGGCGGGGGTGGTGGCCCAGGGGCGTGCGGCAGGGAAGGCGGGGGAGGCCCGTTGATGGTCCCTGTGTGTGGGCGAGATGAGGTGGGAAGATGGATGGAGACATGGATGGTGACATGGATGGACGGTTGGTGCGGTAGCCAGGAAGACTCTTATATATTGCAGTTGCAGATGAGATGCAAGCAGTTATAGCATGTGTGTAGTCGGTATGCACTTTTGGTGGAAAGCCTCAACAAGCTTTGGGTACAATGGGCTGGTCGCGTACTTGCCTTAACGCTGCGCGCTGCGCAGGGCTTTCCGCGCAAAACAGAGCGCCCAGAAAGCATTGATAACATTTTGCCGTTAACCGGTATTAATGGAGAGGATAGATTCAGGCTTAAAGCGCGACTGTCGCCACGACTGTTGCAAGGGTCCACAAAGCCAACAAACGTATCCTGCTCTCCGTAAACCACGAAACGAATAAAATGATTGTGAAGATGTAAATATTTTGTCGCGCGTTAGGCGTCCTAGGCTTCTCCTCCTCCTAAGTGGCGTCGGTTGACCTGACGTTGCGTTGCCTCGGATGTAGGTTGACCACCGAACGATCGCCCGGTACGGCTTACACAACCTCCGCCACATACTGCTGACTGGTCCATCCATTAGATACTTGACGGCCACGTTATACAATTTCACTTCTACAATCGTCGAATCCGGGTCAACCAGGACACCCCCCGGCTGTGTCCCGCCTTCCTGCTCCAGGAGCTGCTGTAAGGTTCCACATGTCTCGGTGCCAGTAACTCTCCTTCCCGGAAAGGCCTGCATTAGCGTATCCGCACAACGTGAAGAGCCAACACGAACATCACCAAAACAGTCTTGCAAGCCGCGATAACATGGGGTTGCTTCAGCGGACGAACTTGAGACTCGCGAGGAAGCGTTGCACCGTATTGCAGCACACAGGCGAATCAAACTGCATCCGCCTCTTCGCTCCCCTCCACTACACACCACGCAACCAACCATCCACTGCTCCCCACCAACCACCTCAGCAGCAAACCTCCGTACACATTGTGCCGCCGCCCATCGATACATACATGGATGTGCGCGGCGGAGTTTGACAACACTACATGAAACACGATACACACAACACACTGCAAGATACGGTACAAGGGAACAGAAGCAGGCAGCCAGTTGCTGCGCACCACCTGAGCGGTAGCCACCTACAGCAGTAACAAGCGGTACGTTGGCAGCCGTGTTTGGCAGCCTGCCCTACTGCGAATACGAAACTGTCGTCCGCCTCCCTTCCGTTGCCATTGGCTCAGGCAGCAGAGCCACCGATAAGTAAGGTGCAGATCATGAATGAAGCAAAAGGCGTTCTATCACTCAACGCGTGTTGACAGCCCGTGTTGCACCCTAGAAACGCCCCAGGGGGAGGGAGGACATTGGCCATACCCCCCATACGACATACGTGCCCTCTAGCCCGCCCCGCTCCTCTTTTCGCTCCTCGTACCGTTACTGTAACGTACATGCTCCTCCTACACACCGTTCGCTCCCTTATTGACCTCGCCCGGTCCACTCCACTCCTTTCCTCCTCCGCTCCCGCTCCTGCTTCTCACACCTCCCTCATCCCTCACCTCCCCCTACCACCACCACGACCGCCACTCCCCTTGACCCCTTTCCCCCTCCCTGCCCCCTTGGTCCCCTCCCCCCTCCTGTCCCCCTTCCCCTTCACAACACCCTGACTTCTCCCCTCCCCCTTCCCCTCCCCCTCCCTCTCCCCCTCACCACCCGCCTCCCTCTCAACTAGCATCCGCAGCAGCCGCCCCCGCTGCGCCCCCTCCAACCTCCCGTACCTCTGGTAATCCAGCGCCACCACCCGCAACCCCAGCCGCCGCAAACACGCATCCCGCACCCGTGTGCTCCCTAACGGCACCTGCGGGGAGCTGGTGGTGAAGTGGTACGGCCCGTCCACCTCCACCGCCACCCGTACCCCCCCCACCCGCAGGCACATGTCCACAGACCACATGCCCACCTGCTCCTCCATCCGGGGCCGGTAGCCCAGCTCCCCCAGGCGCCGGTACACGTCCTTTTGCAGCTCACTCACATTTGGACCCTCACGCAGGGCTACCCCGCCTCCTGCTCCTCCTCCGGGCAGGAGCTGCTGTCGGGAAGGAGGAGCATGCAGCTGGGAGGAGGTCTTGTCCCCTGCCGAGCCCCTACCAGCCCCCCCACCGCCCCCGCCCCCGCCACCCTTTGCTAGTTCCAGCAGTCGCGGTGTGACGAGGTGGGGGGCGGTGGAGGCCCAAACCCGCACGGCGTACGACAGGGGCCCCCGCGTGTCGCGTGAGGCGGCCAGCTGGGGGGCGCGGGCGTCCAGGGTGCGGGAGAGGGCCTGGGGGGGGGGCGGGGAGGTGGGGGCAGATGATAGGCGTCCATGTCAAGAGTGGGAAAAGGGAGACGAGGGGAAGAGGTGGGACTGGTTGGTGGGGCCGCTGGAGGCGGAGGTGGATGGCGTGGGGAGTGACAAACACACACGGCAGGAAGGGGGCAGGAAGGGAGGGGAGGCCCGCCGAGCGCTGCACCCCCCCCCAGCCCCACTGCCTCCCTGCCTACCTTCAGAAACCGCTCCACAGTGCCTCGGCCTCCACCTCCGCCTGCTGCTGCCTTGGCCCCCGACCTCCCTCCTCCGCTCTTCCTACCCTCCTCCTCGCCTTCCTCTTCTTCTCCATCCTCCTCCTCCTCTCCCTCAACCTCCACCACCTCCTCCTCCTCTCCCTCCGGCAGCAACCCACATCCCCCCGCCACCGCATAGCTCCAAGCCAACCGAGCCAGCGTCGCATCACCCAACCCTGGACCTCCTCCCGCCCCCGCCCCTGCCCCCTCCTTGCCCCCGCCCCCCTCCTCCTGCTCCCCGCCACCCCCCTTGCTGCCCCCCGCCCCCTGCCGCCCCCCCTCCCCGCTCATGAGTCTCGGTCCCAGGAACTCCGCCGCTCCCACAAACAGCGCGCGCGTGTGCGGGGAGCGGTGCGCGAAGAAGGCGGCCGAGTGCAGCGCTAGTGTGACCTCCCGCGTCTCCACATCGCGGCGGCGCATGCCGCGAGTGACGGAAGTGGCGAGTGCCTGCATGGGGGGGGGGCGGTGGGGGAGTGGTGGTAAAGGTCCTTCTGCCTCTCCATCCCCCCCGCCTCCCTTCTTCACCGCTCACTTGAACTACCAGCCCTTCCAATCCCTCCCCCTCTCCCTCCCCCACAGCCGTAACCCCCACACCTTTAGGAATCCCTCCTGCCGGATGCGCAGCTTGCTCAGCGCCAGCGCCACCTCCGCCATCTGCCTCAGCCCCAGCTGCCCGCCCTCCGCCCGCGCCGCCACCCCCGCCGCCAGCGCCCCCAGCAGCCCCCCCTGGTAGTGCTCCATCAGCGCAGCCACCTCGCCGCCGCCGTCACCCGGGCTGTAACGCTCGCAGGCTCGACCCAGGGCGGTGAGCAGCTGCACCCAGCCGGCGGGGGAGAGGGAGGCGGGAGACTGCAGCGCGCGTCTAAGAGGTGGGGGGGGAGGGAGGCGGGGCAGGAGGAGGGGGTCATCCGCATGCGCGATACATGTCGTGGCGGCGAAACATCATCACCTCCTGCATCCCTGCTGCCCTTATTCCACCCAGAGCGTTACCTCCCTCCTACCGGTATTCAACGGGAGTTGAAGCTTACATCCTACCCCGGTACCCCCCACCACCATTCTGTTTGCACCCCCCCTCCCCATGGTGAAGCCTACATGTTATACAGCCCGTCAGTTCACCTCCTTGTTACCCCCAACCATACCTCCTTTCCCTTTCCCTTCCCTCCCCGGCCCCACCCACCCAGCCCCTCACCTCACCAACGCCGCCACCGTATCCATCTCCACCACCGCCCCGCCCCCTCCTCCCCCTCCTCCACACACCACCAATCCCAGCACCACCGCCGCCGCCGCGTCCCCACTCAGCCCCCCATCCCGCACCAGCTGCTGCAACCGCGACTGCAACGCCGGGTGCTCCAACTGCCGTATCCAGATACTGCTGCTATTACTACCACTGCCACTGCCACCACTGCCACTGCCCGGTGTTGCCGTGGCTGCCGCCCTGTTTGCGGTCGCATCCGCATCCGCAATCGCCCCCACCAGCGCCGCCAGCTGCTGCCCCGAGTAGTCCCGCAGGTGGGAGTGCATCAGCCGGCAGCAGGACAGCCACACGTCCTGCAGGAGGGGGGGGAGGAGAGACGGGGAGAGGGGAGCTGATGAGGAGAAGGGAGCATCATGGCTTCATGGGGGGTGAGTGGGTGCGAGGGTGAGGGTGAGGGATGACCCCCCATGGTGGAGAGGCCTCGTCATACAGCTCGTCAGATTCCTTATTTTTACCCCGAACCCCCCCACCCCGCCGCGCACCTGCCCCCCGTACCCCACCGCAGCCAGCGCCGGCAGCAGCCGCGGCAGCAGCGCCGGCAGCTCCCTCGCCATTGCCTCCTTCACCGACCCGGGGGTCAGCCGCAGAGCCACCGCGCAACCCGCACCACCCACACTCCCATCCATGCTAGCGCCACTGCCATTGCTGCTGCTGCTGCTAGCACCGCTACTGCTACTGCTGCCCCCGCTGTGTTCGTACTTGCTGCTGCTGCTGTAACATCCCAACAGGTACTCCGCAACACACCCTGCAACACGCCTCAACTCCGCCCTGCTGCCTCCTGCTCCTTCTCCACCACCGCCGCCGCCGCCCCTCCTGCCCGTTCCGCCTGCTCCCACTCCCGCCCCCCCGCCCGCCCGCTCCCCCAGTACCTCCAGCAGCGTCACCAGGTGGGTTGCACGCATGCGGCCCTGCGGCAGGTGCAGCAGCAGCAGCCGGCAGGTGGCCAGGAGCTCGGGAGTGGGCAGGCGGGAGGAGAGGAGGGGCAGCAGGCGGGCGGGCAGGGCGGCGGAGGAGGAGGAAGAGGCGGAGGGGGGATGCTGGCCTAGGAGGAAGGAGGAGGAGGAGGAGGAGGGAGGAGAGGGAGAGGAGGTGGGTTTAGGAGGGGGGATGCCGCGAAGAAGGGCGAGAAGGGTGTCGGGGGGAAGGCCGGCCAGAAGTTCCGGAAGAGGGGTGGGGGAGGAGGAGGAGGAAGAGGAAGAGGAGGAGGAGGAGGAGGAGGGGGCCGCGAGCCTGCCGGGAAAGCCTTGAGAGAGTTGCTTAGCAGCTGCTGCAGCTGCCGCGGCCGCCGCTGCAGCTGCTGCGGACGCTGCGGATGCTGTGGGTGGGGCAGCGGGGCTGCGGGTGGGGCTGCTGCTGCTCTTAGCTCGGCGCATGCTGCTGGGTGTCGATGTCGCCCGCTGTGAGGGAGAAGCTGCAGAAGAGGATCGTGAAGTTGCGATTGGGGACGACTGTGGTGGGAGCGCAGCGCCTAGCTTACGCGGAGTCTTGCGGGTTGCGCGCGTTTTGGGCGCGCGGTCATCTGCCGTGGCATGTGTAGAAACCTTTGCGATGCGCGCGTTGTCGCGCCCAGTAAGGCGCCTCCTCAAGGCTCTCCAAGCACCGCTGTTGCATGAGTTGAAGGTAGGACTAGCAAGATGGTAGCGCCCTTGTAGAGTTGTTACCTGCGGTCCAGGATGCCCAGGCTGGTGCGTTATTTCGCGCATTTTACCCACCCAATCCTTCGTAACCATGTTTTTAACGCCTTCTTCGTACCTTTTCAAATGTAAAGGGGTGCGCCAAAGACCTAGACGACAAGTGTAACGGCAATGGGAGGGACATTTTTGCTCGGAGAATACCAGGTTCTACGATTGCCACCAGCTAAGGATGCTAAATCCAGGCCATTTAATGTCGCGACTCAGCACCCTTTCTTAATGCAAAGTTAAGGTAGCGGTCCTACTTTCCGCACCATGCTCTTCGTCAACTATTTCACTTGCTGGTACACCAGCGGCGATTGTAATGGCAGTGCATCAATAGTTAGAAACCTGAAGTGCATGGCGCACGAAGAATTAGTGTGATGGGCCCAACTGGCCCGATGGGTCGCTCGAATGGGCTTGGACATGTGTGAAACAATCAGCACTGCTTCCTCAACCCCCTGACAACTGGTCTTGCGGCATTGCACACTCTCTCCCTTCCTATGAAGTAACCCAAAGCAGCTGAATCTTGACAGGCATAACAAAGCACCTCATGCAAAGCCAAACGCAAGCCAAACACAAGCAGACGCCGACCACATCCCCCGTCAACTAAGTGGGAAGAGATGATGTGGCTGTCCAGGGGGCTGCCCAGGGAAGGAGATGAGGGTTGGGTCAAAGGGGTGGGTAGTAAAAGAGAAACCAACCTATCCTAATGGGGGTTAACGTTTGGATTGAAGGTTGGAAGGCTGTTGCGCCCCAACACCGGCGCCTTAACGTGTACCGGAACTGATGTGCGATCGGACGCCACACAGGGGGGAAGGGTGGCTGCGGTGTAGTAGGCGAGCCAGCTGCTAACACGAGGGGGTGTGGGTGTGAGATGGCCACGGTAGGTGCTTTTCCCCTTTGGAATACGGGTTAACGAGACGCAGCTGGCAAACGGAATAACGTGGAAATGTGTGTCAGGAATTTTCTGCAGATGGAACAACTAGCTCGAGTATTTCGGAGTCGAAATAATGGTAAGGACTCAAACTCACTATTTCATACATTAATTCTATATCTACATACGTTACTAATGCATTTAATGGGTGGGGTCAATAGACCGCCAGAAATTGCGGAAGGCCCCGAAGGACACGACCGCGGGGTTGGAAGTTAGTTTTCAACCAGCAATAGTCGCGACTCGGTTAGACCTCACAGTCTGCGACATTGCCCCAAGCGCAAAGATAACATTGTCGGTTAGGACCGCCCACCATACCCAAGGGCCATTCCGGTTCCGCTGACATGAAGGCGATGGTGGGTCACATACTTCACTTAATCTGTCAGCAGCCTTACGGCTTGTAGCAAAGTTTAAGCGCACAGTAGCACTAATATTGTATGCAATGCTAATATACAACACGACCCACTTCAGCAGATACTGAGCATACTAACCCCATGCCTAGAGCCCTTTCCCCACCTAGAGCCCTAACGGTGACCCACAACCCAATGCGAACCGAAGGCCTGCTGGCCTGCTGCTGCTGCTGCAAGCAGCTGGTTGGGCGGTGTGTGGGTTGTATACAACGGGGAAGAGCGGCGAGGTGGACGAGTTCTTATGTGCACGGGTTGAGCTGGGTAACGCAGATGGCCCGAAGAAAGCATGGTGAAGGACGCAACGCTGTTGTTGCGTGCATCACACCCCACCCTCTGTCCCTGCTGAACACACATGCAGAGGCCAGGCACCAGCAACAGCACCGCGAAGCGAACCCCTCCATGTGGTCTCATGCCATGTCAGTTCTGAGGAGCAGCTGATCACACTAGCCCCAACCTTACCAACACGTCTGCTACCCTGCCCTGTTTGGCTTGGACCTCGGTAGTGGTTATAGCAATTACAGGACCAACACTCGCTCCCGCTCCCCTCGTGAATAGCGCCTTCTTCTGCTTGCAGGTGCCCGAGGCGTCGTCGGATGCGATGCTGGAAGCCCGGCAGTGATTACATGACAACTCGGCACTGCCGCTTGTAACCCGTCTCAACGTTATCAACATACACAAACAACTAGCAACACATGCTCCATACGCTCCTCTCCCCCCGGGGGGACGTACGCCAGCTGGCCGCCCGCAACACCCTGAACCCCCGCCCCACATGCAACACAACACAACACAACACATGGCAGCACCGGGCAGCACCGGGCAGTGTCCCTAGCTCACCCGCTGCTCACCTCCCCTCATCCCACCACGCTCACTCCGAGCAGCCCGCCCCCGTACACCTCTTCCTCTTCCCCCTGCCCTGCCGCCTACTTCTACCCCTCTGCTTCCAGCACTCTTCTCCTCCTCCCAACCGCCCTCTCTTCCCTCCCCCTCCCCCTAGCCTCTGCACTTCTCAGTTACTTCTCCCCCCAGCCCCTACCCCAGCCCCTACCCCAGCGCCGCATACACGCTGGTGTACCCCTGCAACCGGGCGGCGCCATGCAGACCCCCTGGCACCCCTCCGCCCCCCGCAGCGTCGCCGCCAGCACCTCCACCACCCAGCTCCGCCTCACCACCACCACCACCACCACCCTCCCGCCCCTGCTGCCCCTGCCGGCCCCTCAGCCCCGGGCTGGCCGCCCAGCCGGTGTGCCCCCGCTGCACCTGCGGACCCAGCTCGCCATCGCAGTAGGCGCCCAGCAGCGGCAGCCGGTGGCGGAGGGCCTGGGCGGGAGTGGGGGGGGGATGTGTGTAAGGCGAGGGTACCAAGGAACGGGGTTCATGGGGCGGGGCATATCCCTCGGTGAATGGTACGCTCATCAATGAGCCCCCCCCCAGCTCCCGGGAGGACCATGAGCCCCACAATAACGACACATTGCCCAACAAAGTCTCGCACTAACGCTTACGTGGCAGGCCCCTGGGGGCCGAAGCTTCTCACCCATGTAACCACCCCACACCCACCCACCCTCACCTCGCACCCCGGCCTCACCCCGCCCTCACCTCATCTGCAATGACCGCCTCACATTCACCCACGTCCCGCCCCTGCCGCTGCCCCTGCTGTCCCCGCCCCTGCCGCTGCCCCTGCTGCCCTGGTTGCTGTCCAAACACCGCCCGCCCCCTGCCCGTGCAGCAAAACACCGCCACCGCCGCGGGCCCCCACCGCGCCCCCGCTGCCTCCGCAGCCCTCCGCAGCACCTCCGTGTACGGCCCTCCCACCGCAGCCTCCACCTCCTCACCCTCTCCTCCTCCTCCCGCACCCGCACCCGCACCCGCACCCGCACCCGCACCCCCCGGCGGCCCCTGCCCCGCCTCCATGGCTGCCGGGCTGCAGCTGCTGGTGGCTGGGTGGAGGTGGTGGTGGGGTCCGGGGCGGGTCGGGGCGGGGCAGCAGAGGTCGCGCAGCCGGGGTAGCTGGGAGAGCAGCACCTGGCGGATACCCTGGGGGAGGGGGGCAGGGGGGGCGGGAAGGAGGGAGGGAATGGGGGTGAGGAGAAGGCAGGGGCAGAGGGCGGGAGAGGGTCCAGAGGTGGCTCGGAGAACGCCGCCCTTTCACCTCACCTCACCTCATCGCTCCAGGTACCGATTCCGTCCCCCCGGGAGACATACACGATACAACACCCTCAGGCCACACACGAGCCCGGGCGGCCCCAGCACACGTCCGCATCCCTCCTCTTCCGGCACCCTAACCGTTGCTTTCCTCCTCACACCCCACCACACCCTGCATGCCTCTCCCTCACCCCACCGCACCCCACCTGCGGTGTGATATCCACCAGCTGACAGCACAGCACGCTGCCGCCCCCCTCACCACCACCCTCCCCCCGCTGCTGCTGCTGCTGCTGAGGAGTTGAGAGTCCACCGCCATTGCCGCCACCGTCGCCGCCGCCCCCACCCAACACCGCCTCCAGTGCCGTACGATCCGCCGTACGAAAGCCCACCAGTCCGTACTCGACCGCCAGTCTGGGCTCCACCTGGCCCAGCAGCAGCCGGCCCGAGGTGAACACCTGGAGGGGGGGAGGGGGGGAGGGGGGGAGGGGGGGAGGGGGGGAGGGAGGGAGGGAGGGGGGGAAGATGGGAGGAGTAAGGAAAGAAGAGGAGGAGGGAGAGGAGGAGGGTGTCACACATGAGAGAATCAGGGGACAAGGAGGAGGCGGAAGGTAGGGTCCTTGCCGTCCCCCCACCCTTGCACCAATCCTCGGCCCCCCCCTCCCGAATCGTTGTTCTTTGTTCTTGTATGGGTTTGCATCAGTCATTGGGTTGTCGCTGTGTGAGTTGTGGGACCTACGGACCGTCGGCGCGGGGGATTCCCCTTGATGCGCTATCTCCGCTACCCGGCGTCCTTCCTATCGCGAATGGCCATGGCTGCAGTAAGTCTCATCTTTACGGTAAGAGCATTTGTTGTTTTGGCTTGACTAACACGGGTGGGGTCAATTTTTGGACCAATTAAAACCATAGAAAAACCAAAAAAGAAAAAAGCAGAACACGGGTGGGGTGGGACGCGCCAATTAGCAACCCATGGAGGATCCTCGTCATCCAGTTTGTCAGTGTTTCTTTATGTTTACCCCACCCCCCGCCTCCCCTCCCTACCCGCTCGTCCAGCCCGCTGTGCCGGGACGCCTCCCCCCGGTCCGCCCGCCACACCGCCACCTGCGGCCAGGCGAGCCGCGCCCGCACCACCTCCATCACCGACTCCAGCAGACCCCCCGAGCCCTGCACCGACATGCCACCTGGGGGGGGGGGGAGGGGTGGGAGCGTGCCGGTGAGGGGCGGTAAGGACGAATGGGGAGAGCTTAGGGGAGATGGGAGGACGCGTGTGTTCTGGGGGTGTTATGCGCTGGGAGAGGTTGGCAGCAGGAGCATCTTTCCTGCAGGTTCAAGGTGCCCAACCACCTTCCTAACCACCCCTCTATCACCCCATCCACACCCCTCCCTCCGCCACACCCCTCTCCCCTCCCTCCGCCGCCCTCACCCGACACCACCACCAGCTCCTCCCCCTCCTCCTCCTCCTCCATCCCAAAGCTCGCCAGCTGCCGCCGCTCCGCCACCACCCCCTCCACCACCACCTGACCAGGCAGCCCGCCCAATCCGCGTACCGCCACCGCACCGGCCCGCACCCGGGCAGGCGCGGTAGCAGCCGCACCACTAGCACTAGCACCAGCAGTAGCACTAGCAGCAGCAGCAGCACCACCACCACCAGCACTAGCAGCAGCAGCAGCAGGTGCTACGGGGCCTACTGCAGCCGCCACGCCTGCAGCAGTCGCCGCCGCCGCCTCCGCACCCTCACCCTCGCCACTGTCAATGTCCATCCGTGCTGCTCCCTTCTCACCCCGGCAGCCCCCCTCCTCCTCCTCCTGCTGCTGCTCCTCCTCCTCCTCCTCCTGCTCCCTACGTTGCTGCTTCTGCCCGCCTGCCCGCTGTCCCTGTGATGCCGCCCCGCCCCCGCCCCCGCCCGCGCCCGCGTCCCCACCCGCCGCCATCACCGCAAGCCCCACGTACTGCAAATCCCTGCGCGCGCCGGCCACATCCCAACTGCCTTCCTCGCCTTCCGCACCCACTGCCTCCCCCGCACCCACTGTCGCTCCCTCCCCCGCACTCCCGCCCGCTGCTGGTGGCCGCCGCCGGCCCCCGGGGTGGAAGAAGAGGTCGCCCTTGCCCGAGGACACACCTCCCGCGATGACGGGGCGATGCTGCGACACAGGGGCAGGAAGGGGGAGGCGGTGGAGTCGGGGGATGGAGGGGGCGAGTGGAGCGCAGGAAGGGCGATGGAGGAGGCTGCTGGGGAAGCGCGAGGCAGGTTTGCGGTCTGGGATGCGGTCAGAGTCCTCCTGCCCTTCCCACCCATCCCCAACCCCAGCACCACACATGCATGGCCGCATACACGCTCAAGCCACCCCCCCTCCCCTTGGCCCCCCTTAACTACAATTATATGCTAACCCAAATATCCAGCCTAATTCGGATTCTGTTTCCAAATTAATCCCCACCTGCTGCTCCCCCCCCTGCCACCAGTCCAGCAGCCCCCCCGGCTCCTCAAGCAACCCGTACGCCGCACTGCGTCCCGCCGCCAGCAGCCACACGCTCTGCAGCCCCAGCTCCGCGGGTGAGGGGGGCGGCAGCGGCGGGGAGGGGACCGCGGGCGGCTGCTGCCGCTGCTGCTTGGGGGGCTCCTCCTCCTCGCGGTTGCCACCGGTGCTTATGCGGCGGCTGCTGCGACTACGGGTTTGCCGGGTATACGAGGGGCTCTCCCCTGCTGCTGCGGGTGGTGCTGGTGCTTGTGCTGGTGGTGCTGCTGGTGGTGGTAGAGCGGCGGCGGGTGTTGCGGTCGGCTGTGCGGGTGTGCGACCGTCCACCGGCGGCGGCGGCACCACGTGTGAGGAGGGCGAGGGCCGGGTGAGCCAGGCGGTGACGGCTGCGTTGGCGGCTAGGGTGGCGGGGGAGGGACCACCGCCGCCCTTGCCGCTGCCGCTGACACGACGTCGGGTGGGTGCGGGTGCGGGGTGTCTGGCGGGGGTGTCCGGCGGCAGGTTGCAGAAGGCCCTCACGCGGCACCCCGGCAGACAGCCCAGCAGCACACCCACTCCGGGAACACGACCACCACCCGCACGACCACCACCACTGGCACCACTGGCACTGCCGCCTGCACCACTGCCGCCTGCACGGCCCCTGCCGCGGCCGCGGCCCTGAGAGGTACCGGTAGACGCGCTCTGCCCAGCCTGCGGGTGCTGCTGCTGCGGTGGTGGTGGTGGTGGTGGTTGCGCGTGCGTGGCGGCCCCCTCGGGGTCCAGCTCGAATGCGCCGCGGGGACCCAGGCCCAGCAGGCCCCGAGTGGCGCAGCCTAGGATCTGGGTGGTCTGTGGGCGGGAGGAGGAGGAGGAAGGGAGAGAGAGGAGGGAGAAGATGGAGGGAAGACGGGAGGAGGAGTGAGGGATTGGAGAGGAAGGGGCGGGGTCGTTTTTTCTCCCTCCCTAACCCACCTCGGGCAGTCGGGCCCGCAGCGCCCCCACCACCAGCTCCCCCAGCGGGCCCCGCACGTGATCGTAGTGCGACACGAATACCAGCGCAAAGTCGATGCGGCCTGCGGAGGGCAGGCAGGCAGGGCAGGGCTTGAGGGATGAGGGAATATAGGCAGGACTATGTACCGGCAAAGGCAAACAGCGCAGTGATGAGTTGGATGCGTGGTTAGATGGCAGGTAACTGGATGTGTGGTTAGATGGCAAGCGAGTGTTAGAAGTGCCGACCAGAGGTGCAAACAGTAGGCCTCACCGAGCATGCCATGCAGCGCTCGGTCACAAGCCTCCGCCAACGCGCTTTGCAGGTCAACTTGCATCGACGTAGCCGTGCTGAAGCTTTGGTATGACTGTAAGGTCCTGGCCAGCCCTTGCAGGCGCCGGCAGCAGCACGATATGCATACTATGGCTTTGCTTCCCGCGCCAGCAAGGATGCGCAGCAGGATTTCATCAGGCAGCTCCTCAAGCGACATCGTGGACTGTTGTGTCACAAATAGGAAGCGGCGTCGTCAGCTTTAGGATTACAGTACTTGATACGGATAACACATTCGGGTAGGGCTTACAAGTCGCACCGGGTATTGTGTCGAATATGGGCTAAGTTGGTGACGTGTAAGGTTGTCGATGGAAATGACTGCGACTCTCACGGACCCCCCTTTTAGCCCTCACTACAATTACTTGGGCAAGCGCCGACGACCGCGAAATGATGTTCTTGGCAGGATGCCACTACTTTACAACCGCTTTGACAGGAACGGCAATTCCTATATATGAAAACGGAATAGCGTTCTTTATCTATGGGTTTGCTCTCCAAACCCCTCCAATACTGAAGTTAGGTATGAACTATGCAAGCACTATGGACGTGGCAGTTGTAGGCGCGATTCTGCAGGCTAGCCATCGTACACGGGCAATCCCACGTACCCCACTATCTACCCTCACTGCCACGACCATACGTACGAACTGGCCACCCGCAGTTCTCAAACGCCTATGTGCACGACCTTTATCAGGCCGGCTGATGTACAAGACTACACATTATCCTTTGCCTTAGCTGACTCACATGTGCGCCTGCGCATGCACCAATCCACGCATACCCCCTACAGCTCCGTGAAGGGCACATGCAACAGCCTCAGCAACCGTCACAACAACCACAACCGTCCCTCCTGAACACACTTCACGACTTCCATCCAAATCCCTCCACAGCAAGCGGCTCCTCCATTCCAACTAATAAGAGCCGTAGGATTCATCGTAGCCGTAGCACCTATCGGCGTAGTAGTCGTCATTGTAGTCGCCATCATCGTCATCCATGTTGGACTTGTAGCCATTGTCGTCATCCTCGACAATGCTACCGTAGTCGTTTTCGTAGGCGTCGTTGCAATAAACGTCGTAGTCACTGTCCATTTTATCCTCCTCCTCCCTCTCCGCCGCCCGCCGTCCCGCCGCCAGCCTCTCCTCCAGGCTGCCCGGCGGCGGCGCCTCCCGCAGCAGCTGCCGCCACTTGCCGCACACCAGCAACGCCGTCACCACGTCGCGACCCTCCAGCTTCCCCAGGCAGCTCTCAAGCAGCGAGTCGAGCAGCATGGCGTGCAACAGCGGAGGAGGGCAGGGCGCCAGCCGGCCCACACTGGGGCCCTGAAACCAGCCCTTGGCCCAGGTCTGAGCGAAGTTGGGCGAGGGCGTGTGGCCAGGAAGGCTGCCGTCGGTCCCGGGGCGCACGCAGTCGAGCAGCAGGGCGCGTAGCAGCGGCGCTACTGTCGGCAGGCTCGTGGCTGTGTCGGGGTTGTAGTACATGGATGGCGCGAGGGTGCTGACGTCGCGCTCGCGCCCCAAGTGCTCAACTGCGTAGTCGAAGGCACGCTGGAAGGCAGTGTCCGGGTGCATCTCTCCCGAACCGCAGTTGCCCACGTCGCCGCTGCCGCCGCAACTGCCACTGCCACTGCTCAATCCAGAGTCACGAGGTGACGGGGCAGCCAGCGTTCCTGCTGCAGCCGTCGGCCCCTGGGCACTGCTGCTGCCGCCGCTGCCGCTGGCGCCGTGCATGCACCCGCCGCTGTCATGCATGCTGCTGCCGATTGCAGCATCCTGGCTTCCTTCCGCAGTTGGCATCACCTCACCTAGGCGTAAGGCGGTTACCTCGGCCGCAAGCAGGCCCGACGCAACACCCGCAGACGTGGCGGGCCTTCCTGAGCCCCCCGCCTCCGCCGAGGCCGCCAACGTCTCCGATGGCGCGGTTCCCTGCAGGGCCGCTGCGGACTCCGCCTGCGCCGCAGCGGCCCCTTCCCCAGGCCCAGCGGGCACAGCGGTTGCAGCTGCCGCTTGCCGCGCGTCCTCCTGCCGCTGTCGTTCCCGCGCCTCGTGAAGCCGCTGCAGCAGCTCCTGCCGTACAGTGCAGTACCGTACCTCCAATGCCTCCAGTACGGCAGCCAGCTCAGCCCGCATGTGGTACGGCAGGCCGAGCGCCAGGGAAGTCCGCGTGGCGCCGCCGTACTTTACGCGGTCCCACACCACCAGCGGGTGAAGCTGCTTGGCGGCGTACGACACACGTTTGTACGGCAGCTGGACGAGCTTGTGCCGAGTGCCGTCCGTAGCCGCGACGACCCAGCCCTCGAAGGACGGCGGCGCGGGCTCCTGGTTAACGGTTGAGCCGTCGCCGTCGTCGTCGTCATCATCGCCACCGCCATTGCCACCGCTACCGCCGCCCCCATTGCCACCGCTTTGCGACCTGACTCCAGGCAGCAAGGTCAGCAGGTCGCGCATCTCGCCCTGGATGTACGGCACTGCCATGGTAACACCCAGCTCCGCCGCCAGTGCCGGCAGCTGTGGCAGCGGCAGCTCGGCGCCGCTCGTATCCACCGCTCCCAGCAGCACAAGGCCCTCGAAGCTGTACGGCACCACAACGGTGTTCCTGTCGTACACTGCCTCCAGCATGTACGTCCAGCCGGGCTGGAAGGCAGCGGTGTGGGCGTTGGTGTGAAGCCACTCCGCTGCCCACAGAGCCTGAGGGCAGACATGGAGGCGGCAAAAAATGTTACCGTACACGTCAGAGGGTAGAAAATGCAGAGCCGTAGTACCGGATGCACGGATAACTGGGGCAACCACGCAGATACACCCAAACCCGCCTTGAAAAGCCTATAACTTGCAACAACGTACAGTGTTCTAGTAACCGTAAGCAGCCCTCCATGCATGTCCTCCCCCACCTGCTCCGAATCCATGCGCCGCCGTGTTGCCGTACGAAGCCGCCCCTCCCACGTGAACGCCACCACTAACGATCCGTCCACCTTGACAGACGCAGTGCCCAGCGATGACGCGGCGGAAGCTGCGCTAAGCAGACCGCCACTGACCCGTGGGTCGCTGCTGGCGCTTGGCTGCCCCGCGCCATACTCAGACAGCGGCCCCACAGGTGGCAGCAGCGAGGCAACCAGCCGTGGCAGGCGGTGTGACAGCTGCGTGCGGAGCTGCGTGCGTGTTCGCCATGCCTTACCGGAACGGGAGCAAAGGCAGATGCGTTCGCCCTCGGAGACCACTTCCGCTGAGCGGCCGCACACACGACAGGTGGTCTCCGGATTGGTGACCTGCGCATGTAAGCAGACGCGACCGTGAACAGACGTTAGAATACAAGGGTATAAAAGGCGCTTTCAGGACACAAACAGCAGCACGTCCATGTAAGCCGTGTACAGGTAGCTGCCTTACTAGCTTATTACACCGGCACCCGTAAGTGTAAGATTGTAGGGGCGAGGTGCCGAACAGGCTCTACACCAATCTCATCCCTCCCTCCGCCATACCGTTATTCACCTCGCCAAACCGGGTGAACGGTGTGGCTACCACGGCCTCTGACGGCGGGTGCAGCACCAGGCCCCGACACAGCGCCTCCAGGGGACCCTCGGGCGCTCCGTTCCTGCAGCGCTCGTCCCAGCAGACGGCAACATGGGGGACGTCGAGCGCAAAGACAGTGCGTAGGTTGTACCAGGTTGTACCAGGCAAAGCCCGCATCCCCGCAATGCAAGGTGTGTACCGGTATCGCTAGTCACCTTGCTAGCTGGGCATGGCCACGCCAATTCGGACACATCCTAGCATGCTGGCATCTCACACACAGCGCCCACGTCCTCACCTGTAGTCAAACACCTCCAGACCCGTGGACGGGTCCACGTTACGCTCCACCGTTCCCGCCGCCACCGCCGCCATGATCTTGCCGTACAGCTCCTTGTACGACATCGTACGGGCCGGGTGCAGCTGCTGCGGTGCTGCCTGGGAGCCAGCTGGGCCCAACGAGCCATCATGCCGTACGGCAGCGCTAGTTCCTGGATCCGGCGTTGATGGCGGCACCGTAGCGCTGCTGGCTGGCCCGCTGAGCACATCTGCTTGGAGCACGGTTGCGATACCTGCAATCTCCTGTACGGTTGTCATTGTCGCGCGCCTGGACTGCGCCTTGAGCCTGGCCGCTGCCTGGTTGCCCCGTTGCGTCTTGTCCCAGCGGATGGACACAGGCACGTGGATGATGGCCTGGATCGCCTGGGGCGCTGATGGCTTGCACTCTTTGTACGGCAGGCATTCGTACACAAGAGCCCCCACCAGCGTCTTGCCAAGACCTTTCAGCTCACTGTTAGTGTACGAAAATGACAGAAACCCCAACTCCTTTCCCCGGATGTCGACACCCACCGCCTCCGGCGGCTGCCACTCGTACAGCAGCTCAGCCATGCCCAGTGTGTACGGCATGTCGTAGGGCGTTAACACGAGGCCGTCAGTGGGATAGGGGCAGGCGGCACGGGTGGCCTCCAGCTGCATGAGCGCCGCTGGCGTCACATCCACATGGGCCTTGCGCAGCACGGTAAGCATATCACAGCCCAGTGGAGCCGCCTGCTGCTTTTTGAGAAGGCGCGCCGCGGGTGCTGGGGACGACGTGGATGCAGCTGAAGCGCCGGATGAGGACGCGACCGCCGCCGCGACCATCGCCATCTTGGCTGCTGACGCCAAGCCCAGCGACTCCTCCGCCTCTACCAATCCCAGCCCCTGCTGTCCTCCCTCGCCTTGCTGCTGCTGCTGCTGCAGCTGCTGTCCCTCCTGCATGGCGCCCAGCCGCTCCCTCAGCGGCAGCTGCCACACACGGCGGCCAGCCACGCACAGCGCATCAAAGGCCAGGAAGAAGCCGCGACCGCCCACCCACACCAGCTCCCCGTCCAGTATCGTGCTCGACGGCAGGGGTGCGAGGACGCCGGCGCCGCTGCTGCTGCTGCCGCCGCCACCATCATCGGTGTTGCAGCCGCCGGCACGACCCCGCCCAGCAGGAAAGGCGTACAACGCTCCTGCCCGGTTAAGCAGGTAGACCCCTTCACCGCAGGGGCCCACACCCCCGCTGCCGCCTTCTCCGAGGCCGCCGCCGCCATGCACCTGCTCACCTGCAGCCCTCGGTGCTAGCACCAGCAGCATGTGCCGAGTGCCGTCGCACTTGCGCGACACGGCGTAGCGGCCCGGCCAGCTTACCCAGCGCGCGTCATCCGGGTTCACCACGCTTCTAGTCGGAGCAGGGAAGGCCGGCGGCATGGGGCCCTGCTGGGAGGACCCCTGCTGGACCCCTCGGGCGCCTCCAAACAGGCTCAGGCCCGACATGCGTGCGGCTTCAGCCAGCACCCAGTCCCGCTCCGTTGCACAGGTGACCAGGCGGCGTGAGGTGACGCACTGCAGGGGAGTGAGATAGAGCTCGGAGGGGAGTCGCCAGCCGGCGTCTCGCAGCCAGTCAGGCGGCGGGTTGCGGGTGTTTGCGTCGGTAGTCCGCCGCGGTGCCTGGCGGAGCATGAAAGGACGGATGGCCTCGACTTTGCCAATGATGTCCCCTTGGTATGCAGGACCTGCTGCGTAGCCCAACCCGGCCAGGCTTGGGTTTGTCTCATAATAATAATCAAAGACAGATTTGGTGACCTCCGTCAACAGCCCGAGCGCGGAGAAGAACTCGATAATCCGCGCCGCGTTGGCCTCCCACTTGACCTGGTGCTCAGCTACGCAACGCTCTTTGTCAAGTTGGGCGGAGGAGACGGCACTAGCCTCCGCGCCAATGAAGGCCTGCCGTAGCGAAAGCACGCCTAGGACACCGGCAGGAAGGTACAGGACCTGTGGGGGCGGAATGGGAGGCAAACAGCGGATATGGAACGAGTTGGGCACAGGGGCGTAAAAGGTAAGGAAACAGCAAACATGATAGCCGGCCCATCCCACCCTGTTCACAGGGAGGGGGGCACGACATGGCTGCTGCGACGGGCGCAGAGGCACCCTGACGTCGCCCCCTCAGCCATGTGTTCCGACCCCATAATGAGTCCGATGCCACACTCATTATGAGGCGCCCTGCCATTTCATCCACCCGGCCTACGTGGGTTCGGTGTTTCGTTGTGCCCATGGAAGTTATGCCCTCCTGCCCTCCCCTTCCGCGCTCCCGCCCTGAGCCCCTCACCCGTCTTTCCATTGTACCGGTCATTCACCCACCTGCACCAGCGGCACTCCTTCCTCCCGCAGCACCTCCGTCACGACGAAGGCGTCCTCCACCTCCTTGACGTACTCCAACAGCAGCATCGGGGCAGGAGGGGCGGCGGGGAGGCCAGTGACGGTGCGCCTGCGGGCGGTGGGGGTGAGCACCGGGTTACGGGGTCCCGAGGAGAGAGCAGCCGCATGCGTGCGGTGAAGCGGGACCTAAGCGGCAGTCTGTACAGTCAACACATGCACGCACACATCGAGGCACGTTTCCCAGCGCCACCCGACACGACAAATGCACATCACCTCCTCCTGCAATGCAAGCAAAAGGCAGCCGCAGCTGCCCCTCCCAAGGACCCACCCTGAAGCGCCAGCGGTCGCCGTGCTTCGCTGCTGCTGCTGCTGCCGGGACGCTGACGAGGCCGCCAGCGTCGACCACTCCCGGCACGCCTGTCTTAGCAGCTCTCGAGCCGCGCGCCGCATCTCCTCACATCGCGCCGCGGTGGGGCACTCCTCCTGCTGCCGTACCAAACCCCGGTTTCGGAGCTCATCGCCAACTGACAGGAAGCGCGTGGATGCCGGCTGGCGCTGTTGCAGGTAGCGACCCAGCGTGGATTTACCAACGCCCGGGGCGCCGATGAGAAGCACCGCACCACCAGCAGCCATGGCTGTAGTCCTGCCGGTAAACCTGGAGCACTTGGAAACCCGCGAAGGTCCCGTAAAGGACTTCCTGTATTTTTGGTTATTGTTTACACTAGTTATACTAATTTGTTATATGCGATTAATGTTTGTGCCGCTGTGGCGACGATGAAAGCAGGTTGTCCGTGTTGTAGGTCACGGCTGCTCACGGGTTGCGGGTCCGGACCTAGGACAAGCCGGTCACGGGTCACCTTTTTGGCAACAAAAGTATCTGCCTGTAGCAATGCACTATATGACATTGCTTCGCTTGTGACGTTCCCCATTAAGACTTCATTAACGGCTCGTGGAAACTGTCGCTGGGCTTGCCTGTTGCAACCTGTCGACGTTCGCAACACCCGTGTACGACAGTAGCCAGTTTAGGAAAGATGTGTGCAGTTGGCTATACGTTGCATTCCTGACGATGGCGTCTAAGTTTTCGTCTACCTCTGCCGGCGCCTCGGCTGTAAACCAAAGCCGCCTGACTGGTTGCCAGCCTGTCGTACGACGTGATGCCTAACAACCACACCAAGAACGTGCACCTAGCGGCTATCTAAGCCTCCCTTGCGATGTTGTACTAGACGCGGCGTTAACGTCATTGCGAGCACAATGTGAGGCCTGTCCCCAGTTTCCTAATCTAGCAACCTTGCAGCAGCCGCCCAGCCGGTGACGCCCCTAGGCGCAGTGGGTTGGCTGCCTGTGATGGGTTCTCATCTTGTCTCTGTACTGCCGGTATGCACTGTGAAGCGGCTTCTAACGGCTCTTAACACACTCTGACAGCGTCGCTGCGTTCCAGGTAACAAGCGTCCTCCCCGCATGCAGCAGCTGTTGCCCAGTCCTTGTATCGGTATCATGTACCGCCCAACTGCTGGGCAACGTGCATGATTCACAGGACGGTGACAGTTGGGGTTCGCGCGTGTCGAGCACACCCCTAACCCTCCTTCGCTACCCTTCCCTCAACCAAAGGGTAATCCCCTTTCCCCCCTCAACCAATGCTGGACTCCTTGCGCTGCCCGCCACCGTTACGGCCTCTGGACCCCAATCCCACCTCCATCTAGCTGCGGTACGGCCAGCAACAGTAGCTAGCAGCCCATTGGTCACGTATTACATCTCAATGTAATGCACACCCACGTCATTGTCAGTTGAGGTCCGGGCCTTGCTCACAACGCCCCGCAGGCGCAGTGTGCAGCACTACCGAACTCAGCAACCATGCAACTCCCCAACTCCGCAAAACACCATCTCCTGCTAGCTCCAGAGACGTACGACCAGGATAGGCGGACGGCCAGCACTGGCAGCCTGTGGTCGGCAGTGCGCGCCGCCCTTCCTGGCTCCTCGACAGACAAGGGTGAGGGTTCCTGACGACCCGCAGCACTCCATGGGCCCCCCTTACCAGCCGTACTTGGCGGCCTGAGGGTTTGTGAAGGACACGGGAAGCGGCAGCAGAGTTGGAATACCGGTTTAAGAAGGTTACGGGAAACAGCAGCAGAGTTGGAATACAAGGGAGGTTGGGATGCTTGGAACCAGGGGCAGGAAGAGATGACACGTGGCTGGTTCGTCGCCAAGCCGCACAAGGCCCCTCAACACCAGCTTCCGCAGCTTCCCTCCCTGCTCCCCTCCCTGCTCTCACCGTCTCCGCCTTGCTCTTCTGCCCCTGCGTGCGCTTCTCCATGTGGTCCAGCTCCTGCATGCGCGCGTTGAACAGCAGCGTACCGATCTGGTGCTTGCGGCGAGCCATCTTGCTGCCCTCGAAGGGGGCGGCGGAGCGGCGCAGGGACACTGCACGCAAGGGGGCGGGAAGGGGACGGGCGGAGGGAGGGTAAAAAGAGGTAGGGAGGTAAGGCACATGGTGTGAAAGATACCAGTACGTTCGGATTCCCCGGACGTTGAAGCATGGGGGTCCTGACGTGCGGTTTGTTGCCATGGAGCGATCGACAGAGAACTTCACAGGGGGGCTGAGCGGCCCGTTAGCACCCCTTCACTGCTGCCGGAAGGGCAGTGAGAGAGCGCACTCACTCGCGTACTCCGTCCCCAGCGCATCTCGAGCGCTGTTGGCCGCCTCCCGCGCCGCCGGGTCCATGTGCGTCAGGTCCTTGGCGCTGATCTCCACCAGCTTCACCCCCCCGCCGCCGCCGCCCCCGCCTCCCCCCGCCCGCTTGCTGGCTCGCTCCGCCTCCGCACGCAGGGCCTCCTCGATCAGGTCTACAGGCGCAGCGGCGCCTGTTGTTGCTGCTGCTGCGACACCGCCTGCTGCAGCTGCTTTGATTGCAGCTGTCGTACCCCGCCCGGTTGAGGAGGAGGGACCCGGCAGAGGACCCGGACCGTAGGCCGCTGATGGCCCTGCTGCTGCTGCCGCACCGTAATAGTCATAGCTGCTGTAGCCTCCGTACGGCGCTCCGTAATCGTACGAGCCGTACACGTACTGCCCCTGGTCGTACGGTGCTGCGACTGCAGCCCCTGCAGCGTCCTGCGCTTCGTCCCCTGGTTGGACCCGGAAGGCCTCGTTGCTGTAGGCGACGCTGCTGGAGGGGCCTCCTCCGCCTGAGAAGAAGTCAGCGGGCAGACCGGCTGCAGGTGCGCTAGCAGCTGCGGTGGCTGGGCCAGCTGAAGAGGGCCCTGCGGGTGCTGCTGCTGCTGCTGCTGCGGTTGGTGGTCGTGTGGGACCGGCCCCCAGGGCTCGGGTGTCGTACTTTGGAGGCGGCAGGAAGTCCATGAGACGGGACTTGCCACCGCCTGTACGGACGCGTTTAGCCGCTGGCTCGTCCTCTTCGTCGCTGCTGAGCGCCGCTGCGGCGAGGAGCTCTTTACGGAATGGCAGCTGCATGGTGACGACTTTGCGGCTGGTGGTAGCGCCGGAAGGGGCTGATGGGGGAGGCAGGCCTAGCAGGCCGCCGGATGATGACTGGGAGGGCGCCGATGGTTGGGCAGAGGGTGGCGGCAGCTGGGACCATAAGCTGCTAGATGCTGCTGCAGATCGTCCTAGTGAGTCGTCCTCGTCGTCCGCTATAGATTTGGCATTGGTTGCGGGCATCGCTGAGGGCTGCGTGGAGGATGACAGGGATGGCTCTGGTTAGACTGGACAAAAGGGGTCGTTGAATGCATACTGCAGCGAGTGTAGCGAATCAGTTATTCTCTAAACTTACCACTGCTGAAGCTGATGCTGACGACCCCAGTGTGCCATTACCCCGAGCCGGTGAAAGCTTTGGCTGGGGGACATGCTCTTCTTCGGTATCAGATGCTTCATCTGACCCATAACCTGTTAGTAAATCCATCGGGTCGCCTGCGCCAGCACTGGGTGGAAATCTAGGTCGTTCGATCAGTAAATGCTAGCACACAGCAGAGAAAGCCTATTACAGGAAATCGCACACATGTAAGTAAAATGCGTGTCGAACAGAGTAACGACTGTGCATGATGCACGGCGCTTTGGATTGTATACGATAATTCGACCAAACCCTTGCACACGGCCCGACGGACTCTTACTTTGAACATTCTATGGATGTCGTTGTCCCACCTTACGTAAATGGCTTAATTCACTACGTTTGCAGACGTTCTTCTTAGATTTCGCTTGAGCGCTGCTCTTCCTCGTTTCTTGGCCAGCGGCTTAGAGGCAGGGCGAAACGGCTTTCTTAGATTACGTCATGTTCTTCAGCAATCTATTTAGCAGCCGGCAGCCGAAAGAGACTCCAAGCACTACCCCTAGTAATAGCACCGCGAACCTGGGGAGCACAACCTCCGCACCGCAACCACCGCAGCCGGATCCTCCTCCTATTCAGAAGCCTGAGCGAACGGATGCCGCGGTTGACGCGAGCTCAGGAGCTGACGCGTTGGAGGATGCCACCCTTGCCTCAAGCGGCGGCAACAGCGCTTGCGTAGTTGTGCCTGGCAACCCTACAACAAGCAGCTTGCTTCCAAGCACGCTTACGCTACCAACAACGCTATCCATTCCCTTGGATGGCTACTGCGTTTCGGTTGAGCTTGCGCCAACCGGCCCGGTGCAAGGCGGAGGAAGCGGCAATGGCGCGGTGAACGGCCTTCAGGTGCAGATCGCACAGCAGATGCTGGCCTTCGCCACCCAGCAAGCGGCGTTGCTGCAACAGGTGCGTTCTTGCGTGGGTCGCGCCTGCTGTAGTTGTGACCGTGGGCACCACCCGTGAGCTCCGCCACTCCTTCGACGGGACATCTCCGTAAACGCTATAGCTCTGCAGGGCGCACCCAACCCGGTATTCCGTGCTGCTTGCAAACGCACACCTCATGCAGTCGTTTCGTACAACCCCCATGTCACCCAGCCCGCTCGTTCGCACTGCCTCGCTCCCTCACCTCACCTTTCTCCTCCCCCACCAGCCTTATTACCCCACGCCCTTCCACAACCCCTCCGACCCAAATCACCAAACCCACTCATACCCACCCTCCGTTCCACTTCCACCTCCCCTCACCTTCCCAACCCCCACCTCACCCCACCCCACCCCCACCCCACCTCACCTCACCTCACCTTCCCTCCCACCTCCCCCCAGGCCCTCCCCTTCATGCTCAACCTCCCCCCCGCCCGGGTCACCGACAAGCTGCGCTGCCTGCTCACCGAGGTGGCCGCCAAGCCCGCCCTGGAGCGGCTCATGAAGGCCACGGGCGCCTCCGAGCCGGTGGCGCAGCGCGTGTGTGTGGAGTTTATTAACCGGCACGGCAAGGGGCGGGTGGACCCGGGGCGCCTGCTGCAGTTCTACAACCAGCACAAGGATACGCTGGACTTCACCAGGTGGGGGGTTGGGAGGGTGGGGGCGGAAGGAAGGAAGGAGGGAAGGAAGGAGGGAGGGATGGCTAGCTGAGAAAAGGCTGCGGAAGCACGTGACTTGCACGTGTGCAGGTGTGGGACACACGGACACAATAAACCGCTGGGCGAGCAGTTTGCCGGATGTACGCACGGCCTTGGCGCGAACACAGCGGCACGACATCCACACACGGTTTCCTTGCATGCTGCATTGTTGCTGCTGCCGGTGGTGGTGGAGTTGTGCTGCGCGGATGCCAGTGCCCTCTTGGGTGTGTTTGTCGCTGTCGTCACCAACTCTGTCTTCCTTCAATGTCTCCGCCTGTCCCCGCCATCCTTATTTCCCCCTCCCTCCCTTCCCCCCTCTCGTCCCTCCCTCCGCCAGGCCCCTCACCGTGCAGGACCTGTTGAAGCACATGGACGTGGCGGCCTGCATCCGCCGCATCCAGGAACTCCTGCCGGGGGTGCCGCACCAGACCGCGGAGCTGGCGGCCACCCTGTGCATGGCGGATGCTGAGGCGGCGGTGCAGCTGCTGACAGCGTCCTCGTCAGCGTCCGCTTCGGGGGGAGGAGGAGGAGGTGGGGCGCCTGGAGCGGGGGCGGCAGCAGCAGCAGCGCTGGCGGGTCCTGTGTTTCTGACGGCCACGGAGGTGTATCCGACAACAGGCGGAGCAGCAGGGGAGGTGCAGCAGCAGCAGCAGTATCGTCAGGTGGCGGCGAGTGGGGCTGGGCAGCTGCAGTGGCAGGGGCAAGCGCAGGGGCAGGCGGCGGCGACGGTGGTGCTGACGCCTGCAGGCAGCTTGGCGCCGGGGGTGGTGGCGCTGGCTGCACCCGCGGGGGCGGCGGGAGCGGGAGGAGGCGATCTGGGTCACGGCGGGCTGCTGCTTCAACACCACCAGCACCAGCAACACCAGCATAGCTCACAGCAGCCTCAGCAGTTCACCGATGCCTCATCACACCATCAGCACGCCGACTACCAACACCACCAGCAGCAGCAGCAAGGGCAGCAGCACCAGCATATAGCAGGAGCGCAACAACAACAGCAGCAGCAGCAAGCACACCTGAGCCTACACCAGCAGCAACTGTATCAGCAGCAGCAACAACAGCAGCAGCCCTGTGCTGCCGCTGGTGGGATTTGCGGTGGCGATGTGGCAGCGGGTGCGGGTGCGGGCGGGCTGGAGGCCAGCGGTGGTGCTGCTGGTGCGGGTGGTGCTGCTGGTGGTCTTGACATCGCGGGAGAGCTCAAGCAGTTCACGGACCGGTTGCTTCAGCTGCAGCAGCAACAACAACTCCTGCAGCAGCAGCAGCGGGAGGCGGCAGCCCAGTCCGGCTCCCCCTCCTCCGCCTCCTCCCCCTCCGCCTCCAACGGCACCCCCACCGCCATCATGCTGCCCCCCTCCCATATCGACATGTTGTCCAACCTGGTGTTACAGAGCAACGCAGCCATCAACCGCTACCTGCTGGAGCGGCAGCAGCTGCACAAGGACCTGGCCATGCTAAAAAAACACAAGGTAAGGGGGCCGGGTCGGGTCGGTCGGGCCGGGTGGCGCTTAGAGAGGAAGGTGATTATGGGCATGCGATTAGGCTCCATGGTGCGTTCTATGTTGTTGGAGTCACAACGATGGAGGAAGCCTTTCAGTCGTCATCGTTATCATGTCCCGCTTCCCTTCCCCTTTTCCGCCCCTCCCCCCACCTGTCGCTCCCCCCCCCCGCCGCCTCAGGAGTGGGCTGACAGCCGCATCAGCGACCTGATAAAGAAGGCCTGTGAGGCCGACAAGCCCTTTGCGGAGGAGGTGCGCGGGCTGCGCGAGGAGGTGAAGAGGCTGCGGGCGGACAAGGAGGCGCTGGAGGCTCGCTGCATGGAGGTGGGTGAGGGGGGTGGGAGGAGGAGGAGGAGAGGTGGGTGAACCGGCGAAGCAATGGGGCACCGAAAGCGGGAATGGCGATGGCGAGTGATGGTACGGTGTGGCGTATGGGTAAGAGGAGGAAGAGGGCTCTTCACTACCCTACTACCCTACGAACACCTCATGGCTGGACCGTACTAATTTGTTCCCCCCTCACCCTACCACCCTCCACCCTGTACCACCATCCCCCGCTCACAACCCCACCCCACCTCAGGTGGAGGGTGCGCTGGAGGGTCTCAAGGAGAGTGTGTACGACAAGGACGGCGCCCGGCGGCGCGCCGAGACGCAGCTGCAGTCGCTGGAGGCGGAGGTGCGGGGCGCGGCGCTGCGGGAGGCGGAGCTGCACCGGGAGCTGCAGCAGGCGCAGCAGCAGGTGAGAGGCGGGGGGGGCCGGGAGGCGGATGGGGACGGGCGGGTGAGGAGCGCGGGGGTGTGGGTGAGGGTACGATTCAGGTTGTAAAAGGGTATTGTATAAAGGGTACGGCGGGGTATTGTCGGGGTGCTACCGTTGGGGTAAGGAACGGGGGACGAGGCAGGCCAGGCGGATGTGCGGACGTCCTATCCCTCCTCACCCTCACCCTCCTCACCTCGCCTCCCTCGCGCAGCTGAAGCAAGCCGCCAAGCGCGCCTCCACGGTTGAGCGCCAGAAGACCCGACTAGCGGAGGAGCGGGCGGCGGAGGCGGCGGCAGCGGCGGAGCGGGGGCGCGAGGTGGAGCGACTGACGGGGGCACTGCGGGCGGCGGAGAAGCTGGCGAGGGAGCGGGGGGAGGCGGCGGAGGCGGAGCGGGAAGCCAGGGCAAAGGAACTGAGGTGAGATCTACATATCTTTGGTCGTGCGAGGAGGATTGTCCCCTGCCTTGGACCCACTTGACCTCTCCCATCTCCGTTCATCCCAACCCTGCCCCCCCTCCCTAACCTTACCTGCCCCCTCCCCCAGATCTGCCGACCTATCCGCCCAGACCTGTGAGGCCCTCCGCGCCAGCCTAGAGGCCGAGCTAGAGCGAGCCCGCCAGCAGACGACTCAGCTGCAGCAGCGGTACGAGGAACTGCAAGCGGCGGCGGAGGCGGCGGAGCAGGAGCGGCAGCAGGCGCGCAGCGACGCGGCGGCGGCGGAGGCGGCGGCCGCAGCGGCGCGGGCGGAGGTGGAGGCGGCACGTGCGGAGGCGGAGGCGGCGAGGAAGGAGGCAGCGGCGGCGCAAGCAGCTGCAGCCGAAGCGGTGACCGCTGCTGCTGCTGCTGGCAACAATGGCACATCCGCCGCACAAGGGCCGCTTGGTGTGCCAGATTCGGATGTTGCTGCTGCCGCGCCGGCCGGAGCAAGTCAGGTGCAGGGGCTGGGGCTGAGCCACGCTTGCTCGCTGTCACGACCGGCTTCGGAATCTCTGAGCGACGGCCGACCCAGCGGCAGCAGCGGTGGCGGCAGCGGGGGTCTGGGTCAGCCGCAGCCCCTGGCTCCCGGCAAGGCCGCACCACCGCTTGGAGGCCGCACTCGCAGTCCTAGCCCGCCGGCCGGCGGTAGCAGCAGCAGCACCGCGGCGGGCAGCAGCAGCATGTGGGGTAACGGCCATTACTGCGCCCCGGATTTCCTGGGCCTGTCGCTGGGGCCGCAGCAGCCCGGCGGCGGTGCTGCCTCAATGGGCATGGGGCTGGGGTTGGGTCTGGGGGGTGCGGCTGGAGTGCTGGGGCCGGCGGGACAGCCGCAGCAGGCGCACAGCAGCAACGGCACAGCAGGACCAGGGGGCCTGTCGGGCGGCGGGCCGGGACAGGCGGCTGCAGCAGCAGCGGCCGCAGCGATGGGTGGCGGTGGTGGCATGGGTGTAGGGGTTAATGCAGTGGGTATCATGGGCGGAGCGATGGGTTCCGCGCTGCCGCCCCGCCCGCTACAGCTGGGGATAATGGGTCGGCCGCAGCAGGCCGGGGGCCAAGCGGCTCCTCCTGGCTCGACGGCGGCGGCTGCAGCGGCGGCGGCGGCCGCCCAGGTAGCGGCGGCGGCGGAGGCGAGTAAGACGGCCGCGGCGGCGGCTGCTGCAGCGGCGGTGGTGGGCGGCAGTCAGGAGGGAGGGATGTTGGGAGGCGGCGGAGGCGGCAGGGGGCGGTTGCTGGGCTACGGTGGCGGCTCAGGTGCGGGCGGTCCAGCGGGCGGAGGTGGCGCAGCTAATGGCGGTGGTGTTGCAGGGATGATGGCGCGTAACGGCAGCAACGGCCTCGGCTTGCACCCCCACCACCAGCAGCAGCAGCAGCTGGCCACGCTTGGCGGCATGCAGGCACCCGGAGGAGGTGGAGGGGGAGGAGGTGGTGGGCTGTTTTCGACAGCGGAGAGCGCCGCCGCTGCCGCCTCCCGCAGCAGTCTGTCGGTGCTGCCCATGCCGCTGGGGCTGGGCGAGGGGGGTGCGTTCGAGCTGGGCTTGGAGCGCCCTGACCTCACTTACCAGCACCAGCAGCAACAACTTCACCAGCAGCAGCAGCAACTCCAGCAGCAGCAGCACCAGCAGCAGCAACAACAACTCATGGCCCTCGCACAGGCCCAGGCACAGGCGCGCGCCCAGGCGCACGCACGCAACCAGCTACTCGCTAGCAGCGGTCCTGGCAGCGGTCCCGGAGGTGGAGGCGGCGGAGGTCCCATGGGGCCAGGAGGCCAGGGAGGGCTGCTGGCTGGGCTGGGGCGGCTGGGCGGCGGAGTGGGTGTGGTTGGGTCGCAGGCGGGCGCTGGCATGGCGTCTCAGCATGCAGGGGGCGGCATGGGACTGGGGGGGCCGCAGCTGCTGGGTGGTGCTGCGGGCGGTGTTGCTGGGGGTGCGGGCGGCAAGGGGATGAGCGGCATGGGTGGTGGCATGGCGTTCGGCGGTGGTGGAGGGGCAGGTGACGGGAGCTACGGACTGCGGCCAGGGTTGCAGTTGGGGCGGGTGGGGGCGGGGGGTCCCCCGGTGCAGGGCTCCAGGGGCGGTGGGCAGGGAGGTCTGGGCCAGCAGCTGGGGCACATGGCGGGGCCGCCAACGAATGAGGCGCTGCTGCGGCAGTTGGAGATGCTGCGGCAGATGTAGGGGGCGCGTAGGGCGCCTGTGCGGTGCGCACGCTGTGTGCAATATGTGAAGAATACACGAGAGCAGATTGAATGCAGGCTGCTGCGGTCGCGCGCGGTTTGTACGGCTGGGTGATGTGTGGGTACGGTGGAGGCGCATGTGTGCACTGTGCAGGAAGGAGAGAAAGCAGCAGCAGCGGCCGAAGAAGAAGGGGAGGTGGTGCGGATGGTTACTGGTTTATTTGCAATGTGTGTGCTTCTTCATCCATTTGAATGGGGTCACTGGGGAGCTTGGAAGTGGAGCATGGAAGTAACCAAACACATGATGATAACGCACGCATACAGGTAGCAACTACCATGCCCCAGTGTCCACATGGATGGATCCCAATTGTAGGCTGGTAGCTCAGGGTAGCTAGTTTGTTTTGGAAATGCCGTACATTGGTTGCAGCTGGATTTCAGGACCGGCGGCTTGCATGGGTGTCATTTGTCTTTGCCATGCATGGCTGAGCCGATGAATTGCGGATGCGGCGCTTTCACCCGTTTCTGTTTCGGACGCTCCATCCGCCGAATGCTCTTCATGTTCAAGACCGGGCGCGGGCTTTTAGCCAGGAGTAATTGAGGTCCGTTGGGATCTATACATCTATTAAATGCCTGGAATATTGAGGTCCTATGGAAATCCTTCAAATATTAAAATGCAGCTGTTACACAGCTTTAGTTAGTTAGCTTTATGTGTGTGGAGCCTTGGGGCCGTGGCGGGTACAATACCGGTAACAAAGATCGGCGGGTTGGCGGGGTTAGGGTGTACTGTGTGCAATTGCAGAGCACCGCATTATGCGTTAGCTACAGCTGCTAGAAATGTATTTGGTGTGTGTGTAAAAACGGACGTGGCCTTAATTCGGGTGGGAAGTATTCGTGGGGGCGTTTGCGGTCTTCAAGGGCACCTGGCCTCTTGACTTCCAACAGATGTGGATCGCTCTGGCGGCGCGTGTCTGCGGAAAGAGGGGTACAGATGGTAAAATGACGCAAGTGTTTAGGTGGAAAGGGAAGGTACCGCTGTACTGTTGCTTTGTAAGCTCCCCACACGCTGCTTGTCACCTCGGGCCATTTGGGCATGGATCAAACAGGCGTGTTAGACTTTGCTGCTTTTCCGCCTATCGGTACCCTGCTACCGTATGTAGATGCACTGCGGCGCGGTGCATTGCGGGTTTCAGAATCGTACCGTACGGCACCAGCTGGTCATGCAGCTTTTCATGAAGCTCTATACGCAGCATCAGGATCTTTGAAGGGCCGCCAGATGCTTTCAGCCCCCAAAACACGCATACCCCCCTTCCAACCTGCCCCAATTCGTCACCCTACTTTCTCTCCACCACCGCTTGTCTGCCACCGCGTCATTGGCTCATCCTCGAAAGCCCATACCGACATTTCCTGACGCGCCCTCCTCTCACGCATGGGATTGGGACTCGTTGTTTCACTTATTTATTTTTGCCTCTCTCGCAACGCAATCCATCAGCGCAAGCAAAGAGCTTTTGATCTCAGCTTTTCGGGGCGGAGCCTCCGTCATGACGCGGCAAGGAAGGAGCGATTCATGATCCCTTCGCAAAACCCCTCAGGGAGCAGTTGTATGGTGAACAGAGACCATGTGGGCCGCTGGCCCCCATTGGCACTGCCCGTTTTGCACGGTCAGGCTGGTCGCGAAGACATTACAGCGGCGGAACTGGGGATAATCTTTTAGGAATACTTAAAGCCGCGTGTTTATTCTGACAAGAAGTGTCAGCAAGCGCACCCAACAACGGCAGCCGCATTCTCAGCGCGAGGGCTCCTTACTCCCCTCGTGCGGCCTGACCGGGGTAATACCGGTACCAGGGGAGCCCCTGACGAATCCACACGTCAGGGATACGTAGCATGTGCTTACACGCCGTGCAGTGGGCATCTGCTTGCTGATTGGGGCAACATGGGGTGCCGTCCACAGTACCCAGCACTCAAAGCAACCCCATAGCCGAGTGTCCCGAGTGTGACCTACCGACATCTGCATACGTCTCCGTTGCATCTCTGTTCCATTATTCGGAACTGCTACCGTTTAGAACCCCTTCCCGAGGTCACATCGCTGCATGCACAGAACGCCCCGGTTGCCAGCCCCTCTCATCAATCCATGCCCTCTCATCAAGCCGCTGCATGCACGGATCATTCCAGTTGCCAGCCACTCCCATCCATCAACACCCTCTCATCCTGCTTCTCAGTCTATCTCAGCCCCATACATCTTCCTCGCCTTACTCTCAGACGGACCCACGGGTCTCACTCATGCCGCACAACTAACGCCCGTCCAACGCAACAGACAAGCTATGATGATACTACCAGATACGACCCTCGCTCTGTTGCTCCCACTTTCAATCCATTGTCTCATTCAAGTAGGCTGACACCTTACAGCTTAAGCCGCCTGCCGCTCTGCAACCCTCCTGTTCCCCACTTCTCCGCCAAATCACCATGCACTTCTCCTCCTCTCCAAACCTCCCTCGCAACGCCCTCCACGGCACCTGCAGTTCCAGCCTCAGCACCCTCAGCCTCTCTCACACGTCAAGCCTCACTTCCTACCCTTCCTGCTCCTCTTGCCACCCGAGCCGCTGCCGCCCGCCGCACCTGTCGCACCCGCACTCGGACCCGCAGCGACTGCGGACACCAGCTCATTACCACCCGCCTCAGCCGCCTCCGAGCCAGCCGCAGCAGCCGCAGCACCGGCACCGGCAACCACCTCAGCAGCCGGAGCCGCTCCCTCCTCCTCCGCCTGACCGCTCAGCAACACCTCAGCGGGCTCTTGAGCACCCTCCGCCTCAGCGTCTGATACCGCGCCGGCAGCAGCTGCCTCCTTGTCATTGTTCTTGTTCTCGGAAGTGGTAGTATTCTCGCCGCTCTCCGGTGCCGCCGCAACGGTTGCCGCAGCAGCAGCCTGCGCACCAGCCGCACCAGCAGCGGCAGCCTTCTCCTCCTCCTCTCGAGCAGCAGCCGCCGTGGCCGCCACCGCCGCCGCAGCAGCAACCGCCGCAACCGTCGCCACCGCCTCCGCTCCCGAGCCGTTCGCACCAACGACCTTGCCGTTGCCATTACCGTTACCGTTAGCACGGTTGGCGTTACCGTTGGGTCCTGCCATGAGCTGTTGGGCCTTACGCTGCTGCTGCTTTGCCACCTTGCGCGCCTTGAGTTCGTTAAACTGCTCGCGGAGTTCGTGAACGTTGTCCTCCGTGTTGCGGCGGTACTCGTCACTCTTGGCGAGCACGTCGTCCAGTCGTGCCCTGCGGTAGGTAGTTGGGGCCGTATAGAAGGGGGAAGGGTTAGCGCCGTACAGACGAAGGTCACGGAAGGCTAGTTCTGCAGGTATTTGGGCACCGGTATTGGGGGCGGGGCTGCAGGGTTAGGGGCGTGGCTGCAAGCTGGCGGCGTGGCAGAGTGCTGCGTGTATCGGAGGTGCAAGACAGGAGAGACGTCAAGTGCCAAGTGGGGGAAGGCTTGGGCTCAACGCAAGGCCACCATAAGGTTCAGCCCGACACTCACCAGCCACGCAAGCGCCCCCCGCATCACCCCCACTCGGCCACCCTGCCCTGCCCGCCCCCTGACTCACTGCACTCGGCCCAGTTGCGCCTCCGCCTCCCTCCGCGCCACCCGCTCCTCCTCCAGCTCCGCAAGACACTTGGCGGCGGTCTGCTGCGCCGCCGCCGCCTCCGCACGAACCGCGCTCAGCTGCGCCGCGGTAGCCACTCGGGCGGCGTCGCTCGCCGACTGGGCGGCGGCGGCAGCGGCGGCAGCAGCCTCCGCCTGCTCCAGCTGCCGACCAATCTGCTCCAACCGCTCACTCAACTGCCTCTCCCGCTCCACCGCCGCACCCCGCTCCGCCTCCCTCTCCGCCTCCAGCCCGGCAATCCGACCCCTCGCGGCGCCCATATCCCTGCCGTACGCCTCTGCCGCCTGCCGAACCGCTGCCTGCGCCTCCCCAACCGCCGACTCCAGCTCCGCACCGCGCTGCCTGCTGGCGGCCAGCTGAGCCGCGGTATCTGCCGCCGCCGCCTCCGCTGCCTGGCGTCCTGCCTCGGAAGCCGCGAGGTCGCCGCGAAGGGCGGTCAAAGCCGCTTGCAGGTCGTCTCGTTCGGCGCGGAGTGCTGCCACGTCAGCCTGACTACCCTCCAGGGCACCCAGGGCTGAACGGTAGCGCGCGCGTAGCTCCTCCATCTCTGCTGCGCGCTGCGCCGCGACACGTCGTTCCTCCGCTAGCTCCCCCTGGAGGCCGGATAGCTGGCCACCCAGGGTGGAGAGCTGCGAGCGCAGATCGGCGGCTTCGGAGGCGGAGGAGGCGGCGGAGGCGGATGCCTCAGCCAGGCGACCCTCCAGCAAGGATGCGGTGGACTGCAACTCGCGAACCTGATGCGCGGTACACAGTAGCATAGAGAGGGGCAGGGGGAGGAGGAGGAGAGGTAGGGGGGCGGTAAGGGTCGGTGCTTGGGAGGTGGTGGTGGTTGCCTGGTAGGGGGAGCGCCGGCAGGTGGTGTCCTCATGAGGGCACCTAGGGCCCCTGCCTCATCCCAAGCATGAAGACACAAGCTCGTGACACTCACCCAGAGCCCACGTGTGCCCGCAACCCCCCACACACCCCGTCCCTCCTCCCTCCCTTGACCCTCCCACCTGTCCCCAATTAGCAACCCATGGAGAAGCCTCGTCATCCAGTTAGTCACTTTTCCTTACTTTTACCCACCTGTCCCTGCAGCATCTCGCTCTCCCCCCGCGCCCCCCGCAGCTCCTCCTCCAGCCCCGCGGCCCGCTGCTGGCTCTCCACCAGGGCGGCCCGCAGGCGGGACTGCTCGGAGCGGGCCCGGGACAGCGCGTCGTGCTCCTCCTGCAGATGGGAGGGGCGTAAGGAGGGGGGAGGAGGGCTAGGGTTAGGAGCGGAGGTATGAGAAGAGAGGGCGTGTACGACAGCAGCACCCCATGCGGCAAGAGCAGCGGCCACTCCTCCCCGTGACGTGACCCCACCGCACCCACCCACATGCGGCTCCGCAGAAGCCCCAACAGCCAACCCTCCTTCCCCCCCACCCCACCCCACCTGCAGCTGCTTGCCCAGCTGCCCCAGCCGCGCCTCCAGCTCCTCACGCGCCTCCCTCGCCGCCGCCGCCTCCCTCGCCGCCGCCGCGCTGTGCCCCTCCGCCTGCTCCCTCAGCACCCGCATGGCAGCGGTCAGCGACTGCGACTGCTGGGCAGCCTCACCCAGCGCCGCCTCCTGCTCCGCAATCCTGGCATCCGCCTGCCCCAGCCGCTCCCGCAGCTGTCCCAGCTGCTCCTCCGCCTGCTGCCGCCCCGCCACCTCGCCCTCCAGCTGGGCAGTCAGGCGAGCGGACTCCAGCACACCCCGCCCCGCAGCCTCCTGCGCCAACCGAAGCTTGGAGAGGGCGTCCTGGGCCTCCTTGCCCACCTGGAAGGTGGGGTGAGAGGGAGGGAGCCAGGGTGGGGTGTGGGTATTGCACGTTTCGTATCGGTGTATGTTATTGGATTGCGATGGAAGGAGCATGGGATGAAGGAGCGTGTATTGCCGGACACAGCGGAAGAGCAGCGACCGGTAACAACAGGGTCGTTGTATCAGTTGTAAGATACCGGTAACATAACTGGTAGACAACAGAAGGGGGACCGGTGGCGCCCCATCGGAAAAAACAACCTACCCTTCTGGCCAGCTCCCTCTCGCTCTCCAGTTGCCGCTCCGACGCCGCCAGGCTCTCAGCCAGCGCCCGCGCCTCAGCCTCCGCTGCGAACCGAGCCGCCTTCTCAGCCGAGGTGAGCTCGGAGGCGGCGGCTGCCTCGCGCCTGCGGGTGGGGGTGGTGTGGTGGTGGAGGGTTAAGCGTGGCAGCACATGGGCAGTCATCCGCTCGGGTTGGGACTCCAGAGGCCGCTGGATTCCAAAGAGGATAGGTAAGTTGTGAAGCCTCTGGATTTCCGCCTGGGGAGTACCTCCCATCCCCCACCCTTTTCCTTCCCTCCCCCCCTCCCCTCACCTCGCCGCCTCCACCAGCTGCCTCTCCAGCTGCAGCGCCTCCTCACTCAGTCGCGCACTGCGCTGCGCCGCCTCCTTCTCCGACCGCTCCAGCTGCACCTGCACAACCAATGGTGGGGAGGGCAGGGTGACGGGGCACGGGAGTTCATATCACCTCACTTAACCTAATGTGAATATGTGATGTGTTGCAAGGTGCAGTGTAGTGTGCCCGTATTAATACCATGCAGGAGGGTGGGGCACGCAGCGTGTAGCCGTGCAAGCATGCAGCAGCACCACCACCAGCAGTACCGGTTGCAAGGCAAGGCCCCACCATCTGCGCGCTGTTCTGCTCCGCAGCCCGCATCTCGGTCTGCAGTCGCGACACCAGCCCCCTCTCCCGCTCCAGCGCCGCCGCCGCCGCCTCCACCCGCACCCTCAGGTCGGCCACCTGCTGCTGCTCGGAGCGGAGCGAGGCGGACAGGGACTTCTCGCTGGACTGTGTGAGGGGAATGAGGGAGGGAAGGGGAAGAGGAAAGGAAACAGGGGCGTGTGAGGGAAGGGTGCATGGAGGGAAAGGAAAGTGAGGGATGAAGAGAGCCTCACTCCACCCAGCCCCCATGTCCGATGTCCCTCCTCTCCCTCACCTCCTTGTTGCTCTTCAGCACCCCCACATAGCCAGCCAGACCGCCGCCCACCACCAGACCCAGTGCGCCCAGGGCATTCAGCGGGCTGCCATCGCCGCCCTCCTCCTGCTGCTGCGGCACGCCAACAGCGGCAGCAGCAGCAGTAGCAGCCTGGGCAGCGGCCGCTTGCTGGGCTGCCGCTGCCGCCTCCGCCTCCGCCGCCACCGCCTCCCTGCGTGCCGTCTCCAGCCGCTGCTGCAGCTCCGCCTGCTCCGCTGCGGAGGCAGCAGCGCTGCGCTGAGCCTCCGCAAGCTGTTGCTGCAGCGCCGCCAGCTGCTGCTGCTGCTGCGCCTCGGCGGCGGCTGCCGCTGCAGCGGAGGCGGCAGCAGCGGTGTCGCTAGCTGGAGGCTGCTGCTGCTGCAGCTGCTGCCCCTGGAGCAAGAGAAGGCGCTCCCGCTCCGCCTGCTCGCGCTTGAGGGCGTCGTTTAGAGTGCGAAGTTGCTCGCGTAGCATATCTGCGTCGGCGGAAGAGGATGCGCGCTCGGAGGCAGCGCGGAGGGCCTCCTCACGAGCCGCCTGTGAGGGGTAGGGGAGGGAGTAGAAAGGTAGAAGGGCAGGAGGGGTCCAATAGGGCATCAGGGGCCTTGTGCTGAGCGAGACGGTGAAGTAATGCCAGGCTGAGACATGGGAGTAGCCCGGATGGGGATTCTCGGTGCGGTTAGGAGGAAGTTCAAAATGGCGTCATGGTCATGACATGGTACAGGATCGTTTCTATACCTGGTGAAGAGACACACTGGAAACCAGCAGGCATATGCGATGTACCAAACATGTTCACAACAAATGCGCCACATATCACTGCTAGCGGCGTTCGTTTGCCTTACTTGCGCAGTGGGAGATGCTTCGACCCGGGGCAGCGGTTTTCCGGAACGTTCGCGCACGATGCGCGCAAACTCCTCCGCCTTTGCATTTTGTACCTCCGTCAGGGAAGTTGTGGCACCCGCATCGAGGCCAAACTGAGAGGTACCCAGAATAACCTACGCATGGCCGTTAATAAGCGAGTGAGATCGCCGGCGACGGCAGCATAGACTGACTCAGCTGTTGTGTAATAATGTGTGCACCATTAATGGTCGTGGCCACGTCAAGCCTTACAACTTGCACGAGCCACTCGTCTCAACTGGAAGGAACTTACTCCGGCAAGACCCGCCGCGAGGCCCTTGCGGATGAACCATGACGGAGAATTTTCATGTGACTTCGGGTGGGCATGGCAGGCGATCCGCACTGCACGCCGGCCAAGTCGCCTGCAACCGGCTACTGGAGCCGCAGACTTGCTTCTCTGAATGGTTCCTGACATATTTGAAGGAGTGCAACACCTTCCCCTCTGTGTATAGCAAGGCAGGTGCAAGCTTACACGCTGGATCAGCCATCAGGCGGCTCCGGAGCCAACGCCGAACATCCCAGTACATTATCTCAATCCGCACTCACGAGTATCACGAAAACCATGTTCGCACGCACAAGGCGCATCCACTCTCCAGTAAGTGCCACCCTCTGCCAATAAGAATCATAACAACGCTCAGAGACACACGTAACATTGCACAGTTATGCGCCGGCGAGGGGCTTGGCCGTCACAAGCACAGCGTCGTCCACCTCCACCAGCTCGATGTGCCGCTCCGCCAGGTCCCCGGAGGTCGACCTGCGGGAGATGAGAGGCAGCAGCCGGCAACATACATCTCAGTAATCCCAAAATTTCTTGAATATGAGTGGCCTAGAAAAAGTTATGCAGTGAAAACGGCCATGTATTGGATTCTACAATCAAACCTGTGCAGGCATACAGCACGTTACTGTGCGTGGACCTGCGTGGACATCCCATATTGCAGTCCATCGCGCCGACGTATGCTTAATCAGCTACAACAGGCCAGCAAACCCTTAAATTCAATCATGAGATTCCAGGTGACTTTTCGTCACCGCGGTCACCGCTGTAAAGCCTGCATAACTACCGCACTCCCAAAGGAAACGGCCAACCGAGGAACCACCACAGGATCTCCCCCGTAAACTAAAGAGCTGCGTGTTGCGTAGCCAGAAGGTTCACCAACCGATGGCAGCAGACACACAAGCTACGCATCGCCTAGACACAGCCACGACGGCAATCTGAAGCTCCGATGCGGGTGCTCCTTTCGACCCTTCCAAACCTCAACATCGCTTGTAACCCCGGGTCCGCTCTGCCTCCCGCTCCCGCTCCCGATCCCGCTCCCGAGAACCGCGGTAGTCTCGATAAGACCGCTTCCGGTCAGCATCACGGGACCCTTGCCGTCGTTCACCGGTTTTCCCACGCGCATCCCACGAGCGTGATCGGGACCGTGAAGGCCGGTGCTCGCGGTGGCGTGCAGGTTCCCGGCGAGACCGGGAACGGGAGCGCGACGCCCTGCTCCCCCCACTACCCCTGGCACCACTGGCGCCCGGCGTGTACCTTGACGACTGGCGCCGGTCGCGGTCGGACGGCGAGGCTGACCTCGAGCGCGAGGAGTCGCTGCCGCTCCGCTTGTCCTGCCGCGCAGCCGTGTCGGCCTGCCCCTGCTCCTGCGGCGCGAGCTCGCCCCGCAGCCAGGGGTGGTTGAGCATCTCCGCGGCGGAGGCGCGCTCCTCCGGCACGAACCGCAGCATGGGCAGCATGAACGAGGTAAGCCCCGCAGCCTGGTAAAGAAAGGGCAACAAGCCAGTTAGTTTCTACCTTCCACCGTAAGAAGAGGAAATTGGGAACTGGGTTCCGCGCTCTGGCGCAACAAGGGAGAGCAACCCTGGGGCGGCTAGCGGAGACATGCCTGTCCAATGCCTGTTACTTTTCAGATATTTCTTGCTCCCACCCCACCTCCTCCTCCGACAGCTTGTACTTCTCCACCAGCACCCGGTCCAGCGACCACATGCGCAGCTTCTTGATGTGGCGCAGCTCGCCGTTGCGGTTGAAGTAGTCGCGGGAGTACTTGCCCTTCTCGTACACCTGCGCAGCAGCAGCAGCAGCAGCAGCAGCACCGGTGCAGACATGAATGATGCCGTGATTCCCATGAAGGAGCAACCCCTAGCAGGTCCCATCCAGGCCGGATGAACACACGCCGGCTGCTTTGCTGCCGTCACTGTCATTCCCCCCTCGTCCTTCCCCCGCATACACACCTTCCGCGGCATGCGCCCCAGCAGCTCTATGAACAGCGCCAGGTGGTCCTCGTCGCGGTCCCACTTGTCGCCGCTGCGCGGGTCGAACAGCAGGTCGCCCGTGACCAGCTCGAAGATGACGCACGCGAGAGACCACATGTCCGCCGGCGTGGAGTACTTGGCGCCCAAGATGACCTCCGGACACCTGAGAACAGGCAGACGTGCAGGTGTGCATTAGAGGCCGGCAAAAGGATTAGCCCCTGCTGCTGTCATTCGAGAGGCGATCGGGCACTGCAATCCTTATGTGAAACTACGTTGAGGCGTTACTAAACATGGATGAAGGTCGGCGTGTTTCGACTGTTAATACCCGCAACCGTTGCGGGCATCAACATAGGCTAGGCACAGCGAGCACAGCCCCAAATAACGCCGTATACTGTCACAGCTAGCACCCATGGCGCGGACAGCATGTACCACCAACCCCCCAAACCCACCGGTACTGCCTCGTCTGCACGTCAGTCGTGAACTGCTTGTACGTCCAGCACGCGTTCCCAAAGTCCACCACCTTGCACGCCGCCGTGTGCATCTGCTCCACCGTCAGCCCAGGCCGCGTGATGACGAGCTGCTTAGGCCCCCCGTTCACCCCGGACGTCGTGGTGTCCGCCCCGCTCGCCAGGCGCTCCGCATCAGCGTCGGCGCTCTGCTGGTCCGCCCCAGGCTCGGCGGCCTGGGCAACAACGCCGCAAGACACGCTCTCGCCGCCTGCTTCTGAGGTCATGCCCGTAACGCAGCTGGTCGACTCCTCAACGTCACTGCCGTCATCGCCGTCGCCGTCTGCCGCAGCCGAGTCAGCCTGGTCGGGCTTCTTCGCGGCCGCTTTTTTAAGCTTCTTCTTCAGCTTCTTCTTCTGGTTGCGTGTGAGCGCCTCCCCGCTGGCTGTGGGTGCGCTGGCTGCGGGCGCGCTAGCTGTGGGCCCAGCAGCGCATGCAGCCGGAGCGGCACGCGCGGGCTGCGGTGCTGGTGCAGGCTGCGGCTGCGTGGGGTCAGGGATGACCCAGGTGCGGTCCCGGAGCGGCTCCACGAGCATCACGTTCTCGGGCTTGAAGTCGGTGTGGATGATCTGGCAGGAACTGCAGTACGACGAGCAACGAAGTATAAGCTCAGCGCAGGACTGCAAGGAATGCTCGCCAACAGCCCGCTGCAAGCGGGGTTACACGGCGACCCATGGGCCTCTGGTATGCTACTGGGACACTGTATCTGGCACCTAGGCCGGTACACCGCACCTGTGCATGTAGTCCAACGCCACGAGCATTTGCTTGGCAAGGTTCCGGACAATGGGGATGGGAATGCCCTTGTAGTCGAACCGCTTAATGAGGGCTAGCAGGTTGTCACCCAGCACCTCGAACACGAGGCACACGTGCCGGCCGTTGGGGCCAGAGTGCTCAAAGCTATCGTACAGGCGCACGCAGTTCTTTTCGTTGTTCGGGTCGCTGTCCCGCAGCTGCGACAACAGGGTGATCTCATCGCGCGCGGCCTCCGTGTAGTGCTGAGCACTCTTCTGGACCTGCGAGGATATGCGACTAAGTTGACAAAGGCCCAAGGCAGCCATTTACGCCAAGCTGCTGAGCTGTCTTGGTACCTTGAGCGCCCGGTAATCGCCGGATTCGGCGTCATGGACGAGCCACACCGTGGAAAAGTGGCCCCAGCCCAGCTTTTTGAGCACGGTGTATCTACCCTGCTTGTACTTCTCGCCAACGCTTACGGGGTGATAGCCACCTGCAAAGATCGCCGTGCGTAAGTAGACCTTGAGCGGCCCGATGCAGCCCTAGCCTCTCCGCACCTTTCTTGTAACCCTCCGTGCCTTCATCCTCCGAGTCAGAGTAGTCCTCTGCGCCGCTGCTGTAAGAGTCCTCCAGATATGACTTATCTCTACTGTCCTGGGTCGTTGCTCCGGGAACTGCAGTTTGGAATGTCTTTTAAACGCTTCATAGAGCCAGATCACACGACGCAGGAACAGCCATACCCCACCTTTCTTGCGCGCTTTACGCCGCTTTTGCACTTGGACAGGCAGCTTGACAGCGCCTGCCGGCGGGAGGCTGGTAAAGACACGAGTCGCAAACTTCTTCTTACACAGTAAGAGAGCATCCTACCTTTCAACATCGCAACACTCTTTCCAGAGGAATACAGTGAACGAGCGTGAGCCTTCCAACAAAAAAGCTGTTGGTCCTTACTCTTGAGTACTGGTAATTAAAGGGACGCACAACACGGTGTTACAAGAAGAGACAATCTATCTACTCAACGGTGGTGCCATATTACAACTGTTACGGCTGTCGGTGCACACCCGTTGGGAGCGTTTCCGTACGGGACATACTGGCAGACGTAAATGCGATGCGATGGCAAAGTATCCTGCGCGAACAGATATCTGTGTGGCTTATCATATGGGTAGTGAAACAAGGTGTCGCGCTGTTCTGCTTCACTGTCCTATAACTCCTAGCATTGATACATGGCTCCTTCCGGTAGTAACTGTCACCCCGCCTACCCTCTCAATATGCCGTCTATGCTAAACTCTAGTATCTTACTCTCGTGACTAAAGCAAAAGACGATTACATGCACATGCTGCAGCGTGTAACATGGAAGTTCAAGGCCAGTGGGCCAAGTAACCAACCGCCCCCAAAAAGCCAGCAAGGTCACCATGTAAATCCTGATGACGAAGAATTTGAGCACAATGGCGGCTTGGTCGTTGAGTTGCTTCGACAAGACCATACCAACAGGCACACCGCAGTCCTTACTGCCGGGTTGGGAGGCGACATGTCAGCCCACGTGGCTTGGATCCTTCAAGTAAGGGGGTGGCTGAGGGCGCGCTCGCTGGGCCTCCGTCGACCGCAGCTAAGGCCTTTGCTCATCGACCTTACCTTGTGCACTGCAGAAGGAGGCCGCGCTGCAGGATGCAAGGTTGTTGGCCGCAGAGAGGCGCGAGGCCGCGGTGGGTGACGAATTGGGCCCGACAGCAGAGCTAGAAAGCCAATGTGGCATGGATGGATGGCTTGAATTGGGTCAACATGTTTAAGCATATATAACGTAACGCGCGTGGCATACACTGCTGGCCCGGGCGTATCAACCGCATAGATTTCCCCAATTTCCTCAGTCAGGGCTGAGCACCCGCCCGGGACGGACATAGCTGCTCCCCCGCACCCGCCCGTCACCCTCACCTGTGTTGACCCTGTCCCTCACATATCCATCCCCTGCACACCCATTCCTAGCTGCCACCGCACAGCCAGCCCACTCAAGCAACCCGACAGGCCCAAAGCACTCCGCATATGCACCTGCTCCTCACGGCCTTCTTTTCACTCCACTCAAACTCCACGGGCTTTCCCCCCACCACCACAGGCCTCCCGCATGCGGCTAGCCCGCAAGGTGGAGCGGGTACTCGTGTGGGAGCGGCGCGAGGCGGCGGCGCGGTTCATACAGGTGGGAGGAAGCTCGGTGGCGGCGCCGGGGGAGTAGAGCACAGCAGAGCAGACGGTAGCAGAAACACTGGCTCCTTGAGCATGTGTGTGATTACTTCCTCGGGTTCCTCCGCACAGTCGCTTCACACTTCGCTAGGCGCATGCTTGCTGGTCATCCGTCTCCCACCATGCGCGCCTACCCTCCTACCCTCCATGCTTTCCAACAGCGCGCCTACCGCACCTGGATCAAGCGCCGGCGGATTCACGCCGCCTCTGCCGGCGTCCCCGCCACCGCCTCCGCTATTGGCTCCTCCATGCCGCGCTTCGCCCACGTCGTCGCCATGGCCACCGCCGCCCTGCCCGGAAGGTCCGGCCAGTCCTTCACCGCTGGTACCAGCAGCGCTGCCAACAGTAGTACTGCAGCGGCGGCAGCGGCAGCAGCAGCAGTCGGGCAGCTGCGGGGGCGGCGTGCCAGCACCGGATTCGGCGGATCCGAGCCCGGGGCGCTCCCCAGCAGAGGCGGGGTGCTGGGCAGCACCCCGCGACCAGCGCCCCTGCAGCGAAAGGGCACCGACCTGGGCCCGGATTCCTCAGGGGAGGAGGGCCCGGCTGTGTCACCGCCGTTGGTTCCGGACATGGCAGTTCCAACCGCATCAGGGCTGCCGTCGCAGCGCCCCAACCTGCGGGCGGGCTCAGCTTGGCTGCCCGCCACACCGCCCGACTCCCTGCCAGGCAGCAGCGCTGCGGGCCCTGCCATGGGGCCTGCAACAGCAGCGCGCGGTGCTGTTGTGGACGAGATGCCTGTCCCCCGGGCTAGTGCGGCTGGGACGGCATCCCGCAGGCGCGCGAGTGTCACGATGGAGGCTCCGCCGCCGGGGGTTGTGCTGCTGTCTTCGGGAGGAGGAGCTGCAGGGATGCAGGAGGGCGGCTTGGGCCGGCCGGCTCGGCTGCGAGGGCCGCACGGCGAGTACGAGGCGGGTGCGCACGGCGTGCAGCGGCAGCAGGTGCCGCTGCGGGAGCATAAGCTGGATGTACGGCTGCCTGCGGGCAGCGGCGGTGGGGCAGCGGCTGCTGTATCGGGTGGGGGCAGCCGGGGGCAGGCGGGGGCGGGGGGCTCGGCGACCGACCTGAGTGCGTCGAGCTCGACGCAGCCTCCATGCCTGGCGCTGAACTCCGGCGGTGGTGCGGCGGGAGGCGCAGCAGGAGGCGCGGCGTCTGGGTAGGTGTTGGCTGGCTTGTTTGCGTAGTGCAGTGTGCGCTGGAGTCGAGTGGAATGCGTTGCCGAACTCAGCTGAATGCTTTGTTGACCGTCGCTAGCGGTACCCTGCCGCTCCTTTCCTTAACCATCCGCCGCCGTGCTACCTCCTTCCCGCGCAGCAACAGCACCGGCGGCAGCACCAGCGCCGGCATCGCATGGGCCTCAGCCACCAACACGCCGAGGACACCCCGGCTGCCCTCCGCAACACCTGCTGAGACCCCCGCGCCGCTCACCCTTCCCCACGGCGCTGACTCCCCCACCGGCGGCGCATCCACCACCCCCAGCCCCTCCGCGCTCATCTCACCCTCCGTGGCAGCCGCCTACTCCCTGTCCCTGGCGGCCTCTGGCAGCGGCTGCGGCCTCGCCCCCACGCCCCGCTCCCACCATGCAGCCCGCCGCGCCAGCTGCGAGACCGGCACCCCCGCCCCCGCCTCCTGCCTGCTACCCGCCGTACCCTCCTCCTCCTCTGCCACCAGCACCAGCGGCACCCTGCCGCTACCCCCCATCCGGCCCTCAGCCACCCCCACACCCACCCTATCCGCCTCCGGCACGCCCCTTCCCCCCGCCGCCGCCTCCGCCTCCCGACCTCAGCCCCCCGGCTCCTCCACGCCGCGCCACACCAGCCTCAGCAACGGCCCCTCCCTGGTGGAGGGGCTGCTGGCGGCTGCTGGGGAGCTCAGGCAGGACTCCACGGGCGACGGCTCCTACCCGCAGCCCCTGCCGCCCCCGCCCTCGCCTTCCCCCCGGCGGCCGCACCCAAGCGGCATGCTGACCTCCATGCTGCGTGGCGCGCGCTGGCGCTCCGAGGCGCCCCCGCCGCAGCTGCCCTCAGATACCATGCTGGTCGGGTCGGCACTGGGTCGGCCGTCGGCGGCGGCTGCTGCTAGCGCAGCCTCGGCCTCGATCTCGGTCTCAGCCACGGCTGTCTTTGCTTTACCGCATCAGCCGGATGCAGAGGCGGCGGAGGGCGGCGGCGGAGGAGGAGATGCAGGCCTGGCGGTGCGGTGCTTGTCGCCTGCTGCTCCCACCGCAGCAGGCGGTACGTCGCCGCCGGGCCGCTGCGGGTCTCCGCCGCTGCGGGTGTCCCACTACTGCCTGGAGCGGGGAGCGGCCGCCGCTGCCGCTGCCGGCGCTGCTGCTGCGGGCTACCAGCACGGGCCGCAGCAGGCGCACTCGGGTCACCTGCACTCGCAGCAGCTGCAGCTAGAGCTGCCGGAGGAGGTGCTGCCCGGTACCCCCGCCGGCCGGGGCGCCAGCCTCAGCCCCAGTCCGCCGCGAGGCAGGCTGCTGAGCCCCGCACCGCCGCCACTGCCCTCACCCTACCACCACCACAGCCATCAGCAGCAGCAGCTGTTCTCGCCGGGTGGTGGTGGTGGTGGGGCCAGTAGCGGTGGTGGCGGCGGCGGTTACCACCGTGCCAACTCAACAGACCTGCTGGTCATTTCCCCCTTCGTCTCCTCAACCACACCGCAGCTCCGACTGGCGGCCGGTGGCGGCGCCTCCGCCTCCAGTCCTCAGGTGCACCTGTCAGTCACCTCGGCGACGGCAGGCGGCGCCTTGGACCGAGACAGCTCCTACTTTGAAAGCGCCGGAACCCCCGGCCTGGCAGCGCACTACAGCTACCCCCTGTCTCCACCGCCTCTTCCCTCCCTGCTGGGAGGCGTGCAGGGCAAGGGCAGCAGCGGGTCGCAGCAGGTGGCTGCGGTGGCGGCGCTGTCGCAGCCCGGTCCCGCATCACGTGCAGGGCGGGGATCGGGGCTAGGGTCGGGGCATGTGATGGTGTTGGGGATGGGTGTTGGGCGGAACGGCAGTTGCGAGGGGATCGCGGCGGCGGCGGGGGATGCGGAGGGCGCATGCAGGGGGCGGGTGATGGAGGGGCGGGGGCGGTCGCGTTGCTCGTGGGTTGGGGAGGAGGCTGGCTATGTGGAGGGTGGGTTTAGGTAGAGGTGGTGGGGTTGGGCTGGGCCGGTGAGGCTTCCGTGCGTGCACGCATGTGTGCATGTTATGCAATGCACACATGCAGTAGAAGGAATGGAAGTGATGGGTTGCGTGTTGCGTCTCGGATCCTCTAGGTAGGCAGGATTGAGATAAGAAGAAGGCTCAAGGGACTGCTCTCAGAAAGGATATTGGCGAAGAGTTGTTTGAATCCAGGAGGGAGAAATTGACGCGCGATCAGTACCATGCTCGAGCACTGAAACAGAGTAGCGTGCGGGGCATGCAGCGGGGGTCTTGTATCTGGTAATTTCTCCGAGCGCTGAAGGTACTGCGAGCACATTTATCCCCCCGTTCTTTCCCCCTACCAATATTCTTCCACATTTTCCTGTATTTTCGCCATTTGCTGCGTAGCGTCTTGCTTACAGTATTGTCCGTGTTGTTGCACGTTGCCGCTACCGTTGCAACGGCATGTTCAGAAGACTTGGTTTGAGCCGGGGGGGGAGATATTGGCCGTTGGGATATTGCCGTACAAGCATATTGTTGTACGCCCATCGGCCGAGGAGAATTTTATCGGACGGGAGGTTTTATGGCTGACAGTGGAACTGGTATGTGAGCGCATGGCTTATGCGCCCAGAAGAGTAGGGACTTTGGAAGGAGCTTACATGGTGGGTGGTTTATCCAGCAGGCGCATGTGAGGCCCTGAAGGATCACACAGATCAGAACGACTGTTGGCCGGGGGATCTAGGTCCTTGCAGGATCTGGGAATGGGCGCTTTGCTAACCACCATGGTGCAGAGCACGACAGGAGTTACGTATGACATGGACACAACCTGTAAACATGGAGTAGGCTGGTTACAGACAAACATATCGCTCGCGTTACTAAGCCATGTACGGCAATCACGAGGAATTGCTAGGACTATTAAGTCTACAATCGCAGCTGTCGCATGCGTGTTTAGCTATGTTCCATGCACGCATCTAGCCAGTGTGACAAACTCAGGCCGTACTACCGGTAATCCCGCACTAGAAGCGATGCATAACCAACTAGCATCACAAAAATCATGACACTGTAAAGTGGACGGATGTCACCTAATGACCCCAGGGCCCGCTCTTAACTGGGTTGAATCACACCCAGGGCAGCGCCCCATCAGAATACGGTATGGGGGGCATGACAAAGTGGGCAGAGCAAGGGCACGTGATACTGCGCCCATTAGCCTTATAACTACGAAATCCAAGCCCCTAGCGCGGGCCAGTCCACTAGTCCTATCATGCTAAGTACGGGACCACCCTCAGTCGCACGCGGTCCTGTCGCAACCATACATCTACGGCAATTGGCGCATGCACTTGATACCGGTAGCAATAACAAGAATGAATTGTAGGTGTAGGCACTCCCCAGTGCCTTTCGCTCGCATGCACACATGCGGCCAAACACAGTATGACACACCAAACGGCTCTCCGACCTCACTCACCATGTGTATGCCCCATTGTAGTCAGACCGCCCAACGGCCCCACATCCCTACTACCATACTAACAAACAGCGGATCTCCTCTACCCTCCCCTCTTCCCCTTCCTTTACTTCAGCAGCTGAATCCACTGCGCCGACGAGTAGGCCTGCCCAGCCAACAAGAACAGCATGTAGTACCCGGGCGGCGCAATGTTCAGGTTGGGCGGCGCACGCACCGTCAGGGTTCCCTGCGTGTCGTCGTTTAGGATGCGGAGCCCCACGGCGCGCTGGTTGAAGTTGGTGGAGTGGGTGGTGCTCGAGGGCGCCATGAGGACCACCCCATCGATATCCACCATGGTATGAACCGAGTCGTACTGCACCTTGAACGTCTGGTTGTAGGTGAGAGGGCTGTTCGGGACGCTGGTGAGGATGGGCCGCACGTCCCAAAAGTAAAACGGCGGGTAGAAAATCTCCACTCGGTACTCGGGTAGGCCCCAGGGCGAGGGACTGTACGGCACGGTAACGTTGAAGTAGTCGCAGCGGTCGCAGCCAGCAACCACAATGGTGCCGTCCGGGGTGAGGGCGGCTGTGGAGTGGTACATGCGGGCAATCTGGGAGCGAGCCAGGCGCGTGAAGCGGGTGCCGTTGGGTGCCGAGGGGTCGTACAGGACAGGCCAGAACTGCGGGAAGTGTGCCTTGGATGAGCCGCCGTTGGCCGAGTCGCCAGCCACGCCGTTCTGCGCGCCGTTGAGGACAATGACGCAGCCGTTGGGCAGCAACACGGCGTCACCCATGACACGACGCGCGTTCATCTTCTCCATTGTCCAGTTGGAGAAGGTGTAGTTGCGGGTGGCGGCGTTGTATTCGACCTTGACACGCAGCGCCAAGTCCACAGCCGGCGTGGTGGTCCAACCATACCCAAACTGACCGCCGAAAAACACAAACTCGGGCGTGTAGTTGTTGTCCGGCGTGAGCGGCAGCATGACGGAGGTGCTGCTGAAGGGGTACTCCGTGCGCACCGTCTTGATGAGGTTGGTGTGGGAGGGCACGTTGGTGACCACGGAGCCCGTGTAGGGGTTCAGGATGAGGCCCACCGTGTCGCAGTACACAAACATGTCGCCCGTGGGCAGCATGTAGTTGTTGCTGCGAGCAGAGGAGTAGTAGGAGGAGGAGTGTGAGTGGGAGCAAAGCAACAGCGGTTGGGGGTAGGTGGGATTGGAGAGGAGCGAATGGCAAAGAAGCAGTCCTTGATTCAGCCCCGTCGCATCACAAACTTCCCACGTCACAACACTACACCACAACCAAGTACCCCATACTACTCACGGGTAAAAGATGTCTCCCGCCTTGACCACAAAGGCGGAGGGCAGGGTCCACTGCACCGGCGGCGCCAGCGGCTTGTTCTGCGGGTCCCAAACCTCACACACGGGGTTGTTCTTGGTGCCGGAGCCGGGCGACTGGGTGCCGCCCATGATGAGGATGCGGCCGTCAGGCAGCAGGTTGGCCGAGGGGTACCAGCGCGGGAACTTCATGTTGGCAACCGTGGTCAGCGTGTTGGCGTTCCTGTAGGGGGGCAGAGAAAGGGGGAGGAAGGTGGGTTTTACGAAACAGGCCGCATGACGATTAGTGATTAATGGACGGTGTTGCTGGTAAATGACGTGACTATGAAAGATGGAAAGATAGATGATGCCAGCCAACGCAAATTCCCTGGGCGATGGCCCCTTTTCTGTGGCTGTGGCGCGACGCACCTGTCAAAGATGCGCAGGGAGCGCAGTCCGTCCGTGTAGCCTGACTTGGCAATGTGGCCGCCCACAACGGCAATGTTGCCGTTCTGCATGAGCGTGGCGCCGTTGCAAAAGAGCGAGTCGGTGTTGAACACGTTGGTGTACCTGCGGGGAGAGGAAATGGGAGGAAATGGTAGAGGAGGGGAGTGGAGTGTGAGGAAGGAACAAACGAGGCGTGGGGCTGGTTGCAGGTAAACGGTAACACGGATCCAGGGATATGCTTGCAAACCGGGTGCCACAAAACCACGCCCTCTCACCGAAATGCCCTCGCATCCTGTGGCCCCCATCCTACCCCGGAACACCACCCTACTCACTTGTTGGTGGCGATATCATAGTACCCGGCAATGAAGGTCTTCTTGTCCGGGTGCTTGCCGCTGGGCCGCTCCATAAACAGGTACCTTGTCGTACCGGGGATGTGCACCAAGTGTACGGCAACCGCGTAGCCAATACCCACTTGGTTGTACACGCCGACTTGGTCAGGTGGGCCGTCGGTGTCATCGGGCGTGATGACAACCGGTGAGGCAGGGGGCAGCGGCGGGCTGGGTGGCGAGGGGGGCGAGGGGGGCTGGGGCGGCGGAAAGGTGCCGAAGAAGGGCGGCGGCGAGGGCGGTGCGTTGGGCAGGTCGGGGAAATCGGGGAGGTAGCCAACGAAATCGGGAGGCGGCGGCGGGGGAGGAGGAGGCGGAGGAGGGGAGTACATCTTAGGCGGCGGGGACTTTTTGGGCGGTGGCGGACGTGAGGTGGGCGGCGGTGACTTCTTAGGCGGGGGAGGACGAGGCGAGGGAGGTGGCGAGCGAGGGGGTGGGGACTTGGCAGGCGGAGGAGGGGACTTGACGGAGGGTGGTGGCGGCGGCTTCTTCTTCTTAGCGGCGGCAGTGGTAGTGGCGGAGAGAGCGGCGATCTCCACCTCAGCAAGCGGGGCGGAGGGCGGCGGGGACAGCTGGAAGTTAACCGCTGCCTGACCGCCGCTGCTGCTGGTGTCGCTATCACTAGAGCTGCCACTGTCCCCGGTGGCGGGGGTAGCAGCTGGCGAGGGGCTGCTGCCACTGGTCTTGCGGGCACCTAGGAGGCGGCGGCTGCCCGCCTGCTTCCGGCTGACCCCATGGTGGTGATGCGGCAGCTCCTCCGTGGGGGGAGGAGCCAGCATCATGTAGGCAACAGGCGGCTCGTCGTCGTCGCTGCTGCCGCCCGTGGCCACCGCTCCGTGCACCACCTGCGTCATTGTCTGGTGTTGTTCTTGTTGTTGTTGCGGCTTCTTGGGTTTCTTGACGTCCACGCTGCGGAGGCTGCGACGACTGGACTCCCAGACCGAGTCGGTGGCGACTTCGGAACCCGCGTCGTCGGAATCAAGCGGCTCTGATTCCCGGGTGTCCAGGGATGCATCGTCATCTTGATCTTCTTCCTGCTGCTGTTGCTCCGCCTCCTCCTCCAGGGATTCAACCAGGGTCTTCTGCGGCAGGGGGTGCTGCGGCAGCTCACCAAGCTGCAGCTCCCCAGCTGCCTGCGCCTCTTGCAAGCGCTTCCACTGCTGCGCCGCAAAGATGGCGTCTCGGTCCACATCGGTCTCGTCTGAAAGCAGCGCATCTTCCGAGCTCTCGCCCGCGTCTTCCGCAGCCGCGCCTGCTGTTTCCGCTTGTAGCTCGCTGCCTTCAGCCTGTGCAGTGCTGTGCTGCGGCAGCGGATGACCCACACCGTGCGGCGTTTCAGAGAGTTGCCTCCAGGTGTGGCTGTGGCTGTCGCCGTGGCTGTGCGCTGACCAGGCTAGCCCAGAGTCGTGCTCGGGCCGCGGGTGCTCTGCCATGAGTCGCCGCTCCCGCCATTGCAGGGCGCTAAGCTCCCGCAGCAGGGCGACCGCGTCTTCCGCACGGACTTGCTGCAGATCATCTAGGGTGCCGGACATGAGGGCTGCCTCGGCAACTGACAAAAGCCAATCGACGCTTGCAGGGTTGTGGGCCAGGTCTGTCAAGGTGCGCAGCTCCCTGCCCTGCACGGCCTCGTTGCGCTGCTCTGTAGCCCCTGTGCTAGTTTGTGGTGTTGTGTGCGTAGCTGCCAGAAGCTTTTCCAAGAGAGAGCAACGCGCAGGTGCCGTGAGGCTTAGGAGCAAGATGCTCAATAGCGTGAGTGTCATCCTGAACGGCCGACACAACACGCTGGAATGCTCAGCGGACATTCCGCCGACGCCTAGACAAGGCATCAGCGGTCGTTGTTGCAAAGCCTGTAGACAGGGAAGCAAAGGTTGTGGGGTCAGCATTATGGTCCGATACTGGCCCGGTCGCCCGGAGGGACTCCAACAATTGTCAGGAGACAGAAAGCGGACATAAGGTGGTGTAGACTTCTGAGTTTCTAGGCGGTGAAATTAGCGAGCCGCAGAACTCGTTGACGGTGTGCTGTAGCAGGACCTCAAACAACATCCGCGTAGACATTATTTATCTTTGACTGGTTAAGAGTTAAACGCAGATGCGTTTTTTCTAGTTTCATGACAAAATTACTTGCCTTCTTCTGACCTCAGCGGAACATAATTCCTCCCAGAGCGTCAATCAGACAGCCTGGCTCTGATACGATGCTGCCAGCACCCTTGTAACGATGTAGAGTTCAAAAACTAAAGCTTTGATGCAAGATACCCAACGACAAGTTCGGACCCGCTGGCAGTAGTCTGTGGGTCAGCGCAGAGGACCTATAAATAGGCTGCTCAATAATGTGGTCTGCCAGCTATGATCAACGTTTTATATGTTCGGTGAAGCTTTCTACGAAGAAGGCTCACCGTAGCGGTTTCGGAGGTAGTACTACTCTTACGAATGCTATAGCGCTGGTTGGCCTTGGACCGTTGGACGCCGGCTCCCTTGGCATGGCCCGAAATCCTTCTTGGAACTCTGCTGATATGGCCGCCACGCTGAGGATGTGGCCTTTCAAGACGACATAACCGGTTGTTTAGTTGCGAAGGGTTGTGGTGGAGGTCGGCTCTCGGCGGCCAGCTGCTCGGCAACGCTATCCGGACCCATACTTGTATGTCGATCTAAAATAGGAATCGGCCCACTTAACGCTAAGCCGTAGCGAAGTGGAAGGAATCAAAGGCCAGTGTGTAAGCGGATGTGTACCGGACTGATGTCCCCTGTCCTACCTCAACGGCCCTTCCTCGGCGCACGCCATGCAAGCTGTACTCTTCAAAACATTACTTCGTGAGTCGTCATTCTATAGCAATCGCCAGATGTGCAAGTCATTCGTGCCGGGACATCCCGATCTACCAGCCATTGGGTGACATGCCTCAGGTGCATAGTACCAAACCCGGTACGAACATTGAACTGGAATGTAGCCTTTAATACCAAACATCCCGATCGGGGAGGCAATTTTCAGCACCAAGAGGAGGTGCAGCAACGTGCCGCTAAGGTGCCGTTGCCCACACGGTGTGGGGATTCTGGGGAATAAGATATTAAAGAGGTCGGCACACTGTGGTCTGGAGGGCAGTAAACCAGCTCATGTGTTTTAACACATGCTTTCTGTGCCGCCGGCTGCGGGGATGTGGTGCATTTCATCGGTTTACCCAGGCTGCCAGGCAGATTGTGCACTGTTCAGTTACCAGAACAACCCTTTCGGTGCTGGCGGGTGTGCGGCCTTCACTCCGCCCCATACAAGCAGCCCGAATCTTGCAAATTCGCATCACACATCCATCCATGCTTGCTAGTCAGTAGTCGCACAACTAGTGCTTTGCAAATGTCACATCGTGCTTACGAGTGAGTGCGCTGCCTTACAAGCGGGGACGCTGGAAATACATTGCGCAATCAGAAACTACGCCACAACCATCCGACAAGCAAGTCATGGCGCTCCATGCGTTACATGTGGGACTTCCATCCCAAACGACAGCAACGGTTCGGTGCATTCCCCAAAGCAACGCAACGTGCGCACCACCCTAACAGATGAGGTGTTGGCTTACAACCCCCGAAAGGCGCCACGTATGGCAGTAAAGACACGAGAGCGTCTGTACTTGGTCTCCTCCTCACCAAAATCCAGGGATGATGGTGCGCCGCAACATAACAACGTGGGGGCCTACACCTGGGGTGCACCGCAATGTGCTCTAGGCACGCCTAACGCGTCCTGGACCTGCAATCCACACCGGCACCAACTGCACCGCACATTCGGTCGTGGCCAAGGCCTCCGAGTTGTTTACAACGTCATGTTGCACGGTCTTTCACAAACGTGTTAAGAGGGGAGCCGTATACGAGCCCTGGAGCCCTCTACGGCCCTCAGTGCCGCAAGCGGAGCGAACTCAGCCATGGCAGGTATCTTCCCTGCTCTCATGGCGCCCTCCACCACCTCATGTGGCACCTCCACGATAGCAGCTATCCGCTACACGCCACATGAACTAAGAGCAAAGGCACTCAAGTTGCGCCTCAAGGATGCCGATCATACTCCGCCTGTCACGCTCTGCTCGAGGTCTATGGTACACATGTATGATGAGACGCCCCTGACGCACATCATTGCGACTGTAAAGATACATCGACGTGTGGTACTTGAAAAGAGATGTAAGCAGTACAAAATGCAGTACAAAATAGCCAAGCCAAGCAATGCAACACAACCTATTCCGCTCTACATATGCCCGCTATGCCCCCCATGTATGCCACTAGGGATCCCGGTAGGGGAGTAGCCAACCATGCAAAACGTCTATTACTCCTTATGCAATCAGTTCTTTGCTAAACTAGAGCTCTCACGTCACCCTACTATACAAAGTCAAGCCGCGACGTTATGAGGTTACATGCCCTCGTGGCAATCAAACCGTGTGAGCAGCAGCACGGCTAGAAGCAGCTGCAGGCCATGCTTATATTGTTGTCCGCTCTCAAGCATACCGCATCTATCCTCACCTCTCTTACCAGCACAAACATCCCAGCTGCACCCCGCATCTGGGCACGTCGCACCCCATGCTAGCTCATATCAGCCCCCGCAGCGCGATGCGTGAGCCCGCCCACAGCGCCGTCATGAGAGCCCTAGGGTCGGGGAGGTACAGAGGAAACAACTAACGAACCGTGCGACAAGGCTTCATCATGGTCGGGGAGGGATGCGGTAATGCGGACGGGACAGTGCCACGGTTCAAGCTCCTTCGGCCGTACGTGGCAATGGCTGCCAAGTATGGCTCGGCACATCGGTACAGCAGTGGATGGTTTAGCGCCATACAAGAGTGATTCTCCTGCCAGGTGAAGGTTGCGGGCTGGGTGCCCACAAGCCAAGATGGTATGATTGCTGTCTCGGACATGGTATGATCACACCAGCCAAGTGACTGCTCGCATTCCCCCAGTTAGCGGTGATACCCCTCCCCCGGGTCGCTTACCGCATGAGCCAGGGGTTCTGGTATACCTGAACATATGAAGAAGGCATTGCACAAAGAGGGTAATGCAAGGTTAGGGCATCAGTTTATCGGCTTTTGTTACAAGCAACTGTGGCAAGGCGCGCTGAGTTGCAAGCTGGGGGCCTCACCTGCACCGCGCTATAGGTGTAGGTTGTCCACCGGTACAACCGCCGCCCCCATGAGCAGGCGCGTCGGAAGCGGCTGCGCTTTAGCGCCTGCGGTATCGGCATGCGAGGGGCGATCGCTTGAGGATGGTCAAGAGGACCCTCGTCGGGCATGTCTCCAAACCCATACGCCAACGCCTGGGATACGTCCGCCCCCATTGAGCGTTGTCACCTTCGGCGCGCCTATTCGATACCTCCTTGACCTCTATATCTTACCCGAAGGGCATCCACGAGGGCGGCCTGCAGTTGCTTTGGTTCTAGAGCTTGAGCCTCCGGTAAATCCACGATGCATGCAGCGATATAGTAAGCCATAGCCTCCACTGCATCCCGCTTCTCAACTACAATAAAGCTGTCCTGCTGGTGCGCATCCGTCCCTGACCCGGACCATGATGCTGACCGCGGACCTTCGGCTTCCCCAAGCCCAGAAGAAGTAGAAGTTGCTCCAGGTTGCAGCGCTGAACCCTGGAAGTCGTGTTTTGCATTGAGTCACTGCTAGGGCTTTCGGCTTGGACTTGCCAATTCTAGGCCAGCACCACCAACGAATACGAAAAATGCGCATGTAAAGCTCACCAATGCAGGTGTAGAATGCCCTGGCCCCAAGGCTTTTGTCCAGCGCGAAAGGAGGCCTTCACGACCTTTCTCAAGCGCAGCACAGAAGGCAGGGTCCTGGACAAAATGCTCAAGCTCGTTATAAACTTCCTCTCCTAGTTCAGTATATAGTTCCTGCTCTGTCGTCGTCCTAGCCTCCATGCCTCAAGACAGGTGCACTGTTAGCCACGGTTCTGCCCTTAGGTTTACTGCAAGGTATAAATACGTAATACAAGATGTTTTGTTTACCAGGGCTGACATTGTTCTGCTGAATGCACAGGAACTGCGTATACACTGATGCTGACGCCTGTACGGCGTGAAATGCCTTTGTGCTATCCTTCCTTGGACTCTTCGCAGCATCGATTCTGGCTCAGTAGACCATGCGTGAACCAAGTCTCGATAAAGCATGACTCTAGCCGAAATTCACCTTTTGGCGGGCTGGACCCAAAACGTTGAAAGGATGCACTGACCTTGTAGCTCAACCGTATGAGCTGTCCTCACGCCGCGATGTCGTTACCGCGCTTTAAGCTAGACCTGTTGACCTATGATGACCCGGCAGCGCTTCTGCCACTGCCGCTGGCGGTGGAGCCATCGCGGGCAACCCTTCTGAACAGCGGCAGCGCTGCTTTGGACGCGCAATTGGCGCAAAACGACAAGCTTCTTGAGCAACTCAACGCCACCCTGACTGCCACCGACATCTCCTTCGTGTGGGTGTGCTGCTGCCGCTGGACATAGTCCCCGCGTTACCAAACTCAGTCCTTTGGAAGGCACGTCTTGACCATGTGCCCCCGCATGCGCGCTGCCGACTGCAGTCAACCTGTGAACGCGAATGTTGCGAGCACACACAACCCATCCAGCCTCCTGGCGGCAAGGCTAGTCGCATACAACCCCATCCTCTTCCAGTACGGCGTGTCAGGTGAGCAATCCTCCTTTACTGCTCGCTTTACTTAGGCGGGTCACGCTAAAGGAGCACCTTACCCTAAGCACGACGGTATACCTGCAGAGGTCGACGCCAAAGAGCCAGTTGCTACCACGCCGGGGCCTTCCGCGACGGCGGCGGTTGCAGCACACAACAACCAGCCGGATGTCCAAACCAACCCCTCAGTTCGCAGGGAACGCTCCGGACCGGTAGGTTTCATCACATCCTGGATGTCTGACCTGACCTGCAGCATGGGGAAGTCCGCCAGGCGGTGACCCAGATGGCGGCAACCCGAAAAAAACCCATTGCGTTGACCATGCAGGATACCGCTGCTGGCGAGCGGAAGCGGGCACGGCGAGCAGCAAAGCAGGAGACGTATGTTCTCTACGGACATGAGGCTGACGCGGCGGCAGGTATATGGAGAGGCTGCTAGTCTTATCTTGCCATGTACATGGAGAGGGGGTTGGCTTCATGGGTTCGCGGCGGTCGTACATGTGTTCTATCGCTGCCGGCTAGTTGCGATGTGGGTCGAGTGACCCATGGTTCATGGGGGCGTTCGCCTTGCCAGCTGCTCTCCTTAGCAGCGCAAATTGCTGTTTGGCCGCATGTACACGTTATGCAAAGGGTAACACTGCTTTGACTACCCCTGCTTTATCCCTTGCCCCCATTGCCGTACAGCCAAGCTCACATCCTTCCTAGAAGCCGCCATCGCCTCTGCCGCCAAGGCAGCGGAGAGCCGCAGCGGCAACGGCTGCGAAGGCGACGAGGAGGGCGACGATGCAACTGACTCGGATGCCGACGACGACGATGATGCAGAGGACGAGGATCAGGACCCTGGAAACCGCGGTGGCGCAGCCACCCGTGGCCGTGGCAGCGCTGGCGCTGCCCCTCCTAAAGGGGGGCGGTCAAAGCCCCCCAAGCATGTTTTCCGGCTGGGCGAGCTGCGTGGGCTGCACCAGGAGTTGCTGAAGGCGGGTCAGCAGGGCTACCTGCGGCTGCTGCCGACTGACCTGCTGCACCGGCTGCTGCTGGCGCTGCATGACACGGCGGGGCGGGGGGAGAACAGGCTGCTGAGGGAGGATGCGGAGGTGGGGGCCGTGGGTGGGTGGGGGGGTGCTGTTGGTGCTGTTGCTGTCCGCGGAGGTTGAGGATGAGAAGGAGAGGAGGAGGGAAAGGAGGCTATTTTATTTTTTGGGTCGTTTGAAGCAACACCTACACCTGAGAGCGCTCATGTGCCACACCGCCATTTGGGTCGTTCGCTGTCCGCTTCCAACACCCTTTCTCCCCTCCCTTACCCTTTTGGGCATCCTTCTTTTCTCTCCCCTCCCCTTCCTAATGCGGATTCTGTTTCCATATTAATCCCCTTCCCCCCCAGCTCAAGTCCCCCTCCGTGGCCCGCGTCGCCTCCTCCCTGGAGTCCGTGCTGTGCTCGCTGGTGCTGCTGTCCTGCCCCGGCCTGCCGCCCTCGCTGTACCTGGAGGAGCCGCTGGGCCGGGCGGTGGCGCTGGGGCGCTACCACCTGCAACACAACGTGCTGGCGCTGCATGACGCGAGGTTCAGGAGGCTGTACAGGCCGGGGAGTGGGGAGGAGGGTGAGGAGGGGGGGCGATTGGGCGGGGGATGCGGTTGGGCGGGGGTTGCTGTGTCTTGCTGGACATGGAAAAGAACAACAACGAGGAGGAGGGGTACCGGTAGTATAGTTCTCATGCCGCCCCCATGCTACCTCCCCGGTTGTTGGCTCCTATGCAGAGGAGGGGCCGGTTCGCGTCGCCAAGCGGGGTAGAGGAGGCCGCTCCGCCGCGTCCGGACCGCAGTAAGTGTGATAGCTCGACCGCTGTTGCTGCATTGCGCATGGGGCTTCGGGTACCGTACACATTGGGGTTTGGGTTCCGTACACATGGGGATTCGGGTGCATACGGTAGCCGCCTGGTGGGACCTCGTCGATCCAGTTACTTGCTCAAAACCTGCATTAGACACACACACACTCACATGGAGCAGCGCATCATCTCCCCCCCCCCCCATGATCAGCTGCTAGTACGGTAGCCGGAGTGCCTGATGCTATTGTATCGTTGTTGTTGCATACTTGAATCTGTCCCCCTGTCCTCACACCCACCCTTCCTGCCCTCCCCACCTCCCCCACCCCCAGTCTCCCCCCCTGGTGCGGCCTGCTGGTGGGTCAGGTGGAGCAGCTGCTGGGCCTGCTGGGCGAGGTGGTGGGACAGGTGCGGGTGGCGGCGGAGGGGCTCATCCCGCTGGTGCGACATGCGCTGCAGGCGCTCACAGTGGACTCGCTGCACACACTGCACTACCGGGCCATTGGTGAGGAGCGGGGGGGGGGAAGGGGCGGGGGCGGGGGTAAAAATGGACCATACCAAACCATAGGAAACCACAGGTTGGGGCAATACAATGGGGATAGGAAGCGGCAGGGTGCCACACAACAAGTGGCGGGGCGGGGGGAGGTTTAAAGGGGAAGCAACTTACCCGGGTAGAGCCTTACGGTGTTCCTGAAGCGAGGGTAGGGAGGGGGACTGTGGCTCCCTTTCACGCTTGCCTCGCCTGTCCTCCCCCTCCTCCCCCTCCACCCTCCTCCCGATCGCCTCACCTCCCATGTATGCTTTCCCCCCCTCCTCCCTCCTCCCCCCTCCCTCCCGCCCCCCCAGGTCTGACCGTCTGCCTGTTCAAGTACTACCCACTCCAGCGCTCCTCCGTGGTGGACGAGCTGGTGGCGGGGGTGCTGGGGCAGCTGGGCGGCCCGGGGAAGCACGTGCCCAGACACTACCCGCTGCAGGTGGGTGTGTGTGTGTGTGAAGAGGAAACGGGGTACCCACCAGACCTTCACATGGTCACATGGCCATGCCACAGCGCTCCTCACCGGTGGCCGGTCTACTCCGTCCTCACATGCCCCGCCTGCCCCTCACCTGCCGGCCTCTCCCCCCCACCTCGCCTCCCCGAAGCTCGTCAGTTGCATCGTCAGTGTCTCGTTATATTTTTTACCCTTCCTTCCCTCCCTTTCCTCCTCTCCCCCAGTCCCTGGACGCCTCCTCCCGCATCCAGATGGCCTCCGCCCTGGTGCTGCAGCTGGTGCAGGTGGCGGCGGAGCTGCCGGGCGGGGGGGCGGGCGCGGAGGCGGCACGGCACTGCACCCACAGCGCAGCCAAGTGGGCGGACTACTTCTGGCAGAGCATACTCAACAAGTAGGGCTGGGGTGGGGGCGGGTGGGTGGGGTGCGTGGGGTGAGTTGGAAAACGAGGACGACGTGCGGAGGTTGTCAGGGCATGTGTCCTACCCACTTTCCTAACCCAGCCCGCATCCACCACCTTCCCACCCACCCCCCAGACTCCCCGCCTCCCGCGGCTCCTCCTCCTCCTCCTCCTCCTCTGAGCTCAAGTCCTGGGTGGAAGCGCTCGTGGAGGACCTGCTGTCCGCCCTTCCTCAGCCCGAGTGGCCGGCAGCGGGGGTGCTGCTGCGGCGGCTCATGGTGGCGGTCAAGCGCGCGGACACGGGTCTGGCCAGCGGGGATGTGGGGGTGCGGGTGCTGAGTGTGGAGGTGGTGGGGCAGGTCAGCAGGCGGCTGTGTGCGCTGGCGAGGGAGGTGGAGGCGGCGGAGGGGGCGGCGGCGGGGGGAGGAGGGGTGGCGGCGCTGGTGCAGGCGGCGATTGCGGGTGAGTGGTTGTGGGGGGTAGGTTTTCAGATACGGTGGGTTACTGGCACCATCATTATCGACATCATACCTAAACTAGGCTATATGCCTCGCACCCACCAAATCTATGTCACCCTCCACCCCGATCTCACCCTCTTCCCCTTCCCTAACCCACACGTGCTTCCCCTTCCCTAACCCGCACCAACCCCTCCCCGCCCCCTTGCCTCCACCAGCCTCCTCCTCCGGCGACGAGTCAGCCGCTGCCGCCTCCCGGGCCTCCCAGGCCGACAAGTCCGAGGTAGTGCAGCAGCTCCTGTTAGAGCACCTGGCCACATGGGGACCTGCTGCCGCAGGCGGAGGCGCCGGCAGCGGCAGCGCTGGGGCTGCTGGGGCCGCCGGCAGCAGTGCTCTCGGCGGTGGTGGTGGCGGCGGCGGCCCCAGCAGCGGTACTGCCACCACCAGTGTCAGCGGCAGTGCTCGGCAGCTGATCGCGTGTTGCATGCTGGCGGCGCGCGTCAAGGCGGTGGAGCAGGGGCGAGGGCGGGCGCTGGAGGATGTGGAGGCGGCGGAGGAGGTGGTGGCGTACCGGCAGGTGTACGAGCGCAAGCGGTCTTGCTTGGGGGCGTCCACGTCGGGTGCGTGGGGGGGGGGCGGCATGGGTAGGGAGGGAGTGCTGGCGGCGGCGGCGGAGGGGCCGTCCTCATGTGCCGCTGTGCGGTTGCACCCTAGCTGTACTCCTGTGTTTGTGTAGTTGTTGCCCCTCATGCGGCCTCAGTCACCCCTTTCCTCGTTTCATTCACCCCCATGAACCACGCAACCCCCACCACCCCCCCCCTCCCCCCCCCCAGGCCTCCCCCCCGTGTCCCGCGAGTCCGCCCTGCTCCTCTCCCGCTGGCTGGTTGTCGACTCGGTGCTCGGTCGCAGTCGCGGCACGCTGCTGAGCTGGCTGGCGGAGGCGGGCGGCGGGGGGCGCGGCGGGCGGCAGGACGCGGCGGCGCACGCGGCGGCGGTGCGGGCCAAGGCGATCAAGCTGCTGGGCGGCGCGATAGAGGCGGACGTGGGGGTGCTGGGGATGTCGGAGGTGCAGGTGGGAGGGGGGGGATCAGGTGCGGGTGGGAAGGGGCATTAGAAGACCATACCGAACCACCCGGGTGGGAGGGGGAGGGGGAGGGGGACCATACCGAACCACCCGGGTGGGAAGGGGGGTGGAAATATCCATATCACGACTCATGCAGTGAGCGCATATGGAGTGCGGGAGGGGGAGGGGATGAGAATGAGGAGGCAAGTGGTTGGGGTTGGTCATTCCCATCACTCAGCTTACCATCCCGCATATGTCCCCGTCCCCATCATGTTCGCTTGCGTGTGTCCCCACCACGGGGCTGAGTGGTCGCATGTATGGTGGTGCCGCTGCCCCGGCCCTCCCCCCCCGCTGTGCAGGAGGGCATCAAGGGCGCACTTGGGGACGACAGCGTGCTGGTGCGGGAGGCGGCGGTGGACCTCATTGGCAAGTGAGTGCTCCCCGGGGGTAGGGGGGGAAGAGGGGAGAGGGGGGGGGAAGAGGGGCAGCGACAACAGCACGCTTGTGTGGGAAGGGTTGATTGACCTTCCATGTGCCTACTCCACGCATGTAGGCCCCTCGCCCTTCCCAACACCCTACTCCCCCATCTCCCCGCTCCTCATTACACGTACTGGCTTGGCTAATTCGGGCTGGGCGGCTCGGGCTGGCTCACATGTTGCAAAACTTGATGACACCGTATCAGGTTATCACACAATCAGTTGTTTCCTCTTTACCACCACCACCCTTTCTCCCTCCAGGCACATCAGCCGCCACGCCGGCCTGGCGTCCCAGTACTACGACGTGTTGGTTCGCGCCTCGGAGGACGCGGGGCTCACGGTGCGCAAGCGGGGCATCCGACTGCTGTGGGAGTGCTGCGTGCGCTGTCCCGACTTCAGCAGGCGGGGGGACGCGCTGATGAGGATCGTGCAGCGGGCCACGGACCAGGAGGTGAGGGAGGCGGGTGAGGGGTGGGGAGGAAAAGTAGGATACCCAGTGTGTTGGTTGAGAGTGGCAGGTGGGGGGTAGGGAGCTGACAAGCTGGATGACACGGCTTGAACATGGGGGGTGGGCATGGAAGGGAAGGGAGGGTACAGAGGGGTAGCTGCCGGGTTTACCCCCCCTCGCCTCACCTCCACGGCTTGATGGCGCCTTCCTTGTCCCTGGCCTCAATCCCTCAGGAAACCATGCGGGCGCTGGTCACCAAGATCTGCTCCGAGATCTGGTTCCTGCCCAAGTTCCAAATAGGTAGGCGCGAAGCAAATCGCCCGTGTGTGATCCGATCCCTTGCGTACGAAGGAAAAGACACCGACCGTTCTTGTTGCCTCCTACTTGTACTCCTTCCAGACTCTTCCCCTTCCCCCCTCCTTCTCCCTTTACCCACTCACCCCCTGTCCCCCTCCTCCTCCTCCTCCCCCTGCCCTCAGAGGACGAGGTGTCCCACGAGGTGTCCCAGGTGACCCGTGGGCCGCAGCAGCGGGCGGCGCAGCTGGGCGAGGTGGTGGCGGCGCTGTACGGCCGCAGCAGCGGGGCAGCGGTGCCCTTCCATGCGGGACTGCCCATCATCGTGACCATCCGGGGGATCGTGGGGGAGGTAAGGGCTAAGGAGGGAGAGGGAGGGAGGGTGGTGAGGGAGACAGGAAGGTTGGTTTGTCCTTTACCGGTACTTAACGTTTGTGCGTCCACTAATCTTCTGCTAAGCCATACGGCATCTACCCACGCCCCCAAGGCACGCCGCCCGCCGTACCTAACTCCTGCTGCTACTTCCTACCCTACACCTAATCCTAAAATCCAGCGTAATGCGGAATCGTCATCCCTATTAACCTTACACCATGCCGCCACCGCCGCCCCTCTGCCACCTTTTGCTGTAACCTGACCTTTCATATGGTTTGGTACGTTCTTTGACTCCCCCCTTTACCTCCCCTCTCCCCCCAGGACGGCAAGCCCGAGTACGATGCCGTACGGTCGGGTGCCCGGGAGGTGGCTGACGCGCTGCTGGCCCGGGCGCTGGAGCTGCAGGGGGAGCAGGAGCAGGCGGGGCCGGAGCAGGGAGGGGGACAGGGGCAGCAGGCGGGGACACAGGGGCTACAGGGAACACAGGGGCAGCAGGCCCCCGCAGCCGAGCTGTTCCAGTGTCTGCTGGCGCTGCACGCGCTGTGTGTGGCTGACGTGCGGCTGCTGCACCGAGCTAGCGACCCGCAGCGGGTGGTGAGGTGCCTGGCGCCGTACGTCAAGGTGGGGGGGGGGTTGGCGGTACGGCACGGGCCGGGCGGCGGCGGGTGAAATCCAACCCATGTCGAGTTCCAAGGTTTCAACAACCCAGCTCGGTTTTCGTTCTGCTGTTGTGGTTTCACCCACCGAACGCGCTTCCAACCTTTCGCTTACCTGACTACCTTCTCCTTCATGGGTTGCTAAAGTGCCGCCTCCCTTCTCGTACCCCGCTCCCTGCGGGCTCCATTCTCACTCGCTTTTCCCTCAGGGCTTGCCACCTATTTTGCCATTGCCAATCAACACACTTTATATCCTTCCTTTCCCTCCCCCTCCCCCCTTACAATACGGTTTGTTACTAATTGATGCTACTAACTATACAACAACTACGATTACATGCTAACCCAATTATCCAGCCTAATTCGGATTCTGTTTCCAAATTACCCCCTCCCCCCACCCCCTGTAGTCGCTGCCCCCCAAGGACCCTCGCGACCCCGCCTCCCGCCCCCGTGCCGAGCAGCTGGTGGTGGTGCTGGCGCTGCTGGGCGGCTGCATGCCCCCCCTGCGGCACCTGGAGGAGGGGCTGGCGGGGGAGCTGGGGGAGGACCTGCGGGAGGCCATCATGCGGGTTGCACAGGTGCAGGTGCGGAGGCTTGGGGGTGGGGGAGAGGGGGAGAGGGGGAGGGGGTTTGGGGGTGGGGGAGGGGTGGGTGGTGAGGAAACTTGCTGCAAAGCGTGTGTGTCTCAGTGTGTTTGGAAGGAAACTGGTGTCGGTGAGTAGGTGTGCGGGCCGGGGAGGAACGAGCAAAACAACTCCTCATCCGCCCTCCGCCCTCAGCCAACAACTCCATTCCGCTCCTCATCCCGCACACCCCCCTCCCCTCCCTGCCCCCAGGTGGTGAGTGTGGCGGTGCAGTGCCTCTGCACCCTGGCGGCCCTCAAGCCGCAGCACCGGGCGGCGGTGCGGGAGCAGGCGGCGCTCTACCAGCGGCATCTGCGGCGGGGGCTGGACTTGAAGAGGGCGGCGGCGGGGGCGGGGGAGCAGGTGGGGTGGGGGTGGTGGGGTGGGGAGAGGGGGTGCTTTTGCTCCTCCTCAGCACCGCTCCTGTCATAGACCCTAACCTCCGGCCTCTGCAAGGTCGCGGTGTAAGGTCCCCCTGCTCCCTCCTTCCCATCTCTCCCTTCCGCCAACAACATTGGGTATTCTTCTTTTCCCTCCCTTACCCTCTCCTTCCCTCCCTTACCCTCTCCTTCCCTTCCTTACCCTCTCCTTCGCTCCCTTACCCTCTCCTTCGCTCCCTTACCCTCTCCTTCGCCCCCTTACCCTCTCCGTGTTTGACTTATCAATTACCCCCCCTCCCTCCCCCCAGTTGAGCGGCTCCCTGGATCAGCGGCTGCGCCAGTTCCCGCGCTTCCTGTACGCACTGGGACTGCTGTGCAGACACGGGGCCGACATACTGGATGAGACGGTGGAGGTGAGGAGGGTGGTGGTGGTGGTGGTAACAGGGCTACTCATCCCGCATTAGGCTGGAGGGCTGGGTTAGCGTGTGATTGTGGTTGTTACAAGGTCAGTAGCAGCAGCAATCCCTACCCTCTCACCCTCCCACCCGCCGGCAGGGTTCCGACCACCCCAGCTGCTCGGCCGCTCTAGACCTGGTGCTGGGGGTGTATGGCGCCATGGATGACGTGAGGGGCGTGCGGGAGAACGCGCTGCAGGTAGGGAGTGGGGGCGGGGGCGGGGCTGCGCGGCATGAGGTAGGAGATATGCAGGCTGCAGGGGGGAGTCAAAGACCTTACCGTAGCATAGGAAACCACAGGTTAGGGCAGAGCAGTGTGGGGGGGCGCCTCACGCTATATTGCCCCATGTTGCTCCACCCCCCATGATGCGGTCTGGTCAGACGGACCCCTGCACGTACCGGTATGCCTTGTACGGCCTTGCAAACCCGCATACGACTCACGCGAGCACCCCTTGTGTGCTAGTAGGCACGCCTGCTCCCATGCACCTACCATGACAAGAGCACCCTCCCCTCCTCCTTCCCCTCTTCCCCTTTCCCCCCCTCCCTCCCCCTTCGTTAACCGTTTCCTCCTTACCCCTCCCCCCTCCCCCCCCCACACCTCCCGCCCCTTCAGGCCCTAGGCCACATCCTCATCTCCCGGCCTCAGCTGGCAGTTGCCGTACCCGGCGTCCGCCCCCTGCTGGAGGGCGCTCTGGGTCGTTCCGCGCCCGCCCCGCTCAAGAGCCGCTGCCTGGCCTCACTCACGGAGCTGCTGCGGGTGGAGGGGGAGGCTCTGGTGGGGCGGCAGGAGGCGGCGAGGAGGGAGGCGGCGGCGGCGCAGCAGGCTAGCACGCTGCCGGAGGCGGAGGCGCGGCAGCTGGCGAGGAGGAATGGGGAGGGCGACACGTCTGTGAGCAGCAGCATCGTGCAGGTGGGGTGGGGGTGGGGTCGGAGAGGTGTGTGGCCGCTGGGGAGGAAGGAAAGGTCGGCTGTTGCTGGCGTTGAAGAGCAGACAGCTATGGATGGAAAGGGGAGGGAGGGTCGGTGCTTTCCTACCAATTGCTCATACCGGCAGTAGGCTACATAAGGCGTTATCATCTTATGTCGCCCCCTTACCCCGCCACCCCAACCTCCTGCAGTACCTCTGGGAGCGCATCCTGGACCTGGCAACAGACATCACCCCGCCTCCGCAGCCAACCCAAAGCGGCACCGGCAGCGGCGCCCACACCCCCCCGCCCACCCCCGGCGGCATGGGCGGCGGCGGCGCCACCCCCACCGCGCATGGCGCCGTGGTACGGCGCCGCGCCCTCGACCTCATTGAGCTGGTCATCCGCGACGGTATCGTGGTCCCCTGGTCCGCCCTGCCGGCCCTCTGTGCCCTAGCCACGGATCCGGAGCCCGACACCGCGGCTCGGGCGCTGCGGTGTGTGGTGGGGCTGGCTGGGGCGCACACGGCGTTCGTGGCGGGGCAGGTGCCGGCGGGTCTGGAGCGGGCGTATGGGTTCCATCGGGCGCTGGCGGCGGTTGGCAGGCCGGGCAGGCCGCCGGAGATGGGTAAGGTGGGGGTGGGGGGTGGAGGCTGGGGGAGGAGAGGTGGAGGAGGAGGAGGAGGAGGAGAGGTGGGAGGTGGGAGGTGGGGATGTCAGCTGTTGTGGCACACTGCTCACTGTCCGTTCCGGTGTCTTATGGTAATGCCGTTAGCGTGCAGCCAGACACCCGCACTCCACCCCACCTCACCCCTCTTGATTCCATTCACCCGGAGCTTGTGTTCTGGTTTTTGCATGCTCATTGGGAATTCTCTCCCCCCCTCCCCCTCCTCGCACACCCGCATTCAGAGTCCTGCAAGCCGCTTGTGGAGGGTCTGGTGGGTGTGTGGAGCGGCGCCTTCCAGCCCGACCGCACGCTCAAGGCCAAGTTCCTGACGGCGCTGCTCAAGCCGCTGGACGAGGGGTGCTGCCTGGCCAGCGGCGCAGCGGCAAAGGTGGGGGGGGGTAGCAGCAGGGGGGGCGGGGTCGGGGGCGGGTAATACAGTGATGCTGGGGCCATGGTGTTGAGAGTACTGGCAAGGCTGGCAAGCTGGGCAGTAGGCGGGTGGGGAGTCATGTAGGGGCGGGACGGGGTGGCAAAATGATGGGCTGGAGGCACTGGGCGGAGCGCTGGGAGGGGGAGGATGGGGCCTTTTTTTAGCGGCGACGGTGCCTGCTAGGCATGCCCCGTGGATCTAAACGAGCTGGAGACCCGTTACAGATCTCTCACCGAACCCCGTCCCTCCCCGCTGCCCCCCCCCCCTCCGCCGCCCCCCAGTCCGACCCGCACCTGCTTGCCTTCATGTCGTACCTGGTGGCCGAGCTGCCGTACCGCAAGATGGACGAGCTGCTTGCCGTACTTGTACGGCTGAACGACATCCTGCGCAGCCGGGCGGAGGCGGTGCTGGGGAGGTTCCAGGAGCTGAGGCAGCAGGCGCAGGGGCAGCAGCAGCAGGGGGGCAAGGTAGGTGGGGAGTGGGAAGTGGGGGAAGAACTTGGGTGACTGCAGCCAGAAGAGGATGTATATGTTGTGTTTCAACATCCGCCAAAGGATGCTATGCATGCTGACCCAAATCGGTTTCCTCATCACTTTTCCCCGGCTGTGGCCCCCCCTTGCTGTCCCTTCCCCCGTTCCCCTCCCCCTCGCAGGAACCTGCAGCTTCCGCCCCCGCCAACGGCGCCCCCGCTGCCGCTCCCCCCGCCTCGCCCCTTCCCAGCCGCGGCCCCTGCTCCTCCGCCTCCGCCTCCTCTGCCGTACACGCCCCCAACGGCCTGATCGCCACCGTGAAGGCTGCCATCGCGGTGTCGCTGCTGCTGCTGCTCAAGAAGTACCTACACACCGCGTACGATCTGAGTCCGGATCGAGCAGCAAAGTGGGTGGAACCGCGGGGAGGTGGGCGGGACAGCAGTACTCGACTGTCTAGACACCATGCAGGGTTTCAAGCATGGGCCTTGTTGCGCGGGCACACAGAGCGATTCACAACTTTCTCCTCCCTGTGCCACCCTCCTTGCCACGACACGGTACCACCCCTACCCACCAGAGACTCCCTCCCCGCACCCCTTCCCTCCCTCACACACATTTCCGCCCCCCTCCCCTCTCCTCGCCTCCTCAGATACGACCCCTCGGGGCCGCAACGCAAGGTCGAGGAGAAGCTCAACGCCGTGCGAACCCCCCGCCTCTCCCTGCGCTTCAACTCCTCCAAGCTAGGACTCGACGTGCCGGCCCGCCTTGCCGTACTGTACGGCGGCGGCCATCACAACCACCAACAACCCAACGCACCTGGCTCGGTCCGGTCGGCTAGGACCGCAACCGCGGCAGCGGCAGCGCAGGGCCTTTCCTCGTCCGTCATGACGGGTGGTGGCAGCACCGCAGGCACAGCTGCTGCTGCTGCCACAGCTGCCAGTGCTGCTGCTACAGCGGCAGCGGCGGCGGCTGTGCCCCTGTCAGCGATGCTTTCGGAGCCGGGAGTGGAGGGCGTGTACAGGGTGTTGAAGTCGCTGATGCTGCAGGATGCAACGGATTTCAGGTGGGGAAGGGATCGTCTTGTTTGCCATTCTCATTAATACATGGAGTGTTCTTCCTTTATCCCAACCCCAACCTCCCACCCCACTTCCTTTCAACCTTGTTCCTGCAGGCAAGCCACTGCGGGCGCCGGCGGGCCTGCGGATACCGCCGGCGGTGGCGCTCCGCCCGCTCCCTCCTCCCCGGGCGGTGTAGAGGAGGCGGCGGAGGCGCTGGATCTGGTAGCGGACATGGCGACAGCGGGAGGGGCGGCGGCGGGGGCGGGGGCGGGTACCGGTAGCAAGAAGCCGCCGCTGGCTGCAAGGTGGGAGGGGGGGGAGGCGATATGGGAGAGGGGGCGGGCTGTGGGGGAGGAGCGAGGAGCGGGGCGGCCGTTGCGGGGTAGCAGTAGGGACAGCGAGAGCGACGGCGGGGAACTGCCCACTTAACCATTTCCAGCCTTACCCATTCGAGGGACAGTTCACTCAACCATTCCCTGCCTTTTCCCTCACCTTCCTTCCCCCTCTCCACCCCAGAGGCCGAGGCAGGGGTGCAGGCCGGGGCTCCCGCGGCGGGCGCTCCTCGGGCACGACAGCAGCAGCCACCACCGGGGCCCGAGGTCGGGGCCGTGCTGCGGCACCCGCTGGCAGTGGCGGAGAGGCACGCAGCGGCACCGCGGGCAAGCGGGGACGTAAGCGGAAGGCCCGAGGGTATGACAGCGATGAGGAGGAGGAGGAGGACGATGGCAGTGAGGATGAGGGGGTGTATAAGCCTAAGCCAACTCGCAGGAGGCTGGATAAGACGTTGTGAGGTGGTGTGGTGGGGATCGAGCTTTGGTGAGAGTAGTGGCGTCGGACATGTTCGGGGGGAGGGAAGGAGGGATTGTGGGAGGAAATGGGAGATTGTGTAGTACGGGTAGGTGGGGGCGGGAGAATGCATGCATGGGTTTGAGAGTTGCTGCTGACATTGCTGACACACGTAACCGACCGGCTCAGTGGTATATGCGTATAGTTCTACGTCCTGGCTGGTCTTGGGCTCCTTGACGATATAGTTCAAAAGCTCCTTTCCTGAAGTACATGTACGACGTACATGTGAGGAGTTCATGTCGACAGCCTGGTGGGCCCCACAATCCCACATGTCTTCAATGTGCCGCAGTATGCGGTTGACAATTTTGCTGTCCGGACGGCGCCACGACATCTTTGGGCGCTGAAACATGACCCAAATGGGCGGCTCTGTGTGAAAGGGGGCGGCGTAGGTTTTGCTTTGCAGCACACTTGTCGTAAGCAACTGCCGGGCTTGTAGGGTAGAGATGGCGGATATGCGGTTGTGTGAAGTGCTAATAACAGGTTACAGCACGCAAGGCCGAGGCACCCTGGCAACCAGGCGCGCCCCGGTGTGGTATATGAGCATCTTCACGACAAGCAACCGGTTGAGTTATGTTAGTTTTCCTTACAGTAACCGTCACCAATGTGACTGCCCGTTGTTGGACGTGTTAGACTCACAGGGTGTGTGTGTAGCTTGGTTTTTGGGGCGTGTGGCGGTGGGTATAGGTCCACAAACATAATGCATGTTGAGGAAATGGCGTCGGCGTCGGCTCAGCTTTGTACATTCTGACGCGGACTCGTCAGTCGTGGGCATTGGTACATAGCACTGCGACAGGTAGTCCTTTCCTCACGTTGAGATACGTGCATGGGTGCGGAATTGTGGATATGCCTCTTTCTGCCAGCAGGCAGTATGGGTTGTGTCACTACCCTGCCCTGATCTTGCCTAGCATTGTTGCATGCAAGCGGTATGTAACACTCTCAAATGCTTGACTCTCATGGTGTGCATGCCGCACAAGTAACAACGCTCAATCCTATAACGTATGCTTTCTATGTTGTCAAAAGTTATAAGGAGAGCTGAGGGGATAAGCTATCTGTTACATTAGTTGGGTGCCGAGGTCGCGCAGTGCGCAGATCCTCAGCCTTACAAAAATTAAGCCCTGCCGGACACCCGAAGGGCCGACCACGGAAGGCCCTCGCGCAGTGCAAGGCGAAGTCCAACCGTGTAACCGAGGCCAACTGGACCACCTCGAGAAACGGGCCAGGTAAGTATGCCTAAACATGGCTGAGCCCGGGGACTACCCCTGAACCTGATACCGACACCATGATCACAGCATCGATGGTGGGTCAGCACAACCGCCGCTTATTCCACGCCCCATACTCATGTTGTGCACCTGAACCCCAACTTAACGTGAAGGTTCACCCCCCATCGCCCCCCGAAAAGCAACTCTTCCTGCTTTCAGGTACTCTTTTGTTGGCGCAATGCTAGGACCCGCGGGTTACCTGCTTGGTGAACCGGTGACCCATGGGTCCGTTGCAACAACTACGGTAGCTCCATGGGGCTACATGGGCTTCCACGTGTACTGAATCGGTGTTTAGCATTCTTCAGTTCCTTATTACAGCTTGAGGGGGTTGCAACAGCAGTCATCAAATTCCCTACGCAGCCAAGTAAGTAGTTGGTGCTAACCTCTCCATAAATGCATGGCAACCTGGGCTGAGCGCTGGAGCTGCGACAATGTGCCAAGCCGCAATCCGACAAGCCGCGTGGCGTGCGATATAGTTACGTAAACCATATATGTTTATGTTTTAATGCAGCGTATGCCAAAGCTATAGTTGCCCGCTTCGCGGGTCGCGGGGCGACCGTCCCTACTGTGTCACGTGACAGCTTCGCAACAGCCAATACAACCGATACTACTATCCAAGCGTAGGATTATGACGGCACAAAAGGATTTTCCAAATGCTAAATAAACTCCTTTATATAACTAGGAGACGAGACGCGATGATGCCATACCAAAGTCGTTCCTAGTCAGCCAGTGTTTTTGCGGGGCAACACGCGAGGCGGTCGGCTTAAGGTTGCCGTCGATCCTTCAGCAGCCATGTATAGTGTTCGGCGTAAATTAACTTTAACTTCAATCAAAATGATACTGAAGCAAGCTTCCATGTTCTGCCAGACTCCGCTAGGAGCAGCGCTGCTTGCGCTTGCCGTAATCGTAAGTTGTAACCCGAGCTGGCCCAGTCAGTCACGGGGGCCATCCTTCCGCCTGCTAATTAAAAGCGCGGCCTTACTGCCGCGATCCTTCTTATCTAATGTAGCAGCCCAACTGCTTGCCCTTGTTTCTGCTCAACTACACACATGCACCCACTTTATAATTGGCTTCGCAGGTCAGCTGGCTGGGATGGTGCCCACTGACCCGGTGGCGTCTGCGGCGCTTCCCAGGTAAGTGCCTGCGGAGAGCAGCGAGCGCAGATAGTTGTGCAGGGGCCCTACCTCGCTCGTGCTTGCCGGTTAGCTTGCTCACTTGCGTAGCTCCACACGCCGCGAATGGTAAGCTGGTAACCCTGTGACACATGACACGGACGATGGGCCCTTCTAAGCGTCCAGCGGCTCGCCGCTCGCTGCCAATGTCCAAAATAGGAAGGTTGTTGATGGAGGTTTGCGCTCTGCTAGAACGAATATGCCCCCTGCTGCCCGCAGGTCCCTTCGGCCTGCCCTTCCTGGGCAACCTTCCCCAAATCCTCGCCATGGATACCACCGCCTTCCTGCTGCATGCGGCACGCAAGTACGGCCCCGTCTGCAAGGCAAGTGTGTCACACGCGCGCTTGCTTGTTGCCACCCCAAGTACCTTTCCCGTACATGCATGGGTTGCATGCTAGCATGCACTCCCCAGTCCACAGCCGGTGCACTTACTATCCTATCCACCAAGGTTGCCAGTGTCGCAGCAGCCCCCACATTGCACTTCTTGGGCTGGGGCTGGGCGGGGGTGATGTGGGGTGAAGTGGGCCTCTCCCCGCCGCAGCATACGCAGCATGCGCCCCTCACATCCCACCTCGCTGCATCTGTCGTGCATGTGACAGATCTGGTTCGGCGCGCGGCCCTGGGTGCTGGTGAGCGAGCCGGAGCTGGTGCGGTAAGTAAGTTGCAGCAGCAACAGGCAAACAGGGAATGTGGGGGTTTAAGGGAACTTTTTATGTTCTGTATGGCTCAATGTCCTTGCATCATGCGTAAGCCCCCTGGCCTCGTCGGTATTTGCGGCTTTGCTCCCTCGCTCCCCTCCCGCTCTCCGCAGCAAGCTGGCCTACCACAGCGCCGTGCGCCCCGACCTGATGAGTTTCCTGCATGTCGCGACCGGGGAGAACCGAGATGTGGACCAAGCGGGCCTTGTGGTTGTCCGGTGAGCCACGAGCCTCCAGTACTGCTGTGCTGCTCAGCATTGCTGTTGTGTTGCGCTTGGTTAACTATTGGCGTGTACATACATACATACACTGTGCATACAGGGGCGAGGCTTGGAGGCGGGCGCGTCATGCGTTTGAGGCGTCCATCATACGCCCGGCCAGGTATAAATGGTGGGGCCGAGCGAGGGAGTCTAACTACTGAGGGGAATGCAGACGGTGCAGAGGGCCACCTCCAGGCCGTCCAGTGGGTCGCAGGTTGCGCTTCTTCTCCCGCTGTACGGGTTTGACCTCTCCAGTAAGCTGATTGCGCCCCCCGGGTTCGACACATGCACGGAGTGTTAACCCGTGTGCTTCCTGCCCTGTGCGTACCGTACATACGACACATGTTCGGACCGAGGTTCAATGCATGTTCCCACGCGTCCAATCCCACCCCAAACCCCCCGCCCTGATCCCATGCATGTATAGCCTCGTGGCGCACATGCCGGCGCTCAACCGCTGCCTGCGCCGCTTCCTACCGCTCATGGAGCGTTACGCCGCGTCGAACGACCCGTGGGACGCTCTGCAGCACGTCGGGAACCTCGTTCTCGCCATGGACGGGCAGCTGGCTTACGGGTGGGTCTCACGCACACGCCACCGAGCAATATGTTGTGCAGTACATATGCATCATCCGGAGTCCATAAGCTTCGGAGAGCATCGTCGCTTGGGATACGGGGGGGCACCTCCATTGTACTCCCTCTGTGTTGTCGACGTACTGTAGTTGCTGCAGTTGTTGTCCCTGAGCTTCCTTCACCTGCTCAGTTTACCTAATCCCCTGCTGCCCTGCGCCGCACTGCTGTTTCAGAGTTGACTTTGACGGCGATGCAACAGCGGCGCACAACGGCAATACCGCCGGCGACAACGACGACAGCAGCATCTGCAGCAGCAGGAGCCGCAACAGCCGTCTCGTGGCGAGCAGCAGTCACGGCGAGCCCAAGGGCGGCGGTCTGCCTGTGGCCGAGCTGGCTGCCGCTTGCAAGACCACCGTGGACACCATGCGCCTGGATGCTGCCAGCTCCTACCTGCCGCTGCAGCTGCTGCTGCCCTCGCTGCGCCCGCTCATCCGTGCAGCCGCGCACCTGCTGCCGGACGCCCCGCAGCGGCGGGCCATGGCGGCTCGCAGCGCGGTGGTGCGGACCAGCCGCGACCTCATGCGGGCCTGGATCCGGCAGCAGCAGCAGCAGCGGGAGGAACAGCAGCAGCGGGAGGATCAGCAGCGGGAGGACCAGCAGGGGGAGCATGGGCAGCAGCAGGAGAAGGAGGAGGATGGGAAGAAGGCGGCAGGCGGCGGCAAGTGCCAGCAGGGTGGAGGCGGGGTGGCTTATCATGAGGTGGGCGAAGGCATCGGCGGCAGCTGTTTCCTGGCGGCTATGATGGGCGGCCGGGGGGAGGGCGCTGCAGGCGGCGGAGGAGGCAAGGGGGAGCGGCTGGGCGAGCTGGAGGTGGGTGGCTGGGTTTACAAACAAGGGGAGGTTGGGCGGAGGAGGATGGGATTGCTGAAGGAATGCTGCTAAGGATGGGAGCATGGAAGACGGGGTGCGCAAAAGGTTTGGGACGAATACAGCTAGCCGGGAGCAAGGTGCAGTGATCATTGAGGTGAGATGTCTTTACAACAAGTCGCAAAAGCATGGCGCGGTATGCTTCCTCCATCCTGTTTTTGCTCTGCTGCACGAGCTCTCGTCCGTTTTGTATGGCTGAAGGAACGGCGGGGTTGATGCGTACGACACACACACACACACATACACACACGCGTTTCGCCTCGCGGCCAGTTATTTTAACACACAGTGCATTCCGACTCGCGGCCAGTTATTTTAACACACAGTGCATTCCGACTCGCGGCCAGTTTTCTTAACACACACACACACGCGGCCAGTTTTCTCAACACCCTCAGACTGACCCTCGTACGACCCTCAGCAGGTTGCATACCGTCATCGCCTCATTCCGACCTTACCACAATCATCTTTGAAACCCGCCCTGAAGTCGCAGGACATCACCCAACGCTCCACATCCTCGCTCCTCCCTCGCCGATCCGACCTGTCGCGCTGTCCGTACACCCCGCCGGCCCCCGGCAGGTCATCGCCCAGGGTTTCACCTTCCTGGTCGCGGGCTACGAGACCACCAGCAACGCAGTCGCCACGGCGCTGCTGCTGCTGGCGGCACACCCCGGGGCGCAGCAGCGGCTGGCGGAGGAAGCGGCGACAGCACTGCTGGCGCCTAGGAAGAAGGAGAAGGGGGAGGAGAAGGATGGGAAGGAAGGGAAGGAGGAGGGGAAGGAAGGGGAGGAGCCCGGGGAGCTGTCCGCTGAGCTTCTGGCGGAGGTGGGTGCGGGTGCTCGCATATGAGGGTTGGTGTGCGTTGTGCCCTTTGTTGGTGCATGTGATGAGGTCTAGAGGTGCTTGATATGTGCGTACTTCGTACATACGATACCGGCAAGTCTGCGTGCCTTCCCACCTGCCCCACCTGCCGTACCTCCCCACCCGCCCCACCCCAAACAGCTACCGTACACGGAGGCAGTAGTGCGTGAGACGCTGCGGCTGTACCCCGGGGTGAGCTTCCTGTCGCGG